ATAGAAGTTGAACTTAAAAATTAACTTATAAAAGATAAAAATTTATATATTATATATATACTTTTTAATTTTTTTTTCTATTATAATACTAATTAGTTAGATTTAACTAAAGCTATCCTATAGGCTAAATAGCAATAACTTAACTTTATACTAATTGTCTTCTAATCTTACTTCCTTTAATTTTCCCTCTTCTAATTCCCTTTTTTTAATTTTATAAAAAAGTAGCTTTTATTATATAAATACTAATAGTAATAAATATATCTAGGGCAATACTAAAACTTAAAATGCGCTAAGCAAAAAAAGTATACTTAAATTAATACTAGAATATAAGTATATTTTAGAGAAAACCTACTAAATAATTAAAGCTATTGTAATAAGCAGTACCTATTAGACTGCCTATTTACTATAAGCAGATTAGAGGGAATACTTAGAACTTAACTAAGTTATATAGAATATTTAGCTAAAAGTTATTTATTCTACCTATCTAAAGAAACTTAGCTATGCTATTATAGCGGTCTTAATAATATAGGAGGCTAGAAAAGTAAAAAAACAAACTATATAAACTTTCTATACTAAATAATTATAGATTTTTAATTTAATTAGGTAAGCATATTATTAAATAATAGCAAATCTATATAAGTTAATAATAGAATACTATTATTCTTTTGTAGGAATAGATATTAAATTAAAAGTTAATAGCAATTTAAAGAACTATTTATAGATATATAACTATTAGGGTAATTTATATAAAAAGTCTAAGCTTCCTTAGGCATTTTTATTAAAATTATTAATTAAAGCTATTGTTATTACTAGCTTTAGCTAGAAGGGGGCAATTAGTTAAAATAAGTAAATAAAAAAGATATTTCGTTTATTACTAAGTTAGTTTATTATACTTATTTATTTAATAATAGAACTTATTTTATTAAAGTATAGTATAGAGAGCTTTTATAAGCGAAAGTTGAAATATAAAAGTATATATAATAGTAAGAATAATATTTAAATAAACGAAAATATTATAAATACTAATATAGATAATTTAAAACTCTTATATTAAGTTTTTTTAGATATAGTGCTAACTTTAATAGGAAGAGAAAACAGTAAAGCAGCTTATAGCCCTACTTTTATCTAAAATTAATAAATTAAATACTATTAATAAAAAAGTAGAATAGAGTAAAAGAAATAATTGCTAGAACAGGTATTATAATAATTTTAATAAAGTCTTAAGCTATTAGAACTAAAAGAACTTAGCTATAAGTTATAAAAATAAGCGCTTATTTTAAGGTATAATAAATAACGTATTAATAATAATATTATTAGGAAAAGAAATATATCTATATTAAAAGCATATATAGAAGTCTACTAATATATTTATCTAAAGTTATAAGTAATAAGCGGAAAAAGTCGCTAAAGTTTTATAAAAGTTTTATAAATAAATAAATAATTGCTTTAAAAGTATATTTAAATACTTTATAAATAAATATTTTTATTAATCTAGATTTACTAGAAGTACTTTTCCTGCCTAAAGCGGCAACTGCTAGCAATTAGTATATAGCTAACTTGATAGTAGAGTATTTTAGCTATATAATAAGTTTTATAAATAAATCTACTATTACTTATTAATAAAATAATATATATTAAAAGTCTAAATACTAGCTAAAAACTTTAGAATTACTTAAAATTTGCTAGATAAGCTTAATATATTAATATACTAGCTTATAATACCTAGAAATAAATATTATTATAGATTAAAGAAAATAGTTTCTTTAGATATAAACTAGAAACTATAGCAAGAAAAGATTAATATAATAAAAAGAGCAAAACTTTAATAGCTAAATACAATAAATATAGAAATGCTTTTAGACAAATTATAATTATATAAAGAGTTTAAAAAAGTAGTAAAGCAGAAAAAGGTAATAGTAATAGTTTTTAAACCTATAAGTAGAGAACTAGATAAATAGATAAAGCAATATAATCTTGCAAGCATTTTATAAGAATCTTATAATATAATTTTATCTATAATATCTCTAGGTTAAGTAAGTAAAAACAAATAATACTAATAATTAGTAAAAGTCTTATTTTTAGAACGTTTTTTAATAAATATCTAAATAATATATCTAAGGTTATTAATATAATTAATATAAGTAAAATAATTTATATTTATAGTATATTTAAATTAAAAAAAGCTTTTAATATAATATATATATTTAATGCTAAATTCTATAAAAAGTAATAAAGTATATATACTTAATATTATATACTTTACTTCTATTATATATATTATATATAATAAATTAATAAGTTAATTTATACTTAATTACAGTGTATATGCAATATAGTATAATAATATATAAATGCGCAAATAGCGCGCAGTTTGCGTATAAAAGCAGATATATACTATTTGCGCTTTTAGCTAGCTACCTACACTTTTCGCGTAGGATATAGCTTAAAACTTTTTACTAATGTTTAGAAGCTAGTAATAAGTATTCTATTTTTCTATATTTTTATAAAGGTTTCTAAATCTATTACTATAGAAAAGTAAAATATATTTAATAATAGCTAGTTAAGGCTTTTATTTTTATAATTTATAAGATTTATTATATATAATATTTATTTAGATAATTCTATAGCTAGTATACTTATTTATTATATAATAGCAATAATATTCTATTTAAAAAAGGGTTAGTAAAGTTAGCTATAAAGTATAATAATTTTTTTAAAATATTACTTAATAAGAATAGAATTATAAATAATTATTATAAATATAAAACCTTATCCTAGAAAAGGATTAAAATCTTATTTAAATTTTAATAATTTTTACTTTTATAATTATTATATTTAATAGTTTTATATTTATTTCTATATATTCTATAAATATATTATTAATAATAAGGTAATTTATAGAAACTTTTATTAATTTAGTTATAATAGATTTACTTATTTTTTAGCTTTATTAAAATTATTAATAAAGTAGCTAAAAAAGTTATAACTTTAGCTTTTAAAAATTACTTATTAATTCTAGCTTCTATTAAATATTTTAAATTATTTTATTATATTATTATTATTTTATTAATATAATACTTATTAAAAACTTTAATAGATTTTTTTATATAATATAATAAAAGAAACTAAAAATTGTATTTATAATCTAACAACTTTTTATAAAAAGCTATATATTTATCTTAAAAAGTAAAATAAATTAAAATCTCTTTATAAACTAAAAAGCTATATATAATATTATATATAATATTAAATTTTTTAGAAGTTAAATCTCTTATAAGTTATATAATTAGGCTATTAATAAGTTTAATAAGATTTTTAACTTAGAAAATACTTTTCTAAATCTTTTTAATATATTTAAGATTAAGTCTAAAGATTTAGCCTCTAAAACTATATTAAAAGAAAGACTACTTACTATCTAATATATTGATAAAGTTTATATATAGCTCTTACTATATAAGAAAGTATTTATAGAAATCCTTTACCCTATAACCTAGGTAAAGAAAATATATAAAAAAAAGTATATTTAAGAAGAGGAAAGAATATAAAGTAGTTTTAATAAAAAGGGTATATAATAGTTAAAAGCTATAGCAAGTTTTTTAAAAAGATTTTTATTATTATTTAAAAGTTTTTTACTTTTAATATTATTAATAAATTATAATTATAGATAAGAAGTATTTGAAAAATAATTAAAAAAAAAAAGCTAACTATAGTTAGCTTTAAAAAATTAAGCTTTAAATTATTTATTAATTTTATTTTATTGGCAAAAGCTTTAAAATAATAATATATAAAGCTATAAGCTAAAAAGAAAATAATTATAACTATAAACTTTTATTACTTATAGATTTTTTAACCCTAGTATTGGCAGCAATAAGGTTATCTACTATTTTATAAGCTTTAAATATTTGTTTTTTTTTTCTAAGAAAATAGTATAGTAAAAGAGAAAAGCTTTAAGCAGTAGAACTGAAAATAAAGTATTATAATACTATATTAATGTAAAAACTAGCTATACTTAAAAGTATTATTCTAAAAGCCCCTTAATTAATAGAAATAATTATAAGAATAATAGAGTAGGGGCTACTAAAATACTATATAAAAGCCTAAGAAATTAGGCGAAATAAGCTCTTGGCCTACTAACCCCTAGTCTAGCTAGATCCTACATTCGAGCGAGGGCACTCCATCACGCCAAAGACACTTAGTCGTCGGATGTATTTATATGATCTCGTCATTCGACATTGACCAGTCCCCTGGTCTTTTACTTAACGTATGAAGTAAGTACAGCACCACCGTCTTAGACATGCTCAGCCACACAGTCTCTGCGAGATCGTCCCATTATCATTGGAGCCAGAATGAACACTGCACGCTATCTCATTGCTATAAGAACACACAAAGATACTGATGATTTTAAGTAGGAAATGGGCTAAATCTCGTAGACAGTGAAAGCAGAAGGCCGCCAAGATGCAAGTTCCACTCTCGTCGAGATACAGGATCGCTGCCCCTAAACACCTTGGCTTCCACGTACTGAAATACCCTAAGTTGAATACCACATTTCTCGGTACTCATTCTCCAATTTCTAAAAGCCTCGCCCAGCAGCAGGCTCTCCTCAAGGCCCTCTCAAAAACGACTCTCCGCGGACGCGTCACCTGTACAAGCGACATCGTACACGAGCCAGCTACGCGATTGCCGCAACGCAAAATATGTCTGTCGATATCTGTGCCCGCCCGAACATTCCTGGGACCCATTCAATCATAATCGCCACAAGAATGGGATGTCACTACCGCGACGTGATTGGTCAACCGCCACGCTCTAACGACTTGGCACATTTCCACCAATCAGCAGCGCCGAGAATGTCACCAAAGTCTCCACCTAGGGAGATATAAAGGGCCATTCAGAAGCAGGTTGCACAATGATTCCAGAGCTGTCAACGGTCGCGTCCCCCTTTGAACTTACCGATAGAGAATCTGTCGCCTTAAGGCCAAATCAGGGCAATGAGAATTTCCAGCATGCTTCATTCGAAAATAGCGACAGCCCCCCACGACGATACCCCAGACACCATTCCAGCTGCTCTACCAGCTCCCCAAAACTCGCAGCCACACTCACTCGACATCGAAAAACAAGCAGACAATGACACCTCCAGACCACACAACAAGACATCAGCATTCCAAAGCCTCGGCCTCCTCGACCGCTTCCTGGCCCTCTGGATCTTCCTCGCCATGCTCACCGGCATCCTCCTCGGCAACTTCGTCCCCTCCACCGGTCCCTCTCTCCAAAAAGGCAAATTCGTCGGCGTCTCCATCCCCATCGCCATCGGCCTCCTCATAATGATGTATCCCATCCTCTGCAAAGTGCGCTACGAAACGCTCCACCTTTCTTTTCGCCAGCGTGAGATTTGGACACAGATCCTCTTCAGCGTGTTCGTGAACTGGATCGTCGCGCCATTCTTGATGTTGGGGTTGGCTTGGGCGTTTCTGCCGGATAAGGCGGGGCTGAGGGAGGGGTTGATTCTGGTCGGGTTGGCGAGGTGTATTGCAATGGTGTTGATTTGGACGGGACTTGCGGGAGGGGATGGTCAGTACTGCGCCATTCTCGTGGCTATCAATTCCGTTTTGCAGATGATTTTGTATGCGCCGCTTGCCATACTCTTCATCGGCGTCATTGGCCGCTCAGTCGCGGATGTCAGTGTATCGTACTCCACCGTGGCAACAAGCGTGGCCGTCTTCCTCGGGATACCGCTCGGAGCAGCAATCATCACGCGGATCTCGCTTCGATATTTGGTAGGCCAGAAATGGTATGACGATATCTTCCTTAAATGGCTGAGTCCATGGTCCTTGATTGGTCTGCTATTCACCATCCTAGTCCTCTTCGCCTCGCAGGGCCACCAGGTAGTGCATCAGATCGTTTCAGTGGTCCGTGTTGCAGCGCCGTTGATTGTGTATTTCGGTATCGTCTTCTTTTTCACCCTGCTTATTACTCACAAGCTTGGGTTTGGATACAAGCTGGCTGCTACACAGAGCTTCACGGCTGCGAGCAATAACTTTGAGTTGGCGATCGCGGTCGCTGTTGCTACGTTTGGAGCGGACAGCGATCAAGCGCTTGCAGCGACTGTTGGGCCGTTGATTGAGGTGCCGGTGCTTCTTGCACTTGTGTATGTGATCAAGTGGATTGGGCGCAAACGACGATGGGAGGACTGAAAGGCACGTAATGTGTGAATTCAAATGCATCATTGTCCGCTATTTAATTGACTTTTGTACGACTATCATATCTGAAGGAAAAGTTGGTAAGGAAAGCTCCTGTTGAACAAATCAGTGCTGGAAATGATCTCGGTGCCATGTTACCATTCGTGCACAAGATATTGAAAACAATACTCGATGAAAATGATGATGAGCCCCTGGTTCCTTCGCTTTTATTTGGGGGCTTCTCAGAAAAGGCAAGCAACTGACATTATGATCTTACCCGCTTGAAAAGTCGACTCGAGTTCATACAGTTTTTTACCTCTAAACAAACGATAGGCAGATGATGGTGCGGGCTGATGCGATTGCAACGTGATCAACATTCCACGAGTTGATGTCTTTGACGAGAGGTTTCCGATCCATGAAGCATGGGTTCATCACACGGGCTTCTGTCTAAGCCAGTGGACCTGCGTGGCTCAATTAGGAGCCACAATGGACGGTCCGATACAATTAGTCTCCTCATAATGCCAGGCTCGACAGCTTCTATTGTTCGCAACAGCAATAGGCCCGGTGCCTGCTCCTCCTCCGAGGCTCGCCAACCCCAGATACCCAAGGTATCCACCCGGTGCTCCAAATTTGATGCAGATAGCACATTCGCCAAACGTGCAGGTACCTACGCCTGTGAAATTAGTTGGAGTTGGACCAGGCAGGCCCGGAGCAGGCGGGACAACTGTCGCAACGCTCAGCCAGTCGGTCGAGAAGACAACCCAGCCTGGTTGACCATTTGGGTTGCCGCTGGGGCCTTGCTCGTCTAGCTGAAACCAAAATCCTCCTTCAGGAACGTAGTTGTCCTTGTTGACGCTGCAGTTGGTTGAATTGGCGCAGATGCGGAAGGGGATGCTTCTTTCGCCGTTGACCACGAGATCCTGGTTGACGTAGAAACCGCCGTTCTGACGGATCTCGTTTCCGCCGCTGTCCTTCATCAAGTAGCAGTGATTGTAGCGGAGGCCGAGGTTACCGTAGTAGGAGCAGACGGGGCCGTTGCCGCAAGAAGGGCATGGTCCCTGACTTGTGTCTAAAGGTTTCACAGACATGGGAGCCGAGCGGCAAGCGGAACCAATGAAGAGTTGGCCAGGGCCACAGCATTTTCCCTTCTGGATGGAGAAGTCGAATGAGTAGCCTGTGCCTCTTGGGCAGCATTGACCCTCGTTGGGGTAATCTACGTCGGTCCTCCAGAATGTGTCTGCTGGACAGCAGGATGTCATGCCGTTCTTCGGATCAACATCTGTATTCTGCGTCAGCAACCTTGCCATGAGACGTAGTAGTGTGTCAAGAAGGCTCGAAAGATCAAACTACTTACATGTTAGTCCTTCACATTGAGCAGGATTAAAGTCGGCATCATTGTTCGTCGAAGTTGATGCTTGGATGTTCGCATGAGATTCCGAGCATACATGGGTGGTATGACTCTCTTCAAGACCGATGGGGACTTGAAGAGCGAGCGCAGTCGATATGAGAGCCAAGATGCTAAGATAAAAACGATTCATGATGACGTATACGACCACCTACAAATGATAGCTTCTTCCCTTCAAAGGGCAATGAACTTGAGTTTAGTTGATTTCTTTCTTGTCTCTGAGACTGCTAGAGGATGGAATGGATATCTTTGAATGATCAGGCGACTTCTCTTTATAGTCATTCACACCGAGTCGAAACCAGGATGTCCTTCTGTATGCGATCACAAACTTAGTATTGGCGCAAAGCATCTTTGACAGCGACAGACGTTCTGTGCCATCAAAAGAGGCGTTTTGGTGGCTCTCCAAGTACGACCGAGGAGAGTCCGCGTCTTTTCCGTTGCATATGCTTCAAGATATACGAGAACCCGGGGATCATGTGTTTCGCTTTTGACGTGCGAGATCGAGGCCTGAGGCCTGTTTCTGGGAGAATCGCATCAGGTGAGCATCAATAGAGCAGCGAACACTAAGCGATCTGGTCGTAGTGACATAGCAGCGTCCCTTTTTTTCCAAACGGTTGTTACATCGCGAAAGCTAGAAGCTAGGCAGACTTTCAAACTTCCCTTAGTTGCTTGATCAGCATCATACCGTCTTCCATCTTCAGATATGTGACCACCAATATGGTACTCGCGAAACCTTGCTCAATTCAAGATCAATGCCTTCGCTTAATCTGGTCGAAAGTTAACCACCCACGAGGATTCACTGGATACCGACCATACGTGTGAACGACAAGAGGTCGAATTCGCTTACTGGTGGAACATAGAGCATATGGCTTGCATCGAAGTTCTGCACCGTGTGTTGACATGACCAGTAGAAAATCGAATGATCGTCACGTTCAAAGAAAGGCAACCTGAGACTCGTATGTCGCTTACTGAGGTAGAACAGAGGACATGTGGCTTGCATTGGATGCCTGCATGATATCCCAACCACTGAAAGGTCCGATAATCGGCCAGAGTGAGACGGAGAATGGTCATACGCTCGTGTAGTATGTCACGCTTATTGACAGAGCCTCGAGAGCTGATCATGAGTGATCTAGAATGGATGCCGATGAACGGAGAAGAAGGCTCGCTAGTGACGGACTGCGGAACCTAGATTTCTTGACAGACAGAACTCAAAGTCATCAACCACATGTCATCGACGCCTGAATCGTCCCCCTCCTACTCTTCGAATGAAGAAAAGACGTTTGATTTGGGGGGTAACCGACTCTCGGTCGTGTCCACTATTGGCTCTCACTGCTCGGTAAGTCCCCTACATGCAGCTGCAGGGTGCAGCTGCACCCCGCCTTCAGCTGCGGGATGACACCTCACGATTTGTCTATAATCCCGCAACGAGCTCCTTGTCATCTTATTCACGCCAATTGACAAGCGAATCAGAGCTCACACCGAGCGCCTCCTTCTGGACATGACCAGTCAACAATAACGAGACCAACATTGCATGAAGATATTGTGCTAAAGAACGCCAGCTTGACAGGGCCGCGTAGTTTTCAGCTGAAGCCTACTGTTGTGGCTTATGGCACAAGACGAAACGGTCCGACTCCGGCGCCTTCCTCGCGGACTTCTTCGGATCGAGGTGAAGCGTGGGGTGCGGGTCTGGACATCGTCTTCTGAGCTAATTCTGAATAGTTTTAAGCAGAAGCATTCTTGAAAGACGCTACGGTAAAGATGTGTTGGCTCAAGCTTGGGTAGGCGGGAGAAGAGCAAAGAATGATAGCTCACCAAACCACGGTCAGTGCTCTATTTGAGTTGACCCAGTATCAGAATGTACACTTTTGTTTGAAAGTGCCTTTCTCATGAAATAAGTCATACCATCTCGAAGCTCATGCACATGGTGAGGACCTGCTGAGAAGGTCAATTTATCAAGACCTAGCCCAACCGAAGACGAAGACTTGACCATTACAATGTCTGCTCTGAAACCCATGCCAACGATGAGGGTTCATGGTAAAGGTAATCAGATGCCATCATAAATATGCATCAGAAGCTGATTTCATCGTCAGTCATTATGATTGCCAATGCTAGGCGTACACCTTGGCTGCGTATCTATGGAAATGCTGTTACCTCTCCGGCTCAGTCAGCTCACCGCCCTCCCTTATCTAAATTCTGACATCCCGTGGATATCTGACCTGGTGCCGTACTTTCTAGGGCCTCTTGAACAATTGCCTAATGCAAGCCTAGCTCGCTATGAGTTGGACAGTTCACCTCAATTCAGGAGCCTGCTGGATACCATATCATGAAACCCTTGCTCACCGAATGAAAATTTCCAACGTCAGGAATAATTTGAGCTCCGGACTCACTTGGCACTGAGCTCTTTTCGAAGGACTACGCCGAATCCAACGTACGCAAAGACCCCCTTGAAGAGACGGTACGGGAGAGCCTGGGATTTCGACATTTGACAGAGACAAAATGGTAGATACAACATCGCTAAGAAGGCCCAGTCTCTCACATTACAATATTGAATAAGGTGTCATCATCGTTTCTTCTGAAAGATATTCTCTAAATTCAACTCCAGAATATACAGTTGTAGCCTCAATCAGAAAAGAATTGCTGCTGAGAAGGAGCAGCAGGGTGGCGAAGCTACAGCGGATTTTTTACTTGATCCTGTTCCTGACTGAACAACTTCGATGCTAATCTAAACTGATGATCGACTGCTTCTCACAAAACACAGCCCTCCTCGTCTTCACCAAAAAGTACGCTTGATAACTTGATGAAGCCGAAAACTCCGCTCCAAGCCCCTAGACGGCGTTCAAGACTGTTGTTGACCCATCGAACGCCTTCGTCTATTTTTCGTTCTGGATATACATCTTGCTCTTTTTGGAAGGTGAAAAGGGAAGGAGTATGGTGCATCAATACCACGAAGGCTGATTGAACGCCATTAACGAATTCACAATGTCGTCGATAGCAAGACACAATCGAAGGGCCATCCAGAGGCTGGTGTCACATCTTCATGAAGCCATGCGCAAACACGTCATGAGAGCGAGTCCTTGTTCAGAGTCCCAAAGTGACCTCCCACCAGCCATGACACCTTGGAGAAAGTATCGCAGCAGAAATCTCCACTACAACAGTGAGACCAAACCGCCTAAAGCGAAGTTCCGGTCTCCACGCCCAAGCGCGCTTGCAGTGAGACACTTAACGACCATGCATATCGTCAAGCTTCCTCCCATACGCACACTTTGAGACAATTAGTTCCGCACGTCCCTCACAAGACAAGCCTCGTCCCCCAGATCTCCATTAGGAAAAACATCCGGACGACAGTGCATCAAGCTTCTGTCAAGCGACCCTTCCCCAGTGCCTCCCATCCAGCCATAACCTTTTGCGCATACGAAAAAACACCTCGGACCAGATAATAATGGTTCCAGATCCACTAGGAATGCTCTATGCGCTGGATGTCAACTGTGTGGCGGAGCGCGTCTTATGGTTAGACATTGCTATCCACATGATCAGACTTTCGTTACGGTGCCGAGGCCTACACAGTCAGTCTTTCATTCATCCATAAAGACATCACGGTGGTCTCGAAAATGACGGAAACCACTGAACCAGAGCACACGATATGGCTCCCTTGATTCATCGTCTCTCACGCTTGCTCGTCTATTTCCTCCTTCAACAACACCTATATCCCTCCCTCGCAAGCGTCCTTCTACTATCTAATCGCCTCCCCAACCCTCACCCTCACCCTCACCCCGTCGACACCGCCATCCCCCCAATCCCCCTCTTGGCCCGTACCCCTCACCCCCGACCGCAGCCTCAACCACAAGAAGTCCCCGCGGCCATCATCGCCTCCGCCCGCTCCCGCTCCCCCCATCCTCCTCCTCCTCCTCCCCTTCCCTTTCCACACCCTCCTCCCCCTCCACCCCACCAAACGACCTCTCAGCCTTCCCCCCTACGAAACCACCGCCGCTAGCACAGACACGACATTCACCCTCTCCGTCGTCGTCCCCTCCCCCCTTCCCCTCCCTCCGCGCACTTCCCAACCTGGAACCCCCTAGGCGGGCTCTTCATCTTCCTCTCCTTCTGGACGAGGATGACGCGCGCGAAGGTGCAGAAATACGGGACGCACGCGCTCGTTGATGGAGGGGGAGGGGGAGGGGGAGGAGGTGGGGGAGGGAGGGGTTTCGCGTGGCAAGCGAAGAGCGAGGTTGTTGGGGGGAGGGGGTGGTGGATTAGAGTTGTGCTGGAGGGTGGTGGTGGAGGAGGAGGAGGAGGTGGAGGAGGAGGAGGTGGTGGGGGAGGGGGAGGAGGGGAAGGGGGGTTGGAGTGGGGGGATTTAGATTCCCTGGGACGCGTACTGAGGGATGTTATGGGCCCTCGGTTTAGTGATCCTGATAAAGGGTATAAGAGTGTTGAGGTGGAGGTGGGCAGGATGGGAGGGACGGGAGGGGTGCTAGGACGTGCGTGGTTGTGGTATGGGACGCTTGAGGAGGGTGGGGGTGGCGGGGATGTGGTTGATGGGACATCCTTAGATGGTGGTGAGGTCTTGAGTGGGGTGTCTGTGGAGAGGAGAAGGGTGATTGCGGCTGGTGCTTGATATTTGTGTTTCTTGAAGGGTTTGACGAAGGGGGTTGTGGTAGGTTATTTGACATGTAAGCAAAGAGTCCAGCGTTGCGGTTACGTTCTGACAAGACTTGAAAGGGTCGGAGATGTCTCCTCACAATGTTTTGGTCGTGTGTTCCTTGACTAGCTTCATGCAAGTGAATGCGTCGGCTGTATGTTAAACGCGCCAGATATCATCATATCGCGACGCGAAAAAATTCATCCTGTAATAAGCGTGGACAGTGTGGCTATTATTAGCAGATAAATACACAACGGCAAGCATAACCAATTACTTTAAATATCTTACATCGTCGACTTAGCTACCTGTAAATATGAAGAGTACCCAAGCTCCTACCATAGCAATCAGCCTCACGGGATTCGTTCCCAAAGCAATCGCCTTCCCTTCGAATGTATCATACTTCGCCGGGACACCACCGCTCGACTCAGCTGCACCTCCAGCTGAGCTCGAAAAGACACCAGTCGAGCTCAAGCCATACTCATAAGGGTTAGGAAGCGTGGTCACACTACCCCCAACATCTACGACGCCATTACTCACCAAACCAACGCTTGTGCCATCCACAACGACAGCGCTTCCGCTGGGTAGCACAGTCAAGCCATGTAGCGTAAAGCCTCTCGCGTCAGGCGTGATGGTCCGTCCAGCAACGACTACAGGGTGGCCAGAAACTGTTGGGGATGTTGGACTTAGCGAGAAAGTCTGACTGCCAACAACGAGCACCCCAGAAGGGTCTAAAGCTATCTCCGTCCCTGATATTGTGACTGGAGGATCGCCTGGTCGAATAGTTGTACCTGCGATTGAGAATCTAGTTGGATTGGCTGTGAAGGTCTGATCACCAGCGGTGAGGACAGGCTCGAGGTTTGCAGTCTCAATTGTCTCGTCTCCATGAGTCTCTGGCCCAACTTCAGGATTACCATTACTACTTGCGGCATCATCTGGTCTTTTATGTGCTCCTGGCCCGGTGTGTGAACTGTGTTCCTCCCCACTGGGGTCTCCATGGTTATTATCATTCGGATCGTCAATGTTAGTTGACTTCTGAGGATCTTGTATGCTTCCGGCCGGGTCCTGTTGCCCATCTTTTGGATCGGCTTCCGAAACACCTTTCGGGTCAGGCGACTGACCTGGATTACCTATCGATAGTCCACCAGGTCCTCCAGTCTGTACAGGCAGTTCAGTTGTCACAGGCTGTGCGGGCTGAGCAGGTGGGTCGCCGCTTGGGGGATCCACAGGAGTAGTGTCAGCCACAGTCGGTTGCGTTGGATCAGGAACAAGACCCTCTCCCGGCTCAAGAGAGCGAGGAGGGTCGAAAAGCGCAGCGGCTTGGGCGTTCCACCACCCGTCAGGTATCCACTGACACGAGGCGCTCGACACTAGATCGAAGGACAAAACTTCGACTGGTCGGAGGATCATTGGCAACCAGGGATGGCCTATTATGTAGTGCATTTTCCCATCTGCGGCGGTCGACCTGCCTACTCCGAATGTTGGACACTCGATGTCCGCGATATCAAGACGTCGGCTGGTGGTTCCTCCGCCGTCGCGGAACATACCAGCTTTCTCGAAAGATACCTCTTGGCCCATCGTATAATTTCCAATATATACGGTAGAGAGATGTTGTGGAGCGACGGCAATGAAGGGACTAGTGCTGGCTGCGCCAATCTGACCACACCAATCGACAACTCTAACCGTACCTAGAAACTCTAGATAGAAGGATGGTGATGTTCTTGACGCATCAGTGGAAGCACTCCCGAGCTTAGAAAATCACTTACAGAGTGTGGCCTTTGACAACTGCAACGCTGACGTGTGGTGGTAGGGTTATGGCTTGCGTTGCAGAGGCTGTAAGGTTGAGCCCCTCAAGAGATGTTGGGAGCTGACCTCCACGTGCACTGCAATCATCTATGGCTTTTTGATCCTTGAAATAGTACAGTCGTATATCAGCAGCCTTGAGAGCGCATCCACCACAGCAAGGTAGATACTTGATGTCTTCCCTACCACGTACAACGCGCGGTGGAAATGCTGCTGGCATTGATAGCCCTCGAGTCGAGTCTAAGGGATCCGGAGTGTAAACAAACTCTTTATTCTCACACTGGCTGTAAGTCCACGTATAGCTCGATGAATTCAAAAGTTTATGGATAGAGTTTCCAAAGGACCAGCACTCTGGACTCCGCCCAAATATGGTATCCCAGCCCGGAATGGTAGTCGTTGCGCTATCTGGCTGTATACCATTGATGAAAGACTTCTGCAAGCTGAGGTATGACGAGCAGGGCACGGTAGTCAGCGTTGGTCGACGATCATTTCCCGTTGAGCTCAGAGTTATGGAGCCAGGCTGGCAAGTAGGTCCAAATATGTCACATGATTGGGCAGTGCCATAGGGTATTTCGAATGGAAAGGTAGCGTTTACTATGGCGGTGTTGTTTGAGCCAGACTTGTGGCAATCGGAGCGATTGTGTAGACACAGAGACCCATTGGTAGGCCCTGCTCGGCCTGTCTCTGCTTAGATCAATTCTCTTTAGGAGACATTCAACTTACTAAACGAGGCTAACATGCATGTCCATGAGCCAAGTATCGTTAGCGGAAGAAGTAGACTGACGAACGACGGCATGTTGAATACAGATCATAAAAGCTTCCAAGATTTGGCTTTAGATATATGCCACTCACCCTTAATCCGGCAGAGATAGTCAATGGCCAGTCATACGGCGGCCTGTGTAATTGACAATGATCCACAGTAACCATATAGCCAGTCATTCTCCTTTAAGTCACGTATGTTGATGTATGGAAGCGGCGTAGAGCGAGGCGGGTGCTTACTTGTGCGCGTGGACGGGCACAGCCTGCAAAGGACTTCTCTCAAGCGGTCTGAGTCATCTTGGCACAGATTTGATCTGTGATGCGAATGGACATATATTGCGAGAGGATCTGTCATTTACTTGCCTATTCGGCCTTCCACTGTTGAATCTTCATAGCCATCCATAACAAGGTGATCGTCGTCACCAAGACGCCGCCGATACCCGAAGCGCCAGAGACGTCCTTCGTCTTGACACCGTATGCGATCACGAGTGCCATGCATACACTCAACACGCAAATTATCGTAAAAATGATTTTGACATTGTCCGGCCCTTCGATGATGTGCACTCCCCAGGCCGTAGGCAAGTCATCACTCGACCTCGTAATGGAAGAGAACAGTTTCTTTGGTAGCCGATGAAGCCAGACAGCCTTCGAGCATTCGCGAGGGCAGGTCATCAAATGTATGAAAGTATCACTATCCATAAGTGGACTGTACTTTGGAGGGCAAGGATCGTAGTGATATTCTTTGCGCTCAACATGTTCTTTTGAGGGGATGCTGTCCTTTTGGCAAATGCCTACACGGTGGCGATTTTCGAGGCTGAAGTGAACAAATTGCATCGCGACTGGCTTCAATAGATAATGCTGCTTGAATCGGTAGCCTCGCACCTCGCGATATCGGTTGTAGATAAGTTTGAAAAAGGACAGGTCGTCTGTCGTCCTGGTAATATCGATTTCGCCGAGGGTTTTTGCAAATTCGCCGGTGTTGACACATAATTCAAAATACTTGGGCACTAGTGCCCTGGCCAGAGAAGTGGACGAGCTTCTGGCCATAAGGCTGCTTCTAGGATCAGCTGAAGACGAATTCGAGCTTTCAGTCTCTTGCGAAGACTGAAAAGATGCGATATGAGCTTGATTGGGAGTCGCAGGAGCCTCAATAGTCAAGTTTCCGTTTGACGAGTTTCCTGTTAAGGCCGCAGTCAGCTCAGCAAGCGCGACTGGCTTATCTATCATAAAGTCTCCAAATAATTCTTTGCCGCATTCCTGGAGTCTTTTAGTAAGTTCGATGACGGCTATGGACGGAGTCACTAACACATGTCCAGGTAATTCTTTCACAATTGTCCGGTATCCGAGGGCGTAAACGTCGTAAGCAGGATTTCTTGAAAGCGTAGAAGTTGGAAGACCAGGGGACAGAGAAGATGATGCAGAACGCGATGATGAGCACCGATGCTGCGATATGACCGGAAAATGATATTTGTGGGGTAATCTTGGGGAGTATGGGTGCTCCTCTGGCCACCAATGGCTGTATTATTCCAATGATCCCAATGATGAGTACAATCCAGAAAGCACGCTCAAAGTCTTGCTTGGTGGTTGAAGGACCTAAAAGTTTCGAATCCGAAACCGGTGCGAAAATCTGATTGTTTTGCGGCCCTTGTTTGTCGCCAGCGAGATACATGGGAAACTCGGAGTCATAAAAGAAAGCCGAGTAATCAAATTGAGACCGCTGAATATGATAATACACTGAGTTCAGGCTTTCTTTGGTGGCCGAACGAGTGAATGATCTTTTGTTCGAGGCTCTCTTGTCCATGGCGAAGTCGTCGTCTGACGCAGCAGACTCATACCCAGAATCATACAAGGAATCTTCTCTCATATGTCCCCTTTTAGAAAATGATTCACTTCGTTGCCTTCGCCAAGCAGCAATAGTCAGCTGTTGCTCAGAATCTTCGTCTACACCCAACGACTCGATAGAATCAGTCAAGTCGGTTTGTTGTGCTTCTGAAGAATTCGACCAAAAAGACTTAGTGCTACCATCATCATCGTCCGTTTCTTCCCAATGAATCGCTGCACGAATGTCTGCATCTACTGCTGGAATCTTGACTTCATTAATGTGCGAGTCGGCAATTCTCTTCCTGGCGTTAAACAACGTGACGCTTCTACATTCTATTTTGGCCATGGCTTTCGCTTTCGCCACCTCACGTATCCGGCGAAGTAAGCCATAAAATGAGTGGCTCAGATTTTCAGTATTCGACGCTCGATTAGCAAAATAAGTAGAAGGCGTAAGACCTGCGTCGTCAGTTGCGTCAGCGTCAAAATTGCCGAGATCTGTCTTCTCCTCGAACATTACTAAAATCCGCTGGCTGGCGTATTGCGCTAAGAGATGTAGCACTGACTGGTTTGTACGAGGGTCTCGATCATATATGGAGACGTCCTGGCGCTGTAGAAGGAAAATTGTCACGCTGTCCCAGCCATTCTCCAGGGGCAGACGAAATATGCAGTACCCGTTGTTCGGAAGCTCGCGATCTTCTGGAAACACAATGTGACTACCATTGTTCATGAGTATCGCGAGGCTTTGGACATCTTGATTTTGCATGGCTATATTGGCAGGGCTCAATCCGTTGTGATCAAGGCCCTCTTGATTGCCACCATATTCAAGGAGTATATTCAGCGTTTGTGGAATACGCGCATCGGCTGTGCTGTCAATTGTCCTGTTGAGAGCTATGTGTAAGGGAGTCTGACCGCGGGCGTCTTGGTGCAATACATCTGCTCCATGATCTAGAAGTATTTTAACGGTTTCAGGGTGAGCATAATAGCAGGCAAAGCCCAGAGCAGTCATGCCATCAAATAGGGCGATTTCACCTTCATAAATGGCGTCAATCTGAGCCCCGGACTTCATGAGAGGTCTGATAAATTCAACGCTTTTGCCATAAGTTCCGCAAGCTTGGAGAGCAGTATGACCATCCAAATCTCGGTCACTAGGATCCGTTCCATGATCTAGAAGGTATCTCAAACACTCGGGTGTCGAATAAAGATTGCTGCAGGACCATCCAATTGAGCTGACACCTGTGTTAGGATTGGCTCCATATTCGAGCAGCAACTTCAGACTTGGAAAATCTGCTCTTCGAACGGCCCAATACAATGGCGTTCTTCCATTGCGATCCAATGAGTCGATAATATGGCGTGTTGTTGTTAGGATTTGTTCAACGTCTTGATCAGCAATGCCTAAAATTGCGCAGTGCAAGGGTGTGAATTGTCGTTCTAGGATAACCTCCCCATCATCAAAGAAAAGACGCTTCATAGCAGGATCAGCAATACCTGAGATTATCCGGTCCCACGCCAGAGCTGCGGCGGACCTACGTACTGCTTAGCGAAATTAGAGTCAAGCGAATTTCTCCACATGCCTGTTGTGAATATTCACAGAGTTGACGTTGCTTCCTTCGCCAATAAGAAACTCACAGATCTCGACACGATCCTGTCTGACGGCGATCTTAACAGTTTATGAACAACATCTTCCAGTTTGAAGTGGACCAGCACTTACATGTAACAAAGTATTCAGATCCCGATCTGCAACCAAAGGACCCACTTCACCGGTGCTGAAAAGCTGCCGTAATTCATTGAGATTACCTTCAAGGCAATATTGAAAGCTTTTTGAGTCTTTGGGGACGATGCGAGGAATCTGCAAGTGCCAGGACCGACCGGCGAGCCTCGTAGTGGAGACTTCAAGTCGAAATGCTTTGGCCAAGAGCCAGAATGGTGAAACGTACGATAAGCTCCATTCAACATGCCCGAAGACTTGACAGTCTACTCGTGTGCATGCCGTAAATGGTGTTCTGGTAGTCTTGGCCATGAAGGATCCTAGAACATTTTGCAGGAAGCCAGGTGAAGCAGCAAAGTATCCTCGATGACAATGACAATCGCAAGTCCAGATACATCTTCTCTGGCTTGAACCTTTAGCATTATCAGATCTTGGTCTATGAGTCAGACTCTTAGCCTGTATCCTCTCTAACGCTCGCTGTGAGGTAAGAAGGCCTTGAACCCTTTCATCTTCTGCACCTTCACGAGCAGTCTGTACCTGTCGAAGCATGCCCTCATGATCAAGCGAAGGTGTTATCTGGGAAGTCGGTCTGTGGCTTGTCAGTGATCTTCTCCTTTTAGTGTCAATAATCGAAAGTCTCACGAGGTCAGAACTTGGCTTGATGAGACCGTCCTTAGGAGTGCAATCAAATCTTCAAGCATTCTGAGTCTTTCCCCACGCACATCATGCCTCAAATCTTCAAGTCTATTCTTGGAGACTTTCCATGACACTGCATAGAACTTACGACCCGTTCTGTCAATCTTGTCCGAGAACGTTAACATGGTACGCACTTCGTTCAGCGTTCGCTCTAGTCGAACAAGGCTTGGCTTGAGGCTCGTGGTCATGAAATCATCTTCAGCTACAGGTATGGTTAAGAATCTTTCTTAAATTCAAAGAGCTAGTGAATACCTTGAGGTCCTGAGCAAGTCAAACCTCCGTCAGAGACAAATTGTATTTGTCGTAGAATGAATTGCAAATCAGAGATCTCTCTGTACAGCCTACGGAGCTCGGCTGGTGTACCTAGAATGTTATCGATGTGGTTTAAAGTCTTCTGAATGTTGAAGCTAATAGACTGTTGCGCAATTGCTAAAGCCGCCACCTCCATTTCGGGCGTTCGATTTCAGGCACTTCTCTGAAGCTCAGGACGGAGGTTAGTACCTTATGATGTAAACTTGGCATTATCATCAAAAACCACAGCGAGCTGACGCAAATATTGCGATTCCTCTCTGCGTTTGGGAAGGACTCCTCCACTTTTCTCATGAGATTCGAACACATGAGCGTTTGTTATCCATCGGTTTAGTGCCAAAGTCGGAGTTTGAGCGCGCACGTCAATCCTTTGACGGCGGCAATAGTATGTAAGCAGCGGCTTGCTACAGCTCCCGAATCTCAAGCAGCTTTTGTCTGTACAAGCTCTGATAGAAGAAGAAGAATCAAGGGGGCAAGCGTTGGATGTAAGGAAGAAAGTGGAAGTGTCAGGCAGCAATAATCGCCATGCAGCTCAGGCCTTTGCGCCGGGTGAAAAGCCCAGCTGCAAGGCATGGTTTTCGCTGCATGATGACTTCGGCATGTAAGTTTCTCGATCTGGAAAGCGTGTTTATCGTAGAGCAATCGTCTGACAGTGCATCAGCCAGGAATCGCATAATGAGATGCATAGAATAAATTCATGAGCAGAATATTACTTAAAGCTAGGAGAACTACAAAGCAAGCCACATGCGTACATTCTGACCTCCACAGACTCGGCGCTTATTCCATATGCCACGCTCGGGAGACGAAGGCCAGGTCTCGATCGATATGAGATGTCAAGTAGCCCACGTATTTGCCAATTGCCTCTCGTTCGAGTAATTTTGTCCCACTTCTCCATCTTCCGTAGTCCTTGCCATGCGCCTCTGTACATGTGATGAGAGCCTCATCTGCGAGATTTCCGTCCGTTGAAAAGTGTAATAGCATACCAGGTGCGTGTGTGGTTGGATGAGGATGATTAGTGTAATGTTGAGATGTCTACCATCGAGATGTATGTCGATACCGGTCTTCCCGACCCATATCGAAAGCCTTGGTTTGTCTGTGCTTAGCAAGATCAGAGGTATTGGCGTGGAAGATCGCCCAGCAAGACAATAGCGCGCCGTTCGTACCATCCAGGGATCCTTTTTCGTACGCTTCAATATATCTTGTCGTGATTGAAACATAAGTGAAGATCCTCCTGGTTGAAGGTCGAGCCATGATAATCCAGTAAGCAAAGCACGAGTACCGAGAGCAGGGGTAATTCAGTCACTGAGGCGTATCCATATATTCGAGTGATGGGTGATATAGCCTTTGACCAGAGAGTGTGTTGAGTGGGATTGTTGATCGAAAGCAAAGTCCGCCGTCAAAAGTTAGCACGAGACCGCCGGATCATCCATCCCATCTGATAAAGATACAATCATCTCTTCACACGATATGCGCGAGTGTTGGAAGTCCCACCATTCGCGACACCATGTGAATTCTGAGAGCGCCTAACGTCGAAGACTATAGCATTAGTTAGATTCGATGTCTCAATATGAATACCTCCACGCCCAGCGCGATACAACGATCAGACACCAATGGCAGTAGAGGAGTTCCTACCCAGGAACCAGGTCTTTTTCTTTTTGGCAAACTCACATCCGGTCACTTCCACCCATAGCACGATTAGTGTCAGGAGTTTCGACTCCTCCAGGTCCACGTTCGACGACTTTACGACGCTGGCTTGAGATACCACCTAATTGCCTTTTAATTCTGACGGACGTTTCCGGTTTCAGGGCGGTTGGCCCTACCTTGAGCGTGACGCCTTGCCGGCTTCTCCTCTTCCTCTACCACGGCCTGCTGGGTAGTGGCTTGAACAGCCTGGGCGTTCTTTTGGTATTTGTAGACAGTCCAATCGAACACGTAGTCGTACTGGAATCCCTCACGGACGAACAGGTCACGGAAGATCTTGCGCAGGTAAGAGTAGTCCGGCTTGTCATCGAAGCGGAGAGAGCGCGTATAGTTCAAGTAGATGGCAAATTCGTTAGGAAATCCACGGCATAGCACCTCTGTCGGTGTTGTCATCTTTTTCTCCATGATGCGGTCATATTTCTGCTTCTTGGTAGCAGCCTTCAATCCTTGCCATGGTAGAGACCCGCGGCAGAAGTACAGCATCACATAGCCAAGAGATTCCATATCGTCACGGCGAGACTGCTCTGTGATTTTGGTCAGCCGTGTCATATTATCACAAGCAGGACAAGATACGTACCAACTCCAAGATGAGTGTTGATACTGGCATAGCGGGCAGTTCCCGTCAAGTTTTTGTTCTCACGGTAAGGGATATGGAAATGCGTCTTGGGGTCACGATATTTCTTAGCCAGACCAAAATCGATGACATTGACCTGGTTTCCACGCTTTCCGATGCCCATGAGGAAATTGTCTGGCTTGATGTCACGGTGGATGAATGATTTTGCATGAATATACTCAATGCGAGAGATGAGCTGGTCTGCAAGAAGCAGCACGGTCTTCAATGAGAATTTGCGGTTGCAAAAGTTGAACAAATCCTCCAGACTGGGTCCCAGTAGATCAAGAACCATAGCGTTGTAGTCGCATTCGGTCCCAAACCAGCGGACGAAAGGGATTCCGACGCCTCCAGCCAATGATTTGTACACACGAGCTTCGTATTCGAGCTGTGGATGCTTGGCTTTGACACTCTCAAGCTTGATTGCAATCTCTTCTCCCGATATGATGTTGGTACCTTGAATGTGTCAGTGAAGGCTTCCTGGAGACAGGTGGGACATCATTACCAAGATAGATATCACCAAAGCTGCCGCTGCCAATTTTGCGTCCGATACGATATTTGTTCCCCACGCGGAGATCCTATTCAAAATGAACGGTCAGCATAGTCTCACTATTTGACCCTTGAACAATTCAAAATGAATCGATGTGGCCATAATGTGCCTTTGGGGTTTCTTCGAAATTTGTATGACCCATTCGTCCGCCCAGAGCTGCCATGCCCGCTGAAGCTACCTCATGCAGTGTGTATACCAAGGCCATCGAAATGGGAGAGTTGTGACAAGGCTCGAGCTGAACAGGAGGCAAAGACTGAAGCAAAGAATATATCCCACGTACCATGGTCGTCATATTGGCTGTTGCAAGACTGCCTTGGCCAGTCCACCTTCTTTGTGCAGTCACTTGATCTTCAAATTGCTTTTTAATTGAGACGGGTGGATCACGAGGTAAAATAGGGAGGTCAAATTGCTGAAGCGATTCCTAGATTTCCGTGTCAGTGTTGGGTTGTTTGTTATTTGGAGTGTTGAAGCGGTGAGGGAATTAATGCGCCGTGACTGCAATCAAAATTGAAACAACACTGCCCACGCAGCATCTGCGTTCCAAACAAACGTGCAAGAGCTTGAAGTGTAGCGTCGTACGACGTGGAAGTCACGTACCTAGTGGATTTGAGTGGGTTGTTGAGTTGGCGTGGGTGGGTGGTCAAGAGACAGCAGCTACAGTAGCCTTGTGTGTAGAAAGCCGACCGGCAGATCACGCGTTGTCCTCCTCTTGGCAGATGACCCAACAACAAAGCAGGGGAGACTCGGTCCCCGTTCTGGAGGAAGAAGTCCTCCTGCTTGACAATGAGGGTAGTGAGAAGAAAGAAGGAGGATTTGACTTCCTTTGAAGGAGGAGGTTTTAGGTGCCAGTCGGTGAAAGAAGGTTCAAAGTGAAAGGCAGAGTCAACCGCGAGCGAGCAATCAGAAGCCTAGCGCTAGGCCGCTTTGGGAGCGCCTGCGGGGGGACCAGCTCCAGCTCCTCACTTCAGGCACTAAGGGATCAAAAATAGAATCAATGCATTGCACTTAGAAAGCCTTTACAGATCTCACATTATTATTGAAGGTGGTGTATAGGGTCTGTCAATTAGGCCGAGATCACTCCTTTCCATTGTCCTTCAATCAATCCCGATCGTCCATTCGCCCCTAGCCGGGAAGGCCAGTGCGTGTGCGGCAAGCTCACTGCCACCGTGGCGGATGCTGCTCAGCTTGCAGTGGCCTCTTGTTCCAGCATTTGGCTCGTCCACGTCAGTCTCGATGAGCTTCCTTCCATTGAGTGCTAGACTGCATACTCTTTGCTGATGCTCGCCCCTCCTCACCCTGAGCTTGACCGTCACCTGCAGATCACAAAGGTCGCTAGAAGCGGATAAGCTTAGGTGCCGTCGGCTGCACTCTGGGTACGCCTGCATAAGCCGCTCGAGGTGCTCTACATAATCCTCACACCATGATCGAGACGACAGATAGAGTTGTACAACGACCGAACGTCATGGTACAAGGCCAGTCGGTCTGACAATGGCCACGTGAACCCTATATCATGGGAGACAGGGAGCAACGCCAGGGTAGAAAGCGGTCTCTCATAAGGGACATTCTGAGGCGTGCATCCCTGTAGACGCTCTTAAAGCTCAGACCCTTGACTCTGGCGCTGCTATCTTCTCGCCAAGTGCGCCCTCAGATCCAGCATTTCTGGATGTAGCCGTCTTGACATCCTCTATACTCCATTGCACGGCATCCCATACGTTGTCGACGATGGCGTTTGGCGTGTGAGCTGGCGTGCCAGACTCATAAACACCTGTGCGAACCAAAACAGAATGCCAACCTACCCCATTTTTAGACCTTATGGAGTTTGCGCCCAAGACGTCTGACTCGGGGTTGTCCCCAACCATGTAAATATGTTTCAAGGGTTGACCCAATACTCCTTCCACGAGTCCGGCCGTCTTGTTATGGGTAGATTGCTTCGCCTCTACTGGGTTGATGGAAGGAGCATGTAGGAGTTGCGCTCGATACCACAAGAGCATGTTCTCCCCATACTGAAACATTCTATCGCTCGGCTTGCCATATTGTTTGTGTAGAATCTTTACTTTATGCGCGTCTTTTTGACTGATAGAAGTCCACAGCCCGAAAAGAGCGCGCTTGAAACTTCCTTGACCCAGTCTTGGAATGTGATAGGCCGCTGCCCAGGATAGGTCAGGATTAGAAAACCAAATTTTCGGTTGCTCGTGTTGGTGATAACCTCTGTTGTCAAGCGAATCATCGCCATTCTTAGGTGAAATTGACCCAAGGTAGCCCTCCTCGGAAAGGAGCAAGTCCAGAATAATCTGGATATCGAGGGCCCAGTCTCTTGGATCGTTGAAGACCAGTATCCCATCTATTTTTATAAGTTCCGCGCGGTTTTGAGCTTCAGTAAGGTTTCTGGGTGAAAGCAGGTGTCCTTTTCCGATCTCTTCCAGTGGTCTAGTATACGATCGATAGCGATCAGGATCTGCGAATGGCCACATATCGGGGTAGGCGACAAGCAAGTCTCCAGGTGTATACACGTGTTGAAAACCGTATCTTACATAAGTGTGTATCAGTACTGATCTTCAACCATCCGAAGAGAAGTGTGTCTCTTACTGATGGGCGATGCGGCGGCACTTGTCTCTGTCACCACCTACAACAAGCACACGTTTATTTTTTAGTCCATACAACCCTTTGAAAGGCGTGTGACTCTGGACAACTTGATGATAATCAATTGGTACATTGAGCAGCTCAGATAGCTGTCGAGCCCGATCATGTTCTGTTCTACCACCGCCATTCGTGAGGAGAATGAAAGGGATTCGTTTCTCCTGGAGGAAAGAAAGGGTCTTGTGAGCCTCGGATAATGGCTTCGAGCTGCGAAGGAGGACACCATCGATGCTACATATGATCAGCGTCCTTACTTCTTTGCTGTAGCATTTACTTACTCGAAAGCAAAAGCGATAGATTTGAGGATATCATTTGGTGCTGTTTGAAATTGCCTGCGGCTTCCGATGCGTGTATTAGCTCGAATAAGCGTTCGAGTAGCACGAAGGCCTAAGTAATAGCTCACGAAGCTACGATTGGTTGTCACCCTAAGCATTGAGACTATCGAGTCACAAGATCGTCTGGTTGCTCAGGAGCAACTCATACAAGCTCAAAGGTACAAGACAGCCCGATGCTACGGCTTATCTTATCGACTGTCTTAGTCAGCCCTGACTCCCGTAATGGGGACGTTCCCGGGGCCGGCCCCCTATATGAAGCCGCAGGACCAACACTTCAGTTTGGCGGGGCCACGTTCTACCGATTCTCATGACTCCGGAATTGGAACATGGATATTTGCTCATAACTTTTTTGCGTATTGGAGAACAGGTAAACCCTCAGCAAATAGCAGCATGGAGCCATTGACACCTGCATTGCCGACCGAAGTGCTCACTCAGATTTTCGCCTTGCTTTCTCAACATACTCTACACGCCTGCACACTAACAAGTCGGGCGTGGTACGAAGCAGCTGTGCCATTCCTTTACCGCTCACCCTCTATCACCGGGAAAGGTTTCGACTCTTTCGTCGCGGCAGTATGTCCTTCTGTCAATCCACGAATACGACACAATGGCCTTGCAGAGCTTGTACGTGTCCTAGATATGAGCAAGCTTGTCCACAATGGGCGTAAAAGCTTGACCGCGAGGCTTCTGGGACGAATGAAATATCACTTGGTGGCTTTTATTGCACCTCAAGCAACATTTGGCATCAACTCGCTTGCCAGTCTTTCACACTGCGAGAAGCTTGAAACTCTAGATCTGTCTTTCGTTTCAGAAGCAATACCATATCGCTCCCTATTCAATTCACTTTGCAGGCTAAAGCATCTGCATGTTCTTCATTTGCCTCGAGCGTTCCAGGCAGATCATGACATCGATCGTGGCTCACAGATCGCCCTTCGCGAGCTCGAAAGGGATGCAATTGACTTATCGGCAGAGGTTTTCTATCGATATCCGCCTGCGCTTCGCGCATTGAGTATCCATGGAGGCATTGATAGTGTTACTCTAATGTATCTTGTCCGTGCCCCTACCACACTCACAAGTCTGAGCCTATCGCATTGCTCTCGATTCTCAACAGAAATAGTACGTCAGTATTTGAACCGACTCAAGACGCATACGAGCCTAGAACATCTTCAACTGGGGACAGGTCTCTTCGATCATCACAGCTCCTTTACCGCCGTCTTACCACCCTTCGATCACTTAGCGTCGCTGTCCATCGAGGCTCCTCTACTGCTGCCTTATGTCCATGGATTCGCTCTAAGATCTGACAGCGATTTCAGACCTATTGCTGAGGGCACAATGGGCTCTCCGTGGCCAAGATTACATACCATCACGGTACTAGGTCCCAATAACCCACCTCCTACCGCTCACTACTATAATCTCAAGCCGAACGAGGTGTACAAAGCAATTGATAGTGGAATTTTCCCCGCTCTTCGGAAGTTGCGCATAGACTCGAAGCTCGGTTGGTCGAATACTTCTAATAGCATCACAGACTTAGAAGATATGACTGAAGACAAGCAAGACTTGAATGATTTGCTTGAGGCGCTTGCTAGTGAGGACGCGGACTTAGACGAACATGGCGAAATGGGGCAGACTTTTGTGCGCCCTGAAGAAGCTGGCGTCTTCATATTTTGCTCTTAAAGCCTTTCACAAACACAAAGCAAAAGATGAGCAGCAAGGTCTCCATTATCCTTCACCAATCATCATCACTCCAAATCTTGTCCTCCATGCGGAGCGTCGGTTACACCGCCACTCGCCACCTTTATTCCCGCGCTCAAAACTTGCAAACTCATTGTCCAAGGATGTTTCTGCATCACACAATAAATGTACAGCCCATCAACCGCGTCGAGAAAATGCTGCCATGTCGGTTCCCTGCTCCATACTTTCCCAAGAACCATCTCTAGTCCACCACCGCTGCATTTATAGTATCCAAAGCTTTCCGCTCTGTGTGGCTTTGCACAAATCTCGACATAACACTGGTGTAGCAGCCTCTTCACTTGATCAACAGTCGTCCTTCCTGCGGTGTTGACTTTCAGTACGGTGTTGGTTCCTTCAACTTCAATGTCAAATTTGGCTTGCAGATCTTTGTCTTGTGCCTGGCTCAGAGTGACATTGTTCAGACCACCATCTTCTGGTCCATTCATAGAATCACGATAGCCAGTCACATTCACAGAGACAGCAGGAAGGTCAAGAACATCTTGGCTACGAACGCACTGAGTATTTTGGGGCAGTGATGAGATGATTTCACAAAGCAAAAGTAAAAGAATACAGTTTGAAAGTATCAACTGCCTCATAATGTACCGGAAGAGCTAAAATTTCTATCAATCAATGCGTACGGCAATGATAGCAAAAGCAGCGCTAGTACTTCCACTTTATCACAGAGACTTGCTACCCTGGGATTATATCATTAGGAAGGTTTGATATTCTTGCTCGTCGCCATTGCGGCCGCGACGATCCATTATTAATAGCCTCAGACCCGATCCTCGTCCCAAGCGCTTCGTACGCGTAGGCTTCGATGTGCGTCAACGCTTAATCTGTCTGAGTCCAAAATAAGAAAGCAAGAGGGAAACCCGCGAGGCCTCAATTTGATGCATCTAGTCTGAGATGAAGCATCAGTTGAGGTGCTCATTTAATGATAATATTTGGAACATCTGTTTTCGCAACATTAATGGCCTCTCGCATTTACCGACCAGGAACAAACAACGGCGGGTGACGCTAATGGAAATATTCACGACAGTCACACTGCTTTGGTACAAAGACAGGCTTTTTGAGGACTACTAAACAAGTTTGTCGTCTCCAAAAGACTACTTGCCAAAGCGTCAACGTGGCGAGTAAGTACGGCAAGATGAAGTGCAGTTGCCCTGCGGTGTGAAGACTTGACTCTTCCAATTTGCTTGGCATTATAGTTGAGAACTAGACGGACGGAGGGTTCATTTACGAACGTCTGCTCGAAGGTGGACAATTAAAGAAACCGGACGTAGGGACTCAATCACGATGCCACGAGGCTGGTCGACTCCGCTCCCTTCATTTGCGTTGCAGTTCCGCGATTGCTAAACACAGAAGTTCACCGGTTGACGACAACGTTCGCAAGAAGTCAGGCGGTTAGGATTAGTAGGTATCAACAATAGTACTTGAGAGCGGATTAGATTAGCGGTATCTGCATCAGCTTACACCAGGGCAATCAAAGAACATCCAACACTGAGATGAGGAGAATTAAAGCCCTTTACTAGTCATTATCATAAGATGGACTGGCCAAAGCTGCTACTTGCCATTTGTTTCGTCTTCCGAGTCTATCATTCTCTGCCGCTCAAGATCTGGACTCGGATTCGCAGTCTCGTACTCGAGCATCTTGATAAATTTATAGAAGGCAGCTGCAAGGAGTGCGCCGAGAAATGGACCAACCCAATAGATCTAGTTCAATTAGTGCTCAGCTCCATGTATGCACACTAGTATAAGGTGAGACGCTTACCCAATGATATCCATCGAATGATCTATTGACAACAGCCGGTCCAAAAGATCTTGCTGGGTTGAGAGAACCACCGGTGAAAAAGACACCTACAAACGTCAGTAAGCACAGTGAATAATAGCGGCAGGTCCCAATCACCCGTCAATTCGGCAATAAACAATGCCAGCCCAATGCCCACGGGTGCAATGAAGGTCGCCTGATTCTTCTCGGCTGCCAGCATGAAAATCGCAAATACCAACATAGCCGTCAAGAACATTTCGATGAATAAGCCTTGTGAGATACTCGTTCCCCCACCAAGCTGTGTGTCCACTTGTAATGGGCCTGGAAATAGCGCGCCCACAACCCCTGCCGATGCAATTGCCCCAAGTATTTGGGCGACGGTGACTAGCGCACCTCTCACGTAGGTCAAAGCGCCAACAATGCACATTCCGAAAGTGACAGCGGGATTGAACAGTCCACCCGAAATGCGAAAGAACACCCAAGCATTCACAGCTAAAGAGAAGCCGAAGCAAAGCGAGACGTACATCAACCGCGCTGGGTCGCCAGGGTCCTTCCAAGTATTTGCCACTTGCGTACCAGAGAGGGCGAAGAAGAGGAAGAGGAACGTGCCAACGAATTCACCGAGGACGGCGACGAGGTGGCCTCGGTACCCAGGGGGAAGCTTAGAGATGAATTTGAGGCGCTCTTCGTCCGAGGCGCTGTTTTGGCGACGCTTTTGCCTCGTGCCAGGGAGAACGAAGCCGCCGGCTACGGGTTGGTCGATGTTCATTGTGAGGGCGCGGTCGACAGCGGGAGCTGCAAAGTCGTGACTGGCCGCCATGGTTGAAACGGTGTCCCGATGGACTTTATGGCGTTGCCTGTGCTCCAAGGAATGCTGTTGGATTGGAAGAATAATATGATAGGAGAATTAATAGGGGAAACAAGACTTTGAGCATCCAAAGACAAAGAGATGAGCAAAAAGGACTGCAGGAATTGGTTGTCATTGGGCTCTCGTCAAACAGCTATATATTCCTTCACGTAAGGAAGTCACGAACTAGGGAGTGGACCCTTCTCCGCTCCGGAGTAGCTCGCCTTCCAAAAGATTCTGCGTTCTGACAGGCAATGCAACATTTCAGCTGACGCTTGACAAGCCATAGTGCATTACATGTGAGGACAGATTTAACTGGACTCGCTTCAAGAGAGTTGATGACCGTGCTTTCTGGAATAAGCGTATGACAGGTAGGCGAGGGTCTGGAATTAGCCACATGCAATCTAATGCATGCCAACAGTCTGGCGGCTCTGGACCATTCGAGATCGGGTTAAAGCAAGCGAGAGAGATCTCACATGAGACCCAAGAAAGGGACTCTGGATGCAACATGCTAATGGAACCGCTTGTAATGGAAGATTCTTTGATGAAAGTAGCATAGCGCAAAATAACAGGAGATGGCCAATGCTTCTTAGATGAAGGACAGTCCTACCCATAATTGAGGTACGTAAGTCTCCCAAAGAAGGTAAGCGTCGTTCGGCCCTACCAAGCACTGCCTTGGCATGAAATTGCACCTCCCACCAGACCCATGACCACGTCAAGAACGCCGTAAGGGGAGTCGTCTATGGGTCCTCGCTCATGATGCGGCGACTATCTAAAGCCATAATCAGGTGACTCGTTCAATTCCCTACAACCACAACCACCAACCTCAGAAATCACACAACCATGCCACCTCCGCGGCTGGTATTCTTCCTCACGGTGGCCATTGGCCTTCCCACCCTACTTACCTTCATCTCACTCCTACGTACTCATCCAAGAAGTAAATACGCCTCAGAAGATGAACCTAGAACTGGCCTCGGTGCATTATTCTCCTTTCACACACCTTCAAGTCTCTTCCCTCCATCCGCCATCATATCTCTCACAGACGATAATTCGACGTTCTTTCTCTCGCGACCTGCAGATTTCGGACCATCTTTACAGTCTGATGGCTTGAGCGGTCCACTATGGATCGGAAGCGGATTCGGGGAAGATGATTTAGGAAGGAGTGGCGCAGGAGCTGGTGCTGAGGGGGAGCTCGGTTGCAGTGATGTGCCTGGATGGGATGAAAAGTTTGCGACCGTAACTACAAGCAGACAGGATGAGAACCAGGCGGAAGCGCCAAAGAGTGGCACCGGAGTCCATGCTGGTAACTCGGGTGCTCAAAAGACCGACGGTGGCGAAGTTTTACCATCTGGCGAAGACGGCACTGACGATCACTTGCATCACCCGCTCCCGAGCTCACCTGTATCGAAACCCGTCAAACGTGGCGAGCCTGCTCATCGTAACGAAGACAGTAAAGGTCACGCTGATATACAATCATTGCAGGAGGGAGCAGAGATTCACGGCAAGGTCGCACTTCTAAGCCGTGGTGGCTGCGGCTTCCTCGAAAAGGTGAAATGGGCGCAAAGAAGAGGAGCCACCGCGCTCATTGTCGGAGACCACACTCGTGGTGGTGCTTTGGTAACAATGTATGCACGCGGCGACACTTCAAACATTAGCATCCCCTCGGTTTTCACGTCGCATACCACAGCGCACCTACTTTCATCCCTCATACCGCCGTTGGACGACGATGGCGATACCGCAACTGATGACGTTAGTGCATTGTCTGCAAGCAAAGATCCTAGTTCAGACGCAGCGGACATTGGCGATGAAAGCAAGCCGACCTTCACCTCTGATAGCCGTCCAAAGTCAACCTTGGTAAGAAAGGCTCCGAAAATGCGCAAGATTTCAACTACAAAAGCGCACCAAGTCAAAGAGGTGCCCAAGCCAGGCTTCTTCGCCTCATTTAAAACCTTCTTCGGTTTTCGCCAAAATTTGAAAGACGCAGGACTGCATTCGGACAGTCGCAGACCTCCTAGCAGCGGTCGAATTGATTGGCATGGTGACAAGCACAAGAATGAAAAGGCGAAGGGCGCCAAGGCGAGCAGTACCACATCATCAAGTGCCAAGAGTAGCTCTGTAAAACAGGAGAAGAAAAAGTCCTCTCATCAGAAGCCCAACGACGATTTTGTGATCGGAGTTCAGGACTGGCGAGATCCTGACCTTGTCAAGCCAAAGGCCTCTAGTACAAAGAGCATCAGTACATCCACCACACCAACTCCTTTGTCCACCCAGGCGCTTTTGCATAAAACTGGGAAGGATGCCATATCGGAGCAAGTCAATGCTGCTTTGTCTGGCGGAAGCATTACTCCAGGTAGTGGAGAGTATGGAAAGCCAGGGGATAGTCCAGGGAAGTCAGCGAAAAACGACGAAGACTCCAGTGGATCAGCTTCTGGGGGAGCAAACTCCAACTCAAACAAACAGAGTCAGAGTGAGCCGACAGAGGAGCATGAAGGCCTCTGGGTTACAATCACTCCTACAACAATGTCTACGAGCCCATTCTTCGACACCCTCCTAGTCCTTGTGGTCAGTCCGCTGGTCACGTTGACGGTCGTGTATGCCCTGCTTCTCTTACGCTCTCGTATTCGCCGTAGAAGGTGGCGAGCGCCCAAGTCGGTTGTCGATCGGCTACCTATTAGAACCTATCAAACCATGTCCACATCGTCAACAGCATCTTCTACACGCTATGCTACCCCTGAGACCTCATCACCAACGTCTCCGCTGCTTCAAAGCAGCCCACGCGCTGTCACAAGCCGGACAAGGCCTCGATCAGCTACTACAACGGCAGTTGGAGACGCAGTATCGGCGTCTTTGGAGAAAGCGACAGCCAAAGCTTCCATTACGCAACATGAGAAATTACATACGCCTACAAAGAAGCGAAAACAGTATCGTTCAAAACAAGCTGAATGTGTAGTCTGCCTTGAAGAGTATGTCGAGGGGCACAGCCGTGTGATGAGTTTGCCGTGCGGGCATGAATTTCACGCCGAGTGCATGTAAGTGCAAGTGTCTTAGCAACTCAACCTAAGCTGCTAATGTGGATATAGAACCCCGTGGCTCACCACCCGCCGAAGGACATGCCCAATCTGCAAGGGCGATGTAGTGAGGTCAATGGCTCAACCGTCCTCGAGCTCTTCGAGATCGCCCGCTAGTCGTGGGCATCAGAGTTCAAACAACGAAGGCGAGATCCAGACTCAAGCAGCAGAGACTGTTAACGAATCGCCAACGGCTGCCATTCCCATCCCTTGCGACACTGATCTAGAGCAGGGCGAAGATCTTGCAGCCACACTAGTCAACGATGAGGAACCAGAATCCTCATCAAGGTCAGGATGGGCGGCATTGACGTCAGTCAGCCTGGGTGCATTCAGTGGTGAGGCCGCCGGGCGTAAGAATCATGATCACCGAGATCGATAAGATCAGCAAGGCTTTGCTGAATACGATTGCATTTCTAGCATGGAGCGGGGTCGTTGGAGGTTCTTGTCACTGTAACATTTGGGTTCAAAACAAAGAGCATTGCGGTGCTGCCTGTTGTACTCCTATCACGAAAGTCTACGGACTAGTATTGAATATGTACATTCATTGATATCCACCACACGCTTATCTCCAATTACCCCATATATATATGTCGAAATCCATGCAGCTGCATGCCAGCCGTAGAAAATCTCTTCGCTCCATTTGATATTCGCTTTGAGTTCAGAATGACGTATGTTGTAGCCAGGCCCTAGCAACATCCTTGTTTCCTCCGCTCCTACCCACGACCCATCAACCTCACCAAACCAGCCCTTACATAGAACCAGTGAAGCAATCATGGCAGACAAAGTCAAGTCCATCGCGGTAGACGAAACAAACAGGATCCAATCCATCACAAAAGACGCAGCCCGCTCAGGCGCGTATCTCTACCCTCTACGCGTGAGATCCCCTTCCTCCCCCAACCACCATCAGACCATTAATCCCTCGCCCAGGGCATCTTCTTCTTCGCAACGCACCGCTCCCTCTGGCAGCCTCTCTGGTCAAATGCCGTCCCCCTCCTCTCACTCGCAGCCTCTATAACCATCCCCCTCTTCCTCTTCACCTACCTCCCGCAAATGGCCCTCTTAGCATTCACATCCGGCCCGCTCGCGCCCTTCTCCGCCTTCCTGGCCTGCTGCACTGAAGCCGCCACTCTGACCTCCATCGCCGCGAAATCCTGGTTCCTTGGCGACGCCCTCGTTGATACGTTCGACGCCACGCTCATGGCGCGCGGGCAGGAGAATCTCGTGGCACAGGGCAGGGAGGTGAAGAAGGGGAAGGGCGATGTGTTTTGGAAGCTTGGGAAGCTAGCGAAGCGTCCCTTTGCCGGGTGGACGCCTACTGCGTTGGTCAGGTATGTGATGTTTTTGCCGCTGAATCTGATTCCGGTTGTGGGGACCGTGATGTGGGTGGTGCTTAGGGGGAAGGGAGAGGGACCAGCCGGGTTGGGGAGGTATTTTCAGTTGAAGGGATGGGGGGCTAGGGAGAAGGAGGAGCATGTCAAGAGTAGGAGGGGGGCCTATACGAGGTATGTAGTGGTCTTTATGGTTGGGAGATTTTGTGGGAAGAGGGTATGTGCTAATTGTGCATAGCTTGGGCATTGCGAGTGTGCTGTTGGAGATGGTACCGGTGGTCAATATCATCTTTGCGTTCACGAATACAGTTGGAGCGGCGCTTTGGGCTGCTGATATGGAAAAGGGGCATGCGCAGCAGGAGGGTGGAAGCGGAAGGGGATTGAGAAGTAGGGATAAGAAAGCTCAGTGATGGAGGAGGTAATACAAAATCAAGGGTAAGCGAAGCGTCTCTTAAGTCTGTTTGTGTTGAGCGCGATTACTGGCAAGGAATATCTACATCTGCTCCCGACGACTCAAGTTTAATAGCTTGCAATCGCCCTTGAAGCGCCTACTCTCCGGCCTCCGAACAGCTTGCGTTCAATGCGTTTTGACCTGAAGGTGAAGAAAGGGGTAGCAACTGTGACCAATGAGGCCGGTCCCATGAGCTGTGGGATCACGACAACAGCTTTCCCCATATTATTCTTGTGGGTCGTACAGCTCTCGGAAGATAAAGGCGCAGAACTACTGCAGGTGTCATCTCTTCAGGTGCAGTCCCTATACTCGGGTTCGATTATCGTGCTGGTGCTTGCGCGCGCGTACTTGCAGTGTCATCACCGCTCGCTGTCGGTGATGAGGGCCTAGACCTAATTTCCCACCACCATCAACAACATCGCTCCTCCTCTTTTGAGCAATTCACTGTGTCTAGACTCGTCAGCTCCAACTGCATCACATTCTTTTGTACCAGCCCGAACGTTTTCACCCAGTCGCTCTCTACCGTTCATTTCTTCACTTTCTTTCATCATTTCCTCAACAAATTTTGCCCATCTCTGTTCTCACATTTGTACGTGAAGAGTCGCTTTGCCCGAGAGAGCGACAGCTCGAATCAGCGAATGCTGACCCGGCTACCAGAAATCGAACCAGACATGAAGATCTCCATGGACGGCGTAGCCGTCCTATCACTCCTTGCCTGCGGAATCATTTCATCAGTCTCCGCAGCTCACGCCCACCACCGAGATCTCCTTGGACGCGTCTTACACAAGCGAAAAGTGAGTAGTAGTAGTAGCTCTACCAGCAATGGCACCGACTGGATCGATGGTAAGATAGCCTCTCTGTGATACCGAACTAGCCGAGCTCACTCAAACGTTCCTCTAGCTTCTCCGGAGACAGCGACAAGAGTGGTCAGTTGTACCGACCAATCATGCAGTCGGCCTAGGGCGACGACATTCGTGCACATAACTAAAACAATTACGCCGACAATCGTCAAAACCCTTGCGCTCCCTGCCAATTATGCTGAAGTGAACGCAATTCCGACGCGCCGACGAGCTCCTCGACCTCTTACCGAGTCTACCCTAGAAGAGCATCCGATGAATATCGAGAGATTGATTGAGAATCAGGTTGACAACCCTGCTGATTTTCTTGGTGAGTATCATTAACTCGAAAAACTGACGGCTCTCAACTCATTATTGTCTCAGACAGTGCCAACAGCTCGCAGAACGAACCGGTCCAAGAAGAAGAGAACACACTCGAGCCGAGTCCAGAACCACCGGCCATGCGTCATCTTGAGCTACGCTCACCGAAGAATTCTATACAAGCACTCAAACCAAGACAGGACCAAGGCTACCAGAATTTTGAGCTTGGAGGGAATACTGGACCAACTTCAACAATCAGTGCTGCAAAGGCAGGTACCAGCAGCCTTTGTCCAGCCGCCAACGACACGCAATACGAGTCTGAAGCAAGTATTCCATACCAGATTGTATGCAATATTGACTTCGAAGGCAATGACTACCCCTTCCAGAAAGTCGAGAGTTATGAGGGATGTGTACAGAAATGTGACGCGTACAATTTTATCAACCATCACGTCCTCTGCATCGCCGCCCTCTACGTTCCAAGCCGTGGTGACGATGCAGACAATTGCTATTTGAAGTCTTCCGTTTCGAACCCGACCAAATCCACGCTAGACATTTACGGTGCTATACGACTCAGTGACGTTGAGGGCTCTTTGTCCTCGTCGATCGTAGCTGCAGACTCAAGCACTTCTGTAGCTCCAAAGCCGACCTCATCTTCAGCCAAGTCTCCTGGCGACATACGGTCCTCCTCGGCGGACGATGACAAGCAAACTTCATCTGCAGCCGACCCTGCTACTTCCAGCCCACCGGAAGGCTCTCAGCCTGGTATAACCTATGCTGCCGGAGATAACATTATCGAGCCAAAGGTTTCGGAGTCTCACTTCCTTGGACCCAGTGTAAATACACCTACAAAGCAATACATTGACTATACAGCACCGAAAAGCCCTGACCTCAAGAGCAGCCTCCTCACCGTTGGTGTCAATGGTGACTTGACCACAGGATATGATCTATCATTACAGACAGGCGTCCTCAGCATCAATTCTTCGACACATTCATTGCTCGCTACTCTGGATGGGCCTCCGCACATCTCGCGTGATGGTGGACAGGGTGGCTACGTTAATGGCCAGCATCTTTTCATCTTTTGCGACACTGGAAGCTACACAACGACAACCGGCTCGACCGAGGGCAAATTTCTAGGCTTCGTCTCAAGTTCCGTTGCCGTTGATAAGGGTATGAATGGCCTCGATAGGAATGCACTCAACCTTCAAGACGGAATAGGAGAATGGAGTGATGACGTTGGTCGTATGCGAGGATTCGCTCCCTTACGGAAGGCGAGCAGTCTTATAACCAAAAGATGCAAGGTAAAGGACAGCGCTATGCTGTGTGGCCCGAGTCGTCTGTAATAGGACTAGATGCGACGACTGGAGTTCTTTTCGCTCCAATTGTCTATGACGAGGTCGACCTTAACACCAAAGACGCTAAGTTCACTTACACCGGAGCTACGCTCTTGACGATCACCGCCGACAACAAGGCCGGCCCAGTAGCTGAACGACCGGTCGCAAAAATCTGGGACCAAGACGAGGTTGGGTGGGGTTGCGCAGGCGGCATCCGATCATGGGGTACTTCTGGAATTGGCGGTAAAGACGGCTCCGTCTACGTCTTTGGTAATAATGAAGGTGGCATCCTTCTTGGTAGAACGTCTCCTGCTGATCTTGCCGATCGAGACTCAGTAAGTCTGCCTTGACGTTACTACATAATCACGGCTGACCTGTATATAGTACACGTTCTGGAATGGCAAGGAATGGACAAAGGACATGCCGACAACGTCCTCCAAGAACTTTTTCATCGAAGGCGCCTTCATGGACATCGACTTATTCTACTCTCCTCGTCATCTCACATTTATCATCGTCTACATGACTAAGTATGCCGACAACATTTTCTACTTCCGCTATCTCAAGGCCGACAATGGAATATTGCCACCTTTTGCACCTGGTGCCAAGTCCGACTCTGATTATGTCGAAAACATTCTCAAGTTTGATTGGTCTGAAGAGCAGGAGCTTTACAAAGCACCAAAAAGTCTAAGCGGCAAATACGTATATGGTGGCGCTGTTCACGTTGGCTATTACGGTTCCGACGATATCACCAATGGAGGTTCGAAGATGCTCCTCAGCTGGACTGCACCTACTGGAGAGAATCCTGCAGCGGTCAAGAGCGAGTATGAGATCATCATGGCGGAAGTCGACTGGGCTTAGATAAAGGACTACATACATCAGAGCATATAGGGCATCGTGCATCCTCACATCTTTAGCCAGTCTCAACAAAAGTCAAGAAAAAGACGTGCACCATATCTTCTGGATATACCCGACAGCTTTTTCCGAGCTTTGGTTGATATGCATCATGGTCAAGAGAACAGAAGAAGAAATACTGATTTGGCAGCCTAAGGTGGTCATGTTGTGTCTGTCTGTCTGAGAAGGTTTTGCATGCATTTTCTTGTGGTCGCTACTTAGGTCATGGATATTGGCATCAGCTAAGAGAGCTCAGGCCTAAAAAACATACATTAAAGTTAGACATAGCTGATGAGAGAGGAATGAGAGCTACTGCTGGCAGATAGCACGTACAAAATGCATATGAATTACTGTTATAGGGCTTGTGCGTTGCCTTTCCTTGTCGCGTGGATTGTTTTACTTTCCGATACAATAGAACTCAAGCCTGCATGATTTAGTAGAGAGGTACCCATCTACAGCGCGGTCACCTTCTCAAACACTTTACAGACACACCGACGAAGATTACGCCTGCCCTGCCCTGCCACACCACCTATCCCTTCCCTCCTCCCTTTCCGCGGTTTAAACAGCTTGAACCCCATCCATACCCCCTGAACTTCCCATCATTCAACCGAGGGCGGAAACGGGCTTGCATAATGGCTTCTTATATCCCCTTCCGCGAGCTAGAAGTCCCATTCCCTCCTCGCCTCTCCAGCTCTCAGTCTTCTATTGCCCTCCTTTGTCCTCGCTAGGTTATTGAATATATGACCCACCCCGCCCATCCCGCCCACTTGTGCTTTCCTCCCTAGCTATAAAACGTACCCCTTGAGCTCTGCTCTGCTCTGCTCTCGTCAACTCTTAAAGGTCACATCTTCTTTTGATGGCTTTTAATGAGGGCAGGCGTCTTCGTTTTGCACACTCGTGAGCATGATTGTGATGGGATGGGGGTGGGTGTCAGATTTGGGAAGCCATCCTCAAAAGGGGGAGGGAGTGAGATGAAGGGTTGGAACTCATGATTATGGATGTGGTTGTAGAGAAGGGGTTTTACATGTGTGGTGCTTGAATGAGTAGATAGATGATTCATATTATAGATATGGACGATTTTGGCAGAAATGAGAGATGCGTTGCAGTTGGACTGTAGGAGAAGCTTTTGGTAATTTAGCTGACCAGAATGCTACACCAATCCCCCCTCTCCCCTCCCCAGCATTGCCCTAAACCCCTACTTCCCACAACAGACAAGACTTCAGCCTTTGACCCAACAAATTCATCATCAAAAATACGAATCCTCGAATTTCTTCTTCTCACTTCGGGCACGGAACATGACACTGCCACTCATAAACCCCCGATCCCACCTGGGGTACCTCATCATTCGTTGCAATCCCATCGGGGGCACCTGTAGCACATACCAGAATTAGCATTCTTCCTTTCCCTTCCCTTCCTCCCACCTAGCCAAAAAAAGGAGAAAGAGAAAAAAGAAGAATGGGTGGGGAAGGGGAAATGGGAAGAGAAGAGGGAGGTACTCACAACCAGGACACTCAACACCAGACTGCACCGGGCATCCCCAGGTCTGCGGCACACATGACGGATTCGCGGGGTATCCTCCTGCGAGAGGAGGTATTGGGTGTGCTTTCGTGCCGGGGGGGTCGGTGAGGGGGTTTCGGGGAGGGGGGAGGGAAGGGGGTGAGTGGTGCGTCGGGGAGGGCGTTGGGTAGGGCGTTCGGGTTGGGAGCGGCGGTTGTGAGGAGCGGAGAGAAGGGGAGGTGGGAGAAGGTGAAGAAGAGGAGTTGGGATGGTGAGAAGAACTTCATGGTGTTGTAGGATAGAAGAGGTTAGGTTGTAGAGGAGATTTTGTAGAGGAGCCTTAGTAGAGGGTGCGTTGATTGGGGAGACGGCGGATGGTGGTGGGACGTTGGTTGGTTGAGCTCGTATGGATGTCTCTGAGTATTTGTGCTCAAAGACGTCGTTGGAGGAGAAAAGCACCTTGATATAGGCAGGATGCGTCCCGGTGGTGAAGGTTGATTGAGTAATCGTGGGCCGTCCTGTCTGTTTCGGAGCCTGTTCGAGAGCTCTGGTATGATGTAGCTGTCGCGTAAAATTCTTGTCTATTGCTATATCGGGACTGACTGTTACCCTGCTTGTCATGCGTGGAAATAGGCTTCAATTAGAACACGGGACGCGAATCTTCGCGGCGGAAGCGATACTGGGCATTGATATGCATCATCGGCGGCGACCTAGATCCGTGCGCAGTATTTTGCTAGTGATGACTGGAATTCGCACTCTTGAGAATCATCACGTCTTGATCGCTGCTGTGGCTGGTAGTCTTCACTATAATCGATATCGTCGTGTGATTCTTCGCACGCCGAGGCTGCCCTCCAGCAGGTCAAAGATGCAAGAAAAGATCAAGCTTGGGCCTTCCCGAAGACAGCGGAGATACTGGAAGCAGACAAGCTTGTTTGACGACTGTTCGAAACCTCCAAATCCTCGGTCAAACTGCAAATCGAAGATCAGTATGAATGTCGCAGAAGGACGGTTCGGCAAGCGCATAAAGCGACGAAAGCAGCTAAGCATTGGGGATTTGCGCAGGCCAAGGCTGGATGTGGAGCTTTTAACATTGAATGAGCTTTGCGGCTGCTGGACTCTATGTGCCAGGCCTGGGATGACAGTGTTTTGATCGTAGAAAATCGTCGTTGGGATGGAATTTGATTTCTCGCCCCATTTGAGAATAAAAGCGTTATCCTTTTGTTTTCTAGACGCGCTGGGGAACAACTAAATCGCATAGAGAGGGCGTACCTGCGGCAAAGGAATCTCACATCTGAAAATGGACCGCAGCTCGAAGAAGTTTGAGAGAAATCGATATTGGCCTTATATGGAGAGCATCTACTCTGAAGCCCTTACTCGTCTGTAGGTGCATGGGTATCATCGTGCCGCGTATCGCCGCGTCGCTCATGATTCATTTCGTTGATTTTGGCCCTACTCTGCGAATATCACATCTCATGGTCCCAATCTGACAGGGTCTCTTGGGAAGAGTGTAGCCTCTCTGATGTTATTAAGTCCCAGGAAGAATTGAAGGATCCGGTTTAGTCCTAAGCCGCCTCCACCATGCATTGGACAGCCGTAGCGGAATGCCTCTTCGTAATCTTTGAACCCTGGATCAACTGGGTTCACCCCCTTTGCTTTCATCATTTCTTTCAACATCGGCAACTCGTGAATACGTTGTGCGCCACTCATAATCTCCTGTCCGCGCATGAAGAAGTCGTAAGAATTTGAGAGCTCAGGATTGGAGGGGGACGGGTGTGTATAGAAAGGGCGGAGGCTGAGCGGGTATTGGTCGATGGTGAAAAAGTCGGTGTTGTACTTTTGCTTGATAAGGTCGCCTAAAGCCTTTTCTTGTGCAGTGTCGATGTCCGCGTGAGGGTCAGTGCCGATGTCAAAGCCCGAGTCCTTGAGAAGGGTCTTCGCTTCTTGGAAGGTAATGCGCGTCGCTTTCGTCCCTTCTGGAGGTACCTGAAAGTTGCCTGCGTCAGGATAGCCGGCATCACGGATGATGGATGTGAGGTGCTTGGATTTTGGTCGAGAGAGGAGTTGACGAATTAGGTGTAGCATGAGATCTTCACCGAAAGAGAGGACTTCGTGGTAGTGCTCTTGAATCGGCATTTCATAGTCGAGGCCAGTGAATTCCGTGAGGTGACGCTTGGTATTTGAATTCTCGGCGCGGAAAACAGGCCCGATACTGAAGACAGGCCCGATGTCGCCTGCGATGGCCATCTGTTTAAAGAACTGAGGGGATTGCGTGAGGTAGGCTTTCCGCTCGAAATATGTGACCTCAAAGACACCTGAACCACCTTCTGTGGCGGCTCCGGCGAGATAGGAGGGTTGGATCATCGTAAAGCCATGGCTGAGCATGTATTGACTGTATATTGTGCAGATTTCTGATTGAAGTTGAAAGATCGCATTCGTGGCAGGTGCGCGGGTAGCAAGAATTTTGTTATCGAGGCGTGTCTTGAGAGTTGCGTTTGGGTCATTGGTGTCTGCCTCGCCCTCGCCCTCCTCCCTGGTCGATGGTGGCTTTATGCAGTCTTTGACCTGTAATGGCAATTGCTCCTCTGCTGGTGAGACAACATATAGACTCTCAAGGTGTAGTTCCTGATTGGACAAGGACGTCGAGTGCACTGGGTCTTTTGGGGCCTTCACCAGCCCAGTGACACGTACAAATGATTCAGTGTTCACCCCAGCACAATATTTGATCATCTGCCGAGAGATTCCATGAGCTCCTCCTTCGGCTACAACCACTTGAATCGTATGTTCTTGCTCCCGTAATACGAGGAAAGCGAGCTTTGCCCCCTGCGCTCTTGCATTGTATATTCTTGCTTGTACCGTAACCTCTTCATCCTCAGCGACTGACTCGAGGTCTTGCAGGCTTTTGCAGAATTTCTTTACAGGTCGTGCTGATTGTCCGGAAAGAGGCCCGTAGAGGTGTTTCGCAGTGTCACTGGCTTCAGCTTTCATTCTTTGTTCTTCCTCCAATGCCAGTCGCTTTGCCAATTTCTCTGCCTTTTCCCGATCCTTCTGTGCTTTCTTCAAGGCACTTTTGCTTGGCCCTTTCTCTTCTCCAGCTTCCTCTTTAGGTCTTGAGGGAAGCCCTTCATCGCTCGGAGCAGACATTTTGGAGGATGCACACACAGAGAAGGCCTTGTGAGTCAGAGAATAGTGGGTGTGGAATTGAAGGTCGTGAATCTATTGTGATTGGCTGAATTTGTACGCTAGTCAATGACGTATCTCTGACATTCTTTCTGCTTCAAGCATGTGCGTATACATCGTGAGTTTGAAGCATCGCAATGTATTAACTCTAGAGTTTTTTTAAAGCCGCAACATGACTGCTAGCAAAGGCGAAGTATCACATAAATTCATGCGGTCATACGCCGTGAAACCATGATAGAGACAGGACGAATGCCGTGTTCAGGGCGAGAAAGGCGTACAATCTGCCTTTTGACATGTCAAGGATTTGACTGTGGTGTCAATTCTTCCTTGAGATCGAAGGTTTAACCTTGGGCTGTGCCAAATCTCGTCTTCTTGTCTGGAGTAGCGGGATGGTGGGGAAAGGGCAATAAGGGGCCTTTGCGAATATGCAACACGGCGTGGATGGGTGGGCATTGCATATCATTGCGGGGACTAGGTTGGTAGGGAAACGATTGGTATGGAGGGGAGGTGATGAGATGGGGGAGTCATTACTCAAGTGAGAGAGGAAGTATACCTTTACTGTCGCGACATATCTTTTGAAATGCATAAGCCAGTCTGACTGGTACTGCCTACTTTCATGCAGTGACCACTCAATTTGGGATGAGCTCCATATGGCCTACGTGATGTCATTCTCCGGACTACGGAATAACGTCGCCTATAGCAGAGACGATCACCGCAACATTTATGCTCCTGTGATGAACGATCAATTTCTCTTCATGAATTATTGTCATACAAATGTCACGACCAAAAATCAAATCGTTATCCCATGAATATCATAGCCGCCCGTGAAAACACCTTGCTTGAAATGTTTCTGGCCAGCAACAAGGCCGTAACTAATATTGCTGCTTCAAATGAGCTCGTCTCCTGGGACACCCATGCTTTCTTCTATAACCTTTATGACGCCGCTTTCTGGGAACGAAGGGCCTGTGCCGTCACATATGGCAATACCTCGTAATCGATCGACTACTTGGCCCAAATCCACCTTACCCTGTCTGCATAATGGGTGATTGTGTATCAGATCCCACGCAGCGCCGGTAGCAAGTAAACGCTCGCCTGTTGAAGACACCTCGATCCGATGTGACATGGGGATATCAATATTTGATCCTTTGTTTGCAAAGGCAGCGTTGAACGTCCTGGGCGAATAGACCATCGGGCCAGCCTCTAGAGCATCAGAGTCTGCCGAGTCCTCGCTCGGCTGACGTTGTCGCTGTGATTGTTGCTGTTGGTGCTGGCCTGGCAACCTCTTGAGTGTACTTGTTGCCCGCAAGATCTCCATCTGGGTCTTGAGGCGGTCGTTCTCTCGTTTCAAACGCTCGTAGTCCATCTCTTTGTCCGAATATTGAGACTCTATTGATTTGAGCTTCAGCTCTAGTTCTTTGACATGCTTCTCTTTTCGTTCTCGAAAAGCTCTCTGGCTGTGGCCGTCTTAGTACTTGACTCATCTGAGGGATGGCACGGACGCCTTACGCTGCTCTATTCTGTGCCTTCCTCCTGCTCTGAGCGGGTGTGAGATTGTCCTTCTCGTCATCACTACTCCCTGCTCTGCCACCTTGCTGTTCGCCGAAGTCGACCTCTGTATTCGTTTCGTTGGGCATTGATCCTGAACTGTCGTACCTCATCATGTTTGGTATTGATGCAATTCTTGGTATGGAGGGGTTGGGTGGGGAATGAGATGGGGCCGGAGGCGGTGGCGGTGGAGCAAATTGAGGCGTTGGGTCGAACGTTGCATTTTGGTCGAAGAATTGGAAAGTGGAGGGATCATTGAAGGCGTCCTACCAGCAGTATTAGTGGTGGTCTGATGAGGGCGCCAGGCGAGCTGTTCAATGCCCACGTAATACTTACGAGAGGATCTTGGTGGACTTCAGTCTGTGGTGTGTACGAAGAGGCTGCCTTGTCCGGCAGGCTAAAGAATTGATATGGTTGCGTTGGCGGAGCGAAGTATGAATAATCCATGGCTTTTGCTCTTGAAAAGAAGAAGATGTACAACGATTGTCAAGACTTGTAAAGACTGTGTTCGAAGATACAAGATGTATATAAAAGCTTACAAAGCGAACCCTTTCACGTATTTACGGAGGGGGAGCAGCTCGAAGGGTACGTGAGTTGGAGCTTGTCTGTTCCTTAATCCCTGTCGCGGCACCGCGGGGTTCAAACTTTTGCCCTGACCAGTGACCGTTAAGCCGCGAGCTTAGGGTTCCGTTTAAACGTGTGAACGGTGTGAACGTTCACCCCAGTGCTGCAGCTTCAGCCGCGGCGTGGGACAGAGGTGCAGTGGTACAGCACTACTGGAAGCCTTGCAGATAGGGGGGCCTAAAAGGTCGTTTAATGAAGTCTAAGATCCACCTACTGACTCGTGAATCTGGGTATCTGTGTATCTGATCGTCGTCGTCTCGTGCTGTGCCTGGCTGTGAAACAAGAAACAGGTCGATCCTAATGCTGGTGCTGACAGGTACTTGGGTTTCGGGGGCCATGAGCTACATATTGCGGCCACTCACACCTCATGCACGCCGAATCCTCACGGATAATGGAAGTGTGATTCACTGATACAAAATGCATGGCGGCTGAGCGAATGATTTAGCAGCAAACCCGAGGTTGGGACACTACAAAGAGCGAGAAGTTCTCGAACAGCCTCCGAGCCGTAATTCATGTAGCCTAAATGCGACCTTACCAATCCTCCCCTGCTACACGTGCATTACGCATGTCTGGTCCGCCCATCAGAGCTCGCTGATTGGTGCTCCAACGTCCTCGACTTAGCTTACCGGCCGTGGAACAAGCCTTTTCGAGAGCGGTGAAAGTATGGAAGTTCCCCAAATTGTGCCTCAAACGTCTGCTGCGTGCTTACTCGACTCATCTCTCGGGTGCAAGTTGATGATCCCTTGGTGCTCTTCTTGCCCTCTGCTTGTGGCGGAAAGCGGGCCGTGATCATGTGCTGATATCGCTATTGACTGATAACAGCTTAGAGGGCATTCGAGCTGTGACTTTCCGCAGGCGTCGATTTTCATAGGTGCGTGTTCACGGACTATTTGCCACTGAGTAATAAAGTACCTCAACAGGGCAGGCTTGACTACTAGCAAAGCAGAGTACATGGTGTAGGTTGCTCCCGCTTTGGCTCAGTCCCAGTCATCATCATGGGCAGTGCCACCAGCGTCCGTGCTGAAGACTTTACCAGATCGGACAGGTCGATCCTCAGTATCCTGTTCGACCTCGTTAGGGCGGATGATTCGAGAGTCGGTAGACTTGATAGCGCCAACGTCTACTAACAAGGCCTCCAGGTCTGTGTTGCGTGAGCTCATAGGAAGAATTCTGTCCGCAGCATGGAATGTTACCTTTCAATGAGGTACTTTTGCCCTTAAATTCTTTTAGGGTAACTATCTGCCTTTTGATATCCCCATCTTTATAGACAAGAATCGTAGGTGTATTCCGTTCTGGATAGCCCTCAATACACATGTTCGCTTTCATCTCACAGAATTTGACCTCTCCATATTTTTTTGCTGTCTCCCTCCATAATTCGGTCAAGATCCGAGACTCTGTATTCGTACCCAGTGATGATGTGAGGTGTACCAACACGACCACATTGCTCGAGGCCTCAGTGACGTCTTTGGTGTAGTCAGGCTTCTGGAGATGGTAGACCTGATTGAAGACGCTATGTCTTGATATGCTTGAAAGTTCTGCTAGCCGCTGTTGGCTGGCGGCTCAGTCAAAGTTCATTCCGAGATGTTTGCGTTGAGATGAGACCCACCGATAGTGATCTAGGAACGATTCATCTTCTTCATCTTCGAGCTCGTCCAATTCATCGAGGTCCTTGTTCTCTAGTCTGTTTTCATGTGCCTTTTCCCGTGCCTCGCGCAAAGCTTCTTGAATGATAGGGGTAGGCGAGGAGGGTCTTGGTGGTATAATCCCACGCTCGCGGAGAATGTCGTTCCTGTAGAAATTAGTCTCATGGAGAAGAGGGCGCTATCGACTGACCATTCGGTGTCGGCATTAGGGTTGTCCACTGGGACATTCACTGGCATGTCCATAGTGATAGAGGAGTATACGGACGTAAAGGAGATACATTAAAGGCCTTTTAGTAAGGGTTGCCTAAAATTGGATGCCTGGAAGCTGGGGTGCTGGGGGAGATTTCCTAAAAATGTGAAGATCGACAGATCAGGCAACTCGGCCGAGAGCCCGTAGCTCAAACTCTATTTCGGTATCCCTGATGCATCCTATCGGAGAGATATCTTGCAGCTCCACCACACAACGCACCTTTTCAAGTCTACGTTATTTTGAGAGCTATCAGTGAGATCAAGACCCAACGTTGTATTTGCGTATAGCTACAACGGGCCGTTTTCGGCCACATTTCCCGGCCCGACTGTATGTTGGGCAACTAGGAAGTCTTAGTGCGACACCACTCACTACAACTTCGATAAGAAAACGACGTCTTTCACCGCTTCATGCAGCTCGTGAAAATCTCCACTAGACTTCACGGAAGGTTGACAAGTTGATTCATTTTTCTGAACCCGTGATGGGGGTGTGTACTGCTGGCTCCACATATCAAATGACTTAGCGGGGACACTGAGAATAGGCCTTGCGTTGATCTGTATGGCAGCATTAAAAGTACTCGATGGCATAAGTATATGCCACCCCTCCCTACCGAAGGCCTTAAAGTTATTGCAGGCGCACCATTCAAGGGTTCGGCTTCCGAAGTTGAGAAGTGCCCTGTCTCCTACAGATATTGCTTTACTAGGGAAGCTGAGTGCATTAAAGCAATACCAGACATGCGCACATGAACTGGAACGAGGAACTGGTTTGATTTTCTGCCTTCCAAGGGTCCACTACTGGAGCACAACGTCCTTGCGGCCAAAATAATGTCACTCTGTCGCAGTCCTTCCGACGGCACCGACGGTGGCCTCGCGAGTCTGGCTTCTTGAGTACCCTCTCTATGGTCCGCTCTGGAACCTTGCCTCAACACGCTTGCTCCAACTCGAAGGACTTGCTCTCAAGACAACGGTTGTGTAGGTGAATGTCGATGTGTGGCTTCGATCGGAAGTCTATCGACGAGACTCTTGTGTTGCTCGCGATAGACCGCTGTTTCGTACATGATTTCGCTCATTCCTCGTCTTTCCCCCAAGGAGCTTCTGACCGCTCCTTCAACAAATTCTATACTTGCCGATAAGTACAATGCATACAGAAATACACAGCCCACAGTCCTTGTTTCGCCGTGACTCTATGCAACATCTGGCTCGGTTTGCCGGCGATGTTTGGTATCTGGAAACTTAAGCCGAAGATAGACTTAAACTTGGTCATTGAAACTGGTGGTTTTAGTCACAACAGAGAAATCGAGACCTGACCTTCGTGCTTTTCAACGCCTCCGCTGAATCCAGGGGGAGCGACTCGGAAAGATCACGTCCGTATTGTACATATTTCGGTCAACAAGACCATCAATAACGCTGGAGTATGGTCGGTGTGAGATGATATGCAGCACAGAATCAGCATCTTGTGCTAGCCATTTCACTAGGGGTGGCGCAGTGCAGAAAGAGGCGGAAGTGGCTGTCCTTTCCAGGTAAGTGTACATGGATTGTGTGGGTTGCCTGTACTTGTTGATAAATCTGCGATATTTTAGAGATCTTTCATATATCTCTTAAGCAATGTTCCCCAGGTTTCGAAACATTTCTTTTGCCTTCATCAGCTTTCAGGGCTGTTACTGCATGCGCCTCTGCATTCGTGTTCTAGCAGCTGGCTTCTCCATCTCCGAATATTCCTTCAAACAGGATAATTGCTTGCGCCTTCAATACTACAATTTTTCGAATAGTGTCATTGAAATTTCTGCGATTCCTACGAAATCTCCCTCACGATGCCTTCCACTGCCTCGAATTCCAATGACATAATAACCACGGACCGATTATTGTTACGCGCAGCTCGCCAAAGCGACCTTGACGACTTCCATGCAATCTTCAGCAACGACGACGTTATGCGCTATTGGTAAGGCGATCGTCTCTTGTCACGAGAATTGTCAGTCTGACGGAGTCATAAAAGGTCCAATCCCCCACACACTGAGCTTTCTCAGACAAAAGAATATCTCATGATCATGATCAATTCTCCCAACAACGGCATCATCGACTTCGTCATTGTTCTCCGGCCTACTACGCCATATTCAGGACAATTGGAAAATGAAGGGCCTGTAATCGGCAAAGCAGGGGTCTGGTCTCCCGCTTCGCATCCCAAGCCGGAACTTGGCTTCATGATCAATCGCGACTATTGGGGTAAAGGATACATGAAAGAAGCGTTGGGGGCCCTGATACCACTTGTGTGGGAGCAAGGCATTACGATGATGCAGGTAGACGTGGATCCCCGGAACGATGCTAGTATAGCGACGTGTAAAAAGTTTGGATTCGTGGAAGTTGGGACCGAAGAGAACACTGTGAAGACGCACTTGGGATGGTGTGATAGTGTGTTTTTACAGCTTGAGAGGCCCGAGGAAGGGGTCGAAGGGGGCAATGGGCGAGGAGAGTAGATTAGAGTGAGGATTAGAAGAAGGGAAGGTTCCAACTATCGCCTGTCAAATATCTAAAAGTAATAAACTTCTCGAAATCCGCGTTGTCTTTATATCGAAGACGGAATCACCCTGGCAGGATTTCGTATACATTGTGTCGATGATATGAAGATATCTGAGAAATCGACAACTTCTTTCAATTGAGACCTCTGGAAGTCTCGTGCAGACTTGGGTTCGGCAGAAGCACAAGAAACGCCCAAAGATTTGAGGAGATCGTGGAGGAGGGATTTCAGGGGTTTGTGAACTTTTTGTGGGCGAGTCTAAGGCTTGGCAAACCCCGTAGGGCTGACCGCTTTCGCCCACGAAGTTCGCTAGGAACACGATAGCTTTAGCTTTTGCTTTGGCAAAGCTGTACGAAGCCATTGTATGTATCTCACACTCGGACCCCGCTTGATTTGTCCAGATTCCTGTGCCACACTGTCGAGTGCGACCAATACGGCATGATATGAAGCCTATTCCTGAACAACGGCCCTCCGCATCTCAAGAGACAACATTTTGGCGTGGGGCCTGAGGGCATAGCGTCCTGACGTCGTGACGCGGTAGAAAGCACGATGAGCTACGGCAAGAAAGATGAGGACGCCGATGGGCCTATCCTCAAGGTGGATCGCACTGCGGTCTTCCAGGAAGGTAAACCTAACCCTTAGCAACCGCACCCACTGAGAGTCTAGCTGAGGTGAATGGCTAGCACGATTGTTCAACTACTCCCCTATATCGCCTCGGAAATGTCGCATCCTCCTCACCAAAATTGCGCTCCTTCTCTTCACTGGGGAGTCATTCCCCCAGAACGAAGCCACAGACCTCTTCTTCGGTATCTCAAAGCTCTTCCAAAATAAGGATGAATCCCTACGGCAGATGATGTACCTCGTCTTCAAAGAGCTTGCAAGTTCAGCATCAGATGTCATTATGATGACCCAAAGTATAATGAAGGACACAGGAGCAGCCGCGGACAAACTCTACAAAGCTAATGCGATACGAGCTTTATGCAGAATCATAGATGTACGTATAGAGGCAAACATTCAAGAACTTAGCTCACATCTTACAGGCTACCACAGTACAGGCGATAGAGAGACCAATCAAGACCGCTATAGTTGACAAGAATCCCTCAGTATCATCCGCTGCTCTTGTGTCCTCGTACCACCTACTACCCATAGCAAAAGACATTGTTCGAAGATGGCAGAGCGAAACACAAGAGGCAGCTTCGTCTTCAAAGTCTTCCGGCGGCTTCTCTCTCGGCTTCTCCACTTCGGCCTCATCCCATACCCTCCAGCCCAGCACTCATTATATGAACCAGTATCACGCGATTGGTCTTCTCTATCAAATGAGATCCCACGATCGGATGGCAATGGTGAAAATGGTACAGCAGTTTGGTGCACCAGGTGTTGTCAAAAGCCCAGCCGGCATTATAATGCTCGTAAGGATAGCTGCAAAGCTTATTGAGGACGATGCAGGCCTCCGAAAACCAATGCTGCAGCTACTCGACGGTTGGCTAAGACATAAAGCTGAGATGGTAAATTTCGAAGCTGCAAAGGCCATTTGCAATCTTCCCGATGTGGTGGACTCAGAAATGACCCAAGCTATCCATACACTCCAACTATTCCTAACTTCACCTCGAGCTGTCACCAAATTTGCTGCCATACGAATCCTCCACAACGTTGCCTCTTTCAAACCGAATGCCGTCCAATCCTGCAATCCTGACATCGAAACCCTCATTTCACACTCTAATAGATCGATCGCTACATTCGCTATAACAACGTTGCTGAAGACTGGAAACGAAGGAAGCGTGGATCGGCTGATGAAGCAAATAACGGGCTTCATGGGGGACATCACGGACGAGTTCAAAATCACCATTGTAGAAGCTATACGTACTCTATGTCTCAAGTTTCCCGATAAACAAGCTGCTATGCTCGCTTTCCTGAGCAACATACTCCGGGATGAAGGTGGCTATGACTTTAAAAAAGCGGTTGTAGAAAGCATGTTTGACCTGATCAAATTTGTCCCAGGTAGTAAGGAAGATGGTAAGCTTTCTATGCTTGCTGGCTGCTCACGCTGACGAACTCAGCTCTGGCACACCTCTGCGAATTCATTGAGGATTGCGAATTTACGAAGCTTGCCATACGAATCTTACATTTGATAGGTGTTGAGGGTCCAAAGACACCCCATCCGACGAAGTACATTCGGTACATTTATAACCGTGTCGTCTTGGAAAATGCGCTCGTCAGAGCTGCTGCCGTTACTGCCTTGGCTAAATTTGGCGTTGGGCAAAAGGATCCTGACGTCAAGCAGAGCGTCACAGTCTTACTAACAAGATGTCTTGATGATACAGACGATGAAGTTCGAGACCGAGCTGCTCTGAATCTGCGACTCATGAGTGAAGAGGATGACATGGCCAATCGCTTCGTCAAAAATGGTATTATCTTCCAAGCCTTTCATGATTTATCTAACATGTGTAGACTCGATGTATTCGCTGGCAACATTTGAACATCAACTGGTCATGTATGTCACGGCTAATGATAAGAAGACTTTTGCGACTGCTTTCGATATCTCTACTATACCAGTTGTTAGCCATGAACAGGCCTTGGCTGAAGAGCGAACGAAGAAGTTGACCTCAGCCACACCGACTCTCAAGGCACCAAGCACCGGTCCTAAGAAAGGCCCTCAGGTCAACGGGACTGCCGACAAGACGGAATCTCTACTGGCTGCTGCACAAAAGCACTCAGAGGCGCTTCTGCAAATACCAGAGCTCAGAGCGCATGGCGCGCTCCTACGATCGTCGCAACCTGTCGAACTTACAGAATCCGAAACTGAATATGTTGTCAGCGTGATCAAGCATATTTTCAAAGATCACGTTGTGCTACAATACGAGATCAAGAACACCATGACGGATACCCTTCTAGAAGATGTCTCTGTCAATGCCACTCCATCCGACGAGGAGGAGGCTCTTGAAGAAGAATTCTCTATACCTGTAGCGAAGCTCGAGGCGGAGCAACCAGGCACTGTCTTCGTCAGCTTCAAGAAGAATTCAGATGTGACTTATCCAATAAGCTCCTTTACTAATATTCTCAGATTTACCTCGAAGGAGATAGATCCGTCGAGCGGCGAGCCCGATGAGACCGGGTATGAGGATGAGTATCAAGTGGAAGATTTAGAGCTTACAGGCAGTGACTACGTAACGCCTGCCTTTGCGGGCAGCTTTGATCATGCTTGGGAACAAACGGGCGCGAATGGAGACGAGGCGTCTGAGACGTTGCAATTAAGCAGTTTGAAGAGCATTGCAGGTATTTACAGCTCTCTTTATTTCCTGACCCTACGGACTTATAATATTCTTCTAGATGCTACAGAACAACTTACGAAGGCGCTGTCACTGCAACCACTGGATGGGACAGATGTGCCGATATCGACGAGCACCCACATGCTCAAATTGTATGGCAAAACACTGAATGGTGGGAAAGTGGCTGCGCAGATCAAGATGGCTTACTCAGCTAAGAGTGGAGTTACGACGAAGATCACCGTGAGGAGCGAAGAGGATGGCGTTGCTGCATTGCTTGTTGGAAGCGTTTCATAGATAGGACCTGCGTTTGTTTTAGCGCTACTACGAAGAGCTGCTCAGGTTCGCAAATATGAATGAAGAGTATGATTGAGTCGGTTGGCGAGGCTTCTAATCCAACTCTTGGCCATCAGGCGTCTGTTATGGTAGACAAAATTATGAGACAGACAATCGCACCTGATGGTCGTACCGTGCTTTTCCCTGGTTCAAGTTACAGCAATATCCTTCGCACATGCCACATCATTCTAGGACCTGTCCCAAAGAATATGCTCGAAGAAATGGAGAAGAGGAAGGGGCCACCGGCGAATTTTACTACTATATATAAATTCAAATAAGAGCCGAAGCCAAGTGTTGACATCAACACTTGGTGTAAGTTCCTCCAACTTCGGATTTCCTTCCCACGTCTAACCAACCGATAGTTTGTAGTGTAGTGGTGATCACGCCGGATTTTGACGCACAGTACAAATCTTCCGGTGACCCCGGTTCGAATCCGGGCAAGACCTGTTTGTTTTTGGGCTCATTTTGTCTCATAGGCTCTTGAATTGGGTCTTAATAACATTGCTTCACTCATTGCGATTCGATGAAGCTCAAGGCACGCTAGAGGCCAGGGTTGTTATGCGTCATTTCATCTTCAATAATCAAGACGGCAACCATGACCAAGAAACGCAAGAGAACGCAAGAACCTTCCTCTTCCGACCATCAGAACGATAATGGACCCTCTTCCCAATCGAAGATCGATCTTGCGTACGGCCAGCGTGCAGCACTGCCGGGCTTAGATACCATCACGGCCTCTATCGAGGTGGCCCACGATGACGACGATGACGACGGAACAAATGCAATGTCATACCTCCGCATGGTCAGGTAAGCCTATCTACCCAACCTCATCTCAAGCACACTGGCTGAGTCTTCTACCCTTGCAGCTTGCAACCTCCTCCCAATAGTCTCTGCGGTCCCTTGATCCCTGAACAAAAACAATAGCTGACACGTACGGCCTCACAGATCCGAAGCTGACGCCCTCCCGACCCTCTTCGTAGCTCCAAAACCACAAATCGCTGGTGAAGAGGATGGAGAAATCCGCGAAGAGGATGAAGACACCCTGCTCTATGCCGATTACGCCCAAGGCTACTATAGCGATGGCGCATACACTGCACGTCCGAATCCTCAAGCAAGGCTCGCGCTTGCCAATGGCCCTACACACAAAATAGCAGACCGTACGGAGGACGAAGATGCAGACATCCATCCCCAAGTCGCCTACGCTACCGCCCTCCTCGCCCGCTTTAATTCTCTCCACCACGCCCTCGCCTCCCCTCCTCCGTCTGCCAGCACCGCCAGCTTCAAAACTAATGCCACAACAGACCCCACAGCCCTTCGCCTGAGCACCTCACACCAAACCTCTCTCCACAGGCACCACCTCCTCAAATCCCCCCCAACTCCCCTCACCCTCTCGCATCTACCCCACAAAACAACAATCTTCTCTCTCCAGATCCTTGCGACTCTCTTAAGGCCGGGGAATCTGAGGAAGAAAGTACAAGCGAGAAATCTAGGCGTATGGGGTTGGGGGCTGTTGGCGCGGTGTAGAGAGTTGGGCGAGATGGGGAGTGAGGAGGTGGGGGTTGTGAGGGAGGTGGGGAAACGGGCGGCTTGGGGGGTGAGGAGGGTGTTGGTGGCGGAGGATGAGGAGGGGGATGGCATAGAAGAGGGAGAAGAGGAGGATGGTGATGATGATGATGATGATGATGAAATGGAAGATGTCGTCGAGGAGGTGATGCGGAATGACGAGGAGGCAGGAGGAGGAGATGAAGTGCTACAAGCAGCGCAATCCCGCCTGCTCGCCTCCTTAAATTTCAGCTCTCCCCCTCCACCCTCATCCTCTACAACCAAGGACGAAGCACCAGCCACCTCTATGGACGACGTCGCACCCCCTCTTCACCTCTACCCCATTCCGCACTAGTCACCAACGGCCTCGCACCCGACCAGATTTCCAATGAGAAAAGCGAGGGCGAAAATGAGGAAACACCGAAGGCAGAGATGATAGCGATGCTAGACATGCTGATCATGATCGTAGCCGACAAATTCGGGCAGAGGGATTTAAGTGGGGAGAGGGTGGTGTGGGATGAGGTTGACTTTACGTGACCTTACATTGCTGTATAAATGCGTACAGAAGCAGACGGCATAAAGCTCACATACTCTTGGCTTTCAAATGCCGAACACCCTGCTGCGTTTACATTTCGAACATAAAGTCATTCGTGCCCTTCATCGGGTATGTTCCTGCCACCTTGTACCCTCTCCACCCTCAACGCCAGTCCCCGTCTTTCACTGACCATCCGCCCCCTCTTCCTCCTCGCCAGCAGCAACGCCCCACCCCCTAACTCCCCCTCGTCATGCCGTTCAAAGCACTACCAACTACATTCCCGTCTCAGCAGTGGAATCGGCACATTTGCCTCCTTCGCAATAATCGTGGCCAGCACCAGCCGCACCATGGATGTCTACCCATCAGGACTAGGACCCGCACCATTCTCAACATGTAGCGGCCCGCCCAACACATTCTGCGGCTTGACGAGCCCTGTAGTGTGCACGCCAGGTGAGGTGCAGTAGGAGTGCCGTAGGAGTGCACGGCGGTGGTGTGTTGACCACCCTACAAGCTCTCAGAAAGACGGGGTGGGGTTCAGCAAGGTCCCACCTCGGGACAGATCGAAGTTCTCTTTTGATTGCTCTGTGGAAGCTGGGACCTGGGGCAAGGATTCTTGGTTGGGGTTTGTGATCTTTGGCTGGTAATGCTAGTAAGGGTGAATTGGTCTTCATGATAGGCCTGGGGGGAATGGGGGGTTCAGTCCTAATGAGAAGTCTAAGGTGCCGCAAGCCTAATATTTTGCCTGTGCTGATGGTGGGCGCGACTTCATTGGGGCTTCCTTCTTCAGATTTTGCAATCTCAATTTCCAGTTTGCTCCTTTTGCTGTGTTGGCTCTCTACCTGTATGCTCATCGTCTTGTCTCCTTCTCCATTTCTATTCATGGATCCTCATATTCAATTTTAGAAGCTTCTTGCCCATCTGTAGCGATGCCGCTCTCTCTATAGCGATTGTGGTGCTTTCTTGTCTCCTGCCTCTGTTGTACGGACGCATCTCTTTTTGGGCTCTTCAGGTTCATACCATGAGCGCTGTAGAGTATCTCCTGAGGGTGATTATCTGCCTAGGAAGCAGATAGATCATCGTTTGAAAATAAGGCGGGTCAATTGTTGGTGCGCAAATCTTGACGTATATTATCAAATGGAATTGGCAGAATTGCTAGGTGAGTGACATAGTTGGTATCCAGGCGGCATCTTTGGTGAGCTTGGATGTGCGACGACAGGGCCTTCTTCATACGGTTGAATCCTGCCATTATGTGTAGGTAGGCGCAAGGGTATTGGTCACTTCTGTTCATCATGGAATTGTTTACTCCCGTTTTAGATTCATAGGGTTGTTAAAACCGTTAATTCCGGATCATCTCCCCTCCAGTCAATATAATTTTACATGGTTTACAACAGCTACACAACGTCGATCTAAGCTGAGACTACAGGATGACACCTAAACGTACATGGAAGAAGCCCAAGAAACCTCAGACCTTCAAAACACCTCGCCGTCAGTATAAACCGACTGCTGTTGCGGCTGCTTTGGCTTTGCATGCGGAAGGAATTACGCAAGAAAAAAGTGGAAAACTTGTTGGAATGGACCAGACAGCATTTTCAAGGATCAATAAGAGAGTAAGAGAGCGAGCGAAGGAAGAAGGAATCGAATGGGGTCCTGCAATCTACCAGGAGCATCCAGAAATCTTCGAGCCAAAACCACGGCCTGGTCGACGACTGTTTTTCTCAGAAGAAGAGGTGGATAAAATCTTTGATTGGGTAATAGGATCGCCAGAGCGACGCAAAATGCCTACTTCCGACATCATCAAACAACTAAATGTTGAAGGCTCTGCATGTTACGATGATGGTACAAAAAAGCCCATATCTCAATCACGATTCAACGACATCATGTATAAGAAGGGGTACCGTCGAGAAAAGGGTGAATGGAAACCTTACCTCGGGGACGCTCATCGTGAGCCCCGCGATACGTCTGCGTACTTGACATTTCCGGTATGACCCAGCGTCATGGACATTTGAATTGGGATTCGCGCCGGGTATCGTCTGTGGGAGTCTGGAGAAATCATCACTTGAGGTGCGCGATTTGGGTCAAGCACCAACCATGGCCATGGAGGCTGCCAATTCTGCGTGTAAAGGGCACGAACACCTGAGTGGAGGCTAACATAGATTGAGCTTGCAAGAGTATTAGTTCATAATGGCAGACCCCTTCAGCCTTGCTGCCAGCATAATTACTGTAGTGCAAGCTACCAGCTATGCCATCAAATTCATCGGAGAAGTCAAGGATTCTTCCCATGAATGCTCAAAGTTGCTTGTAGAGCTGAGCATGACAGCTGGAATTTTGGATAGTCTGAAAAATCTGCTTGAGAGTGACTCGGAAAGCTCCTGGCTTGCAACTGCCAAATCTCTCGCCAAACCCCAAGGTCCACTCAAGGAGTTTGGAGCACTTGTAGAAAGACTAATTTCGAAGTTGAAGCCCGCCACTGGATTGCGAAGAGCTGGTAAAGCTATTGCTTGGCCGTTCAGGAGGGAAGAGGTGAAGGATATGCTGGCAACAATCGAGCGTCAGAAAACCATGTTTGTTCTCGCTTTGGAGTTGGACCACGTGGAGCTGTCCAACCGGCTAGACACCAAAATCACTGAACTGACTGTACAAATGAAAGACCTTCGACATAGGGATATCAATCAGGCAGCTGCGGAGACTAGAACCAAAATCCTTAATTGGTTGTCGCAACTTCAGCCACACAAAAAGCACAGCGACGTGTCCGAGAGGCGTCTGAAAGGGACTGGAGAATGGGTATTTGATCACGAGCACTATAAAAGATGGTTCAGTGACGCAGCTGAAACGAGCACACTTTGGTGTCCAGGCATTCCAGGAGCAGGAAAGACGATCATCTCGTCTCTCGTAATTGATAGACTTAGGCGCAACAAAGGACTTGACGTAGGCCTCGCCTTCTTCTACTGTGACTACCGAGATATTGACAACCATACGACCGCAAACATCATTGCGAGCCTCACCAAGCAGCTAGCGCATCATCTTGAAAGCCTTCCCATATGTCTCACACAATTGTTTAATGACTGTGATAGGGGACAGAGGATACCAGATGTGGATGAGTTGGAAGAGGTCATCCTTGAAGTCTGTAAATCTTTCCGTCAAGTTTTCATTGTTATCGACGCACTAGATGAGTGTGACGCCGCGAGATATCGACCTTCTTTGCTCAAGATTCTTGCTTTACTGGAGAAACGATCCGCGAAGCTTTTCATCACTAGCAGGCCCTTCGCTGATGATATTCGGAAAAGTTTCGGTCAAGGGCCTCAAATCTCGATAAGCGCACAACAAACAGACATTAGAAGGTATCTGCAAGATCGCATCAGTAACAATGCTGCTGCCGAGGACATTATGGAAAGACGTCTTCAGGCAGAGATTTTCTCAGTCATTTCCGAAGGCGCTAATGGCATGTAAGTCTCTCACTCCTACTGTTATGCGGTGGTCTGAACAAGACCATAGGTTTCTGCTTCCAGCTTTGCAAATTCAAACTATACTAGATGAGACAACAAGAAAAGGCATGCGCAAGGCTCTCAGAAAGATGCCTAAGAGCCTGGACGCCACTTTTGGAGAGACCTTGAAACGACTTCAGCGGCAATCAAGAGGCCGTTCTCAGCTTGGCCTCGATACATTGATGTGGATATCACATGCGAAGAGACCGCTCCGTGTTGATGAGTTGCAGCAAGCATTGGCAATCGACGATGAGGACACATCGCTAGACACTGAGAACTATGCCTCCGTCAGGCATATTGTAGAGTGCTGTCTGGGATTGGTTACCATCGACGAGGAGAGTTCATCGATCAGACTGGTTCATTACTCGGTCCAAGAATATCTGCAAGAACACAAAGCTGAAATCTTCCCCGATGCCGAAAAATCGATTGCGGAGACATGCTTGACTTTTCTTAGCTTCAAAGACTTCGATGATCAATGCAATAGATTGACATTATTCGACACGAGGATTCGAACATATCCATTTCTTATGTATGCAGCGCAAAATTGGGGTGTGCATGCAAAACTTTCTCCTTGCAACACTTTACTGAGCCAGATAATGCGCTTCACGAACCTGGAGCTAAATCTTTTTTCCGCCGAGCAGGCTTTCCAGGCTAAATTCTGGTACAGAGACCCGTCTCAGCCAAGAAGATATGGTGCCGACTGGGAGAGATGGTACGAAGAAACCCGGAGGCGGCAGACTGGCCTTCACGTTGCGTCCCGCTGGGGCCTTGATGCTCTGGCCGTTCATATTCTGCAGGAAAGCATTGACGTGAACGCTCGGAACAGTCGTGGAGAGACGGCATTATGGTGGGCGGTAAGAAACGAGCTCGATAGTATTGTGGAAATGCTGCTCGACGCTCGGGCTGATGGTAGCCTGTTCGAGACAAAGTATGGCGATACCCCGATCATCCTTGCAACAGCATCGAACAACGAGAAGACAGTGCGATTGCTGCTCAGATCGCAAGTTGACTGCAACAAGGGCAACTCATCTGCAGAGACGGCGCTGTACAAAGCCGCTGTCAACGATAACCTGGTTATCGTAAAAATGCTCTTGGATGCAGGTGCCCTTCCCAACGTCCAATCACACTATTCTCAAAGCGGTGGTAGGGTACTCCTACGTGCGGAACAGGCAGGTCAAATTGAGATTATACTCACGCAATTTGACAAAGACGGGGGAGGTGCCTCCGACTACAATGGGAAATCTGCTCTTCAAACGGCGCTTGATAATGACAATATCGATATTGTACGAGCATTGGTAGACCATGATGTCACAATGGATCAAGGCCAACGGGAAATCTATGAAAAGCTTCTAGAAAGGGGAAAAGCTAGCTCCGGCAAGGTCGCTGATCGCCGCAGTGACCTTTCAAAAGACCCCGAGAATCGTGAGAAATTCTCGTTTTAAAGGGTTTTTTTGGATTAAAGATCGATTGTACAATCAACTGCAGTCTTTGCTATCTCAGAAAGCCTTCAACCTTTTTGAGAAATCCAGATGAAAGCGATTATAGAAGTCTTCCTCTTGAGGATTCACATGAGAGTGACGGGTCGGGGACAAACATTGTGAATAGTTGAGAGTCTAGCCAAAGTAACGGACACCCAGCCTTCGGGTGCAGCCGGCAGGAGAGCAGCTATCACCCTCACCGCATGTCATCAAGATGTCAAAAGGTCCACTGCAAATCCTTCCTTGCATGGTTTGCCACTTCTTACAAAACTCTGACACGGTAAAGTCTTCTCACGCTAGAAATTGACCGCGTCATCGAGTGACCGCCTCGAGTTCAGCCTGTACGATGTCAGATGTATGTCGTTGAAGCGGGCGAAGCATCGCCCTGCTAGGGCTGCGGAGTTATACAGAAGTCAATCGACGAGGCAAATTGAGGATCCATCGATTGTTCTTATACTGTTGTATATAGCAGGAAGTCAGCCTAGTTCCGCTGAGGGTACGGGGTAATGGGGCTCCACGCACAGTGACTGAGTATGACTCCGAGCGAAATTCTTTGGCAAGAACCCTCTCAAGCTTTTTAGGGTCGAGATATCGGTCTGAGATAATTTGCTGTATCATTCTTCGAAAACGTCGGCTCGTGGTAACGCTGGTGGCGTTCAAAAAGGGGCGAAGCTCTTTATACCCCATAAATTGCCTCCACGGGCTTCATAGGATGCAAATTACCTTACGCCCCGATCTTGCCGAATATTAACGAGACGAAAAGACATGCGTTGTTCGTGCCTCACTAGCCGCCAGTCAGAACATTAGCGTGGATATAATAAGGCGCCGTAGGGCGCTTTGATGCACCCTCCAAATGCAAATCGCCTCCCAAGCAATAATTGCTCTAGTTGCGAGGGTTTTTCGCGGCATCATGCAACGCCTCGTGGCGGGGCAAGATTGTCCTTACTCGATCCAATAAACATTGGTGACGTAGGATTGTAAAGTCTCATGGCGCCAATCGACGCTGGGCCCAAACATTCGGGCATAAGCCAGCCTCCAAGGTTTTCTTTAAATGCCCATACCATAACACATGCCAGCGACCTCAAGTATGACCTGCGAGCTAGATCTGTAGGATGTATGTTGGCATGGGCAGATCAGCGACACCAGCTTTGGAGACCCTCCAACAGATCCTAGGTTATGAGCAGTGTGCCGCAGAGGAACAATGGTACTCCCAAGATTCTGAGAGACTGTTTGAATCAGACAGTTCCAAATCTTGGATTGATCTGCATCTTTTAGAGTCTCATCAAATTCACAAGACTCGACTCAGCGCTGAAAAGTACGGACGATATCATGAGTACCCAAGGCCGGGTGCTGAAACACCAATCGAAGAGTCCGCATCGGATAATTCAATACATCCACCCCCGGCGTATGATTCGACTCTCGAAGATGACAACCAGGTTATTCGGTGTCCTCTTTCAGAGGAGGCTGAAGGGTCGGTAGTCATGTCGAGGAGGATCAGGAGTCCCGACGAGCTCAGGAGAGTCTCCTCTGTAAGTCCTTCATGGATTTCGCCATTACTGTCAAAATTCCGATGATTCTGAGATATCAATAGGAGACCAATACGCGTACACGTTTATGGTGAGTTTTACCGTCGTCCGGTGAAGACTCAGGCCAATGACGGCGGAATGTAGTTTCGTCAGGCAGTATCATTCTTTCGGTCGCTTGCGTATTCATAAAGATCTTTTCGAGGCCCTACTCTCAGCTTTCCAGATCTTGCCAAGGTTCAGGGAATTCGCTCTCTCTTTCGGCTTCAAGGAGACGGAGACTGAAGTGGCCCACCCTCCTCTTAAATTTCGAACATTGTTCCCGCCTCGCACAACAGATGTAGCCCCAACTAATAGTGGATTCGGTATGTATTCGCCTTGAATCCTGTGGTCCAAGTCTGATTAGCACAGAATGTGCCTATGCGATCAGATATGTAGATCTCAATAAGCGGAGAGACGACAAACCCTGGTCATTGCGGCAGACAGCTGTCTACCATCGATATGATGCGCAGGTGCAGACATCTACTTGGTGTTGTGTTGCGGCATCAGAACAAGTAGAGACTTGCTTGGACCAATTCGCCGAGGCATTTCAGCGTTGCGACGCGACTACCTCGTTTGGAGCCCATGCCATGCTTCTTGATACCGCACTCGTAGGCTGGCGGCCTTTCATGATAAACTTGACAGAGAGGATCAACCAGCAGGTAAACAGTGGGTTCGTTCGAGCAAAGCTTTAGGCTAATCTTGGACTGCAGTCAGACAAGATACTCGTCGCCTCGACCGATGAAAGACAGCCACTTAGCTTAGTAGACATTGACGATCGTCAATCCTTAAAAGACCTCGAAGACGAGGTCCTCGATATTATTCTAGCTTTAGACTCACTATTTGAAACCATTGACGCCCTATCGAACAAGTTTGATCAGTATCGCCACCTGAATGCTGAACTTACTGGCCAGGTTATAGACGGGTTTGACAACCAAATAGTAGCCCAGGCCTTTCAAGAAAGACGTGCAACAGTCAATATACACCGAAGAAAGATCCAGAACTTATACGAGAAAGTCAAGGGGATGATCAGCCTTGTAAGCGAGCGATCTCGCTTTGAAATGTTGGTAGACGAGGCTGACAATTGCTAGTTATCTAGCATTCTTGATCTCGGCAATGGGTCCTCGCTGAAAATGCTTGCTGCAGAAGCAACGAGCGAAAATATAGCTATGCGCCGTCTAGTCGAAAAGAGTACGCAAGATGCTGCGGCTGTAAAAGTACTTACAGTCATTACGCTGATTTTTCTTCCCGCGACGGTCGTCTCTGTGAGCCTTTCCTTTTCTCAGTGATCCTCCTTAGGCTAACGAGCTTACCATTCAGAACTTCTTCTCAAGCGAATTTGTTACAACAAATTCCCGTAAGGACGTCAACACTGTTGTGCTGACATCTAACGCATGGCTTTTCGCAGCAATATCCGTACCTCTGACCCTTGTGACTCTCTTCATCTGGTGGGCATGGATCAAGCTACAAGGAAGATCGAGTATGAAGTGGACAAATCAGCGAATCACACCCCTTAGTAAAATTTGGACACCCCAGCCGAAGCTTGATACGCTTGAGACCAAGATTACTTGAGCCCCCCTCGGTGAAGCGGAAGAGAGGCTGAGTAGGCAGCGAAAACGAGTGACGACAGACGCTAAGATCGGTATGAGAGCACGAAAACGCTCAGGTCATGATTGTCGCAATTCTAGGTCGTTTGTGTCGTCTCAGCCCTGACCGAGCGGGCTATAGGTAGGGCACTAACGCTCGGTGAAAAACAAGGCAACTTCACTAAGTTGCCTCGTTTAACATTGACCAATCACATCACCAGGTTGCTCTATCTCGATGTTGGGCTGTGTATGTCGGTCAATTGAGTCAACTACCATGAATAAACGGCTGATGCGAGTATTCTCAGCGTCGAAAACACATATAATGTCCTTTCCCGACCGTCAATCTATACAAACCAAAGCCCGCTCACCCCAGTGGCTTTAGATTCAGGAGCCATTTCGCCTTTCTACTGGATATTGTAGCTAATTCTACACCCTGTAGAATATCTGCTTAAATGCTTGAGCAGCATAAGAGTAACGCTTGTCCGACAACCGTCGCTCTTGATACACGCCAAATCTGAACAAATAGTGGCGACCTTACCTAGCGACAAGATGATGAATTCAAGTAACATACCAGATCATAATAATGGATACATGCTGATCTTCGTGAAGAGAGAAAGGCCCACACCTCGCCAGACACAGAGACATCCCCAGCAAGCGATGTTCCTTTTTCTCAATTGCAGCGCGCAAAAACCGAAAGCAGACCTGCGGCAGTCGCACGCCGTGGCCTAGCGCCTGGCCCGAAAATCATCGTGCAAGAGGCTTCATCGTCGTCGCAGCATTCGCAGCTGTCTGAGAGTCACGATGGCATAAATGAGACTCGAGATTTGGGTGCGCATGAAGTCCTGGTGAAGCATATTGGGCAACACAGTCCAGATAGCCAAATAAGAAACCCACAAGCTGGATTACTATTCCCGAACAGCATTCTCTACACCATGCACGTACACTGTAGACACTCCAGCGAATTGCAGGAATCCAACGAGTTCCACCCAAATGATGCGAGTAGCTACCAAGAGATTGAGAAGAGAGCAATGAGACTAGCAGAAAAGGCACAAGATGGGCCAGATGAAGCCAAGACGACAATTCTTCGCTCTGGTTATTGCACCGTTGCGAAACCAGACGGGACGTCTATGGCACGGTTTCGGCTAACATGCAGTGGCCATTGGAGTAACGTGTTAAACAATAGCAACCTGTTGAAGGACCTCGAAAGTGACGGGCAGCAGAAATTAACCATTAACATTTATAGAGAGTACCAAGATCTTCAACTCCTAGCTGACGAAGACCCATTCCTGAAGACCAAGAAATGGGAACTCGATGAAATGATCAAGAAGAATATCGATGATCGAGACTACATTTCTGAAGCCGATCTACAGGCCTACACATCAAATCGGATGATCAAAGGAATCATAGGCCATGATCCTTGTTGGGAACCAAGGTTGTCGTCACAAGAGATCGAATCATTAGCGGATAAAATCGTAAAGAAGAATGCGAGGAGATTCCTAGCTATGTGTATCTACACAGATGTGAGCACCAAGTGTCTTGAAAAGCTTGTCGACAAAGGCTACCATGATCACAACTTACCTCAGCTTGTCGAAACTTGCTGCAAGTCCCACTCTAAACGTCGAAAACCCTTGGCACGTTATCATGGGATATTTCAAACTGCAAGTTTCAACGAGCCAAGAGAGTATAATGACATACCATCGTACATCACAATACCACTCATACCGGTAGATGCCGAGAGGGCTACTCCAAGCGACCGACAGACATCCCTTGCTTCCGAGCCAGAAATGGAAAATTTTATCCAAGCACGGAAGTCAGCAAAGGGTCGAGCTTTGATTGGGGAAGGTGCGCATGGTTTCGTGTATCGAGTTCGCCTGGAGCCTTCTCATCACAATCTGTCAGATGTAAGTCTAATGTGAATTCTTGATCGTCCTTTCCGGCTCGATTTGACTTGGGCACAGGATCCTTATGCCGAGTTTGCCCTCAAAGAATTCAAGCCCAAACCAAAAGGCCTCGATGTCAATTTTGCAAAGGAGTCCGATATGCTGCAATCATTGCGAAAATTTGCGGAACCTCACCTCACAACTCACATCGTGTCTTGGACACAAGGGGAGAAGTATTACATGCTGTTTCCGCTTGCAAAATGCAACCTGCAAGAGTATATGAGCATTCATACGTTCCGCAGCACCAAAGATGAGAAGATTTGGCTGCTGAAACAAATCCTTGGTCTCGCCGGAGCCCTTCGTCGGATCCATGATTTGACATTCAACAACCCGCTTGCCGGTGACCCGAATCTTAGTCCAGGTCCACTACACGGGCAAGAAAGAAAAGCTGGCTGGCACCACGATTTGAAGGGTCAAAACATCCTCTGTTTTGAGGTGAATGAAGATCTGGTACTTCAGATTGCTGACTTCGGGTCTAGCAAGATTCATATTATCCGCTCACGTAGCCATCCGACGCGCACAGTAGCGGGAACACCCACATACGAGCCACCGGAACTGGAGGAGGAAGGCTCTACTTCTCGACCGCATGATGTCTGGTCCCTTGGCTGTGTGTTTTTGGAGCTCTTGGTTTGGGCTGTCCTCGGCTTCAATTCGCTCAAAGAGTTTGAAGAGAAGCGAATCAAGAAGCGTGTCCCGGACCAACTACTGACGGACAATGGCTACTGGGAGATGAGAGACGGGAAGGTAGAGCTGCGTCCGGCGGTCAAAGATTGGATCGAGAAACTCAAAGTGGCTATTGCCAATGAGCCACAGCAACCCTTCAAAGAACTCCCAAACGTTATTCTTGCAATGCTCAATCTTAATCGAGAAAGGCGATTGACTGCAAGAGATGTATATCACCGTATTGATGACATCTATAACAGGAAGAAGCTCGAGTTAGAGCAAAGTCTCAACATTTCTGACCTCACAGGTGCAGATTTTGCTAACCCGATTGTATCCTTCTCCAACGAAAGCGACGGCTCCGATCGACTATCGCTGGACATGCCGCTCGACACGAGCCCAAGGCCTTTGAAGCACACGACACTCGTGAGTGGTGCGGAGCACCTGACGTCCTCGCCTACGGAAGCCTACGCGCAACCAGGCACTCGTATACAAAGTCGACAGAGCAGCAACTCGGATGAATACGCACCCACCCCGGTGCGTGCCGGAATTGGCACAGCTACCTCCAGACCCTCCGTCCGAAGGGGTGGGGGTTCAGGCTCCCGGGGCACGCTTTTACCACACAGCCCGAGATCAGGTCCCAGCTCAAAGAACTAACAAGAGGATTCGAGAAAGCCTGCATTGAAAGGACCTAGCCGCATGGGAGAATGCTCTAATCGAGAGCTTGTTGCTATATACGGCCATTGATCATCAATAAATTTCAATGCCTTTGGTTCAAACGGCAAGGTTGATTTCAAGGGATCGAATCGCTTTGCAGAACCAAATTCGAAAAGATGGTCATACATACGTGATCCTCCGCGAGAGACATCTGACTCTGGTGGCGCTACACACAACAGGGTTTGTCAAATCAACGATGAGCATAGACAACGAACATATAGGTCCTCTAAAGTAGCACTGACTGCGATCTCAACGTCGCGCCATTCTTCTCAATATGACCGTCGACAACTTCTCAACGATCACAGGAAAGCAACTCGCATCTGGATATTTATGTTGGAATTGCGTTTGGGAAGGGACATATGACTGACTCGGGTATAGACGAATCACATGATGATAATGTGTTGGTCTTGACAGATAGAAGCATTTCCCCTCTGAAGTGACAGTGATATTAAGAAAGAGTGAATATAAAAAAGCTCCTGTTACGGCGACTCTGCTAGTGGCAATTGATGCCAAGAGAACTTGAAACAAGGGGCAGTGCCCCTCTCGAGCCCACCCTGATTGTATGGTTGTGCTTGGCTCCAAGATTTATTATTACGAGGCCATTGCTATATCCTGCTGTAGGTGCTGCAGTAGAGGTAGATCCTCGGCGATCATGACGTGCTGTAGTACGTAGCATAGACATTCAATGATCAAAAGGAGAAATCAAGGGTCTTGGATTGCAGTAGTCGTTCTATTTCGCGGGGGGAGGCTGGAAAGGCGCAAAAGAAGACTTGCAGCCAATCAGAGGCCGAGACCCGCCGTTCAAGTTCCCTGGAAATTTCATCCACCACAATCCGACCCCTACTCGAACATCCAGGAGCATTTGCGCCCACTGTTCCCCCCTTTGTGTTCAAGCTCTCTCCTATCGCAGTCTCCGTCGCTCGCTTTCTATTCATTTTCTGCGACTCGCACGTCCATGGAGCATCGGTGCTGCGCATCTAAGGATCTGCGACCCTAATCCGCCGCAATAATTCTCCAACCATAAACTGCACTCATCCGAACGGGCAGGGTACCCATTGTATCTATACATGACATCTTTCAAGAAACTGCATCGAAGCACACCATCTGAACCGTAGTCCTTGGACTTGAAGGGCAGGCAAGAGCTGAAAGGCCACGAGCGCAACCATGTCCTTCCTCTTTGGCAAAAAAAACAAGGGAGAGAAGGATCGAGGGGCGCCTCCCACCAGAGATGGAGCGCCATCAGCAGCGTCGGGCACATCTATACCACCCACCATCAATGGTGCCAGGGCGAGAGGACTCAGCGGGGTCTCTAGCCCAGTGCCAGGGGCGGGTGCGAAGATTACGGAGGGCAACAGCACCCCAACCCCAGAGCCAGGTCATGACCAGAGACCTGGCATGGAACATGAACCTCAGGTACGTTGTCGCAGACCTGAAAAGAATATTCCCACCAGACGGCCAGATTCACTGCTTCAGCTCAATTTGGTACTGACTGCGTAACAGCATGCCCCTCCCCGACCCCAAGGCCCAACCGGACCTCCTCCAGGTGTCAATCCAGCTGCGCTTTATCCGTGGTCCCAGAGGCGTCTGACCTTCACATCCTCACAGCCGAATCCTTTCCCCCGATATGGCGCCGCAGTCAATTCAGTCTCCTCGAAAGAAGGGGAAATATACATGATGGGTGGCTTGATTCATGGATCCACCGTCAAAGGAGACTTGTGGATGGTAGAGTCTGGTGGATCGAACCTGGCCTGTTATCCGGTAGGGACCACATTTGAGGGACCTGGACCTCGAGTGGGGCACGCAAGTTTACTCGTTGGAAATGCCTTTATCGTTTTTGGCGGAGACACAAAAATGGATGAGCGAGATAAACTTGACGATACTTTATATCTACTCAACACCTGTAAGTCGAGCGGATTCCTCTACGCGCATTCGGCCACTAAGTCTTGTAGCAACCCGTCACTGGTCGCGATCAATGCCTGCTGGGTTTAAGCCCACCGGCCGATATGGGCATACTTTGAACATCATCGGATCAAAAATCTACGTGTTTGGTGGTCAAGTAGAAGGCTATTTCTTCAATGACTTAGTGGCATTCGATCTCAATGCATTGCAACAATCGAACAGCAAATGGGAGCTTATGATCCCGTCTAGTGGAGAAGGTGGGCCTCCTGAAGGCGTCATACCCCCAGCCAGAACAAATCATTCAATGATTATGTGGGGTGACAAGCTATTCCTGTAAGTTTCGCGTCGGGGTTTGGGAACGAGACTAATTTGCTGCTCAGATTTGGAGGCACGAATGGCACAACTTGGTTCAGCGATGTCTGGTGCTATGATCCGAAAACGGTCGGCTGGAGTCAGCTGGACTGCATTGGCTACATTCCGGTCGCACGAGAAGGACATTCGGCTGCGCTTGTAGGCGACGTGATGTACATCTTTGGAGGCAGGACACAAGAGGGCACCGATCTAGGGGATCTAGCAGCTTTCAGGATTACCTCACGACGATGGTATACATTTCAAAACATGGGACCTTCACCTTCTCCTCGATCTGGGCATAGCATGACCGCTTTCGGTAAACAGATCGTCGTTCTAGCTGGAGAACCGAGTACGGCCCCTCGAAATCCAGAAGAGCTAAGTCTCATATATATTCTTGATACGGCAAAGATTCGATATCCGAATGATCAACAGGCACAGCAAGCACCTGGGGGGAAAGAGTCGCAGGCAACCGAAGACCAAGCCAGGAACGTGGAGTCCAACAGGCAGGTATGCAGCAACAAGGCATAAGTCCTCTTCATAATGGCCCAGACTTTCTCGGCAGAAAAATCAGTGGATCACAAGAAGGTGCTGTAGGTCCGACCCGCGGGCAGTCACCAGCTATGGGGCAGGGACCTAGCCCTCGAGGTCAAGAGCCTCATATGGCCAATGGCCCTTCTCCGCCTGGTGCTTCCAGGCTTCCTCGAGCATCTGTTGGCCCCGTAGGTCAGCCACCCTCGGGCCCTCCTCCACAGCAGCAGGCGCCTCCTCCACGAACCAATGGTGCAGCACCAATTGGTCAAGGCCCAAGAGCGCGTACACCAACCAGAGATGCATCACGCGGATATGGTGGGCAGTCCTTTGACCAGAATGAGGCCATGGTCGTAGGAGCTCCAGCTCCGCGCCAAGATCCCAATGCTCGTGCCATGAGTCCTGTCGTGAACGGCCGACGTACGCCCCAACAAGGTCCAAGGCTTCAAAGTCCACCTGGAGACGACATAGACCAACAGAAGTACGATCTTCAAGGAAGATCGAGGTCAAGACAGGGGACGCAAGGCTCGGCGCCAGAAGATTTAGTCCAGCATCAGCAGCGTTCATTTTCCAATCCAACAGGTGTCTCGAATGATATCAGCTCCCAACGAAGTGAACCGACGGCTCCTCTACATCATTTTCAGCAGCTGCAGAGTCAACATCAAGGTTTGCAAACCCAACACGAGGGCTTGCAAAACCAGCATGAAGGGCTACAGAATCAGCATGAAGGGCTACAGAATCAGCATGAAGGGCTACAAAACCAGCACGATGGGCTGCGAAATGAACACGAAGGCCTGCAGAAAGAGCATCAAGGCCTTCGAGGCGAATATAATGGTCTCGAAAATCAGCAGCAGAAGCTCCATCAAGAACTCGAAGCTGCTAAGAGCCGCAATGCTTGGTACGCTTCTGAGATGGCGCTGGCCCGGAAAGCGGGCTATCAGCCTCATTCGTCTCAAAGCCCAACTCTGGACGAGAAAGCTGCGCAATCATTCGGTGATGATGACAAACCATTGATAGAGGCACTGGTTGTAATGCGCGCCCAGCTTGCCGAAGTGCAACAGACCGTCGTGGAGCGAGAGAACATTGCGGCTCAACAGGTGGCTGAGATCGAGACACAGCGAGACAACGCTATCAGAGAGGCTGTCTATGCCAAAACTAAATTGGCTGCACACGGCGGTAGCCACGCGGGAACTCCTCAATCAGAGACAAGAGACCTTGGTGACGAAGAACGTTCACACGACATTGCCCGAAAGTTGGCAATTGCCCTAGCGACGCAGGAAGAGCTTCGTGCTAAGATTGCTGCTATTACTAATGATGCTCATAACGAAAGACGTGCTAGGGAGTTGGCGGAGAGTACCTCCGAAGCTGCCCAAAAACGGGCCGCTGAATTCGAAGGCTCACGAAACCCCGGTGAACTCGAGACGCTACGTAACGAACTTCATCATACAGGCAAGACCGCTAGAGAAGAGGCTGCCGCAAAGGCTGAAGCGCACTCGCAGCTTCAGATTTTGAGGGTGGATAAAGAGAACTTATCAAGACAACTCGATGACGCGCTTGAAAACACTAACCAGCATAGCATTTCGCTTGCCTCATTGCGAGAAGCTGTGACTTCCTCATCCGACAAAGCCTCCCTTTTGGAAAGGAAACTTGACGAAGAAAGACAACAACGTGAGCTTGTGGATAGGAAGTTGATGCAGCTCCGCGGAGAGCATGAGGAGAGGACGGCAGAACTCGATGAGACTACACGGAAATTACGTGATGCGGACGAAATGGTGAACACGCATGCAGCTGAAGCGAGGACGCACAGGCAGGCTGTTCTGGCAGGCCTTGATAAGCTTCATGCTCGTGGAACAAACAGGGATATCAACCCCACTGAGGATGAACGAGTTCCACTTTTGAAGGAACAAGTGGAGAGCGCTCATGCTCTGGTCCGAAAACACCAAGGAGATGCGGACAATGCTGCGGACAAGCTTCGGAAGGCCGAGGAGCGCATTGCTGGCTTAGAGGCATTCCAGGAGCAATCCAGCCGAGAAAGCTTGGTGGTCCGCAAGCAATTGCAAGAAGCGGTCAAGGATACGCAAGCGCTGCAAGCGAAGCATAGCACTGTCTCCCAGCAGCTTGAGTCTCACCAACGCGATGCAAGCGCCCTCAATGTCAAGCACAATGCACTGAAAGAGCTCCTGGACGAGCGAGGCCTAGCCGAAATGAACAGGTCGCGTAACCTTGACAGCCCAGGATCACGCTTCGATGCGCCTGACAATAGCCGGCTTAAGGAACTTGAGCAGCAGCTCGAAGCTAGCAGTCGATCTCAGGAAGAAACAAAGCAAGCCCAAGCTGAAAGCGAGAGGATGTATAGTGAAAAACTTGAGCTTCTCGAAAGTGACTATCAATCAGCAGTGCATTATGTCAAGGGCACCGAAAAGATGCTGAAACGCATGAAGGATGAGCTTACAAAGTACAAGAAGCAAAATGAACACCTACAGGTTGACTTGGACACAGCTCAACGCTCAAAATCTTCACTGGGTTCCGAAGAGTTGCTACGCCGCGAGCTGGATGACATGCATCACACAGTCGGTCAGCTTGAAGATCAATTAGGTCAAGTGCAGAGAGATCTCGATACGACCATACAAGAACGCGATGTTCACCGTGATACTGTAGAGCAGACACAACAGCAACTGAGCCAAGCTCGACAAGCACGGCATGACCTTGAACAGCTCCGGTCACAGAACGACGCGCTCGAGAAGCGTGCATTGGACGCGGAGCAAAAGGTCTCGCTTCTCCTTGATCAGGTCGGCAACACCGTTGGCAATTATCGCCGACAGTCACAGAACATGCACGGGGATCGTGCCAACGGTCACTCCCGGAATATCAGCGCGATCAGTAACGCATCGTCTGCCAACCCTGCACCCCTCAATTACGGGGGAAACCACGGTCACGGCCACGGCCATTCTCACACCAAAAGCACAGAAATTGAGCCCGCCTTCCCCGCTGTGCCAGAATCGAATGATGAGAATAATCGGAATTCTGTCGCGCTGGACTCCCTGGCTTCAGAGCTTGAGACTCTTCGGTCACAATGGGCTGACACTCACCGAACGTACCGATTGTCCAACCAATTTGACTCAGCTCCCACCTCTGCAACTGGCCCAGGCAACATGAGTGACTCTCTTGCTAGTTGGAGAAAGCGACTAGATGCTGAAGAGGCAGCTAAAGGCGGCAGCAAGCACGCAAACGAAGAAGGTAGTGAACGGGGTACTGAAAAAGATCGAGACAGCGGAGTCATTCGCCCGAGTGAAAAGATGCCTGGCGGTCTAGGAGGGCTGAGCGATACCAGTGAAGAGAGTGAGGACGAGAGGAGACCGCAGAGGAGTTATGTGATATGAAAAGGCGCCTGAGTTGGGCTGATTTAACAACGGACGTCGCGATCGTCCAAGCATTTTCCCTTACTATGTGTACTGCTGGACAGGTGTTTGGGGCCTTTGGATACCGAGAGCTTTTCTCGTTCGTTATCTGCGAGAAGGAGCGAGCTCGTGAGCCGTCTGTGACAGGGTATGTTTTGAGTGGGTGGGAGTGCGATGGTGGGAGTGCTGGGGTGGGGTGGGGGTTTGTGTATATCAGTCAAGCTTTCTGCATTGCTGCCGTACTACAGAGCAGCGTAACATGCAGTAATGTAAAATAGATATTTGGAAGCAATGACATTTTCATACCGTTCATTCATCCTCTGAGGATCCTTTGTATGTCCACAATGGTTTCGGTGAGGTCTACATAGTTGTATCCTTCGATGTTTACCAGCTGATTTAAATGGGAGCTTTGCCTGATTTGGATCCATCGCGGGGCAGACGCCATGAGGCACGAAGCTCAGCCCGTCATCACCGACCACCGGTGATGAACCTAAAGAGCTCGGTCAGCTGCTCATTATGCACTTCAGTGTTGACATCAGCGTTTTCATGAAAATACTCATCTCCCTTCTGACGCCAACACAGTGGCAACATCGGTGACCAAATAGGATGTCACAAGCGGTGAAGTGAAGTGAAGGCTGTAAGCGGCACCATTGCCACTCTATCTTTGCTTTTCGCACCTTCTGACTCGTCTTTAGGTAGGATGGCACTCCTCACAATGGCTCCGCCTGGCATTCCTGAGCCAGCCATACCAAATGGAAACAACGGCCGCCATCCCGACAGCAATACATCAACCCCGATTTCCACCTCTCCCGAGTCTACACGATCGAGCAAAAGTACAACGAGCGGCAAAGCTAGCACTTCTGGAGCTAGTAGGCATCTCTACATAGGCAATGGTCATCGCTCCGAGAGCACTGGCGGTGATATCGCAAGAAGAGCTTCAGGTACTGAGAGCGAGGTGTTGTCGACACAAGCAAATGGGGCGCAGAAAGACCGCGCGAAAAAGCTCCCCAGGTCCAAGACGGAGATCGACCTTATAACACGGGGACCAAGAGAGAGTCGTGAAGATGAGCCTGGCCAAGAGTGGGAAGTACGGCATGGCTGGGGTCAACAGTACTATTCGAAGGAGGTCTTCACGATCCTCAACAAGGTAGCCTATCCTTACAATGTGCTTGCTTTTTGAGGGACCCTAGGCTGATCATGCTGTTGTGTGCTTCAGTCATACTTCACGTATTACACCAATAAAGGGCATGAGACCGATGGTAGACCAACAGTCAGCATGCATACACCCCCACCCAAAGATTGGAACCAGAAAGACAAGACGAAGACAGTGCAAGGCTCTCTCGTACTATGTTTGAATCTAGGTGTTGATCCTCCCGACGTCATCAGACCAAACCCTTCTGCTACCATGGAATGCTGGATTGATCCTACAAAATCAACCCAGCAAAACCCCAAGATTCTTGAACAGATAGGGAAAGCTCTACAAGGACAATACGAGAATCTTAGCATCAAAACTCGGTACAGACAGCATCTTGACCCTTCACTAGATGAGACCAAGAGGTTTACTACGGCTGCACGGCGCAACGCGAAGGAGGAAAGAGTCCTGTTTCACTACAACGGACATGGTGTACCTTTGCCAACACCGTCTGGCGAGATATGGGTCTTCAATCGTGACTACACCCAATACATACCTGTCGCACTTTATGATCTGCAAAGTTGGCTCGGTGGTCCGTCATTGTGCATATATGACTGTTCCCATGCAGGCAACGTCATCGGCAATTACGAAAGATATGTCCAGAAACACGAGGATGAAAATCAAGAGTTGCGTATGACCAGACCAGATGTAGCAATCCAGAATTACGGCGGCAATCTCCATCTGGCGGCCTGTGGAAAATCAGAAACATTGCCTACTGATCCTGAACTTCCTGCAGATCTATTCACCTGCTGTCTGTCAACGCCGATTGAGATCTCATTGCTCTTTCATACCCTTCAGAATCCCATTCACCGCAACATCACAGCCGAGGATTTGAAGCAGGTGCCTGGCAAGGCTCAAGAACGAAGGTCACCCATGGGAGAGCTCAATTGGATTTTGACTGCAATTACGGACACCATTGCGTGGAATTGTCTACCCACTGACCTCTTCCGCAAGCTTTTCCGTCAAGACTTGATGGTAGCCGCTCTATTTCGGAACTTCATAGTAGCAGAGAGGATCATGACCGCATATGGCTGCCACCCTACCACTCACCCCAAAATACCACCAACACATGACCATCCCCTATGGGAAGCGTGGGATCTCGCCGTGGAATTGGTGGTATCCCAGCTACCTGATCTAATAGCAAGTAGACAAGAAGGCGCGCAGCCATACGAATATCAGCAATCGAATTTCTTCTCCGAGCAGCTGCAAGCCTTCGAACACTATCTTGAGCAAGGCGCTCCAAGAAAAGATCCACCGACGCAGCTTCCCATCGTGCTTCAAGTACTACTCAGCCAGGTCCATCGCTTCAGAGCTTTGATGCTACTGAGCAAATTTGTCGATCAAGGACCTTGGGCAGTTAATTACGCCCTTACTATTGGTATCTTTCCATATGTGGTCAAGCTCCTCCAGTCACCTGCTGTCGAGCTGAAGCCGATCATGATATTCATCTGGACTCGTATCATGGCTGTTGCAGCCAAGGACTCTTTTTATGTTCATAGTGAGCTCTTGAGGGATAACAATTTCAGTTACTTCATCAGTGTTCTAGTCTCTGGCTCTGTGTTGCCTCTTGGACACGGTGAATTTCATCATGCCTCACACCGCGCGATGTGCGCTTTCGTCATGACGATGTTCTGTCGAGGCTTTGGACAGGCGCAACAAGTATGTCTATCATCAAGGCCAAGTCTGATGGATTGCTGTTTGAATTTCCTGCAAGCTGGTGACGGGGATGCTGGTAGTACTCTTCTTCGCCAGTGGGCCTGTCTTTGCATTAGTGAGTTATGGAAGAACTATCCCGAGGCAAAATGGGTGGGAATTCGAAGTCTGGCTCATCACCGGCTGTGTGCTTTGATTGTCGACCCAGTCCCTGACGTGCGGGCTGCTGCTATACATGCTCTAACGAATTTCCTGGGTATCCCAGATCTTACAGAGGCTGTTGCCCAGAACGAGAAGATGGTGGCGTCAACGCTCATGATCATGACTACAGACGCGAATATTACTGTCAGGAGAGAGCTCTTAGTCTTTTACTCTGCTTTTGTGAGGAGGTATCGAAACAAGTTCATGGTCGCGGCATTTGAGACACTGACAGAGGAGCTTGAGCATTTGCTCGAAGTAAGTGCTGGAGTGGAGAACGACCGACAGCCCAAGGTGAATGGAACCCTTGCCGCAGGATCTCATCACAGCTCCGACAGTAAGGTCTCGGAGGATACTTTGCAAGGTGCCATGTGGTACCAGCTCATCACTCTATCGGTAGATCCACATCCAGATGTAGCACAGACAGCTGGCATGATCGTTGACTATATCCACAATGCTCTACTCGATTCACCGCTGGGTTCACATACTCAGGAGTCGATTGATAAAATCCTCGACCTGACTTCACAAAGGCCCCTGCCCGGTTCGCGAGCACCTTCGGCGGCACCTTCTGCTCGACCAGAATCATCGCCTGCTCCAAGAGGACAAGCAGAGCTAAAGCCTGAAGGGTATATTTCTTTGGGCTTCAAGCGGACGGCGAGCGTCGCGGCCGCGCTGGCAAAATTAGTTGCTGGTGGCCCGTCAATGGACAATCTTGCAGCTACGAATGGCAACGTGCCAATCCCTGTTCAGCAGAAACGTTTATCAGGACCAGGGCGCGCAGGTATACCTACAGAGTGGAGTACTCCCCCGGACCAACGTGACAGCCCTCATACTTCAGGCAAGTACATCAAAGCTAAAACACCTAGACCAAAACAATTTCAAGAACGACAAGGCAGGGAAGTGGTCGAGCTTCCGCTTCGAAGCGATTTCTTAGACTATTCGCTTGAATACTTCCTTGAGCCACAGATGAAGCCCTATGAGCCTGATGAGCCAGGAAGCGATGACTACAATCAACGTCTGTGGCGACGTGAACGCAATGACAAGATCCTAGCCAAGACCCAGCCTCTGAAAAGCTTTGCGAGCACGAATCCATGGGACAAAGATGCAGGCTTCTTCAATAACGGCTCTCAACCTTCCAAAATGGCTTTTCATCAATTCGAAGACCACCTGGTTGTTGCCGATGATAGAGATAGTATCTGTATCTGGAATTGGCGAGATAGAACGCGGCTTTCTCGCTTCTCAGTCGGCAACCCCAAGGGCTCCAAGATCAACGAAGCGCGCTTCATCAACGAGGATGACCAGGCCCTCCTCATAGTGGGCTCTTCAGACGGCGTAGTCAAGATCTTCCGCAACTACGACCGAGACCCTGAACTCGTGACCGCCTACCGCGCCCTTAACGAAATGGTGCCCAGCACACGTAACGCGGGTCTCGTATTTGAATGGCAGCAAAGTCAAGGCAAGCTCCTCGTCGCTGGAGACGCCAAAGTCATCCGAGTCTGGAACGCCCAGACAGAGCTCTGCATCAAAGACATCCCCGCGCGCTCGGGCTCCTGCATCACGTCCCTCACCTCCGATCAAGTCGTCGGTGAGGTCTTCGCTGCGGGCTATGGGGACGGCGCGGTCCGCGTGTTCGATCAGCGCTTGAAACCCGCGCTTGCGCAGGTTAAGGTCTGGAGGGAGCAGAAACAGTGGATTACTAATGTGCATATGCAGCGTGGAGGGCAGAGGGAGCTGGTGTCGGGGAGTCGGAATGGAGAGGTCAAGTTGTGGGATGTCAGGATGGAGAAGAGTATTCAGACTGTGAGGGCGCCAGGGGTGCTGAGGACGCTGAGCGTGCATGAGCATGCGCCTGTTTTTGCTACGTGAGTTCACCGTCCCCACCGGCCCATTCCCTCATCCCTCCCTCCATCCGACGTTACGTTTCTTTCCTGTTTTCTATCATTGTTTGGTGTCATTTGAATCACTGATACTAATACACCATATAGTGGCTCCGACCACCACGCCCTAACCCTCTTCAACATGAACGGCGGCCTTCTCAATACCCTCCACCCATACTCCCCCTTCCTCAGCGCAGCGCGATCCTCGCCTATCACTACCACCGCTTTTCACCCGCACCAGATGCTGCTCTCTGCCGGCTGCGTCGGCTCGACCTGGATCAATATCTATACTTGTGGGGAGGGGAAGGTGGCTATTTGAGCTTGACCTGGGTTGTTTCAATCGATGGTGATGGTGGAGTTGAGGGCGGGATTGATGTCTCTGCACCCCACACGAGAGAGAGCTTGGGGATGGGGTAATGGCAAGGGTAACCATGGCGGTGATGGTGATGCTTTCTTTCTTTCTTCGTCTTCGAAATCATGGCTTTTCGGTACGCATGCATACCTACGGAGTGCGCGCAGGCACAGTGGCAGACACGGCATGGCATGGCATGGCTCGGCATCAGCGAGGGCGTTTCGTTCCGTTCCGTTCGTCGGCGATGTGATACCCCACATACATTTTTCTTCCCCCTACACATACATCATTTACGCGTTCGCGTACGTCTGTCACTTTTGCATCGGCACGTCTGCACAGTCGCGTGCGTGAGATTCTTTTCGGCTGGGTTGGTGGGTGGTGAATCTTCTCGGTGGCATGGAACGGGGGATGGATTAGGATGATGGTAATGAGAGATGTCGAAGATGGTGATCGATGGCTGGTCTTAGCTAGCTAGCTACTTAGTTGATTTAATTTGATCAGTGGAAATATCCTTGCCCCGCCCCCTGCCCTTATAAGAGAAAGAGCAAGAGGGAGAGGAGGAATCGACTTCGCTGCTCCCATAACACACCCACTTGTGTTATTACCAGCTCCTTCTCATCCCCTTACTAGCTCTATCTTTCTATCAGCTCGGCGTTCGCTAGTAGACAGGTCTTTCCCACCTTCCTACCTTCCCCCAACCGTTCCCTTACGTTTCGAATCTGTGTTGCTAGCGTGGGCAGTCGCTTGTGCCAATCGCCATCGCCATCGCCATCGCCATCGTTGGATGCTGAGGAGGTGGGAGGTGCGGAGGTGGGAGATGAGGAGGCGAGCGGTATGGATGGTTGTGTTCACTTTATGGGAGATATATTTGGAGGGGCGGGATGAAAGAGGGGAGGGGAATGGTGGGATGGTGGGATGTTGTTGTATTAAGTGAAAGTGAGGTGGTTGGGGGATGAGGGGAGGAGGGATAGGAAGAGAGAGGGATGGAAGGGAGGGGGAAAGGAAGGGGATAGAGGAAGAGTAAGAGAGGGGACAGGAAGGAAGGGGGTGTGAAGGAGTTGTGGCTCTACTAGGATGTTATTTTCTTGGGATACTGTTCTCTTGGGATACTGTTCTCTTGGGATACTATTCTCTTGGGATACTGTTCTCTTGGGATACTGTTCTGTTGGAATGTCGCTCGTTTGTGATCTTAAAGGGAAGGGAAAGCGATGGGAAAACAGATATAGGCTTGTGGGGAGCCGTAGGGAAGGTGAGTTCGGTGTTGAGGTAGACGGGGGCGATGAATGGAGGCAGTGGAGTAGGAGGGACAGGGAGGTCTAGTCTTTTTTGAAGTGTCCAAATATATGCTCCTTCTCTTTCTTTGGCCACAGTTCTTTTGATTATATCATGACTGATCTTTACCTGTTAACGGATCACCTTCTCCAGAACCTTTCATTTCCGTGCCAACTTCATCCTTGTCTTCGCGAGTTGCACCCTCCCAGTACCTTGTCATTAGACCTTCACTCATGTCAGCCTGAACAGCAGCGGATAGATTAGATGTGAGTCACGAACGGTCAAGAATAACAAAAATGATTTGATCACAACAACATTGAATTAGGCCTTCAGTGAGAATCTCCATTGAAGTCCCTGGCTTGGCGGTGAGGGATTGTTGTATTATCGCTGGCGTTGGGAGATGAGCGCTCAGCTCTCTCGTCGTCACAGGGTGGTGGCACGAACGCTTGGGCTTGGCTGGAGATAGGCTGCGTTTTGCCGTCGTAGGGAGGCGGGACAAACGCTTAGGCTTAGCTTGATATACGCTGGCCTCCACCTTACGAGCACCATGTTAGGTAGATGTAAGGCTGTGAGATGTGTGATGCTTTAAGTCGAAGCCGCGTAGTGGAGCAGAGCCGGCTTTTATATTGCGAGGTAGATTTTGTGGATCTGTGGGTGGAGACGTGTTTGACTTTGGGCGCTAAACCAAGACGGTCCTGTTCCTGGGGTGAAATCGATTGAGTTGTTGCCTGATTTTTCCTGATTCATTGCCCTGCCCTTCTTGTTCTACTCCCTCTCCTCCCCTACGTCTCCAGCTGCCATCAGAATGGCCCCTAGTTCCCGTGGGCGCGCCTTCTTGAAGTCATAATTCTATGAAGAGATGTGGTGTCATGTATTGAGCCAGGTATTTCATAGCCTATGGGTCCATTGCTGAACGTGGTGTCATTTTGTCCGCACTCTTTCCCACAGTCCTCATCCTCTCATCCTGTTGTTCCTGTGTTCTGCAAATCACAGATTTTCTGCGCCCTATCAGTCGCCAGTGTCAGCTGCTTTCCCATCCCCCCCGCCCTCCCATCAGGAGAACGAAAGCGTACGTACCGTATAGCTCTCAGCCACACCCCAGCCAGACTAATGATCAAAATCGCGTTCAGAGCAACACTGAAAAGGAGGGCTTTGGGGAGGAATCCAGGCCGGTGATGCAAGGTCATGGGACTATTTCGTGTATCAGGGGAGGGGCGCTCTTCGACATCGTCAGGAAAGGTGGAGAGGTTTGTGTATTTAGGTGTCGAGGAGTTGGATGAGGGGAATATGAACATGATTGTCGTTGAATTGGGGGTTGTGGAGGTGACTAGGGACTCGGGACCGGGGCTGGGAGGGGAAAACGTAGAGGGCTAGAATTTGGCCCAAGAATTGATACTGTTGAGGAAGTAGGTGTACTTGATGATAGGTCTGGAGTACTACGCTCGTGAGAGTCTCTGCGGAGAAGATTTTGAAATACGGTAGGGCTGAAGATCAAAGTTTAGGGTTGACTTCGGGGCTCAAGGCGGGAGCCTAGGCTTAGCGGCATCATGAATCTTCAGGGGGTCTTGCTGCAGGAAATGAAGCTGTATGCATAACGTTGATTAAGTGTTCTTCTGTACAGATTGACTCGGGAACACTCCGACCTCATACTGTAGGAAGAGAGTATAGACTCTCTAAACATAGTAAATTGGCAGTCTCCTAGTCTCGCCCGCTCCAATCATGACCACTCCAAGGGACAGCGAAAGTATGATAGGGCCGAATGCTGCCTTGTCAATCTATACGCAATGTTACGAAAGAGAGACTTGTCCATATTCGAATTGGACGCTGCAGATCTCAGCTCACGGGAAATACTGATTCGTTGCGCCTGCAGCCCTTTGGCTGCAGACGCATGACATAGCCACTTTACGGTGCGGCGGAGCACATCTCACCCATCTGTTCAATCTTGACAAGTTGGCAGCTACTTCAAAATCATGGAGAAGCATTGTGGTCAAAATCTTCTAGCGCTTTTGGTGCTATGTCTAATTATTCATATACTGGCAGCCAGTCTAGTGGGCCTGCGTTTCTTCGGCCGCAAGATCGGCGCCGTGGGAATTTGGTGGGACGATATTCTAATGCTTGTCACGTTTGTGAGTCTGGACTTCGTTTAATATGATGTCGTGGAGTAATTTGTTGAAGTTGGTTGTCTCTACGATGTGTTACTATACACTATGTTAGTATTCTAAATTCCATATTTCGGTTGGAAGTCAAATATTGATCTAGAGTCGCAGCTGCAATTTCTACTTATTCGGATGACTGTCTTTGGGCCAAGAACAGTAACAAAGCCCGTTTTCGAGCCATCATTGGCCTATGGGCTACCGCGACCACCCTACACACATACTCCAATTTTTCTTTGATTGTTCGTACCTTTGCGTTGAAATGGCGAGATCTAGGGCTGGATGGGTGTCACCTACTCGTCGCATTCATCTGGTGTTCTAGCACGGTAGAGTCATCACTTCCTCCACTGATGCACCAGTCACTCAAAGAGACATCTAGATTATGAGTCTTACGATTCTTCCGGGCCCACCCGATCAGAAGCCCGGCAGCACTGGCGGCCCTCTAATGAGCTGGCAAGAACAGGCGATTTTGCTATCCATCAGTATTGCCCGGCATTTGATCACGTTCAACATGACGAGGATCAAATATCGCGCGATCAGCAAAATCAATCTCCCTGCTTCCCGCAAGACGTTCATTATGGCAATGAGTTCAGGTGCATTGTAAGCTGAGCTCTCCATGGTCTTAGGATTGTATTGCTCACATGAGTCATAGCATGCAGCTCATTACGCTGTGTCGTACCTTTAGTGTCATATTTCAGTCTAGGATGTTGCTGGTGCTGTCAGTCAATATCGAGACCAATGCTCATATAATAGTTAGTCAGTTTTCTGTCCATTTTCCAGCTAAGACCATGATCTAACGACCCTGGAGCTTGTCTCGGAGATTCTGTAGTTGGACGTAAATTCCTCAAAAGGAAGCTTACACTCTGGTGGGACCGGTTTACTTCTGCAAAGAAGGGTGGTGAATTTCTCTCAGCAGTCTATATGCTCGCTAACGCAGATTCACGACACCGAACTTGGCAGTTGACCGAATTGGCCGGAGAGACTTCTCAATATGACGAGCAGTCTACAGAGCTTGAAGCCATGCCTCAAGTGATCCCTGAGCTCGCCAATCAAGCGGAGCGGAGAATGCAGTTTGCAGACTTTCCGCGCATGGCACCACAATGGCGAAGAGAGGAGCTCGAGACTTGACGTGCTCAGCCGCAGAAGTAGACGGTCCTACAGCCGATTTGCAGTGTCGATGGTCTTCTTGTTGCCCATTTGCAAAATGCCACTCCCACTTCGAAGTTTCACATAATCATGCGGATTGGGTCGAGTGCGCGAGGAGCTGGAATACGGATTCTCTCGTGAGAGTGGAACCAACTCTGTAAATGGACAGCACTGAGACATCGCCAGATGAGGTCCACCTTCAAGGACTTGGAAATGTACTCATTTCTGACAAAAGCGTTATTCTAGCGATCGCCGCTATCGATACAAAAGTGGCAGAAGATGAGGTCCATATCCCTCACACGTTGGTCTATCAGAAATTGGCAACGCCGAGTTTATAGGGGCGAAATGGGGGTAAGGTGTAGCCTTGGAAGCCCAGCTACCGGGACATTCCCTAAAGTCCACCAGTGCTAGAAGTGGCTTTACCACTCAATCCAGCATTGCGATATCCCTATCGACCGACCTTCGACTGTATTCTACAACTCCATAATCGTTACCTGAAACTTCACCGCAAACCAGAAAAATATCGTACGGTATGTACACAGTAACTACCCAGCCAAACCAGCTCCAAATCAGGCGAAACGAAAAGGCTGCCGCAATTCGTTGGGATTCCTTAGCACAATAACCCAAATAAACCCTCAACGCCTACTTCACGTCTACATGACTGACTTCTTCAAACTATCCACATGTGCACGTGCACGCTTCTGTTGTCAGGTAATACCCCGCCGGAGCACACGAGCAATTAGCATCCGGGCCATTACACTTGCCCCCGCACGAGGTGTCTGTCCCGTAAAATGCCGCTTTGCACACCGGTGACGGCGATGCTTTCGCAGCGGTCGTTTTCGCAGTCGTCGTTTTGGCCGTGGTCGGTTTCGCCGTGGTATGGGTACCCGTTGCCGTGTCCGTCGCGGTAGCTGTGCCCACATCGGTGGCGCAGTCGCTCGCTGCTTGTCGCTTGAACTTCCGGGACGGGGCGGACTTGTACTTTTCGTGGAAGGTTTTGATGGCTTTCTCGATACTGTCGACGTTGGATGAGAAGTCGGGGGCGGAGATGCCGTCGAGATTTCGGAACTCGAAGAGGGGGACTGCGCGAGTTGTGCCGATGACTTTCTCCAGCGCATTATCGAGGCCGCCGATCTGGCCGTCGATGAGTTTGTCGAGATCGGTCAGCTTGTCTGGTCGAGTGTCGCCTGTGATGCTGGTGATCCAGTCTTCGACTTTCAAACATTTTTTGTCGTTCGTGTCGTCGTTCTTGAGACACCAGCCGTATTTGTCTAGTTCTTTGTTTGGCTGGGGGTTTGATGGAGTGCCGTCGCAGAATTTTGAGTCAATGCTGGGTAGTATGTCAGTCATATACATGCATCAAAGACTGTTCATGGATGACCTTACTCAACGTCATCTCCCTGATTTTTATAACAGGCGAGGACCTTGACCAGCTCATAAAGGGTGCCTGACCCTGGGAGTGACGACGACACCTGGGCATACTGGGTAATGAACTCTGTTCGAGGCATGATGGAGGTGATACTTTTTGGGCTTGAAGTACCATATGTCGGATTGTCACTGATGTCCGTGGCACCTTTTGCGTATGAAAGCACAACGCCGAAGAACCCGAGGACGTCCGCCTTCACGTCATCGCTAGAAATGCCGTTGGGTGAGGATTGAAAGAAGTCTTTGGTCACGGAGACTACACCCCTCCTCCTGCCGGGGCCAGTTTGTGGTAGCAAAGGAGACGTAGTGGTGCCAAGTGCTTCGGCCTTGAGATCACTGATGGCTTCAAAAGGGAGGGGTGCAGTGGCCTGAACCAACCAAATCAGGTTGTTCTGATTGCCACTGCTTGAGGGTTTTGACACTTGCCAAGGATTGCACTCGTTTTCTTCGATGTCCCACTTATTGTTGTCCATGTCTGCGTATGGGTTCCAGTCTTTCTATTTCAGAAGGCTATCAGTCCATGTATAAAGCTGGTGATGGAATTGGATTTCCTTACTAGGTCACCTGAGACTGCAGCAGCTGCTGCGGTGGCCGTATCGTCTCCAATCTTGACCTTGGTGCCATCTAGGATATATTCAGCAGTTAGTCGCCCAGCGATCTCTGCTGTCGTGTCTGCTGTAAGTTTCCATTTGTCTCCTTGACGTGGATCTTTGCCCTGGCTTCCTATACCCTTTCCCTTTGCTTGATTTGTTTTGGATGAGTCACATTCTGAACGTAGTTCTACTCCCAGGGATTCAAATTCGATTCCTAGACCAGCTGTTTTATCGGAAGTTGGGCCATCCAAGGTGGATGCCTCGTCAATCTCGCAGGAGTCGGCATCGGCAGAATCTGCACGCGGGTTGATATTTGATGGCAAGGCCGTGATAAATGGCAGAAGAAGGAAGAACGGTAGGGCAAAATGGACAAAAAGCATTTCGATGTGCATATATGGACTAATTTGGAACCAGCCTCGTTACTTTATGGCAGGATTGTCTCTTCGGAATGCTGCAGAAGGCGACTTTACCACCTCTTGATATATACGAGAGAACGGGGCTGTGCGCGACTCTTCACCACAATCTCCTCGCATTGGTGCCCTCCATCACAGAGATTGCTTCTTTGCACCACAGAGACCAAAGAACGAGTCTCATGTTGTTACTGCTGCTCATGATTTGAGGCGCTTCTTGTTGTTCATTGCTTTGCCACAGGAGTACAGCGACGCGCGTTGCCTCAACGGGGGCCCGCTGCACGTTCGCAAAACCAGGTGACAGTTTTGAAAGCTGTAAATAAAGCCAAAGGGGAACACGGATATCAAACTTGGTACACTTGATTGGACCTTTATCGTGGAGTGTGAGCGGAGTATCCGGTTGGCTAGGACCTTCTCTGAGTAATTGACGGTCTCATATGCATTAGCGAGGCTATGTTGTTAGCCTTTGCGTGTCCATGAAAAGCTGCTATGGACGACTCACAGCCTCAAGAAATTGATATAGTTCATCGCGGTTTATGCGAGATTGTCTCATTTTCATCCTTCGTCCTTAAACGGCCAGAGACGGCCTATGGAAAGACTCACCGAGTAGATGCTGTGACTTCTAGATCAGTAATGCAATCTCCATGAAGGCTGTAGGGTTTTATTATCCGGAGCCTCGCCGAATATTGTATTCAGACAAGTTACTATTCACGACGGCAGTGTGGGAATCGCTTGTGGCTTGAAGGTCTGAGACTTGTGCAGTCTCAACGGTATGATCGAGCAAAGGAAAGCTTCGGAGATTACGTCCTACCATATGGCTGTGCAAGAGCGTATCCGCTACCTTGAACGTAGTTCAGCCGTGGAATTGAGGTCCTGTAGGCGGTTGCTTCTGTAGATGTTATCCACCCCTCTTTGCGCTGCGCCGCACAGACTGTAGAAGCATCGACAGTATACTATCATTCCAACATTATGGAGAATGCGTCAAAAGACATCTCTTGCGATGTATGGCCGTGAGTGGCTTTCATTCCTGATTCGAACCAACAAATAATGTCCTGCCCCCACCTGTAATCAAGCGCTATCATTAGTATCTCTCCATGTCATCACCTATGGGATATGGGGTTTCATCTGCGGAGGGGTCCGACGATATGATTGCCCTGACTTGTATGATGGTTCGCAAAGGTAAGGTGCGTGGCGAGGGGCGTGACGCAACCTTAACGATAATTTGCGGATGATTAAATACGAAACCGGCGCAGTCATTCTATCCTGACACTTCACACCCTCATCTTTCAAACGCAGACTCCGGTACCTACAAGGAACAAGCACTTTGAGCGGCTGCATAGGCATCTGTCCGAGGGGTCCCTCACTATCCTGCAAGTTACGTCATACCTCGAAGCAACACTGTCGTACATCTCAATCAGGTCATCTTTCACTCTCTTTCTACTGGACTCGATCCATCAAGCCTGCACTTGCAGTGCCGATAGCAGTGATTGCAGTCTCAAGATTATTTCTCATTCTTAACCAAGATCCGCAGATATGGCCTCTACGTCTGACTCCAACACTCCCATCGGTGCGAGGCCTACTCTGATATCCTTACCGAGCGAGATCACCATTCAAGTCATCTGTCGACTGCCCAGATTGGCCGACGTCCTCGCTCTTTCAGCAACGTGTAAGCATCTCCGAGATATCTGGTCGTCGAATGTCACTCAAATCTACGACTGCCTTGCATCAAAAAGCATTCCTTGTCTTCAGCATGCCCGTAGCTTCTATGCTGATCAAGAAGGATTGGCCGTGGATGATGCAATGTCTACCACGGGAGTTGCTCGCATGATGAGGAATGCTCGGATTGTTGAGAAAGCCATCGTTCAGTTCGAAAGAGAGATTGTGAGTCGAGTCAAGAGTGAGTCTCGCACAAGCTAGCTGCTTCTTGATCATGCCGCTGATAGTCTCAAAAAAAGCCGACGGGATATCAGCCGATGAGCTCGAACAGTGCTATGGCGTAGGAGCACGCGGACATCCCCCTACCATGACTCCCACTGAGCGCGGACGCTTTGTTCAGAGTTACTACACGTTGTGGGGGTTGATGATTTTCGATACTTCCAGATGGACGCCAAGACTCGAAGTCATGACATCCCAAGAGCTCTACTACCTGCATGAGATGACCAAGTTGACGCAAAACATCGGTGGAGGAGAGAGTGTCCCGGCACCCCTGTTCCCAGACCAGCCGCCCGACTCTGTTCACGCGATAGACAGCGGGAGATCAGGAGAAAGAGAAATTCTCGAATACGCAGTCTGGCATCAAATTGATCACATTTCTCAGCGCATCTTCGGCGAGAAAGCCATACATGCTGACATCTACGCTAAACATGAGGGTTTTATGGGGTTTGTAGTAATCTGGGACCACTGGCAAATTTCTTTGAAGGATGCTGTCTTGCATTTGTCGAGGATTAAGGAGAGACCTAATACAGAGGCTGTGAAGCGTTATCTTTGGAACGATGATTATGGGACATCGGTGGAGACTGGATGATAGAGGAGCCGGACGCGCAGGAGTATAGGGGGCAGCATGTGAGTTTTACGTTTGTTTCTCGCCCGCTTTCCTACCGGCACACACAATCATGATACAAATTGTCGTTGGTATAGTATCAAGCTCATAGGCCTCCACTCACTGTCTGAAGCTTTTCTCTGATCTGAACATCCGTCATTGCCAATCAGACATTCTAATTGGCTACATAGACTTGCTCTATCATGCTAGGTATAGCCAAGATTCTATTTACACAAATTTTCCAGAAAAGCAATTCATGCAGTAATCATTCACCCAACACACTCTTGATCGAGAGAGGACAGGGTACCTGAAATTACGTGTATTTCGAAGTTCATCGCTAATAAGGGCGGTTCTTTGGCGGAGGATGATTGATAGAGCCGACCCTCGCGCATGCTCGTGGAGGATCGACAATTAGAGCTGTCCCAGTACAGAAATGGCGTTCTTGTTCTTCCCCAGTGTAAGAAAATCCCAAGGCCATCACCAGAGTCGGGTTCCGCAATTTTTGATATGAAGCAGTCCCACCTCTGGATGAACATGTAATATCCGGAAAATCAAATCGTCTAGCAGAGCCATCGGGACCAATGGTTGACAGCTGAGTTGAGGGCATGTATGAAGCTGAATTGATGGTCCACCTTATGGTCATGGAGCTGACACAATGGTAAATGGTAAGTTCAGGTAAAGTGACGAAAACTTCGTCAGTCTGTCTACATGTGTTCAGTATGCGGCAATGACTTCAATCATGATTTAGTGCCTTCGGAGGTCGAGCTATCACTTCCATGTTGCCTGCAGACCATGCACATGCTGATACCAACTCATCTGAGGGGTAGAAATAGAGATAGACTGTCTTCGTTACGTCAGGAAGAAGCTTGGGGCCAAAGAGCATACTGACAGTCGCAGCAAAGTAACATTTAGCGGGGTCACAGTGCTCCGGAAGAATGGAAGACCCTTCCTGGTGAGAGTTGATCGTCATGCTGGGAATGGGGTTAGTAGGAGCTCCGGTTTGAGCTAAGGAAACAGCTTTGGCGGGGCGAATGTTCGCTATCGGAGCCGTTCGAGTTGATACCGTTCGACTCGTGATAGCTTGGAAAGGGACTGTTGTAGTTGTTGCCTGTACTAACGCTGGAACAGACACGCTTTGCGGACCAAGGCTAATGCAGTACATCGTGCTATCAATATAGTGGACAAGAAGATGTATGATTGGAGTGGTAAGTGCTATGAAGTTCCAACGTGAATGCACACACGACCCCGGGCACCAACACGTCTACCGAAATAGACTTGTGGCCTTCACCGTTAGTTGTAAGACTAATCATACCTTCCATGCTCGAGATCGATCAGAATAGCCTTGTCGGTGCATATCGGGAATTAGGCCATGATAACAGCAGACAAGAGCTCTTTAACGAAAGTGTGCCATCTGGTCCAACAAACCGCGTTCTGGAGCTGGGATACTCGACGCTCTTCGAACTCGGAGCTCGACGCAGCTCTTTGGAATCACTACAGAGGCCCATTAGGAGGAACGTCGCTGGAATTAAGACATTTGCACAGCGCGAAGCTGCTGCGATAGAATTAGTGTCATTGACCACGTCTAGGGCTACCTCGAGGGTACTGGAAGAAATCTACACTTTCTAAAGTCGAATATCTCTAGATCTGGACAAGTCGCTGCCGCCGAGTCGGATCGTGGGCAGCCCGATCATATCCCCCGATTTGCCACATGAGTCGTAGAGTGAATGGTAGCTGTATGACTTCTTCACGCCAACCTGAACATTCTGTAATTCTTATGCTTGGATTCCTCTAGGTTCTTACTCCTACATCTTGAGATATCATACGAGCCTTCACAAAAGTCTCACCAAAAGACGCCTAGAAGATCCCGATGTGTCAACTTCAACAGCATCATTCACCTCTTAAGGTCGCACCAAGACGACAACAAAAGAAGAGAGGCATATTTGAACCTCTGTGAGCTCTCAATCGGGTTGCCATATACTCACAAGGCAGGTGACACTGACATGGCAAACTTCTGCATATCTATCTCCATCCAGCACCCCTGGCTTATGCTTGTCACATCAATTAAATCACAATGATCTTACCACCCCACTCCCCTTCATACCTCTCTAAATTCCCTCCCATCAACCTCAACAATCCACTCCCCATCCTCCCCCTTCCTATACTTCTCTTTCCCTCCCCGTCCGCACCTCCCTACCCGCTCCCACCCATCGCTCTTCTCACCCTTACCCTCACCCTTACCCCACCCCTCATCACCCTTCCCCTTGCCACCTCCTCTCCCAAATTTCATACCCTCCCCCCACCACCGAACATTAAACCTCATCCACAGCCCCCTCACCTCCCTCATGCGCCGCTTAAACGGATTCCCGAACGTGAGCACACCGACCACCTTCCCATCTCGAAGTTTTTCCGGGCCGCCATATTTAGCTTTGAGTTGCTCGTAGTTGAAAGGGTGGGACTTGCCGGATTTGAGCGCATTGAGGACGGTGATTGTTTCACCTTTTGGGGGGGAGGTATAGTGTTAGAGGTTTTCCATTTGAAAATGCGGGGGGCGGTGAAGGGAAGGAAAGGGGCAAAAGGGGCGTAAGGAGAGATATGAGGGTTGGGAAGGAGAGGGGGAGGGGGCAGGAAAAGAGCTGCTCACCACTTCTCATGCCCAAAACCACACAATCCTCTGCCTGCGCCTGCAGTAATGCTTCATGACAGACATCGATATCTTCCTCTTCGCACTCAAAGCACTGGTGCACGTAGACTGGTAAATCTGGGATCAGATGCCCAGGTATCACGTATGGCAGGACAGGCGAGACATGGCCGCAGCTGAACGTTGCCCAGTTCGTGGAGTCGCTGAGGTAATTGTCCGTTTGGAAGGATTGGTGTTGGTTGGGCAAATGGTTGGGGGAGTACCGTGCAAAATTCAGATCGACCTGGTCGATAAAGGAGATGTCGATGTCGTCGTTGAAAGAGACTCGACGGCGGGGTTTTTGCCACTGGGGCTTTGATTTTGTAGTTAGTGATGTAGGAGGGACGGGCACGGAGTTGAGGATGTGGGTTTCTGATTCCATGAGGGCGATTTCGAGGGGGAGACGTTGTCGAGGATTTTAAATGTCTGGTGAGTGTCAGCAAATGTTCTTACACTTGCTAGAGAAGTCTGATCTTATGAACGGAGAACGTGGAAGGGGTGGGATATGTAAGGGATGGAGATGAGGGTGGTGAGGTACCATCGTCTCGTTGTAAGCCCAGGCGATATTGTGGCTCTCGAGGATTGATTCGTGGATGGCTTGAGAGTTGGTGATGTGGAAGGGACGCGTGGCGTCGTGGAAGCAAGGCAGGTTGTTGAATAAAACGTACTGCATTTTGGCTTTCAGTGAGCACAAATCGTTTGAGTAGGAAACAACGCTCTCGTGAGGAAATGATTTTCTTTTGGTTGAACAAAAGGATGGAAAGTGAACAGTATGGAGTAATGGATGAGCGTGTTTTGGTCATTCTAGAATGTGGCGGTGTATGGGCTCAGCTATTCGACTGCTCAAAGTGTTGATGCCCTTTTGCAGATTTGGGGGCGGACTTGGAACCTTCATGCTGTGGCAAAAGATGCCGTTTGAGGAAAGGATTCAAATCAGCGAGCGTGGAAGTATTCGCCCAAGTGTTCCTTCCCTATGTCAATTATGAAGCCAACTAATGGGCGAGCCTTCACCGTGATATTGATATTTTTAGCAACGCACTCAGGCTGATAATGATCATGAGACCCTGATAGTAATTATTATACATTACCTTTTCAACATATGTGAGGCAGAGTGATTTACAGAAATACAGCTGATATGCGAGCAAGTATTCGAACAGGCGAGCAAACTATCGAAGACACGCCACAAGCCACTCACTCTGGCAGCATAATAGCCAGCCCTCGCTGCGGATGCCTCTCCTAATCGATTTCCACCGTCAATGTGCCTTTGATTTCTTTCTTGTCGCCAGCGGCACGGAGTCTTTTGATCAAGTGCTTAGCACTCGAGAAGATAGGGTCCATGTGGTCCACAAGCTGCTGTCCCCCTTTGACGAGAATCTTGTTGAACAAAGGCTGAAATTCGCTAGTCCCAATTACTCCCAACAAAAGACCGTTCCACAAAATCAAAGCATCCTCAACAGTGATTCCTAGATCCTCATACATTGCCACAAATTCTTCTTGTAATCCGGTTATCTCTCTACGAATCGCCTGCCTCTCGCATCGCAAGCACCGATGTCTGCATTCTCGGGGTCTTCCAATCCCATTCTTTCGAATTTCGCCCCGGAGATTCTCTATCTTCTTTGTCCATTTTTCAATGGTCTTGGCCCATCGTCTGCCACGCTTCTTCTCCAAGTCGTCTAGCATTTCCTTGTTCACTTTATGAAAGGGAAATTTGTCGCAAAAAGCAAAGGCATCTTTGTGCGAAAGGCCGACATCGGCCCGATTTACGAGGAACTCGGCTCCCATCGTTGTGATCAGCTTGTGAATTGCGCTGTCGTCACATATGGGACAAGGGTGTGTACAAGCTTGCGGACTTTGAGGCTGCACTTGGTGCCTTCTCGTGGGTAGTGATCCACGTCCTTGGAAAGCTAAAAAATCCTCAGTATCGCCATTTAGGGAGCTCTGTTCGAGCGGCTCGCTCGGAAGGTTACTGTGAAAGCGAATTTGACTGCTCGATGGTGTTGTTTGTTCACGCCTCACTTGTGGTTCGATGGGTCCCTCATCTAGATCTTGACCTGGAAGAGACCAAGCAGGACTGCTCCTTAGTGACCTCGACTCTAGACTCGATTCATAGTCCTGATTAGAATCATCAGAGCTAATTGAGGGAGTTCTTGGTCCAATCGCCATACGTCGATTATATGCTGCTGCTTGTTCGCCCTCTATGGCGCCTGAAGATATATCGGGTTGGTTATCCTCCTCTTTCACTTCCTGTCTGACCGTGTGTCCGATGCAAGGGATTTCTTGCAGACTAGCACGTGGGTCTTCGTCGTCTTCTTCATCGAAGCTTTGAAGCTGTACACTGACGTTGTTCAATGTAGTCTCCGGCTCCTCTATCTTGGCTATCCTCTTGAGGCCTCCTCCTTCTGCAATCTGCCTTGTTCCGTCGCCGTCCTCGAGACGCTTTCTTTTCTTTCTGGCGTCGCTGCATTGATTTTGTGCAGCTGACGTTGGATCGTAAGGCGAAGCGAAGCGGACCCGTCGACACATGACTATCGAAAGATCTGGTGAAGGCGGAATGTTAGTCTCCACAAGTCTGGGCGATGCAGTCACTGCAGTCGACGCCATGGCCACTCGCGTAGCGGAAGTATTTACTGAAGATGGTCGACTATCTGAGCGAGAAGTTTCGCGTGAGATTGCAGGCGGTCTAGGTGATCCAGTGGACGTCACAGCTTGCTGCGGAACGGCGGGCTTGGGTCGCAATGGCCGTAGACCCTTCATTTTCCCACCAGCGAGAAGGAAAGGTTCACGTGAGATTTCCTCGATCTCTTTGGGTGGACTGTTTTCAAGTGTATCAGAGACAATACTTCTGGGGCTGCTAGCGATATCACGATGAGTATGACAGGGGATGAAAGAGAAGTGATTGCGGTCAGTCGACAATAGAGGATGATCAGAAGGAGAGTCGTGCAACCGAGAGCTTGATATCGAGGCTGGCTGATGTGGAACAGATGTCTGCTGTGGTGGTACAAGCGGGGGCGTAGATTGGAAGGCCAGTGGGATATATTTGCTTTGTCTCTTGGAAGTTGCTTTAAACGAAGCTTTCTCGCCCCTTGCTAACCAAGATGAACCTTGTGGAGATTTGTTCTGGCCCGGACTTCCTTCGGTTGACATTGATGAGTCTGCGAATGGCGGTGCGTGACGGGGAAAAGTGAAGTGCTCGGTCGTTGGTTTTGTCGACGCATCATTTGCCGGCTCTGTGAGACTATGATGGGCTTGTGAATTTTCAAGGGTTTGAGCTCTAGCCCTCTGCTGGTCTTTTCTGACCAGCTCGCAGGCTTCCTTGAAACACGTCTCAAATGAAGTCTCATGAGGCTGCGAATTTGACAGGGCTTCATCGACGGCCACCAACAAGGCATCATCGTGCTGCGCGGCGACATACAATTGTCGCAGCGCGAGAGTTATGGACAACATGCTTATTTCTGTGTCCCCCTTTTTGGCCAATGATCTAGACCGAGATTGTTTAATGCTTTGGGGTTGAGATAATCTAGAAGCAGGGAAAGCTTTGAATGTCTTACTCGCTATTGTCGTGCTTAGTTTTGGTCGTCCAAGTCTCTTTGGTTTTGATTGAATGGGGTTTGTATGCAGGCGCAAGCGGAGCATTGTCCTTGGTGGATCGACCCTCTCAGTCCCCTCCTCGTGCTTCAGTAAACACGATATTTCGTCTTCAATCTTGATCTGAGAGTCATACTTCACAGGTTTCCTACGAATCCTGGGTGGGTTGCGTCGTCCAACAGAAGGTGATCCTCCCTCTAATTTGATTTTGGCGTTGCGAAACGCCTTACGTCGTTGAGTCAAAACATCTTCCTCTCGCGGCTCGCGCGGAGGGAGTAGCTTGAATCGAGGCATTTGGAGGACAAAGTCTCACAATTATGACCATGGTGAAAGATTTCAAAATCGGCGGAGAAGGACGACATGAAGCGGGGAAGTGTGTTGAGTGTCATGACTTTGACCAGGGTCGCCATCACGAGGCGTTGACTGAATTTGGCAACTCCATCATTCACTATCACCCCCTGCGGAAACGCACCATAAGTTTCAAGACACCTCCCACAGACTGGTCTACTCGAATCGAAACAAGTCAGAGGTATAGTGAAGCTGTCGACTGCGATGAACAATGGCTGCCTATGGCCCAAGACTTGATGAAGGCGATGGGGCTGTGATTCATTCCCGGTCTTCTGATACTCCTAACCTTGTTTTCTCCGTATGCGTTGGGCCTTGCAGACTCTCCTGTACTGTCGCACAAGGATTATGAGGTCAATCGAGTGTATTCGAAGCGGTAAGGTGACGCGCTCGTGTCTTTATTTGTTCTCATTGGTCTATGTTTTTGCCGCGAACAATAAAGGCAATCAACACATTAAAAGAGATGGTCCTGTCCTCGACCCTTTTCACCGTCCTCCGCATCGCTATTTAACATCATTAGAGTGCAGAACAACGAGCGATTTTGTAAAAGATTCCGTTTTCGTTGTCCGAAAAGCCATCGAGAATAAGTCGGTCGCCACCATCTGAACTGCTACTGGCTATTGGTGTCATGGAGAACATCGGCCCAACCTTGATGTACGAACGGATTTTGAGCAATCTGAAAGGGTACAGGTCAGGACACCGCGAAGAGATACATCCAAATCCCCGCAGCACAAGGAACAAACATAAGGCGATCAAGTCTTGCATGAAGCAGTCACCACGAACAAAGCCGGAACAACCCAGAAGGAACTCATCCTATCATCCCACCGGCGCTCCAAGTTCAGAGAATGATTTCAAGATGCTCGCCGTCGATCGAGCCGACCCGCAGCAGACAAGAGAAGTAACAATGTCAGTCTTGTCAAAACAGACGATTTTCAACTCCAGGGACAACATGGGCATACCTACGGACTTCATAAAGAGGACGCAGAGCGAATTTCCCAAGCGCGGTTTCTTCGCAGTCAAAAAGAGTCATGTCGTTGTGAACGGCAGATATGCAAGGTCGAAGTGGAATAAGGAGCTCATTCGTCGGTGGCACGCGTACTATGAGGGCGACTTAGCTTCTTTCGAAAGATGTTTCAAAAGCCATCCGAAACGTGTCGGGTGCAAACAAGTCAAATTTAATATCCAAGAGGACCAGACAGACCCAATCAAAGATTCCAAGGCATGGCGTCTAGCTCAGTGGAAAGCTAAAACTGAAGAAAAGGAGCGAGCGAAAGCGGAGCATACTTTCGATCTCTGCGATGTCGACTTCGATTACAGCAAGGTAGCCGAATCCACCGCACTCAAGAAGCACCTCGCGTCGTGTCTGGACAAAGCATCCGACTCCTACACACCGAAAACGCTTGAGTCCGCGTCTGTTGTAAGTATGCCTCATCCCTAAAAGGTCTGAAGAGATACCGAGTGTTGGATATGCGGGGTTTCTGGACCTACGAAATTGAAAGCAAACGTACAAGCTACTGCCGAAATCTCCCAAAGAATGTCTATTAGGCAGCTGAAGACGGACCATTATCGTCAGGATTATAATTGTCAATGAACAAAGAGTCTGTAAAGTAGGTAATTTCATAGTTGAATGTTGAGTGTATTTATATTTGGCCCACAATTGAGCCAAGCTTAGGCATATCCTTGTTGTCTGGTGGATTTTCATACTCTCGTGCAATCGAGCCTTCTAATCTCTGACACGCTGGGAGAACAATGATTGGATCTGCGATTCCTCATCATCAGAAGATCATTCCCCATTCGAAACACAGATGGGCTATCAAATCCTAAAATACCTTTCGCGCGTGAAACATGACGAACTCTATATGCGCAGGTCCCCACCCCTTCTCTTGATGGGATTCCAGAACTACCGACATTCCCCTGCAACAATGAAGACGACGACTTTTGGAGTGCAGGCACGTCAAGAGCAAACACAACGATGCAATTTCCCAGCCACATATCCTCACCATGGCTCCTCCTCCTCCTCTTCTCCACCTGCATAGCCCAGACCCACGCAGCTCCCACCCCACCGCTCCTCATACCCCGCGGCTCCGACACAATAGACTCCTACTGCCACCCCTCCTCCAGCTCACCAAAATGGTACCCCGCCAACACCGCCCTCCTCAACAAAACCGACTGCCTCTCGGCCCTCCTCTCTTTCAAATCCCTCGAACCGGCCCAATACGGCTACCGCAACCTCGCCTTCTCCGACATCCACGTCCCCGGCGCCCCGGGCGAGAAACTTCCAAAACGCTACCCGGGCGCCTCCAACCAATGCGTCCTCTACATCTTCATGAGATCGAGGTATTTTGCGGAATGGGAAATACTGCATGCATTACCGCAGGGCTTAGAGCCGGTGGATGAGACGAGCTATAAGCAGTTGGTCCTGGAGGCGGATAATGTGTATTGGGATTGTGTGGTTGAGGGGGGTGGGGGCACGGTGGAACATGCGGGGCAGGAAGGGCTGGCGGGGTGGAAACCGGCGGGGAAGAAACATAGTATTGCGGTGGTGTTTTGGGGGGTTGGGTCGACGAGGGATGAATATGAGAAGTATGTGATGAAGGAGAGGTTGGTGTTGAGGCCGGCGCCGGGGAGTGTCGAATGAGAGGCTGTTGCAGTAAGTTGTAGTCAAACCGAAGGCATCCTTTGTCTTGTCAGTCTTTCTAGCCTCTTTTGCGGCTGTGTATGCCGTTTGGCTGTCTTGTCTTTATCTGTGAGACTATTTGACCAGTCAGCAGTGTGTTTGATGTTGTACAATCAAATGAAGTGGTATTGGTCAGACTTCATTGTTGATCACCTGCGGTTGTTGTTACGTTCATGTCGTACAGTCCATGCTAGTTTGCCAATATCATGATTGCTCTTCAACATGATATCTTCATTGAAAGCATCAGCTTCACGTCTAATTGACAGTCTGATAAGCAGATGTATAGCCTTTTCCGTCTAACATCAAGAAGTGCTTCTGACAGGTGAGCGTTTCATAGTTTTTGAAACTCTCAAGGTGCTAACGACTCACCTCAATCTAGGAAGCAGCGAACTCTGCTAGTACGAGAACACAAGGACATCGAGGATTTCCTAGATCGAGCGAGGACCAGAATTTACGGCTCCGAAAAGCTTCGAAAAGACGAAAGACAAATGAATTTAGGCAATGAGCATCCGTTCATATCAGCGAAGAAACTTGAGATGGTGATGGACTGTCCCGCGCACGCAGCTGCACTGCATAGTCATCCATGTATTTACAAGAGAATCGACCCTTCAGAGGGGCTCTTCGTGAATAAGAATGGAAAGGGACTGGCAAAGACGGCAGATGAGCCGGCCAATCACACTGACAACGAATCGATCGATTAGACTCTATGTCTTCGGAAGAGTAATCGTTGGACGTTGAATTTCGCGGTTCGATTTAAATTTACAAGCTCACGCATCGATGTGCAATTGTACCCAGATGTTGGAAAAGGGGGGTCTAAATAGGCGCAATAAAGTCGGTCAACGGAAGACATTCAGAGCTTTTCTAGATGATGCATAAAACTAAGCCTTTTCGAGGTAGTCTCCTTTAATTTCACTTCAGTGCTCAACCACGAGAACACACCTGATTGCCTTTTAATCTTGTAGCTATTTGTTCTTTATGAGAACGATAAGTCTTGTAAATTTCAACATATCAACTATAGGCCTCGTAGCTATAGACTGATTGTACTGCTTTTCACCGGAATAATCGGTTTTATGCATCATCTAGAAAAGCCCCAGAACGGGCGCGAAAATCCAGTCTGAGAGATACGCACTCGTGACAAAATATAGCTCTGCGCTACAGTCCTCATGACGCAAGTCGTCTTCGACCTTCAATGCACAGGCGTGACACCTCCACTTCATCATACCATAACAATCTCTACATCGAACCTCTTGCGCCCCATTAGTATAAGAAGGCACGTCTGAAGCGATGATCGGTGTGCATGTCGTCGCCGAGAACATGGCACTAAGAACGCCACCGTCTGGCCAAACCTATTTCGGTAACTCGGTGTGAGGTCGACGACGCTAGACAATCACACCGAGCTTTATTCATCTTGTCATTCAATCCCCATCATGCCCTGTTCTTCTTCTAAACTCTTGCTTGATTGTTTTCTTACAGAACCTTTTCTTTGAATGCAGACGTCAAAGTATGGACAACACGTTCTTCGAAGCTGATCAATTTGACCCATGCCCTTTTGATCTTGCTCAGTTTGACCCGTACTTATTTGACTCGATTCAATTTGACCCCAAAGACTTTGAAAATGTCACTTTTGACCTGGAAACATCGCTTGAAGGCCTATTTGAGCCCTCGGACGTGCAGAATGCTATTCACAATCAAGTGACTCAAGAGCCTGAGTCTACAGCTTCAACTTGGATACATCTTGATGTTGCACCTCCAATCAGCAACAGTGTACAATTAATTGCAGATTTTGGCCTACCTCAGGCAGCGACGCGGAAGCGCCAACGTGCTGTATTTGAAGGTGATACGAAGTCTAAGCGAAGGCGGAGAAGGTACAACGACGAACATCGCCAAAAGGTCAACCTTACTCGCGAGAGGGGCGCATGCTTCTTGTGCCGTGCTAGACGTGTGAGCGTAGGTCTAGGAACTAGGTTTTCCGAGAGACTATGCTGACAGACGGTAGTGCTCAGGAGACTTACCATGCCAATCGTGCTTCAAGTCAAAGGCTGCACGTCGATGGAAGGCACCTCTGTACAAGGGCATGGAATGCGTACCCTTTTCGTTCAAGGATGTCAACATCTATGCAAAAAGTTGGCCTACATGCTCTTCAAGGCAGACACACCACTGATACTGCCAGGTCTTGTCTCGAATCCAATGTTCGACCTCTTGTCTTCACAAGCCCGGCAACGTGCTCTTCCCCCTACCACAACTCAACACTTCACAGAAGACTCGATCGCATGGGATATAGATGTCTTTGTCTCGGGGCTTGGCGCTTGCTTCAGTCCAGATCACCCATTTTCGACACCCTTTTACTTATCCGCGCTAAAGGCAAACATTGGCTTTATTGAGATGACCAGAGACCTATTGGACCCCAAACTTTGTCAGCTTTTTCAGCAATTCATGCTGGCTTCCTCCTTGGTGTACAGCATTGGCCCACAAATGACTCCATCTTCCATGTGGATGAGCTACCGCCAGGCCGAAAATGTTGCTCCTGGTTCTACTTTGATGGGCCAGAGTTTTCGCGATCTAGGTGTTTGCATAGGCAGGGATCTACTGCAGGAGCTTGACAAGACTCTTCGCTCAGACCAGCGGGCTACTTATACACAACAGAAGCTCAAGGCTTTATTTCTTGTCCTGTTAGGCACAGTATTAGCAATTGAGGATATGTCGGCAGACTACTTGGCAGAAGTGAGTAAGCCCAAAACATTTGTACTCAGAGTCACTAACACGATACCAACCACGATCACAGTGTAATCTTATCCTTGTCGACACTCAAGAAATGACCACCACGAAGGCTGATTTGCTTCGCATACTCTACCATCATCTATATCTTGTCGGTCACCGGGCAGGACTCGTCCCTAAAATCACATTTGGAGACTTAAGAAACAGAGTCGCAATCCTTCAGGATGGATTCCTGAAGGCGCTCAAATGGACCGCGGTCTCGGAATTTGTAGAAGGGCAGAATTACTCCACCCCTTTCTCGATAGCATCTGGAAGTGGCCAGATATTCGATTGCGAGTACAGTTGGCGCATCACTGGTAGGAACCCCACCGGATCTGCATGAGCCACTTCTCCCACCCCAGTGCTCGAATCAATGGTATGGCTGCAGTGGCTAAGCGCTATTTCTAGGCATCAACGTGAGCTCTTCGGCCGACTCCGCACTAAACACTTCCTCTACGTCTACATATATCACCACTACACTGCACGAAGGAAGTGTGCCCACGAATGGCCTACGAGGCCCGCTTGACGTCAAAGTACCACCGACCTTGAAAATTATAGAAAGTGTACCTTCATTGGATCACGACCATACACCCACAAGGCAGGCTTGGCGATATCTGTGGAAGCAGGTTCCTGTGGTGGCTTCATTTGATAAGAACTATTGAGCCAGCTATCCAGATTTCTCATTGATCTCAACAGAGATGGGATATCATGGATGAAAGGCAACTCGTCCAGGTTTCTCACTGATCTCAGCAAAGATGAGGTACCTTGCATTGAAAGCAACAAGCTTAGCCAAACGAAGTCTGACACCGCAGAAAAGAGTGACAATTTATGCTCGTTTCGATATCAGAGACGGCAGAAGAGTACAAAGACGAAACATGATGGGTGAAACGCTGAAACGAATTTCCTTCGTAACGGTCGGTAGGGAACACTCATTTGGTATCATCTTATGTGGCAGCACTAATTGACAGATCGAACCAACTCGATCTCGTCCTTCACTTTCAAGTATTTTGTTGTCCTTACAACAAATTAGGTCTGGAAAGTTGTTCTCTATCATTCTTCCACACCTCGACGGCATACCACTGTTTCAACCACCAAGAGCCCGGCAGCTTCAACCGAAGCCATGAAGTAACCAGAACCGTCGTCTGTTCTGCCAGCTCGATGCTTCAAACCACGTTATGGTCGCATTTGACGCCACTCTAGTATCAATCCTCATGTTGATTAATATGAGCCGACCATTTCACTCGTTCTCGTCCCCTTCGTCGCGCCTCCTTTCATTCGGCGCAGGTGCATCTTACTCGTCATATCACAATATCTGGGCTTGTTGTGTTTTTGCTAATCCCAACTACTGTGGCGGGATAGCTCAGCAGTGGTACCGAGCTTCAAGAGTGGCTGTTTTGCAACGTCAACCCGCACCAACACCTCATCAAGACACTCAGGCACACACGATCCAGCGGTTCCCAAAATTTCTTTGCGCTAATAACCCGTCATGAATTATGACCCTTCCCCTTCTTCCCCTGCTCCTTCTTCTTCTTCTTCCTCTCTGCTTCTTTTTCTGCCTTCTCCTTCACCTCTTCCGCCCGTCCCCTCAACAACGCCAAATAATCCACCCCCTCCACCTTCCCGCCCTTAAACCCCCCTTCCCCAAACATAGCGCTCACCCACAGGAACTCCTCATCGGCTTTCATCCGATGCACAGCCACACTCCTCTCCGTCACCCCATTAAACTGTCCCTCCGCCTCAATGACATCGCAGCTCTCCTCGAAATCCAGGCCCAGGTAGCCGAACTCCTCGTTTGCTTCCACCAAGAAGTGGCCGACGAGGAAATCTTCGCCCGCGCGACGGCGGTAGCCTGTTTGTCCCTTTTTGGTCGTGGGCTCGGTGCCGGTGAATTCGAAACGTTCGGTTTCGGTCGTGGCTTCGTACTGGTCGGCGAGGATTTCGACCAGGTCCCATGTGAGCGTGTACATAGGGCCGGAGGGGTATTCGTGCGGGCGATCGAAGCAGATGGGACGGCTGATGATCGTCCTCTCCGCCTCCGCGTTCGGGAGGATGTAGCTGTCCCACAGCCGGGCTACATTCAGGTATGTGTCATCGTCTGTTTTCGTCACGAATGTGTAGTTCGTTCCTCCTTCGCGGGCCTGGTCGCGCAGGTGTAAAAGGACTTCGAATGGTTTGATCGTGTTTGCGAATTCGGCGCCGTCGCCGTGCCCGCCTATCATTATCAGGTCGCCGTATGTGGCGTTTTCTTGCGCCAATAGGGGAAGCCATTCCGCGGTGGGTTCGCCGATTACGAAGAGCGGCGTGAAGGGGATGGAGGCGAAGGTGCGTTGCCAGGTTGAGCGGATGATTTCGCGGCGTTGGCGGAGGGGCGCGGCGGAGTTGGTCCAGATTAGCCAGGTGGGGAGGTCGTTGGAGCCGATTGGGGGTTGGGAGTTCGAGATGGTAGGGTTGCGGTTAGGGTTAGTGAAGATAGGGGTGGTGGTGAGAGGGTTTAGAGCGGTTTCTGATTCGGGGGAGGTGGTGAGGGGGGCGGTGAGGGAGGCGGAGAAGGGCGAGTCGTGCAGAGGCGTTGGAACGAAGGTGAGGATGAGAACTGTGAGCCCGAAGGCGGCGAGGAGGTAGTGGAGAATTCGGGCATTGGTGTAGGGGGTGGTGGTGGTCATGGTGTCGAGAGCTTGGGGTCCAGAAGTGAGGGTTTTGGAGGTTGAAGGGCTATGCATCGTTTGCCTGACTGGCTTGCTTGACGGCTTGGGCAATCATTCGAATGGAAAAGAAGGCAGAAAGTGTGGATGAGGAAGGAAGCAAGAGGAGCAGTTTGGGACAGGAGAGAAGAGAGAAAAAAGGAAAAGTGCCTGTGCAGAAGCTTGTGAAGATTAGGTTTGTGGGTTCCTAGATCGTCCATAGATCTTGGCCCCAATGGGGATATTAGAGCATGATGACTGCATGCCAAGTTCCCAATTCGGATTTTTGGTGATGGGCCATGACGGCCTGGACCTGGCATTTTTTGCAGACTTGCAATTTGGTGGCGTTGTTTTTCCTCACTACAGGCATATTGGTACTTCATCTGCTGGCTTAGGGAATGGCCAAGAGCAGGCAAGAATGACGCACGCATTCGAGATAACTTATAAGCTCTTGCAACATTATTATTCCAAGTGAAAGAAAAGCACTGTGTTGCTTGTTGAAAGCTTCCATGGATGCGCAGATCAACGGGCGGCCCCTTCTTTGAACATGGATTTGACTTCCCTCGGGCCCGCGCGTGAGTTCTGTCAGGGGCAGCATCCCTGTTCGGCTCGCCTAAGGAGATTGCTGGCAACCCGACCGTGATAAGGATAATAGAGTTGAGCAATCCACTGATGCTGATGAAAGTTGATTGATGCAGGCTTTTATAAAGCAGCAGTCCGCTCAGGAGGTGCTGCTGTTGGCAAAATGATGTGTATCATCTCATAAGTACTTACACAGACGTTATTGGAGGCTACCATATGCAATTGAACGATGGTTGTCATGACACGCCAATGCAGGCACCACTTGGCGTCTTTGGTGCCTTAAATAGCGTGTTGTACGATGCGCCTTTTGTATCGAGGCCAAAGTCAAGTGAACGAAATCTGCCCATGATCTGAGGTTGAAGAGAGAGGAAGTCGTTAGGGAGCTTATGCCTAGAGCGTTGCCCGAAACTTTGGGTCTAATAAACTTAGGCCCAGGGTTCGCTAGGCTTCCCTTGAATCTGGGATTGTCAACGACGATGGAACGACGAACCCTTCCCTTCTTTCTTGCCTACTTCTTGGCGGCACTTTCGTCAGGAAAAGAATTTCTTGATGGGGATAGAGCCGTCACTTCGTGATCAGTAGGTCGTCAAAGCCTCTTCGCTTCTTTGAAATGAGCGAAAGTAGCTTAGAAGCTGCACATATTCTCCTCTTCCTTGACTTCGACAATACGCTTACTACTGCATCCACACTCGAGTACATAGCTTCTATTGCGACCACTGCTAAATTAATTGGTGATAAGCAGCCTGCTCTTCATCCGAAATTGACTCGGATATCGCAGTGTTACAAGAGTGATCTTGCGAGGCATAATGAAGCCTACAATTTCAAAAAAGAACAACGACGAACACTTGCTCATGAGGCTGCGTATCTGGATTCGTTAAAGCATGTAGAAGCCGCAAGTCTCGACCGTGTCGTGGGTCAAGGTCTATTTAAGGGTGTAACGCCCCAAATGGTCGAAGAAGTCGCTCAAGCAAGCCTGCGTCAGAAGCACGTGAGCTTGAGAAAAGGCTGGCAATCACTCATTGGTGCTGCACAAGCGACCGGTGTGGCATACGTCATCTCTGTTGCGTGGTCCAAGAGATTTATTGAGCACATACTTCGAGCCTCTGACCCAGACATGCAAGTAAGCCGCAATGCCGCGACTTTCGATGCTGAGAGGATTGCAGTCAATGCAAATGACATTGCTGAGGACGGTAGTGGCCTGATCATAGGCTCCAAGATTCTGACGGGAAGGCGAATACTTACCTCCACCGACAAGTTGGAAGTTATGAGGAAGTTGGCTGGTGATTTTACGGAGAACAGTCTGTCGGCGGCAAAGTTTCAGCGTATCAAGACCATTTACGTGGGTGATTCCATGACAGATTTAGAATGCCTGATGGAAGCAGATCTGAGCATTTGCATTCAAGACGAGCCTCCGACGAGAGACCAAGAACAGCTAGCGCAAACGTTGCATAGGCTTGGTGTAGCTTTACGCCCAATCAGCCAGCGAAGGATGGCGACCAAAGACAGAAAGGTTGACAGATCAGCTGATTGGGCTGAAGAACGGTTGACCAAGACTGTGTGGATTGCAAAAGACTTCGAAGAGATTTCACAGTATGGTCTCTATGGTCTTTGAAAGATACTCTGACTGCTACAATTTGATTAGATCCCATTCCCAATACCCAGCTTTCGATGCTCTCTGTTGTATCTAGCAGGGGCTGATGTGACTGTGTATGAAGCGTATGTGAGTGGCGCAAAAGTGACTACCAAATGACGCCGCAGCCGAGTGCGCAATCAGTGCATGAATTGCAGGATTTCAAAAAAAATAAATGATTAGGGTTCATTGCCCTTTGTATCCCATACGGTGTTGTAACACTTCATTCACTCACGCTAGCGCTACGTCGAATCTTGTTGTCCCCCGCCTTCGTTTCCCTCTTGGCGAACTTCTATACATCTATTTTGTCAATATCCGCACGCGAAATGTCTCTTGACAGACTCCGGTCATTTCACGCCGAGCTGGCGGAGGCCAAGAGCGTGCTGAGTCTTGTCAAGTCGAAAAGTCAGAAATGTGGACCTTTGAAGCCACCCACTTCGCTAGGCTCAAAGCAAAACATGGAAGATAAATCGTGCCGAAGCTCTCTGGACGTAGAATGCGGGTCTACCATCTCCGACACTGAGATCGGACAGCCTATGTCTTCAGATTCCACTGCCAGCATGCCATCCATCAACAAGCTGAACAGAGCGGCAGTATTCGCGGAATATGCAAATCTTTGTGCTACACGACGTGATCCAGCCACACGAGGATTAGTAACGGATCGTGAGCTCGAAGAAGCACTCGAGGCTTGCAAGGTACTCCTTCAACCGTCTCTCCCCTATTCCTGTTAGGTAGCTCACACCACATGCAGCGCATCGACACCAGAGACGAACAGACGAGAGCTTTGGCCAAATTCTCCTCTGCCATACAGAGTGCGTCGAAGGAACATGTTGTACACCCTAAACCTAATCTAGAGCACGTCGAGCAAATGCCAATGCCCAACTTTACTCGTTACCGCGCCGAGAACTCTGGCATTTGCCCTCCTGCAGCGTCGCCCGCTGCACAACCCTCTCCAATAGCTAGCCTGCAGCCTAAAGCATCTTCGAACCAGAGCGTCGACAACCAGAGCCGTCGCAGTTACCTCGCGCATTACCCTCCCCCCACATCAGGTCCTAAGACCCGAAACGACATCTTCAACGCTCAGCCCACACCACAGATCCTTCCCCAGACCACTGCTGTCCATTCCGCGACTCCAAAGTCGGAAACCTATCCTCGCGACTTTGTGAATGATGCAATGAAAGCCTTGAGCACGGATGCAAAGCCCCTCGAGACTTTAAGGAAGAAATACAGCGAAGAGACGATGAAAAGGATGGGGTTCTCGGAAGAGGCGAAAAGCAATTCAGAGCAAGCTTCCTGCCGCACTTCACCCACCCAACTTTTCCAGGACGTGACAGAGCAAAGGAAAAATGGGGATTGGCGTGCTGACATCGATACACAAAAAGGACTCGATAATGAAGACTGGGACGTCATTCATTCCGGAAACCCAGGAGGGAATGAAGTAGATGTGAAAAAGGAGGATGCGGTGGATGACGAGTGGGAAGTGGTCAATAAAGATGATAAGATGGACTAAAAGTATAGGAAGCCTGAATCCGAGAGGTAGCGGAGCCGAGCGGGGGACATCGGGAGGGCACACGATAACGCAGAGAACTTGGCTGCCATGTATGCTTGCTCAGATGAGAATCATGTACTAAGATGATGGAAATGCACCGTGATATCGAGGGGCTCCTGCATTCACTTGCCGATCTCGAAGCAGCCATAAAGAATAGGAAGACTAATATCTCAGCCTTCCCTGCCCCCTCGCCCTTTCCAACACACCACAAGTCCCCTCCCCAACCATGCCCTGACCTCCCCCTCTCCTTCCCTATCTGCGTCCGCCCCTCTGCGTCTAACACCTACCCCGTCTTAACCCTCGCCCTGCCTTTCCATCCCCTCGTCCTACCTCCTACATCTCCACTCCTCCCCACTCCTCCCTCCCTACTTTTCCACCGTCCTTGAACACTTCCCATTCCCCTTCCTGTCCGTGAATCCGAGAAACGGATACGCCTATTACAAATTTCGCCCACTAAATCTGCTGCAATTTATGGATAAAAATTGTACTTGAGGGGGCGGTAGCGGGTTATATGACCTTGGAGGATAGGTAGGGATGGGTATGGATGACAGAGAGACGGGATTATGCTGTGGAGGAGGGGGGGGGTGCAAGGCGGGTGTAGTGGTGCAATAGTGTGGGGGGTGGGGAGAGGTAGGGGGAGGCTGGGAGGGGATGCTGTGAGTTTTCTCAGGGAAGAAGAGCGGGAAGGGGAAGGGGGTTGTACGGGGAATTGTAAGGGAATTGCTGGCTAGAGCGGAGGTTGGGGGTTTTAGTTATAGGCGTTGGGAGATATGGGGTCGGAGGTTGCAGGCTTTCTATGAGGCAGCGAGAGGGGGTGAAGGGGGTGAAGGGTCGTGCTAAGGCGCATGAAGGGGATAAGTGACTGCGGTAGCGGATTAGGCTGCTCGTTGTAGACATCTAGAGAAGGTAGGAGCGAAGCGTGGGGCATGGTTAGTATGTAGCATATGGGCTTTGTGGTTGGGTTGGAAAGCAAATGTAGATTCTGCGAAAAGGGCATCTCCAGCGTTGTCAGAAATGATTCAATGACAATAGACTAGTGTATACCTGGCTATATGGGCTGATATCAATCTATACCCCGCCATTATAGACTATTCTATCCGGCATTTCCGATGCAAATGCCTTCTCATCCTGGAATACCCGCCAAGACGTCCTCTCCAACCAAGACCACTTGAGATGCACAGATCGTGTTCTGTCGTCGACGAGACTTGATTGAGTCGTGAGCTGTCTTTGTAAGCGCAGGCGCATCACACCCCCTACTCCCATCTACATCTCGAAGAATCAAATACGAGTCCCAGAGCTCTTGAGCTTGATGCTAAATGCGTCCTGCAATATTTCCTGGCGCATTACGTATCTGTCCAGATAAGATCTTGTGATGATGTTGCGGGGCGCGTGGAGGACGTGGAGGGTGTCTTTCAGACAGATGAAGATGGATCGCCTGAAGAATGCGCTGAGATATAGTATGGTGGTCAGCTTGACGTCGCCAATACCGAGGACTTAAAGGGGACCGTGGGTAAAATCTGCTTCGATATATGTATCGAACGGAGTGCGTATGTGGTGAGATTGGTGGACCAGTCCCAGGCGGTTGCGACGTGGGCGTTGGCGGTGTTGTAGAGAGGGGTTAGCTTGAAGGCAGTCGTGCAATTCGTTGCTAGAGAGGAGCATGGAAGTAGAGCAGACGTTTCAATCTCCAGACCCGGTTTGATATTGCCGCTTCTTGAATAAATAAGAGAGCTTTCGGCGGGATAGGGGTTAAAAAACGTGGAATATTAACAATGTTTGAATCATGGTCACGAAGAAATGCTCATAAGAACAGAGAGGTAGTCATGGAAGGTGCGACTATCTCATATTGAAACTTGGGCCAAGCAACCTGACTTTCCAGCGTCATTTATGCTCGAGGGCAAGATCATTTGAAGCCTCTCATTTCCACGATCTGATGTGACAACGTTTCCGTTCGGCTTCATCGTATTCACAAGGGATACTGGGATAAGAACACTCGGAGCGGGGTTAACCTCGAATCCAGCTCCTCCACATCCTACTATTACATTTCTGTTAAGAGATAGCTCATTGAGACTCAGGAAGCGTTTTCCTACGGCATTTGGCTTGTCAGAGAAAGTCCACCGAGCCTTTAAGCGCCGCGAATCCACCTTTAATAGCCAAAGAAGTCGGCTGGCCAGGCGATGTCGCCACAGACCTAATAATTGCCCGCTCATGTTCTCAGTAGCGAGTTGCCGATATGGTATACCTTTCAATTATTGACGTCTGTGTTGTACGAGCCCAAATCCAAATGGTGTGAAGCTGAAGTTCTTCCAAGCAGATCTTCGCCCCAGGCGAGATGGGTTTGTTCCGCTAAGAGAGCCCCTGCATATTATGGCTTGGGCCAGCTCGTCACATATTCTGCTATTGGCTATATTAGGCAGGTGTCTTATCACCGGCCCTCGAAAGGCTGGCGAATGGGATTGCTCAGCGCCCATGTCAATCTGCGCAATGACAGGAGAGCTGAAATTGGTAGTGAGCGACTCTGTTCTAGACTTTTCAGCCGTGAAAGCGGGGGAATGATCACTTCGTCAGGCTGTTATGTCCTTGAGCTTTCGCATTCCCGTTCAATCTTTCCCTCTCAATCTGCACGTGCGGTTGATAGCTGCGAATGCTGTAGTCTGGTGTGGTGTCTGATTCTTCAAGCTCCGAACCAACAGCCCGAAAATCCCCCCAAAGACACCCAATAAAGGCTCCTGGCAAATGAAATTGAGTCTCGAAGGGCGCTGCAAGCCTTCTAAAGAAAAGTGACACCACCTTCGCCAGACTGTGGAATACTGCGTAGGCAGATTTGGATAAGCAGATTGTTAGAAACTGGTGCTATTGAGAAGAGACCATGGTAAAAGCTGCCCCCTCCCTCCGTCACTAATTTGCTAGAAAACCTCATCCCGCTGATAGACGTCGTGTGGTAGACAACTGCGCTGTTGGAAGTTCTTAATCCTGGCGCGGAGAATGCCCAGGTTGAGTAAGTTGCTGCTCTCTAGTCCAGGCACATCTGGTGTTTCAGGGCGCTATGATCATATCAGCCGGTTCTGACTGCCCCAGTATCGTGTTCGTTCATGGATTGAACCCTCTGGGCTCCCCTGTGGCGGAACATGCTAGGCAAACCTGGACTCATGAAGTGTTTTTTTGGCCCGAGAGCGTTGTTTCGAATGAGGAAAGGGTCATGATCTTTGGTTGGGATTCGGCAGTCTTGGGTGATTCCTCTAACGCGAGTTTGAACGAGCATGCCAATGATCTTCTTGATGAATTGCATCGCTGCCGCGGAAATGAGACGCGGCATAGACCATTGATATTCGTTTCACATTCGATGGGTGGTCTCCTCGTTAAGCAAGCTCTTATCACATCCAAATTGAACCCAAGACACGAATGTATACGTCGGTCTACGTATGGTCTGATGTTTTTCGCGACTCCTCATCGAGGTGGCAATTGGGCCGGCTTAGCTGACTTTGCCGCAAACATCTGTGGCAGTGTCAGTGGAAGTCCAAAGAACTCCCTTCTCCAGCAGCTCAAGGGCAAGTCACTGCTCAATGAGATTGCGTTGGACCAATTCAGCCACCAGACAAGCGACTATGAGATCATCAGCTATTATGAGACAAAGATGACAAAAGTGAAGATCAAAGGAAGAAGAGTGATGCCCAAAGCCGTCAGCATGGTAATTTTCCCGAAGGTTACTTTCAAAGATAATGCTGAGATCATGTAGTATATCGTTGACAAGGACTCCGCCAAGATGTCTATCGCCAGAGAAACGGCCTTGAATCTTGATCGCAATCACTCCGAAATATGTAAATTTTCTGGGCTGGAGGACCGTGCCTTTCAGAGAGTGGGCCCAAAACTAAAGTCGTTGGCAGTCGAAGCTCGCGAGTACCCCGTTGATTGCCCCCACGGCGCAAATGGACTTTGTAAGTCTCATAAACTTCAGGGCTCCATCGGTCTGGTCAAACAGATATGGACAATCAGGCGTACGGAACTAATGGCCATGTCTCAGCAGAGGTCGAAGTGCCACAGCGAGTGTCGTATGCCAACAATTATGGGGGCGCAATACCTACAAATGTAGTCTTGCGACGTCGAAACCCAAATGTCAACGTGCCTTTGCCAGGCTGCCACAACTTCATCGGTAGAGCCACAATGATTGAAACGATCGAGCGCCAGTTAGTACGCGATGATCAAGACGACATATCGCGAAATGTTGCGCTCTCAGGAGTTGGTGGAGTAGGGTGAGAGCGATCCCTAGACATATTTCGGTCTTTTCACTGACGCTGGCGGGCAGCAAAACCGAGCTCATTGTACAATTCTGCCGAAAAGTGTCTTCTTACAAGCACATATTGTGGCTCTCAGCGACTGATGAAGCTGCATTTCAAAGAGATCTTTTGCACTGTGCTTTCAGTCTCAAAGGTGAAATTCAGCGCTCCGTCGATGACATTGCGGACCCGCAACGAACGCGCCTGTATTTCCCCGAGCTGCACTCAATTCCTCTCGATATAGCTCTTACAGGCTGGATTAAGTCGCAGCACGATCCTTCATCTAGAGTGCTTGTGGTTCTGGACGATTTAGATGGAATAGACGCCGCCGGTCGGCAGAAGGTCCATCGAGAATTATCTTCCGACACGGTTGATCTAATTTATACAACAAGGAATCCGATGTTTGCGCGCAGAGCCAACTTTTGGCCAGCAAACCACATCAAAGTATCTCCACTGGAGCCGCTTCAAGCAATTCAATTATTGCATAGTCTAAATGTTGAAGAAGTAGACGAGGTTCAAACGCGGATTCCCGATACGGAAGGCGCTGTTTCACAGATCGTTCGGCGACTTGACTGTGTCCCCGCTGCGATCATCGTTGCATCTCAATATGCGACGCATCAATATGGCTCACGAAGTGTGAATGCAAATAATCAACTCCTCAATAGGTGGCCTGAAAAACGTATCATGACATTCGTCCGAGAGACGCCTCAATATCCCTTCTCGGTATATGGCTCCCTTGAAGTATCTCGCGCCCGTCTACAGCGCATCTCAGAAAGAGACGAAATCTCACGTAATACTTACAAACTTTCTTTGTTCCTTCTATGGATGCTGAGTCGATTGAAATGGTCATCGTTTCACCGAGAAGATGTGGAAGGCTTGTGTCGAACTTTATGGAATCATTGCCTAACCAATATGACTCACGATTTCGAGATTGACATCCAAATCTTGGGAGACGACTTAGAACAAGCCGCAGATTGCATTGCACAGCTGATCCAAGTGTCTTTACTGACGGAGGATTCCGGAGACTCCATTTTGCTCAATGATATCACAATGTCTTGGTCTGTGAACTATTCCCTAATGGTCAAACTTGCGCAGGATAACGAGACAGCTCTCGAGGGGCTCCTAGAGGCCCTAAGCACGGTCAGCAGGCGTCAAATACATGAGGTGGCCCAAGAGTTGCCGGAATAGTGACCTCACTGGTCATTGAAAGTGGCATCCGAGGTCTCCCGATAGCCTTGAGGGGTCCTCCAGTGCCAGAAGGCGGACTACAAGGAGTGATGTTAGCAGCCAATAATCTTTAAGCCAGTTCAATACTAGTCAAGGCTTGTTGAGCGGCGAATAGGATATAACGCATTTCCTGAAATGACATTTTCGATTTCAAGATGAGTGGAGGCTCCCATCACGCTGAGGAATATGACAGACGTACATGTCAAAACTTAAGAGGATCGAATGGCCTGATTATAGCACTAGTCAAGGAATGTCTAGAATTACCGTAGTCGATTCTTGAGGACTACCAGACAATTCGTTTGCTGCCGAATTATTCCTTTTGACGAAGGGGCAATCGGAAAGGAGCACACTTGGAGTGTGCCTCCAGAGAATCGTTCGCGAGACTCCAAGTCATGGCACGACGCTTCGAATAGTGACCTAAGCTATGATTTGAATCAATTCGGGTACCTGTCATTATGAGAAGCGGATCGTGCTTAAGCCATCTCTACTTCACGTCTTTTCTTTTTTGGGTCCTTCATGGCTCTCGGCTCGTTTGTTGGGACGTCTGGTAGCTCAAGGTTGGCTAGGTTGGCTTCTACATCCTTTCTTGAGGCAGATCGGAGCCGAAATGATCTAAGCAATGCTGCCTTTTGACGCATGGCGATCCGCTGGCCTAACGGAGCAACAGGCGTTCGCGCTATTTGATGCGGTGGAGCGGTCTCAGATTTTTGAATTTTGCCTGAGCCAGGATCCGAAACATTCAGCTCGGCTGAGAACATATCTCGAATCAGATCGTGGGTCGAAGGATTCAAACGTGATTCTGACTTTATGGCATCAGAGGCAGGCACCTGTGCTGTGAGAGGACTTCTATTATAATGTGGAACAATTTCATCATCTGCACTTAGAGTCTTGTGTTCCCGTGCGCGGTACGTGCCACTTTCTGGATGTGAGCGTAGCACATCTAACACCATTTTGCACCTATCTTTGGAGTATTTGAGCAGACTAGATGGTAATGGATGATTTTTGGCATCGACTAGCTTCGAAAGCGTCGAGAATATAATTGAGGATTCGGAACAATATCCCATGTCGGCGAGCGCGTCCGCGCATTCGACTGCCTCTTCGATGATCCACTGAAAGTGTTCCTGTGCATGTGTATACGAAGTACTAGCATCTCTCAGTTGATCGAGACAGAGGTTCTTCACGCTCGAAAAGTCCGTCAGCTGCATTTTGATCTTTAGGAGCCGAGATCGCATAACTACGCGAATTGAGCTGATGTAATCATCACGCATAGTCTGAATGTCGTAGAGCCCCCTTTCTAACAAAACCCCAGCCTTGCGCTCCTTTCCTTCGCAAAGAAAAAGGTCGCAATGGAGGCCGATCAATGCTAATTCTCGCTCTCCAGCATCGCCCGTGAGGACTTGTGGTGGGATTGATAGTGATGAAACTTTGGAATCCCTGAAGCTTTTCATATGCGATTTTGCAAGACTTGCAAGCTCATTTCTGGCCTCTGATAAGCGTCCGAGATTAATTAATATTGTTATAAGCTCCACACGGTATCTCCAGAAGTCCACACTGTCATTACAAAGCTGCCGACACAAAAGGCCGGATCTGATATATTGCTCCGCAAGTTGCAGGAAACCAAGGCGTGAAAGATGAAAGCCAGTGTCCAAATGAGACTCACAAGGAAGACTTGCAAGCCTGTTCCAAGAGTTTAGCAATGTGAAGATTTTGCAGATCGCAAGCATCTTCCTTGGCTCCGTTGAATGAAGGCCTAAAGCACACCAATCTTCTGCAACTTCACAAACCATCCTCAGGGTTGTAGAGGTTCGCAAAGATTGAAGTCTTTCAATAAGATCAAGTAACATGAACCCTACGAGACTTTGTGACCAGTCACGCAAGCCTAGGTACTTGGACGCTGACAAGTCCGATCTTAGTCTCTTGAAATCATTTAAAAGTCTTTGATAGACGTGAGAGCCGTTGTTAGCTTCGGCTGAAGTACAACTGTTCAGAAAGACCACCAATTGAGCCCAGTAGAGTTGAATATGAATAATAGGGCAGAGAACAACCAGTCGAAGCTCAGTATTCCTCAAAGAGGTGGCCTTCACTAAAGAAGTGGTATTCATCAAAGAGGTGGTATTCACCAAAGAGGTGGTATTCACCAAAGAGGTGGTATTCATTAAAGAGGTGGTATTCATCAAAGAGGCGGAATTCATCAAAGAGGTGAGAATTATAGTCATCGGATCTTCATCCGGTAAAGCTTGATGAATGATGAGTTGAAGCATCAGATTGACGTAGGCGAACATCTGCGGTGAACCCCCCGACCTTCCAAAACCCCATTTCTCTCCGTGGTTCATACGTTCCCAAATGAAAGATTTGAAAAATTTCGCATGGTACTTGTAGCTTCCGATCTGCCGCTGTGAAGTGCAGAAGTCTGTCTTACCAGGAATCAGGGTGAACGTTTGTAGCAAATGTTGACAGAGGTTGTTGTAGATCATTTCCACATATTCACGACCGTGCTCTCGAAGAAGAGAATCTCCTTGAGTAGCGATCCATATTTGGCCATCAACAGCCCAGGTTGTCTCGAAATGACGGGATGAACTTGACCTGGCCTCTGACCTGTAGCTCACTTTGATGAGGTTTTTTAGTACGAGTGCGTCGCGTAGTCGCATGATGTCTTGCTCTCGACGTGCACAAAGCGTTAGTGACCGTAGAAAATTCCTCTGCATTAGAAAGTCAAACATTTCGTCTCCTTTACCGGGACTTATTTCGAAAGACCACTGCTTTATTGAAGATACATCTAGGTTTCTGGAGTATCGAATCGAAGCGAGCATCAAAAGCTCACGAAGAGCGAGCCCCTCCTTTCCATACAAAGCAAGAAACGCTATCAGCTCACTGACATTTGTAGGGTCTGCCATGTAGCGAATTTCTGACTCAGAGACTTCTAGATCTAGCATCAGCTCACTAGCATCTGTGGGTTTTGGCCTGTTGCCAAATGCTGACTCAGGGATATCTGGGACGACGATGTTGTAAGACTCGGGCGACAGAGAAGCTTGCAACGGCGACGCTAATTGATGCCTCTGATCGGCTGTGGGGGTTGACCCGTAGATTTCTAAGATTCTACTTGAACGGACAGGCGTATCTGTTCGGTAGGAAGGAAGCCCAAGAGATGTTGGAGGAAGAGAGGCATGCCCCACGTTGTCGTAAGGATTGGGCGACGGAGGTCGCAACAGCTGCGCTACAGTCCGTCGCTCGGGGCCTATTATGATAGGTTGGTCGATCACCATTTCTCTCTTCTTCATCCTCCTCCTGCGAAAAACGAAAATGCATGCGCTTAAGGCCCAGAACACCAGAAACCCAACCCCAACGGAGACACCAATTATGATTGTATCCCTGTGTGAAGGCATATTGTATGAAGAATCTGCAATTTCCGGCCACTAAGCCAGTCTTGTATCACCAAGCACCAGAATCTGCCGATTGTTGCGGTTGTTCAGTCTACGGCGTCGTCGGGACATTATTTGATGAGCCATGGAGCTCTACGCTTGTATTACCAATCATTGGAACTCGATGGGCTATCCTTTAAGCATGAAGCCTTTCGTTCAGCTTGCTGCCTATCCTCAGATGTAGAAAGCGGTTCCGCTGGCTGGTGTAATGTGAAGTAGGTTGTAGAAATGGCGCAGCCTTCTCGGTGGTTCTCAGCACGGAACCTCATAGTGCGGCGCTAATCATGCACCCATTCTCGGCTAAGCTTGGCATTCATAAACGCTGCCCTGGCCCTCTTTATAAGTGAGCTTCAGGTATCAATTATTCCATGCATCGTAGATCATGCTCTCTTACCTCGATTTCACAAATCCCAATCTTTTGGTGAATTTCTAGAAATCAGGGCTGGGTTGATCCGTTTTGCCCCTTAACAATGCGCATAGCTTGTCCTTCTTCTGCGTAACTTTGAGACTGTCCTGCCCGTCCTCGCGGGCACTAAAATCGCTTATGTCATGATTCAATTATCTACCTCCTCGTCTCCTTTGCTATCCCTTCTGCTTGAACAACAGGCTTGACTACTTGAAATACACGAAAACCATTCTCAGAATCTGGGTACGGTGTAGTGTGCTCTCAATGATTACTAAAGAATTTGACAGATTCAATTCAGAGAATTCCTGATAGAGCTTTCAAAGTTAGACTTCTGTTACTATTGGTTGACTAGGTATATCGAGTAATGTTTAGCGCCATAATACTTCACATGTGACTACACATTGCTTGCTCCAGGCAACATGACATGACAACTTAATTGGGACATTATATTCTACTGGTCGCTATAGCTCGGCGATCCAGACTATTGCAGGAATCCTCAATTCAATAGAAGAGATCCCCACGAAGATCTGAGGTCTACAGCTTTGCTCAGCACCATTGCAGGTCGCCTTTGGTTGATCTTCAGCCTTGCGAGCTGTCCATTATTGCCGATGTCAGGTCAGATCTCCGCAGCCTCTTCTGTGGCGTGAGATTGACTTGATTCAGCCTTCTCAAAACCCCATGCCGAATTAGCCCTTTCTCCTGGCGCCTTCACTCGATCTTCTCCCGCCAGAATAGACATTTCCTCCAGCATCTTCCCTGGTAATTCGTCGTGTGTGTTCTCCACCATCCGTATTTCCTCAATCGACCTTCTTTGCGCAGTCGACGCCAGAGGAAGTCCCGTGGTAAGGAGCGAATCCTCCAAAAACCCCTTTCTCTTCCTCACATGTCTTTCGAGATCAGCAAGACAGGGTCGTTTTACTCGGAATACAGTTTCAAACATGTAAGCAAAAGCTTTGAGCGCAATTGCCCTGTCTCCACCGCTTGCAAGCTCCTCCGCCGTGGCTATCACTTCTCTAAGAGCCCAAACAAAACTGCTAGCATTTCGCTCCGAATTTAGAGTCGTCAGAATGTCGTCCAATTGTTGCTGAACTCTGGTCATGAAGTCCAAGTTCGTATCTGAGATGCGAGTTTTAAACTGAATCAGCCTGGATCGGACTGCGATACGACTAGTCGTGACCAAGTGATTTTGCATTCCTTGGACTTCTAAAAGACATTGTTTGAGGAGCCTCGCTGCTTCGTCGCATAAGTCATTCAGGAGCAGCATTTCAGCCCGCAAATGGGCAGTCCATAGTCTGAACTCGCCAAGTTCGCCGGTGCATCTCCACAGGGGGATACTGATATCGTGGACCACCGCAGGGCTCTGCGCATGTTGGTAGAAACCCTCCAGGCTCTTAAGTCTGCTCTCTGCCTCTTTCCACATTCCCTGTCGCATCATCACTGTGATATATTCTACGCGGAACCTCCATGGTCTAAGGTGGTCTTCTACTGTGTGCCCATAAGGCAATGATCTTTGGAAAAAATGTTCCGCGAGTAAGAGGTGACCTGCACGGGAGCAAGTGAATCCACAGTCCAGATTGTATTTGGTAGGCATAGCCAAAAGTATGTCTGAGCGCTCCAGAAGCGGAAGTAGTCTCGACAACGCCGCCCTTGCGAGTGGGACGGCTGACCAAGACACCATTTCACACCATTGCGAACTCACCTCAACTAGGCTGTTCAAGACAGCGGTGTCTTTTGCATCTTTGACGTACGTTATTAGATCTGCCAGCATGAAACCTACGGTTCCGGCAGCCCAGGCACAATTCGAGGTACCCTTGCCCAGTAGGAGGCTTTTCATCTTCATGACCTCCTCGATCGTTGTGGAGTTCTCGTGCTGGGCTTGCTTCTGGTCACGCAGTACATATGACCCGACCAGTATTGCCCATTTGTGTTTAATGAAGGTATGTAGAAATTTCTTGTGGTTGAGTGACGGCGCATCTTTGACTATCGCATCGTAAAGCTTCTTATTGGATTCATTAGTCCGTCTTTCTATTCCCTCAAGGAACATATCGAGTGTAAGGTTGAATAAGAGCATAGGGAAAATCTTTCTCCTAGAAGGTGAGAAGTGTTCAAGATCAATGTGGCCGCGCATCCGTTCCCAATGGAAAGAGTAGCATTGTGCCCGACGCTCACTGATACAGTATGAATCCTCTTCTGGTAGCACCGTGAGAAGGCCGATAAGATCTTTGTGAAGAGGGGTCAGATCCAAATTCTGCAGGTCCCGCGATCGAGCCTTCCAGACCTGACAATCAACTTGCCAGTACTCTGTCCCAGATCCATCGGAAGGGGCAGCCACGACATCGATCGAGCTTTGCTGTAAGAGAGCGTTCTTTAATTCTTCGAGCTGACCTGACTGCACACACAACGCGAAGGCACGTAAAAAGCTATGATCCCTAAAAACATTTTTATTAAGTGGACGATCTTTGAACCCCCAAGGATGCATGTGGGTCGGTTCTGAGCTCAGCAGATACCGTGTCGACACTAGCATCACCAACTCCCTCAGAATGACGCCATCATCGCCATACAGACCGAGGAAGTCGATGAAATTCTCCTTGTGCTTGCCGTTGAGAAAACTCTCGAGAGGGTCCTCGTCTTGTTTGTGTGCTAGGCGATTGTGGATGAGCTTTGAGACGCCTCTGAAATGCCGTTGCACGCTTTTGAATTCAGCCATCTAGAAGTTCGCTGGCAGCAGAGTAGTGAAAGAAAAAGTAAAGCGTGTCAATGTGCAGCAGCGATTAATAGTGTTCTCAGGACTGGCTTTGCCTCCTGTATTGCATAAGGAAGCCCAAACTTGTCTTGTTTCGATTCTGAAGCGCTCCTTCGTGAATTTTCATAAGTCCAATTTGAAGCCAATCAGGCAAGTAGGACGAGTTGGATTAGAGAAAATTTTAGGAAGGAGTCATGATGAAACATTTTATGGTTGTATTCTTATTTGGATCAGGCTTTGTAGTCAAATGCACACCCAACGTCTTGTTCAGATGGGGCCACTAAAGTCTCTTCTCGGCCTTTCATTGCTTAGTGCTTGAGGTCGCCGCCCATCGAGGTCATTCTATGGCCGTGGACACCTGGAAAAGGGGCTTATGTACAACCTCACTCAACCCTTCGTTTCGGCATCAAAAGCACCAGTGGAATCGCAAGGCAGGCACAGACAAGTGAGAATGCTATTCGGCCACGATAAGCAGACGAAACCTATAGAGCGACTGGGTATGAACTTACTTGACACGAAAAAATACCCCTGCGCATAGCTCTCGCTAACCACCCTCTGCCTCTCAGGTGTGAAGTACTTCCACGCCCAGCGTGCATCGCACAAAGCCATCTTGACACACTGCCAGCAGGTAGCCGTTAGCAAATCATTTTCTGCCTTCCGATTCCAAGATTACCGGATGTTCTCACCTCTTGATTCACCAAGCGTCCCCTTAGAATCTTCTCAAACGCCATCCTCGCGACCCCCGTCCCACCAGCCGCCCCAACAATGGTCCCCACCTGCTGACTCAGGTAGAACACACTGATCCCCATAGCCGTCAACCCATCGTCAACACTCGTACTGATCCCCACGAAGCCCGCCGAGGAAGTCAAGCCAAGACTGAATGCCGCCGGTAAAAGCACCAGACACTCCCATAGCGAAATAGGGATGTGCGCGGTCAGCCCGCCACCTTTTCCATGCTCATCCTGTGGAACAGGTAATGGTGACCAACGCACCAACATAATAGCGAAGGCTAGAGGGGAAAGAATGCAGGTGAGGTAGAGAGGCGGGAGAAAGGTCTTTGAGCGCTGGATCCAGAGGCCGGCGATGTAGGAGCCTAGTGCGTTGCCTAAGGGTGCAGGGAGGATCGTGAGAGAGGCGAGGGTAGAAGAGACGTTAAGGGTGCGGATGAAATAGTTGGGTATGTTGGAGAGGACCTGTGAGTGATGCGGGAGATTATCAATATGAAGGAAAGAAGAAGGGGGGAGGGCATAATGGGAAAAGGGGGCTTACGGCGAATTGAGCGGCTAGCAGGAGGATTTGCACAAGATACTGGAGGGAGACGCCTTTATTTTTGAAGAGGGAGGGTGCGAGAAGGGGATGAGAGGACCAGCGAGTCTCGATTAGTATTAGTAGGATGATGGAGAAAGGGAAGACAATCAATGGCGTTAGTGTGATCGGAGCCTTTACGCTTATCCCTTTGGTCAGCGAGTCTACGAGGAGGAGGAACGATGTCATGGCGGCGGCGAAGGTGAGGAGCCCGGGGATATCAAGGCGGTGCTTCCATTTAAAAGCGTGGCCTAATTTGGATATTGTTCCGGGCTGTGAAAGTGCTTGGGTCTCAGCTGCGATGAGGCAGAGGGCGATAAATGGTGCTTCCATGATAAATGACCTAGAAATTTATGAGTATGCCTTTCTTACTCGTGCCCTATTGTTCGAGAAGACACTGTGGCTTTGCAATGAAAACGAAACTTACCATCGCCATCCAATGGTATCAACCAACAAGCCTCCAATAGGGCCACCAATGCCCCTTCCCAGAATTGCAGCGAGGTTGATGTAACTTCGAAGAACCGCTACTCTTGATATAGGCGCTACATCTTGACATGAATGATCGTCAACAAAAGCGTGCTAGCCCGTAAAGCAGGCCGTAACAAGTCATGAGGCCAAAAGAAACACGTACCTGTAATGATGATCGAGACCACTGCTGTCGTTCCCGCACCCCCAATGCCTTGTATGACGCGGCCAACAATGACCGTTGATAGAGTGGGGCCAGCCCCTCTGCAACGAGAAGTCAATCTTGAAATCCAGTATTGCGGTGGGAATTGGAGAGATACTTACGATATCACAGCTCCAACGCCAAAAAGAGCATAGCACATCAACAGCGGTGGCTTTCGTCCAAAAACGTCACAAGCGGCACCATACTGAGAACTATCAGTTCATACCCTATAACCGCATTGCCATCCTCAAGACCCATCAGAAAGCTCCGAATCACGAGACAAAGTACAAGAACAGCCAACCTCCATTTCAAATTTCTCAAAACATCCCTTCTCGAAAAAAAGAACACATCACAGCCCCAACCCCAAACAGCATCAAAGATCTCAACTCCAACTCACCACAGGCAAAGCAACACCATACCCCAACGTATACCCCGTAATCAACCAAGCTCCATTCTGCAATTCCTGCAGATCCGACGCAATTTCGCTATACGTAGCCAACACGAGTCCCGAGTCGGCACTTGCAAGGAAAACCCCTATAAAAATCCACAGTATGATCAGCCCTCTCCTCCATCCCTCCATCCCTTCATCAAACAGAGAGCGCCCCCAACACAACACATACCTAGCCACGCAATCCAAAACTTCAGTTGCGGGTACGAAAGGTCGGTTTGGTGGGAATCAGGGCCATCATCATGCAGTTCGGATGTGAATGCAGCTGTCACATTAGCTGCATACCCTTCCTCTTCCTCCTCCTCCCCGTCCCCGTCCCCGTAGCCTGGGTGGAGAAGAGGCTGCCGCTCGCCAAGTCCTGCATCCAATGTTTCTATTAGATTTCGCATGCTTCATAGCTTGCCTTGACAGTTGGGTTAGGGTTGAGTTTAAATCACATGGAAGGTAAGAAGGCATGGGGGTGGAAAGTGTATTATGTCATTATGTGTTTAGATTTAGAATATGCATGCGCTGAGTGGCTGGATTTGGATGAGTAAGGATGAGGGTCGGAGATGCTCGGCTTGAAGATCATTGATCTCTGCTTCTTCTTTCAAGTTCCAAGTAAGTTTTTATTCGGGGGTTTGGACGACTCCTTGCTTGATGGTTGATAGGTAGGCGAGGAGGTTCGCGGAAAGACAAATGTCGCTTCCAACTCCTTGGTTCGAACATTTCAGAAAAGCGAAGTCGGCGATGCAGACGGCGAATGCCTTTGCAATCTTGAATAAGTCCTGTTTGGTGATGATAGTTGACCCTTCATCCTGCGCTGGGGTCGTTGCGCCATTTCACACGCTACCGTGTCGTTTGCACCTCCTTCACACCAGTCAAAATCCAGTCCTTCTCGCTATTCCACGTATCACCCCTCAGCATACTGAACTTCATTTGCAGCCACTCTTCACTTGTCATGACTTTGCCCTTATCATCCTCTGGATGTCTTGTGCCCAGTAAGTGTACCGGCTTCATGCTAATATTACCCTTTGGACCTACAGTACCCAGTAAGAGGCTTTGCCTTGGCTTCATCATGGTTTGATCCTCTGGAGCCTCTGTGCCCAACAAGAGGCTTCGTATCGGCTTCATCGGCGTCTTTCCCTCCGGTCTCATTAAATATGCAAAACTGTACCTCTCTACATGTTCGAGCCCGGGATCTGGAACAACACGGTGAGAGCAAGACTTGAAGTACCCGTTAGTCAGCATGCTTAGGCAATCTCCAACATTCACTATGACAATGCCCATAGGTGGAGGCTGAACAAAGTGCCATTCCTTGTCTCGTTGGATTTGCAAGCCCCTTTGCTTTGACCATAGGAAGGTGAGTGATCCGAGATCTGTATGTTCAATGTGCGATACTCGTTTCTCCGACGGTGAGAGAGCGTGGTATCGCAGCAATCGTAGTGGATCCGGAGTGGCGACCTCGCAGCTACGATGCAGATCTTGCAGCGACGGAGCGTCCATCGGGATTTCCAGAAGTCTGGAAAGCGTGCTGAGAATCGTGTATGCCGCGTCTGAGATGGCGCCGCAGTAAATACGGAGGGCATATAAATATTTGTCGACTAATGCTGGTCTCTTCCACTCGAGGTCGTCAAGCGACAGGATGCCATCTTTGGGTATCTGAAATTGTAAGACCACGGTTCCGACGTGGTGTAAAGGCATACGCTCACATTGTAGGATTCGAAGCCATCCTTTCCATCAGAAAGTCCTCCTCGATTGCGACCCACAGGCTTATATCCGTTGAGCTTCCATTCTGGGGACAGCTTATCGACATCGTAACGCATCAACTCATGAATGGGTAACTTGAAGATCTCGTGGTTCAGCGTGTCAATGTCTTTGACGATTGCACGGATCCGTCGGTCAGCGCTGGCGATGTTGAGGTAGAAAATTCCTTCATTGCGACATGCGTCAAGGAGTTTCTGACATTCTGACTCGTCACAGTCATAGAGTGTCTTCAGATTAACAAGCGGCAGTGAAATTGTTTCGACCTGCTTAGCACTTTCCATCCGCATATCGATAGTCGGGAAGGGACGTCTTTCGCGTAAGTGGAATACTATGTCCCTGCAGTTGCGATGAAGAATCAATCAATGGCTTTGAGTACGAGTTTGTATGAGAAGATGAAAATGGAAACCATAGACAGAGAGAGAGACCAAGTACGAACACTTTCAGTCGTACAACGTCACCCGCAACAATTTGACCCCAGATTGGCCAACACAAAATACTTCACTTGCAAAATCAGATTTTGACTCCCCAAGCGGTGACTTAGAGAATGCCATCACGTGGAGGTTGCACCTACCCAAGTAGGATTAGGATGATCAGGAAGGCCGCATGGAAACCAGAACTTCGAGATGTGTAGATAATTCTTCCAACAGCTAGTCCAATTCGGGGCAAGCGGGCCTTCCCCTGAAACTGTAATGCTCTTTGAGTTTGATCCTCGTGATATCTGATCGATTTGGGTCAGGCAGTAAGATCCCTACTATCGGAAGAGGCAAAGAATTCCGAAACATTCCCCTGCTTCAGAGGGAGATGTTTTATTTTCATTACAGGTTGTCAATACCATCGCTAGCCGCACAGGTGATTCCAGACTGTCCAACCATTCGTACTCAAATTGGTGTACCTAAATAATAGGTAGCACATTTCATAGCCCAATGCCCAGATCTCTGGCCGCAGACCCTTTTCCCATGGTCATTTCCCTGTGCCTTCCATGTGCCTCCTGATTTCCAAGCTCTGCAGAGTCCATCCTTTCACCATAGAGCCCTCGCGGTCTTTTTGGTTTCAGATGTCTCAATTCGGAGGGCCTTTTGAGTCTTGCTTTCCGATTCTTGGTCGGCTTGGAAATGCCACTGTCCTGAAGGGTGGAGCGAGTCCTACGGCCACCAGCAACATTTGTCAACTCGTGCCGACGGATATGATCTTTCACAGCCACAGATCTGAATCTAAGACCGCGTGAGGGCTTCATACTTTTGCCAGCCATTTGAGTGCGACCATCTGCATTACATCCACGCGAAGCGGTCTTGTGCACTGAGTTTCGAGGGAAGGCGTCATTTTCGCGCTCCACGTCGAACTGCTGAGGAAGACTATGTCGATACTCCATCTGAAGCTGGCCTTGAAAAAGCGGAGTCCGCCCCAAGTCTCGCAGATTTGGCAAATGGTGACCAAGATGTTCGTTCAATCCAAGCGCAGATTGGAGCCAGAGTGCGTTATCACTTCCATTTTGATCGCCTTGTAGTTCAGGCAACAAATCATCATTTAGCGCCTCAGTCATCCAGAAGCCAACGCCAAGATCCCTCGCATGTCGTTGTTCAAGGAAGTCTTGCAGCGGTGTCTGCGCTGTTGCCGAACCGTAATGCATAGTCCCATTTTCAAGCGAGGTCTGGGACGGCAACTGTGAGTGCTCGTCGAATGCAGGGACTGCTGTTTCAAAAGATGAATTTAGTTTAAGATACCATGACGTAGTAGACTTCTGTGGCCTACCATCAGGAGATACAGATCGCCTTGCAGGGCGCTGATAGGCCGAGGGCTGAATGCGAGGTCTGTTGAAGAAACTGCGGCATGAGGAAGAATCAAAGTTCAGCGTTGCTTGTGTTCGAGAAGCTTCTTCTTCTTCCTCGATGGACATAGGAGCATCATCGATACGTACTTGCCGGAAATGAGCTTCCAGGTCTGAGGGAGAGCTGACTACGTATGCACTGCTGACGCTCTCTTCGAGTGAGTACTAGAGATCGTCAGACTCGGGCATCCCGAGTTGTCTGTCTAACTAAAGTCCAGGGGATACTATACCACGCCAGCTTCATCTCCTATCACTGGAGATGAGATGGCCGCGGAGTCTTCTATTTGCATCTCAGTAGCGTACAAATTCTGTGTGAAGGTGCTGGACTCGTCGAATTGTGACGCAATATGCTCCAAAGAGACCGCTGGTAATGGGTCATAGCTTGAGGTGTCTCGTGTAGTACGTAACTGTGCCAAATGATAATATGAATCTGCCATGCTTGACTTCGAAGGGAAGGAATGTTGCAAGATGGAAATGAGAATGGATACTCAAGTCTCACAGATACAACTTGATCAATTAGTCTTAAGCACCTTTCAGATGAGTCAGTGTTCGCCTTATTATGTGCAGCAGCTTCGCCTAGCCACGTGCGGGCTTCCATGGTTTAGGCCAAGCCGAAGCAGACCTACGTGAGGTCGTGCAAATGAGGAGCATCCTCTTGAACGGTCCTGTTCCGAATCCTGGGTGATGCATTCGAATATGAAGACAGCTACACCGGTAGCAGACACTACAAGTCGACGTCCTCCCCCATCACAACTGCGACCTTCAACCTCCAACTCTTCACGCTATGTCCTAGCGCACTCAATTTGGCCCCTACAGCCATCAGACTAGGATCTTGACTTTCTACTTTGACTTTCTCCTTCACGTTGACCTTCTCTCCTCTCCATTCGAACACCTGATCCAACTCATCATGAACCTGGGGTCTTTGCGCGAGCCCCAATCTAGTCCTCAGAGATAAGCCTGTAAGTGACAGAGCATCCTGACCACTTCCTGCAGGCACGAGGGTTCGAATGGTGAGGGCAAGGGATGAGTCGGAAATAGATAGATGAGGGGCAAGTGTTGGTGGTAAATCAGGGCCGAATGTTTCTTGGATCTCAGAAGCAGAGGGGTCTACCGCATTCCATTGGCAACCTGGAATATCTTCTCCACCTTTCAAGGCCTGGCGCGCTTCATCAATGGTATCGGACAGCAGCTTCAGCTGAGAAGAGACGAAGGGACCATTATTGGGATCACCGGTGTAAAGAGCTATGTCAATTATATCGAGAGTCGTGTTGAGAAGGGCCAGCAAGTGGGCAAGCTGCGGCAAGACAAGCGGATATGATATGTGAAGTGGGAAAGAAGGAGAGCCTCGAGGCGGAGGAAGCGTGGGAAGCCGCAGGGCAATGTCACCCTTTGTAATGCGCGTCCCTACGCGGGTGACGATGCCTTTGACGCTCTCGGATCGATGAGAGGTCAGGGGGAGGGTGGACGCCGGATTATCCAAAGAAAGAAGGGAGAGACATTCCTGTAGGCCTGCCTTGAGGGATGGAAGGGTTTCTTGGACGATGGAGAGAAGCCAGGTGAGCTCCGCTGTCTGTAGGAGATGTAAGTTGTGGTTGATTTCGATGGGGGAGAGCAATTGTCACCAGAGTCTCCTCAACCTTCTCATTCAATTCGTCTTGGGATATGGGTGGCCATATCTGTGCGGACATGGTTGTGAAGATACTTATGGCCCGCTGTAGGAGCTTTCTAGCGTTCAATAAGGTTGCAGCTTGAATGCATGGCGGTTAGAAGAGCCGTCATTGTCAGTTCTTGCGAGGACCGCGCGATTTTGGTACAAGAATTGGTCGCTATGGATAGTGTGAGAACGCTTCAGCCACTCGCGTTCAGCATCATCATGATTCAACACACTGTCATTGGGTGAAGAAAATGAGAGTAATGATACTCCCGCCAAGCATTCGCATGACGTCGAGCTTCAGACCGCTAATGCAGAATGAACGCTTCGGATAGGCACGGGAACTGTTTAAAATTGCAGAAATCGGCCCTTGGGACGCCCCCAAATCAAGGAAAGATGATCCACTGACGCTCCACTGGTCGCTTTGGGGGACCATTTACTCGCCTCTAGGTCCAGTTGGGCCGCCTTTCAGAGCCTAGACCGCCGCGATTTCTCGTCCAAGTTGCGATGGAATTGCAGCTGACCCCGAAAAGACTTTCTCCCCGACCGGCCTAAAAGACGTCAAGCCACAGCAACCGCCAAGTGCCACCCCAAACAACAATCCTCGCTGTCGCCTACTCTTTCGACCTTCCAACTTCACCTCTAAGCCTTCGCTCGCTTCAGAAGTGCACCCCTGGCCACTCGGACGGTTTGCGCACACTCATTGGCTTAAGCTGATAACTCATTAACCATTGAGCAGCTCTTCAGAGTCTCAACCCGCCAAAATGATCATCGCAAGTAAGTCCGCAGCTCCGGCTTGTCCACGCGAAGAGAGACGCTGTCTAACATTGCTCGTCTAGGGCCGATACTCGGTTTCCTATCCCTCATTCTCATAGCTGGTGCTTGCCTGCTCCTTCTCTTAACCCTCCTGGGAGGCGCAATCGACCACAACCCAACCAATCGTTACTACTTCTTGCAAGCCGACACCTCGGGCATTGCTGGTGCTGCTGATCAGACTCGATGGACCTTATGGAACGCCTGCTCAGTCCTTAATGGGAAGAACTCGTGCCCCAAAGTACATGCTGCCTATCCGTTCAACCCACCCGGCAACTTCAAGGGTTCGGAAGACGGCATACCACCACAGTTTGTTGGGTGAGCACATGAATTGTCGCGCCCTCAAGAGAACATCTTCCTGACAGCTGGGTTATAGAACACATTACTACTATTACATGACGCGATTCATGTTCTCATTCATCCTTATCGCCCTTTTCTTCGCCGTTGTCGCGTTGTTCCTCGGTCTCCTTGCATTATGCACCAAGTTCGGTAGCTACCTCGACAGCGCAATCGTGTCCGTCGCCTTGTTCTTCCAGTCGATAGCTGCAGCACTCATGACGTAAGTTCAAACATTTCCGTCAACAACCGAGATCGAATGGCTTATCGTGTGACTTCCAATAGGACGGCATTTGTCAAGGGACGAAATCTCTTCAGATCGAACAACCGAACCGCCTCTTTGGGCAAATACAACTTTGGCTTTATGTGGGCAGCGGCAGCATGTCTCTTCCTTGCTACTGTCTTCTTCCTCTGCGCCGGCGGTGCAGCTGGAGGTAGCTCATCCAGTAGTGGAGGCAGCCGCTTCGGGAAAAAGAAGAGCTCAAAGAGGGCGAACAAGAACAGAGGCAGCTTTCTAGACAGGAGCAGCTTTGAGAGTAAGTCGACTTCACACGGAAGCCTTCGATATCATCCATCGTGACTCGACTTGACGGGAACAACGAGACTAATGGCTTTTCCTAGAATCGGAGCGACCATTACCCTTGGTGAATGGAGCGTGATCAGTATCAGTGCGGAACACCATCTCAAGCACTAACTCGCAAAAGCCCTGCCGTCTTGGCCAAAACTTGAACCAATTTGGAGGGGATAGGATCTATGATACCCACACTCGCTGCTTCAACTCTTTGTCGTGTTTTATTACGATTGATTTGAACCTTGCAACGAAACACAGCATCTGATTGAGCGTACTGATATGTTATGGGGTCGAGAGTAATTGATAATGGAGGAGATAATGCTAAGTATCAAATCTGGGTAAATCCATCTAGCTGTAGTTTATGAAAGATATTTACCTCTACACTGTCTTTCAAGCAAAATACGCGTAGGATTCCTGGCTTCTCGTTACAGCGTATGCCCAAGAAAGCAAGGCCGAGTTGTACACTACTCGCGTGTACGAAAGAGCTCGATGATACACACAAATACGATACGCTAGTGGCTGAGTACGGAAGCGGACAAACGTTGGGGCTTTGGTGGGCACTTTTGCATCTCCAGCCGACCCAAACCCCATCGTGTGCCTCAGCCTAACAGTAGGCTTATTCAATTGGCCTATGAGCTATATGCGCTTGCTTACCCCACACTACCATACAGCTGTCTCGAAGACCCGTTGACCCCGCCAGACCCAAGCTTGAAGCCAATCCCCGCATTGTCGTTGGCGGAGGACCCCTAAAGCCATTGTCTTGCTGACCCTGTTCTACTGACCTCTGACACCATACAGCAGCCTCGTGAAGCTGCTTCGCCAGCTCTGCTTCTGCTGCTTTCCCCATAAACGCCGACTATTTAGCTAAGATGCTCACTCGACGACTCGTACCCTCATCCAACACCCTCTCCTCCTCCATCCGCGCCCTCTCTACCACCCCTTCATACCAGCGCACCCCCGCCCTTGCCGACGTCACGCCCAACAACGCCCCAGCATTTGACAAAAGACAAACAGAATTCCGCGAGCAGTCCCGGAGAGCAGCGAAGCAGAAACAGGAACAAGATAGTCAGTCTGTCACGAGCTCCGCTTCCAACGCTCAGCAAAGTCTGAGCAATGGCAGGGGCAGCGCGACTTCCCCTTCCTCTTCTTCGTATTCTAGTCCATTGAATGCAGAGACTTTGGGCTCACTGTCCACTCACGCAACAGGAAAGGAACGCGACTCGTCGTATCAGCAAGAATCCTCCAAGCGGCAGTCTTCCCTCAGTAATCTCATTTATGGCACCCAAGAAGGGCAGCAGATGGATCAGGATATCGAGAAGAGCTTCAGTCAGGTATTAGCGAGGGGAAAATATGTACACAGCATTGTGTTCCACAGCGTAAAGCCAGACAAAGTGGACGAATATGTGGACTTAGTCGGGAAATGGTACCCGAAGATGGCGGGGATCGAGAACAACCACGTCAATCTTGTAGGCAGCTGGAGAACAGAAGTGGGCGATTGTGATACATTCGGTACAGAAAGTAACTTCTGTAAGGAATAAAATGACTAACGCACGTCCGCAGTGCACATATGGGAATATCAGCGCTACCAAGGCTACCACGCCTCCCTCCACAGCATCGCCTCCCACCCTGAATTCCCCTCCTTCGACAAAAAGCTCAAATCCCTCATCACCGCCAAGAACTCTAGCCTAATGCAAGAGTTTTCTTTCTGGCCCACCACCCCCCCCGCCAGCTCGGCGGCCTCTTCGAATTACGCTCCTACACTTTAAATCCCGGTAACCTCCTCGAATGGGAAACGCACTGGCGGAAGGGGCTGAAGGCTCGAAAAGAAGTGATGGAGGGTGTGGGTGCGTGGTTCGTGCAGATCGGCGACCTGAACACGGTGCATCATCTCTGGCAGTTTGCGGATCTGGAGGAGCGGAAAGCGCGGAGGGAGATGAGCTGGGGGGTCGAGGGGTGGGCGGATACTGTGCATAGGACTGTGCCGCTGATTCAGAGCATGAAGAGTAAGGTGATGGTTGCTATGCCGTGGAGTCCGGTGGGCTAGGTGATTTGAAGTACGGTGTTGGTAGTGTGAGGCGCGACTCGCTCAGAGATTTACTGCTTCGTTGAAGGTGTGTAGATTATCCGGATGATAAGCGAGGAGGTCGAGTGAAGGGGATTGTGCAAAGACAGCCCAGAGAATTGTGCAGCAGAGGGTGCCCAGGCCATCAATCCTGAGATACATGGCTGTCTTGACTCTCCACGAGTCTTCAATCGATCAAACAAGCAAAGCACATCCATCACCTCACTACTAATCCAGAAACTTTATGTTTAAGTATCGACTGGCCAGAGTATGCTGGCCTGGCAAAAACCTCCCCGCCTGAATTGAAGGCATGCCCAATCAGAGGCAACCTTACCCTCCCCATACAGTTTGATCTTGTCTTGAGGCTTGAGAAGCACTTCCTGCCATCCCCCTTCTCCCTTCCCCCTCCCGAAATATACAGCCTTTTGGTATGCATTAAAGCACTTATATAAATTTACATATGTCACCCCTAATTGTTCAATGAGATAGGCAGTTGGTCAATCCTGAGAATTGGTCAATTGAGTATAACAGTACGACAGCGAGCCCGCATGAAGCCGCGCAAAGTCTATTGGCTGCAAAGTGAGGCTTCGCAGCTCGCTTCACTATTGTTCTGTCGAAGAAAAACGATGTAGCAGCGCCCTTTTTTGTTGAACTGTCCCTCGAATCCTTCAAACGAAGGATTCCTTAACCGTTTTGGATACGCGATGGCAGAGCTGAAGGCGCACATAGGCTGCCCACGAAATGCACAAGCGCCACCCTATCCTCCCAATGCCAGCCTCGTCCCAAATGCTAATATCGAGCAAACTCCAATCGTCGATGACCACCTGCATGTACCAGGTCACTACTACATCCGGCCCTGCCACCTTTCAGATTTTCTTGATACCGAGATTTCCGTTTCTCGCCTCAACGCGATATCTTCTTTCCTCTGGTTTGCCGGCCGTCAAGGTTATATACGACCTCTGCATCGTCAGAAGCTGGTTCAACGGTCCATTGTTGTCACGGAACAGGCAGACCTACATCTAGTCTAGTTTAATCAACAGATATATATCAAATCGCTTCCTCGTTTTTTACTGAATTACGACTTCTTCTCCAGCCACATCTGCCAATCGACGGCACTCTATCTTGATGCGTACGGCTTGTTACAGTCATACAAACAGCTGATACAACACGAGAGTGACTTCAGGTTGGCGCTCCAGCTCGGCTTGCTTCCAGAGACGATCACATGGGAGCGGTGGACCGCTTTTGTGGCGAGACTAATGCCTATTGATGAAAGCTGTGCATCGGAGCGCTACCGATATGGCGAGCTACGGCTGTTCAGATTGAATCTGATATACCGGTTTATTTTCGGACATTGGATTGGTGGGTATCAGTTGCTGCATACGAATTTCAACTCCTTCTTTGGGAGCAACTTTACTTGGCCTCTGGTGACGTTTGCATACATGACCACGATTCTTAATGCTATGCAGGTGATACTGGGTACGCGAAGGCAGAATGCTGCCATTGAGACTGCATTTTTTGACGCTAGTGTTGCTGTGGTGATGGTGATAGTAGGCATGTGTATCGCTGTCGTGCTCTTCTTTTGGACACTGCTGTTGCACAATCTGGCCAAAGCATTAAGGAGAAGGCGGTCTATGAAGCCTCGTGACCTTTCCAGTTCCGAATAGCATATTTAATTTCCTTTCACACCACGTTTCGGAAGCTGATGTAGGTACTTGGCTTGGCTTTGCATTAATGCCTGTCCGAAGAAAGTGCAATCCGTAGGAAGCGGTAAGTTCTCATGTACGTAGCTAAGTCCAAGAGATTGGACCGGGCCAGGCTTTAGTTTGCACTCAAATGTCGACGGTTTCAGCCGGATTTGATTGTGCAAGATTTCCCACTTGAGGCAGCTCGATATCATCAATTGGTCGTCTTTTCGACATTCTCTGTAGAGGTCGCTTTCTCGTGCCATCAGGAAAGACTTGATACCTGCCGAGGAAAGCGTCCTTGAGACGTCCATTCTTAATATCGTCCTAGATCCTTTAGTAGACGGCTCCTAAGGCTACGTTTGCCACCTGTGGCTGTATGAAGAGCAACACACCTTAAACCAGACAAAAGCATTCAAGCTATCTCCGCCATACTTCCTCCAATATTCCCTCCAATACCCGGGAGGATGCCAGGCTCTAAAACTATCAGGACCCTGCTCGTAATACGCTCTCACTTGCCGGTCATTGTGATAGCCTCGAACTATCACGCCTTAGTACGTATATTGTCGAGTAAAAGGGCTGGAAATATACTCTTGAATAACCAATAAACTTTTCTGAGCTGTTCTTGCAGCCAAGTTTGGTTCACTACGCGCACAAATCTTTCAGTACTGCACACACAAAGTCAAGCGGCAAGTCTGCACACTTTACTTACCAGGTAAAGCTGGTGCAACAACAACCCCCCGATCAAAGACGTTTCCATTGGGATGATGATTTCTGCCAAAATTCCAATCTGCAATCATTGTAGCAGTGCCACAAAACACTAAGCGATCGCAAACTCTCATTACAGTCCGTTGGACCATTCTTATTGCAAAGTGCTGACAGTTGGCGGTAACCAACCCATATTCCGAGAGCTGACTGACGACCCACTCTGCTATGGGCAGAATCTGATCACGCCTGTAATCAGTTTGCCCGACCTTAAATGCTATCAGAGTCTTTCGTGTTTTTCGATTTTCGATTCTGATATAGTCATCGGTACTGGGATCACTGAGATCTTCGCATTTGAGCATACAAGAAGCGTTCCTGGACTTCTTTGAATGTTGAGTCTTTCCACTTGCCTCACGCGGCAATTCTGGAGCGGACAGGTGATAGAATACTCCTTGTGTGTAAAAGGACCAGTGATTCAGCGAGCCAAATGGCATTGGCCCGAAGCTTGCTGCCCGAGTCACGAGATAGATGTCACTTGCCGTCGGAGAAGGATCTGCAAGAAATGGATGCAAGTGTCTGTGCATTCTGACGTCTATCATGAACTCGCCGTTTGGGAGGAAAATTGCACTGCGTCGGTTTTCCCAGACCCATCTCGCCTTGGTGTTAATTATAGGATTCAGCTCGATGATGGTCGGGAGTGCTGGTCCTCCAGTGGTTGTGTCCTCGATGATCTCACGATTGGAGATCGTAGCCTTGTCATACATGCGAAACGAGCCTGACATACCGTCCTTACCGTGGCCGGAATGAAATTGTAGAGCGCTCAGTCTAGAATTTAGGATTCATCGAACACTATTTTACATCTTTGGCACGAGAAAGCGCCTGCTTACATGTGTCTTACTCGAAGGATGTCTTGAGATGAACAATGCAGGGCAGATTAGGTCACAATCCACTTTGCATGAGGCTCAATAGTGCTATTGCCTGCATGTCGTTCATCATCGAGTCGCTACCATCATGACCACAAAAGATCCGGATGTCTTCGAGACCGCGGTTATTTCGATGAAAACACCATTACATGATGTGCTCATGCTTTTGGTGCTCATAGAATGGACCTTGCTTGTATTCTGTACCGCCAAGCCCTCGGACATTAGAACTAGACTAGCTGAATCTCCGTCTCTAAGGCATGCGTAACCGCGATTTTTGGTTCCAGAAATCTGATCCATCAACCCTCTCTTAGCGACAGAGTAATCATTCAAATTATCTCAAATACCGCTCTGTGTCCCAGAGATCTCAAGATGGCGGACGGTCAGCTATTCAAGCCAGAGAAAGACTTCACAAAAGAGGTTGACAAGCAAATACCGGAAGCCGAAGAGCTTGCAAAGGTATAGAATGGAAAGCCTTTAGGATTGGAAGCAAGTACTGACTATTCATGAAAGAGCAATGTTGCGTCAGCAATAGAAAAGCTGTCAGCGCTGGAGAAACAGACCAGACAGGTCAGACATGCCCGCGCGCTCACCCTGTACATTTATTTACCTTTCGCCCCAGGCATCGGACCTCGCATCCACATCGAGACTTCTTGTCGCCATCATAACCATATCGAAAGACTCGGGAGACTGGCCACTACTTAACGAACAGATCTTATTATTGTCAAAGAAGCATGGTCAGCTCAAGCAAGCAACCACGAAGATGGTTCAGGTCGCCATGTCGTTCATCAGCGAGACTCCAGATGATGAAAAAAAGCTATCACTCATTGAGACCTTGCGAACGGTCACAGAGGGCAAGGTCAGATCTTCATATCAAACTTGATGGAAATTAGGCTTACAATGGCTAGATATTCGTCGAGGTCGAAAGAGCACGTGTCACTCGAATTCTCTCGGACATGAAGAAGGCCCAGGGTGATCTCAATGCAGCTGCGGATATTCTATGCGAACTTCAAGTGGAGACCTTTGGGTCGATGGAGCGGCGCGAAAAGACAGAGTTCATCTTGGAGCAAGTAGCACTTTGCATAGAAAAAGGCGACTGGGTACAAGCTGGTATACTAAGTCGAAAGATAAGCACACGGTACTTTGCCCGGAAGCCAAAAAAATCACCGGAAGAGCTCGAGAAAGAGCAGAAAGAGCGAGAGGAGAAAGAGAAGAAACGAAGTGCAGATGACCCTCCTCTAGAGAAAGAGCAGGACGTGACTGATCTCAAGCTCCGATACTACGATCAGCAAATCGTGCTGGCCAAGCACGAGGATAAGTATCTCGACGTATGCAAACACTACCGACAAGTTCTTGATACCGAATCTGTCGAAGAAAACCAGGACCAACTACATGCTGTAAGCAGTGTCCTCCTGGCCACATCTTCCCCTCCCCTTCGTGAATCTAACATCATCCACAGGCCCTCCAAAGAATAATCTACTACATCCTCCTCTCCCCCTACGACAACGAACAATCCGATCTCCTCCACCGCATCAACACCGACACCCGCAACCCCCAAGTTCCCGTCGAAGCCCGCCTCCTCAAGCTCTTCACAATCCCCGAACTCATGCGCTGGCCCAATGTCGCCGAGCAATTCGGCCCGCACCTCTGCTCCACAGACGTCTTCTCCGCAACTCCCAGTTCCCACGACCCCAAAGCGCACACACGATGGGAAGACCTGCGAAAACGCGTCATCGAGCACAACGTGCGCGTGATCGCGAAATACTACACGCGCATAAAGATGGACAGGCTTTGTCAGTTACTGGATCTTGGGGAAGAGGAGACGGAGAAGTATATTAGCGAGTTGGTGACGGCGAAGACGGTGTATGCGAAGATCGATCGTCCGGCAAGGGTGGTCAGTTTTCAGAAGACGAGGGATGCAGATGAGGTGTTGAATGAGTGGAGTGGGAGTATGAAGAGCTTGCTTGGGTTGTTGGAGAGGATTGATCATTTGATTACGAAGGAGGAGATGATGGCGAGGATACAGCCGAAGGGGAGTGTCGTTGAAGCGCATTGAGGTCGTCAATTTCGGGCAGAGGAGAGAGAGAGGAGGCATTAGATAGATGGGTCTGTACACTAATTGCATAGAGCCGGCAATCGACATTGCCTCAAGTTCATATAATTCCTGGCAAAGGAGTTTCATCATTCATCAGTCGTCAATCGTACCCCCTCAAGCTCCACCCTCTACATCCTGATGTATGGACAGCATCTCACATAATGACACACGCAGCCCTAAGCTTAGGTTTCCTCCCCCCCGCTCCCTCACCGCCTTCACAGCCCCCATCCCGACCCCTCTAATCCCCTCCCCTCCTTTCTCCCCTACCTCCCTTTTCAGTCCCTTCTCCGCCTTCACTTTCCTCGGCGTCCGTCCCCACTGTTTCAACCCCAAACACACCCGCCCTTCACACCTCATTCCCTCCGCCTCCACGCCCGCCCCAACCCCCTGCCCTTCCCCCAAGCCCCAGCCCAATCTCATCTCCACCTCCTCCGTCCTCATCCCCACCAGCATCTTCTCCCGCAGAATCCCATGCACCGGAGGGAAACGGCGCCGGAAGTCCCCCTGCCTCGACCATCTGATAAGAATTTTGTGCCAGGGATAAGGACGGGGGTAAGGGTGGGCGCTGCGGCAGCTGCGACAGAACGGCAGAAAGCACCATATCGACATCGCTCCTCGAGGCGCTCATGTCCTCTAGTGTGCGCCAGGTTACGATGATCATGTATGCGTGACTTGCTTCGCCCCCGTCCCTTGCCTTAGGCCCAGCCCATTCTCCGTTACCTCCACCGTCGCGGTTCATAGAAAAGAGCCGTGGGCTGGAAGGAGATGGGGAGGTGGTGCTGATGGACGGTCCGTGCGCCACAGATACCAGCGGACACCTCACGTCCCCCAAATCGTCGAGGTTAGTGGAGGACGCGTTTGACGAGAGATCGGGCGGGATGTATGTAGCTGTGTTCGAGATGCCAGGGGTGTGGGAGGATGGGAAGCTGGTGGGGTCGAAGAGGGTGGTGAGAGTGGTCGCTAGCGCTGTATCTAAAGACTCGTGGTGAAATTGGTCGGCGGACGAGGCGGGGGCGGAGGCTATGGCGCGGATGGCGGCTGGTGAAAAGGTTGAGGGGAGAGAGGTGGGGTTGGGGGGAAAGAGGGTTTGGTGGGGTTGCTGGGGTGGGGAGGGGAAAGGGTAGGGTGGAGGGAGAGGCTGGGGGAAAGAGAAGGTGTAAGTTTTGGTTGGGTGGGAGGCGTGGAGGGCCGATGAGAGGGAGTACTGTTGGTGGTGGGAGGGGCTGCTACGGAGGAGGAAGGTCGTAGGCTGGATGGAGGCGATGGGCGCGTTTGTCAGAGGCGAGAAGGCTTTGTGGAAGTTGCGGCTGATGGAGAAGGAGTGGGCGGAGGAGTGGGTTGACCATTCTGTTGTGATAGATGATTTAGGCTGCGTGGGTGGTAGTGGGAAGAGATTGAGGTCACTGACTTATGAAAATGTGGAATCTGTCTAGGTGCTCGAGATCTCGATCCCAGAGTGTGCGGATCCAGCCAGGTTGTTTTGAGATGGTCCGGAACGCTGAGTGCAATCTGAATGACTCTCTTGTCCAGGGACTGTCGAGCCCACTGTCACGGCGAATTGGAAGAGTGATTATTTGGAGGATCTCTTCTATCTGAGGAGGTGGATCTGCGTTCATGGGGTCTTCTACGAACGACATGTCGAATGACTTGATGGATCAACATTGAGTAAAAGGCGAACAAGCTTGAATAGCAGCGAGGAGGCAACGGGTTTTCCTGAGTGAATACATAGTGCATCGCACGAAAGCTGACTCTGGCTATATGGGAACAGCCAAGAACTCACCTTGTACTCACGGTTTACCATAATAGGCGTCAAGATAGCTAAGCCCATGCACACACTGCGCGGCAGAGGCGATACGAAATTAAGAACAACCGTCTAAAGTTGACACTTTTTATAGCGGAGGCATAGCCCCGTGTAGACGACCAAATAGGCATGTAGGATTGCTGATGGAGCCTGTATGCTCGAACGAGGCAAAGGCCTGGGAAGTGGCCGGCAACGTCATCATTGGTGCTGCAGACTGTTTCAGGTAATTAAGGGAACCAGATCCGAGCAATCGATCTAGAGCGACACGAGCATAGTATCATAGTGATGACTTCTTGAAGATAGAGGTCATTGGTGGTGGGAAGAAGGGCAGTGTCTGAGGATACGAGGTTGTTTGTTTCGGTAGACGGTATATTTCAATACGTCTAAAATTAGCCATGATTCGTATCAGGCAGTGAAAGCCCCGGGATGCGGGAGAAGTCTGCTTTTAACTCGAAACGCTTGCATGAAGATGTTCCGCAGTCTGTAGCCGAAGGTATGTAGTGGATGATTAGAGATCTGATAGCCTGATGGGATTGATAGCTGTAAATTACAGCTGTTAATTTCAATACCTGGATCTTTGGTATCTTATTCTAAGCCACCTCGGCCGTCTCGGGCCGTGACCTGAAAGTTAGAATGGTTGGCGCGGGGACCACATGAAAATTTTCGAGCTTTCTGAGCCGCCGATTCAACGCATTCAGGCTCAGCTTTCCTTGCTACCTATAATTGCGCAGATTTGTGGAAGCAGTTCCGGATTAGCTTGGCATCCTCATGACTAACCTCTGACGGGAGTAAGAGCAACCAGAAGGTGTCCTTCTATTAAGTGATTGCAAAACAGGGGGAATCTTTAGGTAGTGGAGTTTTTTCCAAATTGCTGTTGGATCCTTCCAATCAAAGGACTTAGACGAACCTTGGACAGTACTAATTCTTTGTTTCTGGACTCTCGGCATAATTGATCTGGGCGTGTTTTAATAAATAAAATGATTGCCCCTGCGGTCTCTACCATCGGAGCTGGGCTCAGCGGACTGGCCCTCGGATTGAGTCTGAAAAGTAAAGGCATTTCAGGCAAGATCTATGACCTTGCACCTGGTATCCCGCGATTCAATTACGGAATTACGCTACATGCCTCTACCTATCGTCCACTCCTGGGTCTTCTCAAGATGGATGAAGCTACCTTTCGGAAGGAGACCGCTGTCGACGGGGCACGGGGGGAACCGGTCATCTGGAAGGTACAGAAGCTGGCACGTTTCGATGCAACCGTAGTCGACTTGAGGCTATACTAAAATCCGGTCTATCGATACGATCGGGTCAAAGGGTAAGTTTTATCCGACATGAGCAGGACCGAACCCATCTGGTCAAATTCGAGCGCGGCCTCGGCTTTAAGACAAGATGTCTTGCCGGATGCGATGGAATCAACTCATCCGTGTCGCGGTCACTGATGCATAAGGTGGACGCGGATGTCCATCCTTTTGTTGCTTTCAGTGGTAGACGCCGCGTGCCTACCGACGTGTTTGTCAAGGTGTTTGGGCAATCTATGGCGGAAAATGTCATGATTGTGCATCACAATGGGGCAGCTCGTCTGGAGATAACCATCAGTGATATGACCAGCGAATACGTGATTCTTGGCTACATCTATTCCCGCCAAACTCGGAGCCAAGGATCAACCAAGGACCCATTACATACGCCACTTCGACCATCACCCGGCGCAAAGTTGACCCCTCCAGCATTATACGACGAGATAGAAGCGCTAGGGAATCTACCCCAGCCGTTCAACACCATTTTCCACGCTGAAAGCATGCGTAATGATCGTCTGTTGCATTGGCTCTTGCGGAGTCGTAGGCCGCAGATAGATCATTCCAAGCAATTGGCCGACAGAGGCGCATTTATCATCGGCGACGCAGCGCATGGCGCACCTCTCCTTGGCGGAGAAGGCGCAAACATGGCTATCACGGACGGCATTGATCTTGCTGAACACATAGCAAAACGAGGAGTAGACACCGCTGCAGGATTCTCGAATTCGAAATACGAATCATGGATCAAGTTTGTTGACGAAAGTGTGCAGAGGCTGAGAGACATGCACAATCCAGGCGGTCGTCGTCATTGAAATCGGATAAGTGCAAGATTTGAAAGAGAATCTGGTGCCCACTCTAGCGCGCACATGACGGGCAAGGTTTATTACTCAAATCCTGGCAACATCCAATCCGTTTTTGGCTTTCGAAAAGGGTCCTTCGTAAACGTTCAACTCGAGAATTTATCGACTTACGAAAAGGACCTTCAGGCATAGGCAGCGCACTTAGAAATGCTCGGGAAACCACATGAGTGGCAAGTCTATGGAGACTTGGGCGAAGTATGATATGAGAGCAGAAGCATGTATTTATAAGTCATTTCGATATTCGCTGGATAGCTGGCGGAGCTGTTCTGTATGTAAGACTAGTACTTTGCATCCGCCCTTTAATTAAACACTTTATCAGTCTTGATTTCCAAGCCCGTGGACTGTCCATACCTGTCGCAGAGTGAGTGGTCTTATCAATTTGGTTTCCTTGGCCATATCAGGAAGAACGCAAGGCTTTAATTGTGCGTTTGTATGACGCCCGTAGCTTGATTCGACGTGTCATATGAAGCCTGCAGACACTAGTAACCTAAGGAGCTTAGAGCTTAAGACCTTCTCTTCCGTCTGCGTTCTCAAGGCCTACCGATTTTAGAATACAATGATGAAATGCGAGGTGTGACAGGCTTACTTCTGAAATGCTAAAGACACGCTGCAACCTTCTTCACGATGTGGCAGCCTATTTCCTCGAAAAATCTTCAAATCTTTAGCGTTTGTATCCAAGCACTCAACGAGTCCAAGTCGCGCTTTTACCTCTGATATTTAGAAACTGCCTTTTAAAACTCCCTAGCCTCAGCGATGGCTTCGTTCTGATTCGTTTCGGTTCCAAACGTGATATTTGGATCTTTCACGACACTGAAGAAAAGGGAGAAATAGCCTTGTACTCCCCTGACTTCTGCCGTCTTCCATGCAAGTCGTCCCCTAGAAATGGTTATCAGATCTTTTTGAAATACATGGACATGCATAAGCGATTTCAATCATACTTTCCCCACACGACCTCACACCACGCGCCTCGGCCTTTTCGCCTAAGCATGACGTTTCCACCTTCGAAAGAGACGCGTTCGATCGCAGCAACGCCTCTCTTCACCGCCGATAACTTGTCTCAATCCTCGAAACCGTCTTCGCGAGACCAGACAACTGACTTAGTAGCCTCGATGACGCGAGGGTCGCTGCGGACGGTGGTGCTTGACTGCTTGATCATCGGTGCGGAAGACGTCATTGTGTAGGGAAAGTTTTGAGTTCGTCAGCTAATTTGACTTCAGGTCTACATAATCCACGTACCTATTTTATGTCTTATTGAAAGATCGAAAGAAGGGACGGAGAGGTCGAAAAGCAGAATGCAAAGGAAAAGAAACGTCTGTGATCAGACGTCTCGAAATCAGGAGTTGGTGAGACCACCCAGATATGAGTAGCTCGAAATGGTTCCACAGACACGACTATTGATAGCGGCTGATGAGCTTGCTTTCCAGTCAACTACGATGAACGTGATCGACTTGAAAAACGGCTGAAGAAGAAGAAGAAGCTCTCGATCATCAGAACTTTTGACACCACAACAAAGCGGAATCAAAGCCGTGATTGCCATCACCACAATGTGATGAAGAGCCAAAATTCACAATGATAAGTCTTCGGATGTGAGCTGGTGACAATAAATTCACATTATGTATGACAAATTCCCGCGTGCGGATGAGAATCGACAATCAACTCATCGCTCTTTCCCCAACCATACCCTTACTCCGCCAAACACAGCGTTGATTTGACGAACAAGATAGCTAAATGGCCAAATAGCTGTGCACTTCAACAAGCTGACTGATTGATCAATGAGATGATCACTTGGCTCAACTAAGCAATCGGTCACTTAGATGTGACAGATGCTGGCCCGAACTAATTGAACAAGGGTAGACGCAGACAGCGCCGATGTCGATCGTCTGATACAACCCAAGCACATGGATGTCGTTGTTGACGTTGCTCACAGCTTGCTCCAAGGCTTTGTCTACAAATTCATTAATGCGAGAGACGATCTTCACAGTCGAATCGAGGAGGGGAACAATAGAGGCAACTAGTCCCACTGTCGCAATCGCTTCCGCCATCCGCAATGACTATGGAGGGTCGAGGTATTGCAACGCAGTGAAGCTGTGGCTATTGGTAGACATTGCGTTCGAGTGTGGTAGGAGCTCGAGTCCAGATTCAGCCTGACGAGTGGGGGCGCAGTTTGCTGCCAGCAAAACATATAGGTGTGGATTAGCATCCAAGTTAAGCCAAGCAGTCTGCGCATGGCCTGAAGGAGAGGCCGAGACGACCCGCCAGAGGCGTTGCAGCTAGGGTCATGACTAGTACAGAGTGCAAGTGTAATGAATTCTACCTCAATGCCATTAATTTTGGTAACGCCGGCATATGCCGCACCAGCCGAGATCATGCCAAGACTTTAATGGTAAACTGCACACGCTAAATCTCGGGGTCAGAAATTTCTCACGACCGAGGGTCAGTCAATCTGAACGTGACCGCGCCAAATTTGTAGGGGCAAAGCGGAGGGTAGTGGCCTACGATAGCCCGCCTGTTGCAATTTCATTGGGGCATATGGCCCTAAATCCCCGCGCTTAAGTTCTCTTTGGCGTGGCCACGCTCAGACTGACCGACCCTCGGTCATTACCAGGTCACATGTCATCTACAGCAAGGATGTAAAACGAATGTATTCACACTATGTCGGGGGTGAAAAGCTCTGGAACTTGACCTAAAACGTTTTCAAGTTAAGGAAAGCTTCATTGTTCATACCTGTCATAAGCTATTGGCATCTTGTTGTCAAGCGTTTACCTCAAATTCTCTGACGTTGAGAGAATACTCATTGGCGCCTTGTTTCTGGAGCGTCCCGGTCACCTGCACTGCCAGTCCTACTGGATGATCTGCCAGTGTCGCCGAGAGCCGCTTGTATGCCCCAGCTTCTGCGTCGTCAATTGGTCTCGGACTCTGCGCTGCCATGTCGAATTTTAGTTGGCTGCTTGCCTGGAACGGCGCGAGGATTAATGTTGGTCGAGTCGATGTGGCGGCCAGCGTCAGCTGCTCGTTGGCGCCATGCTGTGTCTTGCTACACACACCGGTGACTGTTACCTCGATACCACGCATATGGTATCCCTTGTTCGTGGCCTTCTCAAGTTCGTCCCGCCATTCGTCAATGTCAGGGAGGATGTCTTCTTGTTGCAGGTAGACGAAAGCGAGGGAGTCAGTGTGGTCCGGTACCGGGCGGACAGTCTCGATACCACTCAGTCGCTGCAGTGCATCATGAGCCACACCCCAGCAGCCTCCGAGGCCGTAGGGACAAACAGGCGTAAGGCCTACCACAACGGGAGGTCGGGCCTGCTCGTTAATAATCCTTTCATTGTGCGCCAAAAGGGTGGGTTGAACCTGTTTTGCTGCGATTGTGGGCTGCGAAATATCTGCTACACGCATGGATGCTGTAAACGCGTTGGCTGATGTTGGTGCTGGTACAACGCGGACAATCGGGGCCTCGGACGGTACTCCCAGCTGATTCAACACAAAGAGCATATAATGACCCGGCGGTGCATGATTTTCGTCGGCAGGAGCTGGTACTGTAATCTTCGTGCCCGTCTGCTTGATGGGTCCCAAGAACATAAGTGACTGGTTCATGTTGCGACAATGTGTCACGGAACCAAGCCGTACCAAGCTCACTCTGTCGATCGAGTCGTCAGTACCGACAGTGACTGGGAATGTCAAGTTGGCGCCGCAATTGATCTCCTTCGGCGCACTCTGAATGGTTGGTCGGGGTCCCTTGAACAGATAAGGTGGCTCAAAGAATTGCCCGTCCGTAAGGTTTTGATTGTCGAGCTTGTCAGCATCGCCATATTCACCACCCCCAGCTGAAAGGACCCGGCCATCGGGCAGCAGTAGTGCGATGGCGTGGTAGCAGCGATTGGAGTTTTCCGATGCCATTGTGGTCCATTTTTGATTGACAGGATTCCAGAGCTCAGCTTCATGCACGGGATTGTTTGTATCTAAATTGTTGAATCCGCTAGCACGAGTGCCTCCGGTCACAAACACAGTGCCATCAGGCAACACCGTGGCGTTGAATTGCCTACGCTGCGTATTCATATTCGTCATCTTCCATTCTGGCGGTTCGGCTTTCAAATCGATGTACTCGGCCTGCGTAGTGGGACCCCCGTTACCGTCCCCTCCACCAATGTACAGAATCTTACCGCTGTCGTACATGACCGACGGGCAATAGTCTCTTGCCCCAGCCTTACGCTTTATTTCTGCAGATTTCCATCTCCCATAGATTGAGACACTTTTGTTGTTGTCAGTCTTGACTTGAGTCACGATTTCCTTGTTATTCTTGTCCTTGAGCTCAAGAAACCATGACTGCTCCAGCGGGCCGGCCATGAGGACTCGACGACCGTTCGGATCAAGATGCACTCGCGGATACAAAGGGAACACAAATTGGTCGGGAATTGGTGCTGCGACCTCTTTCCACGCATTGGGGTCATTGGGAGACCAGATCTGTGGAACGCTATTGTTTATGGGGTCCTTATCTCCATCCTTGTAGCTGCCGGAGAGAACGAGCACGCGGCCATCGGGAAGGGGCAGAGCCGAAGGGTACCATCGGCCATTATTCATCTCCGTCATGGACCAGAATTCTTTGGTTTTGTAGTTGTAAACAGAAGTCTGGCGGAGACCCTCGTTGTCTTTGATATGCCCGCCAACAACGAGCAGGTTGCCGTCCGGTAGAAAACAGTGGCCACCGCAGAATAGATTGACTGTGCCATTGCCAAGCCTGTTGAGCGGACCATTCGGCGGATTCGGAACGGGCTTGAGGGTGTTTGTCGATAGATCCCAGGCACGACCCACCTTGGCGGGCGTGCTCTTACCGCTAATTGGGGTGGACTTGCTCTCGCCGAATTTCTGCGTAGAAGGATTCCAAGGGGGAGCAACCCAAGAGGGAGGAGTCCAGACGAAGGCTGTGGTAAAGTGTTCGTCGAGGTCCTTTGAGTTTTTGGCCTTGGGGTGTTGACGCCGGCCCCAATAGAGGATCGTGCCATCAGGCAGCAGGCTAGCATGAACGAGCACGCAATCGAATTCTGGGCTGAACACATTTGTCCAACGCCCTTTTTCTTCTCTTGCCATCTTCGCTTGGGCCTCTTGTAATGGTACTTTGATTTGAGCTCTTTCGATCAAGGTGGAGAGAAAGAAAGCCAGATCAGAAAGAATGATAATGTCTCCTAATGACAATGGTGGAGGTAGCGATAGTTTTCAGTCACATTTGTCACCCCCCATTTCAACCTACTCCTTTCAGGCTTCTCGGCGCGTTTCTTTGCAGATGTGCAGCTCTGTCGACTCCATATCCTGTGATCGTATCTACCGCCTTTCGACAAACTCGCTTACCTGTTAGTTCTAGATTCTTTTTCTCAGCCAGCCACCAAACGAGTCTCTCATCACAAGCCAACAGCCATAGGTCGATGGAAGTGACGAAGTGAACATTCCGCATGCGACAGGAACCTACTGCAGTGGGAATTGACGTGTACTGCAGTAGACTTGATCTGTCGCCGAGAGGCCTGAAGTCCTTGTCCCAAATGGTCGAAATGGCCACATTTTTAGTTAGCAGCTCAAACGCACAGACGCGGTGGCGGTAGTTGACAGCTTCACTCATACAGGAAACGTGGTGTCAATGGGCTGATCATTGGGCTCATTGAGACTCTGAGAGGCGCCATGTGATTAAGATAAAAAGAGGAGGGATGGTGGCATCCAATAATGTGAAAGTATTGAAATGCCGAGCCACTAAACATATGGATCAACACTTCTTCCAGCTGAGACTGAGAGCGCCACTTCTGTATTCCAAAGTGGTCCAGACTTTTCGCCCACTCTAGCTTTGGTCCTCGTCAATTCATTTCCAGCCACCTGCAGCTACGTGGGCCTCATCACATTCTCGACAATTCCCTTCAAACGCCATACCAACCCACCTGCAGACTTGTCACCTCTTCCGACAACCGTGGCTTGCCCGTACAAGGCGGACCTTCTCATCTGAAGGATGAGATTATCTTGCCCCGCACTATCACCCTCTTCAACTCCATGTACATGCACTTCATCGGTATGGTACAGCAGCTAAAAGCTCTTGCATTTGGTGGCTGACTGCCATCACTATCTGGTATCTTCACCAGAGCCTTATGCATTTGCTCTGGCCGGGCCCAGACTGATCTTGGCCCCGATATGCCTCGAAAGTAGGTGGTCAATGGCCATGGTCCGGCAATAAAGGTTGCGACTTTCCTCGACACTTGCAAAAAAAAAAAAATCATTCAAAACACATTTCTACAGCTCTACTTCAAATCCATTTTTCAGCCCTGTCAATTCAGCCCATCGCAAGTTCTCGATCATGGCCAGCCAAATCACCCCGGAAGGGAACGTGATCGCTCCTCTGAATATTTCAGCACCCGCCCCCATGCTCGACCTCAGAGGATTTAAATGGGATACTGTGGACGAAAAGATCCAAGGCACACACCACCGCGAAGATGCTCCACCGGCACCAAAGCAGCAAGTAGCAGCACTGCCCCCACAATTGGAGAAACAGCTAGAAAAACCTAAAGACTCATTCTTGCCTTCGTTCCCGCTGGAACAATTCCACGGTACTTATGCGGGCAACGGGTTCAATTTGATATGGCGTCCACGGGCCAATGACGATGCTACGTTCCCTACTACGTCAAACGCGTCTGCTAAGACACCTGTGGGACCTAATGACAACATTCTAGAGTTGAATCTCACAAGAGAGCAATTGACTTTCGGAGAAAATATAGGCAAAATACCAAATCGCGGGTTTTTAAACCAACCAGACATCAATCTTGCTGGATTGCCGTATTTGCAGACTGTTCAAGACGTTACATTCCCTACCACTGGAAAAGGCGACAATCCTATTGCTACAAGCATTCACTTTGAACCTGGCGTATGGCTCAACGTTCCGAAGTCAAAAGTCCACGAGAAACCCGCAGATAGCGTAACACGCATGGCGTGCATACCCCATGGCACTACAATCAACGCACAGGGTCTGGTTCCACCCCGTGCCACGACCTCCAAGTCTGTAATAGGGGGGGACGCTCGTCCCCCAAATATCCAGATGATTGACACCACACCGTTCAAGCTCGGGAACCCTAATAATAGGCTCAACGGAGCTTTTCCAAGCATGGATGCTGCCAACCCGAACACTTTCAGGATTCCTCAGGATCTCAAAAATTTCGTCCGAGAAAATACGATTACAAGTGAAATTATCAAGAACCCGCACCAGGTCCTTCTGAAGGCCATTAAAAACCAGGTGATTACAGAAACCATCACCATTGAAGTCTCCACTGGATTACCAACAGCCACTATCAACGGCGGTGGAATTTCGAATATCTCGTTCCTGATGGGCAAACAAAATCTCGGAGATAACAATGCCCCTTCTGATCCGGTCGCCCATGCAGCCTTTATGACGTCTACATTTTGGATCGAAAGGGTGCAATACCAGGTCCACATCACAAAATCCTCTGTCCAAAGCACACAACGCTTGTTTCCTGATATGTCGAAGAGTCCCGATGCACCTACTCCTGAATTCCTGATCACGACACCACGCGGTGGTGTGCCGAAAGACATAACAATCACGATTCCCTCAATCCAGATTCAATACTCACAGACCGTAAACCTGAACTTTGGTCTGCCTGGAAACATCTTGACCTGGCCACATGTCAGTGTAGCGACGCTCGTTCCCTCGAGCCCACAACCGTTCCAGATGACTTGAGTGAAGAAAGGTGAGGTCAAGGACATGATCAAGTTGGCTCAAGGCAATTGGAAGCGTGATCGGACAAAGCTGCCCAACTGTATGCGATAATTCACATAAGCTGCGTATCGTTCGAAGTGATGTGACATATGAATTTTGTTTTCAAGTGCCATTTATGGGAATCCTCTTTGTCAAAGAACATTCTTCCATATTTACTCCACTAGATGAACATATTTTGTAACAGTCCACTTTGCCTTCTTGAAAACAGCCATGAGTCATGCAAACCTGCCCGGTCTAGTCTATATGTCATTGTTCTATTCCAGTCTGTGCAGAATGTCGCCAGTGCAATGCATTGCTTTGAAATGCGATATGCTGCACCAACTTGCGTCTGCCTTTAAAACCGCACTCTTCCTATCCTATGGCTATCGTCCTAGTCAATGCCTTTAGTCGTCGCCTCACCGGTCGTGTTGAATTGAACTCCCTTTCTAGTTAGTAACCCATGCATTGGAGTCTAAGGAGAATATTTTGTAGCAACTAAAGTGATGTTCGCGAGCGTTGTCTTGGTTTGGCCCGACGTTCAAGTCGCTCAATTCGTCTAATCGAATGCGACAAACTCGTTTGCTTCCGAGAGTATCGACACTGAGTCGGTGTTAAGGTCAATACAGATTTATTCGTTCGTATACATGGTCATAGGTAGAAATTGGAACAGCCGGTCTCTAGCTTATCCAATATTGCGCAAGCAAAGTGGCGGAGTGGGATTCCGAGAAGGATGGTAGTTAAAATGGATCAGTCAGATGCTTAGTATGAATTAGTGACATCAGCTTATTGAAGCTGACATATCTTGTGTGAAATATGCCTGCGGTAAGCCATGAGTAGGGCCTGTCTGTGTTTGGTTGACTTCCTTTCGTTGATGACCCTCGTCATGGTCAAACCACCGTTTAGTGGCGCCAAGCAGCATTTTCCAAACGTTACCCTGTGAGGATGTGGTATCTACCATGTCCCTATGTTTAGTCAGAATCTGTATTGGGTATGGTTTGCCACGGGCGACAATGTTCTGTTTCGCTAGTACTTACACTCTGAGACTAGGGTCGTCGTCTGGGGGCGGTGGAGACTTCAAGGACTTCAAAAAGTTTCTCGCCCTATCGTCATTTCCAAATTGTATGAATTGAATACCCATACGATTTTTAGCAGCATTGCCATGCGCTTGCAATCTCTTTGTCATAGATTGAATGGCGGGAAGGACGTCCTTAGCGCATCCTGGTTGCCAAATGCCGTCCGTCAAAACGTAGATATTTCGTCTCCGATGGAGATCAGTTGATTTTGGCCTATGGAACATGCTTCGACGAGTCGCCTTAGGAAAATTAAGCTCTTCCTTGTATTCGTCCAGCAAGTCGCCCAGCCTAGCTGCCATATCCGAGGTGCCGCTAAATTTGACCTTTTTTAGAGACGATGACAGCTGGTACGAATGCTTCCAGCCCCTGATAGGATCCCCTGCAGTCGTGAAGAAGATATCTACACCTTCTGGGCTCAAGTTCTTTACTATAGCGGCCAGCACTTTAAAGACGCCCTTCACCTCAAAGCTGTAGTTTCCCATAGCGTCTGAGGTGTCTATGAGGAAGACCTATGAAGGTTAGATTTACAACATATCGTGACTCTTTGACTTACGTGGTCCATAGTCTTTAGGTCTTGAAGAAGATCTTTGTTGGGGAATGCAACTTTTCTCGGCCATCGCTTGCGTCCAATGATTTCAAGTGCCTGGTTACAAGACAAGTGAGGTGGAGGCAGCGCGGGATCTCCAATGGTCTTGTCAGGATCATTCAGAATGACTGTAGGGGGTCTGTTAGACCCCATGGGCTCTTGTACCTTGACATGAGTAATATCGGTCAGAAATTGTGACTCTGGTGCTGTGTTGTCACCCTGGGTCTCTTTTGCTCTTTCCATCTCGGTGTATTCCAGCATGTCTACCTTGGCTCTGCGGATAATCTGTGTGCTTCGAGTAAAATATTGTCCAGCATTCTCTTGTTCATCGGCTTTTGCCATGAGAATAGGCTCTACTAGATCCCGAAGAGCTTGTCGTGTAACGAAATCGTCTCTACGGCCAACGACAGCACGATTAGTCTTAGTGACAAGGCTGAGAACCTTGGACCCATCATGGAATAATTCTCCTTCGCCAGGCCCCACTTTCTTGGTTACTTCGATCTCCCGCAAGCGGCGGTACTCTTGAACCCCAGGCCAGCCGCCGTCGATCCATACACCAATCTCACTAAAGATACAGCCAAGGGACCAAAGATCCACGTGTCGACCGACCCGAACGGTTATCTCATCATCATTCTTGTGAAAGAGCTCGGGAGCGCCTTTCCGTAATCAGTTCAGAGCATGTTACCTAGGTAAAGAACAACAAGTAGACATTCATACGAACCATAAGTATATGTACCACCACCATCCTTGTCCGAAGCGTCCTTTTGTCGACCAGTCGAAGGTTTGAAATGACTGAGACCCATATCTGCCACGAAAAACTCATAACTGTGGGTCAACGTATCATGAGGTCTCTTGACAAGTATATTAGCAGGTTTAATGTCCTGGTGCCATCTATATCTCCTGTAAGACGAAAAAGCTATAGAGGAAAGAGAGGATTAATCATTACCCTAGCATTTGATGGTGACCCTGACCTTCTTTCTCGACTCCGTGAATTTGTCCAAGACCTTTGAACAACTGAAAAATTTGCTCCCAGAAACGAATGACATCCCCGCCGGACCTTGGAGCATTGTTGTGCTCCATGACTTCTTCCAGAGTTCCCTTGTTCGCATACTCCAGAATGATATTGTAAGTATTGTTCTGGATAAAGCTACCGTAATAAGTGATAATGTTTGGCGGAGGACGATTATCTACCCTGAGCTTGTAAAAAGCCCTCGTCTCTGCGTCATAAAAGGTCTTTGCATCCTGGCCACGATATGTTTTCACCACAAAATCGTGTGATATTTGTGCATTAGCAATCTAAGGAGAGGTCATTTCAAGCTCGACAGCGATAATGCGACAAGTATCCTACCGTTCGAGCCTTTGGAGTGGGTAGAAGACTGTGGCATTCCGGGTGGATTTTGACCTTGTAGACGGAGGATTCCCCTCCTCGACCGAGAAGTTCCTCGAATTGGAACGGCAAAATCTCTTCCGGTAATACATCTCTACTCATGCCGTATTGGAGCCTAACGGGGCAGAAAAGCCACTGATTTTTTTTGAAGGCTTCCCAAAGATCAATCTCAGCGGAAATTGGGAAATTAGGAGGCTTAGATAAAATTGGCAATTTGTGATCCTGCAAGTTCTCATATTTTGTAAAGAGCTTGATCATACTCCCTTGATGGAGACGCAAAAGGATGACGAAGGGCCGGAGGTAATGTTTCCGGATGATGTCGGCATCAGGCGGGTTATCATGTGGGTCATCATGTCGGAAAAGTTCCTGAAGTAAAATTTCGACTCTGCCATCGCGTTGTAGATAATCCTGTAGTGTTGACTTGAGCATGTATCTGGGTGACTGCATCTTCTGCTTTGGCTGTTTTGTACCATGACACCATAGGCCTTGGTCTTCCTGCCACTTCAAGAAGGCCTGGATTGAAACACTTTCATCACGCTGGCTCGTAACCATTACCACTCGTACTGGAAATACAAAGCTGTATGCAAGTATTTATTGGAGCGGTAAGCCACGAGGCTGTGTGTAGTACAGCAGTTCCGACCGCGCCATAAGGGCGCCGGCGATGCATTGAGTAGTCAAGCGGCAATGCAGAATTGAGATTACAAGGTCAACTCTACCGGTAGCGGCACGCTTTCCATAGCCTTGTTTGCAAAGACTAAATGATCACTAGCGAGCATCGACCTCATTCTTCAATGCCGACGCCTAGTGGTGGCTCGGTGAGCCATTAGTCCCAGCCTGACAGCGAAGAGTCCGCTCACATAGCGATCAAGTAACATTTATGTTATGGCCTCATCCAGGCTGAGCCTCGAAGTAAGTCACTCTCTGTGAGTAGCAACATCTTCTTCGCAAGTTTGACACGAGATTAATTCGAGTGGGGCGCTGAAGTTGGTCCCTCCATAGCCAATCTTGATATGACGACAGAGACATGGTGTAAGATCTCTGATGTGCAACCCGATTGAAAATTCACCCCTCCACACCCTTGCGGGGCAACGCTAATCAGTCGAATCATTCTGCTTTGCCAATAAACTAAAAGATTGGCGAATCTAGCTTGCTACTTGTGCTTATCAGCTTGAGGTCTGCGTGCATCAATGCCGGTGCCCCGCAGCTCAATGACCCTCACCTAACCATCACCTATGGATTCTCTTGCATGAAGCAGAAAGTCTACGAATGATAAATGCAGAGGTGATATGCAACGCAGTTTCACATGCAATGACGCTGCGTTTCCAGAGAGTTCACGGTGATCACCTGCCATCAATCCTAGCCAATGATACATGCTTGAGGCTCAAATGCTTCTCAGCTCCTGAATACTTAATGCTGCGTCACAAATTAAGCCTTGCCATCATTCGCAAACACTGTCCATCGTGAAAAGGTGTCAGCATCGGCACTCTCTCTGTAGTGGGAATTAGATCACTTCCCGCCGATTTCAAAGGCTCTGACATTGAGCTTCCGTCAGAGTCCTGCAACCCTTACCAAGCCGGAATCACCATGCCGCAGCAAGCCCCCAACAATTCGGCATGGGTGTATGACAGGGTGTACCATTATCGATTGAATGAACAGATTATTGCCGATTACCTGACAAGCATATTCTGCGTGGGGGATTTCAGAGTAAAGGTAGGCTGCCTAGCACCGAAATTGGACCCTCATCTGGGGCGCCGAGCCATTGATTGTGGTGCTCATCCGGGCGTAGCACTCCGGCGAATACTACAGAATATTCGTACCCCGAAAACTGACCACGGTGTGTACCGTCCTTTACTGCGCAAAGTATCGAGGTCAGCTGCTGACGTGGCGCTGCAGGAGGAGCAACAGGAGCTTGAGAATAGGCGCTTGCCAAAGGCTCACAACACCGCCTGATAGGTATGGGAGGTGGCGTTGCCTCATGCTTAGATTGCTTTGGAAGGCACTGAGGCTATGCTCCTGTGTGGAGACCAGAAGACTCCGAGAGAACGCTATGTATTTAGAGGGGTCCTTAGTAGGAGTTCATTACTTTGACGACAGAGTAAGGCAAACCCTGGGTCTTCCAAATAATTCTGTTTTCCGGCCCACCGCAGCCTTGCGGTAGCGGGGTCAGGACTGCCGCTCGGTCCATGCTTAGAGCCTGCTTCTAGATATAATAGCTATACTTCGCCTCAGAATTGTCCTCTTTGCACATCTTTAAAACCTTGTGCGGTCTGATAACGTTCTCCGCTAGTTTGCTGCCGGTTTTCCGCAACATGGATGCCCTTCAAGCCCAATGCAAGGATGCCGATAAGTATCCCTTGAATATGTCTTTGGCTGGGCAACCAAAGTATACAGTCGATCTCAGACATAGGAGACTCAGAGACGATGCAAATCGTCTATTCAAAGCAGATAAAGGGTTCCTTGAGTTTCTCGAATTTAGTGAAGGGGGAAAAGGTTTGTGTGCATCTTCGGGCCAGTGACTGACTACCTACCAACGCTAACATCTGGATCATGACAGGTTTCTGGAACTTTCCAATATATGATACCATCGAGTTAAGGCAACATCTAGCAATAGATGATCTGGCCGAATCCCACGATCCTTGTTGTAGATACCTGTGAGCTGCGGCTAATCTCACTTGTTTGATCACCAGCAGCTGACCATCGCAACTCGGTAGTTTCGTATCCGCACCGAATTCAAGGGACAGACTCAATGTTACCTATTCCATGCTTATGCTATGTTTCACATATCTTCAGGTGATGCCAGAGTTCATCGACTTTCTCTTGATATTTGGAAGACAAACGCGGGCCCAGCATTTTCACTTTTGCGCCTTCAAGCAACGTACCAGACTTGCTTCTTGTAAAGAAGACTTCTCTGCCTACGGTCTTAAGATCCCGAGTATTGGCTGGTCAGGCCGTGATCTACAACTGTGTTACAATTTGAAGTCGATGGAGACTTCTTCCCAAGGAGGTTGGCCTTGGTCAGTTCGCGATTGCGTTATCAACCATTCTTTCGATCTAGAGAAGGTCAGATGTACCTGGATCGTGATCAAGGGCAATGCTTTAATACAGGATCGCATTCGGACCGCAACTAAATATCAGAGTCCATCGGAGCTTTCTTCATTTCAGTCAACGGACAGATCCTTTGCATCTACTCTGGCAACTCATTCTATCATTGCAAATTGGGCTGCGGAGAACTGGGACATTTACATCACTTTCGTCGAAGCTCGTTTTCACGAGGTCTCGTGTCGGGCTATAACGAACGAGATCGATATATCCGGTTCCCCAACAATTGTAGAAGAAAATGCAGGCGATTCTGTTCCCAGATATGCGCGAACAGATACCGGTAGAAGCTCAAAATCGATCATGTCACTCTTTTCTCGCACTTTTCTCAACGTCTTTGATACTTCGTCATCTTCTTCAACCGGTCATGGGGAGAAAAACTCGAAGTCGCAGCCGATGAGCCACATGAAATCCGGTCTACGTCAACCACGTCCTCCATCGATCAGCGCTAAGACGAGAAAGGTGGAGTTTGAAACGCGTGGCCAACAATTTATATCTGTCAGCGACTTACAGATACTGCATACCCTACATGAAAGGACCAATGAGTCGGTTCTGGTCTTGCAGCTGAACATCAAGATGATGTCGTCACTAGTAGATTTCTATCGGAACACGCTGCAATCCCCATATTTTCCAGAATCGATACTTTCCAACTCTAGAGATGATTTTGCCCATTTCAAGTCTACGCTGCAGGAAGTTCAATACGATCTTGAGACACATATTCTGAGACTGAATACACTTGCCGGCTATATTGTGGAATGCAAAACTCTGGTCTGTTTCTCGCGTCGTATCTCTGTCACAAAGCTGATCAACATAGCTGTCTGGCATCTTGGACCACCAGAATACGCAAAGTAACAAACTTCTGGCTAAACAATCCAGTTTCTCAACACTCAACATGGAACGGATGGCTGACGAAATGAATCACATCGCTCGTAAGACGAGGACAGAAACCGTTTCAATGAAAGTGATAACTCTTGTGACTCTTTTCTTTCTACCTGGAACTTTCATCTCAGTAAGTAATTGGTATCGCTGACATTAATCAACTGACACATGATAAATTACCAGACCCTCATGAGCACAGACGTATTTCAAGATCACGAATCCGGTTCTAGTGCTGGTAGTCCATACAACAACCTGAACCCACTCCAATTCTACTTTACGCTGAGCGTCCCACTGACGGTATTGACCCTGCTAGTATGGGCATGTCTCTACCAATTTGAGATTCGTCGAGCACAAATGGAAGAAGGAAAGTTCATAGCTTCGAAAATGGCATGACGTACTATGTCGATGTGGATGTCTAATGTCTTCCAAACCATGAGCGCCTGCGCATCATTGCTAAGCGACGATGTTCTCCACGAGGCCGGACAGATATCGCAGAATGGTTGCAACATCCTGCCCAAAGGAATCATAGGTAAAATTTGCTTTGGTGGTCGTCATGATACCATCATGACGACCTGGTTACAAATCGACGGAGAGTGATTTTAGGGATGGAACATTCCAACACATCGCGCACACTCTGACGGGTCTTGGTACCGGGATACTGACCAATGCTTAACCTCGAAAATATACCAAGCTGTTGGCACGAATCTCCACATATCAAGAATATCTTATCTCCTGCCAGCGCTACATCAACAAAAATTCTCGACGTGCTTCCAGAGGAACTTCGGGGGGACTCAGTCACAAGCATGGTCCAGTGCTTCTGAACGAAAATTAGAACTTGCCAGATCATGGGACACATGAGCATAAGTCAAGCTTCCTAAGTAAGCGCGATGTTGGACATTCACGAACTAAAAACCGCGATAAGCAGACTAGGAAGCTCTTTGAGAGGTGATTGCAGCAAGATCCATTCAATAAAAATTGCATTACATAAAAAGGTAGCTCACAAGAAGCTTGAATACCATCGTCTACTTCGAAAGGCTATTCCCTAGAGCTAGAAATGGCTGCAAATATGGAGATGTCAACAAGTCATGGTTTGTGGTAGAAACGACTCAGATACATCGCATTGGGCACATATCTTCGGAGTAATGGCAAATGTTTCGGCTTAAATTAGTAAGTGCGTGCGTACATTTAGCAGGTTTGATGCCGGCAATAATCAATGAAATGTCTTCCACGATTAAAAGCCAGAAGAAGCAAATGAGCTTCACGATTCCCAATGCCGCTTTGCAACTCTTGAGTAGAATACGCATCGACACAGGTTTCATATCAAAGAATAGCAATCTCTTCCCAACAAACCCTCACCCACAAGATCCCAATTACCCATGCGCCTGCCCCTTCCCTCCCTCCCCCTTCTTCTGCTCCTCAACCCACGCCCCTAACATGCCTTCCATATCCACCACTTGCTCTCCCACACCCTCGCCCGGCCCCCGTTTCGCCATCTCCACCCACTGCTCCTCACTCAACTTATTCCTTCCCTGCCACTTCAGTATCCCCTCATGATCCCTACACTTCTTCCTGATCCCAAAGTCCGGGAACGGATACTCCTGCGTGCGCACCCAATTGTGCGTTATCATATCCGTGCTGGGGTTGCAAGTCAGGGTTTGGAGGAGGAGGTGTAGGCAGTGGGAGAGGTGCGCTTGATGGATGGCTGGAAACTCCTTTTGGCCGGGATACGTGGTTTGGGGCTTGTTTTGGTTGGGTCTAGAGTTGAGGCTAAGGTTGGAATTGGGATCGGGAATGTAGAAGCCAGGGTAATAGTGCTCGCGATAGGCGTATTTGCGGACTGCGTTGAGGCAGTGGAGGGCGTGCTGGCCGTCTAGCTGGGCGAGGTGCGCGTCGGTACCGTATCCTGTGCGGCTGTTAGTTCTGGAAGTGAAACGAAACGGGCGGACGTACCCCATTCAGGTGGCGCTTTCACTGTATTGTTTGGGTTCTTGCCTAAGCGAAGGACCTCGTTGGTGGTGATGGTGACGATGCCGATGTCTGCAAGCGCTTCCCAAGCAGCATCAACTTCCGCAGACGGCGCCCGGCGGAGGAGTAGGCTGTGCTCGTTGAATAGAGATCCATCTACTGTTTTGTCGACTGTGCCGAAGTTGAGACGTTCAAACACTGGAGCTTTGGGTTTCCATTAGCTCCTCCTTGTAACGTAGAAGAGAACTTCATTCATTTTGGATTTGGTAGAAGGTGACGTACAGTAGAACGAGAGCTGCTGCAGATACCAATTTGTGGTGTGACTGTGGGCCTTGTCCGTCGCGAGCAGGACTAGAGCGAACGCGAAAAGGCTGAGATTGAGACCGAGTGAGAGTGACATCCACCATTTCTGAGGTGCTCCACAATTCTTTGCGGTTGGCTCTTGGACCTGACTAGTTGCATCTGGAAACATGTTGACATGGTTGCCCATCAAAGGTTCGTAGACCTCTGAAGCACAATCTGTCTTCATTACGCTTCTGTGGACAATAATGCGGTATTGATATAACAGATGTGTGGTCTAGTGAGACATTTCCTGCCAATGATAGAAGACTGCACGAGTGCCAATTGGGTCGCAGACCAAGGAGTAGAGACTCCAGAGGAAGATGTAGTCTTCATCTGTGCCTAATCGTCAGATCAAGCGCTAGAAGTAACCACTTGCTTGAGAAATCGCATGAAGACCTCACATGTGCACGGAGGTGGTAGTCACGTTATTCCAGACCAACCCCGGAAGTCTGCAGATACATATGCATAAGATTCCGCATTGGCCCTCTGACCTAGTCACGCCTTTCCTGCAATAAGAGCTTGGGTTTAATGCTTGATATTCTCGTGCTTGCTGCCTTCTTTCTCTCAATGCTTTCCATTAGGCGGAGCTTTCGTCAAGCATCAGATAAGAAGCCAGTACTTACCAATCGATCTGCAATGTGCTTAATCATGCAGACATCTTTACGTTGGATCGAGATATGTGAGCATCAATTATTGCCATGGGCTAACCGGATTATATAGAGTCTTCCCCATTACAGGTCAAGGCCCATGCGAAAGCTTTTCGTCCTAGAAAATTAACCCGGAAGGTCGCATATATTCGGAACAAACGTGCATTATGCAGCTAGTAAGGGGAATAACATCTGACATGACAGATTTGACATGACATTTGGAAAAGGCCCAAGCGATTGTATCAATTTGAATTTCATAAACCCATTCATTGCTGTTCTGACACATAGAGATTGGGCGTTGGCCGAGACAAGATGTTTGCAACTGTTGGCCGTTCGATTGTGCGCCCCTTCTCCATGTCGTCTTCAACCGCATTTGCTTCACTCCAATGAAGCAGCCCCTCAAAGTTGCGGCATTTCCGAGGATTGTCGAAATCTGCCATAGGCGGAATGGTACCGTCGCGCCAGTAATGCGTGACGATGTCAAAATCAGCGTTATAATGAGCGTCCGAAGGCAGTGTCGCTTGTGACGGACATGTAGGTAGTTGGCGTATTCTGCATCGCCGAATTTGGGCCGATAGTAATAGTCCCAGTACTGCACGGTCAGTAGTTGTCGTGCTTCCAACATGGGCATCTTTACGTACCATCTCAAATCATAAATAAGGCCACGGCTCGGTACATTGAGAATGTGGCACAGACGGTCTACTTGCCCTGCATGAGAGTTTTCAGGCAATCGAGTGACATCCGGTCGAATAAGCATGAAGAAATGAAATTGCATCACTACAGTAGCGATATCGTCGGGATATAGATAGACTGTTTGCTTGGGGTTCCATCGATAATTCAAGTAAAAGCCAGCCAGCTTCTATCAAGTAGCAACAAATCGACTCCTTCTCACCTCACCATGCATTTTACCAGAGTCCTAAGTACCACAGTAGCGCTCAGTACATTCGCTACAGCGCTACCCTGGACCGGCAGTCAGTGTTCCACCTTTTTTATTGTGCATAATTGATCACGATCCGCGAAGCTACTGACTTACATTCATCTAGACGTTGGCACTCTCCTAAAGCGTGACGAAGTAATCCACGCATATGGCCGACTTGATGATGCCGTTGCCAAGCGTAGCGAGGCCACCAACGCGTATCCTCGCGATGACGCGGTTGACAAGCGTGGCGAGGCCACCAACGCGTATCCTCGCGGTGACGCGGTTGAAAAGCGTGGCGAGGGCATTAACGCGTATTACCGCCTTCAAGATGACGTTGCCACCTAGACAGTTGAGAAAAGCTCCGATGCAGAAGCATAAGGCCGCTACACTGACGACGTGCCTCCTCCCAAGCACTCGCTGATTATGACACAAGACTATCGTATCCATAACCTGGAGATATGGAGAGGGAAGTTTGGCGAGTAAGGTTGACAGATAGCGATGGAGGGTTGGACGGAGGGAAATGCAGATAATCATCGGAATTTTATTTTTTCAAAATACAACGAAAACCCCTAGAAAACCAAGGACTGAATGATTGATGGGCAAGAATTGCTCTGGATGAGCTCAGAAAAGCTGACGATTTGTATAATCGAGGAACGTTTTGAACAATGAAATCATTACTGGAAGAAAAGCCTCTCTTGTAATCAAGTAGTCCTTCTGGTAGAACATGATGTATATTTGATAGCCACCTTAATGACAAGGAGAAAGTCCCACTCGCCGAGGAGAGTAATAGTCTTTGAGTCGAATGAGACTGCGCATAAAGAGCCCGCTGGATTCATCATTCGACGTGTCCGAGTCTGTATTTATGCTAGTGCGAGTCGACCAGGAGAATTCGAGTTATAGGAGCAGTCACTAGACGTCTCCGGTCCAAACATAAGGTAGCTGATGCCCAAATCAAAAACTATGTACGGTCTTCCGAGGGATTTGTGAGCAAGACTGATTGAGCGCTTGAAGCAAATACTTTATAAGCAAGTCTATGTCAAGACTTGAGATTGGTTCACCCGCTCATTTGACTTTCTTCTGTTCTTCATTTGGGTTGTATGGATGTTTGATCGTCAAACAATAGATGTCAAGATAGTCACAGATGGTGGTGATGATGTCATACTAAAAGATGTCAGTAGGCACGGCTCAACGAAGTGCGTGTACGACGTACCACAAAGCTCCCGTATACACCCACACCGAGTCCTACACAGCAGAAGAGAAAGGCGATCTGATAGGTCCCGCCACCCAAGGCGCTTGGCCAAAGGCCCAGTGCTGGCCCGAGTGAATCTACCACAGCTAGACCTAGAGGCATCGTGAGAACATTGTACATTGGGAATTTAGTGTCCTTCGTGAGATGTTTGATGATGATCTGGCCGACGGAATAGGCGTTGATGAGACCAACGTAGAAGACGAAAGGTATCAAGTGATGCTCGAGTATGATTGGTTGGAGGTAGAGATAGATAGGAACGAAGAACCAAGCTGTCAGATACGGAATGAGACCGTATAGTGGTGCGTCTAGCGACTTCTTCTGCTCACGGCGGACGTCGAGGACATGCTTGATACTAATGTATCGACAATCAGTGATGGCACAACATCAAGACGGCCTTCGCCCCCCAAGGATCATACCTTGAAAGAGTGTTGCCTACCAACACTAGACCTCCGTAGAATATCCACCATTCAATCCAAGATAAGTTGTAGATGATGTCCGGAAGTGCAGCGTGCTTTTCGACGCCCAAACTGCTTAGTGCAGACTCTTGCCAGAAGCTCCCCCTTCCTATAAAAGCTGTAGTTGCGTAGACTATGCAGAGGGTAAGTATGCCCTCGACCGGACCGGATACGACTCCCAATACGAGTTCTTGGGTGTAGTACTCGTCCCATGTTTGGATGTAAAATGTGAATGTCGCTATGCTGATCAGCGTTTGACCAGAACACTCTCGACCTGAGGCTCATACATCCAAAGAGGGTCAACACTGTGTACCAGCTCTGTCCGACGTTCAAGGCTCCGGCGAAGAGAAGAACTTCGAGGACGGTATTGCAAGCATCGACACCTGATACCAATATTCAGTCCTCATAATCCTTCAGCAACAAGGAAGCTTACCGTGATCAAAGAGCTCTCCGAGAGGACCGCTCTGATGCGTTCTCCGCCTGTTCTTATGATCAACATGGTCAATCAACCTCTCCTCTTGCAATTGACGTACGCTTGCGTGCCATCTACTGCGTCGAACGTCTGGTATAGGAATAGCCCAACTGCCCACGACGCGTAGACCCAGGGAGGCATATCCTGATCGAGCGTAGGGTTGTACCATAGTAGTGTAAGGAAGTTGATAATCACGAAGCTAAAGCCAGAAAGGGTGATCTATTGAAGCAGTCTGATCAGTGAGGTGCTTTGGAGGATATATTGGTTTACGTACCGCATTTGGCCTTGAATCCCGTCAGCAAGCTCTCAATGGGCACAGGGAGTATTCGTCACTTACGCCATGGACATTGGAAAACACTTGATCGCAACATTGTTGTAGAAGGGCTTCAAAATATAGCGCGACGTTAAGGACTTGTCGACTCCAGCATATTTGTACTCCTTAAGGCCTGGCAACTTCTTTGCTCTGATGTAGACCATAGCGGCGTATTCGGTTGAGGAATCAAGCTTGGTGTAGACAAGACCAGCGGAAAGTGAGCAAATGTCGCGACGTTAATTGCAATTTCAAGATTTGGGGCGCGCTAAAGGGGTCTAGAAGATCTGCAAACGGTGGACCCAGAATGACGCACGTGGAGGCTAGAACTAGGGAGCTCCCTCCGTCAATTAAGCTTAAATCTACCATTTTGATAACAGAGAGGTCATACTACTACTACCACTCCAGCTTCAAATGCTGTGACACGAGCTATCATCATCTTCAATGTTATAACCTCCACAGATGGAAGACAGGTCACAGCAACCTCTCAATTGGGAGGCTTCGGCTACAGCCACTCATCCACAGATCTCATCTACATTACCTCCAGAGGTAGAAACATGTTTGAAGAACGCTAGATTTGTATGAGCGCTCTGAATGACCTGTGGGTCTTCAAGGCTGATCTTGGATAGCTCCATCTTGCCACTTGCGATGCTTTTTTCCCTCACGTCTCTCTCATGAACTATACCTACCTCTCCTCGACACCATTCCACCCAAGTCCGGTCATTATAATGACCACCAATCCCTCCTCCAAGAAAACCCTCAACCTTATCAACAACCCCCGCGTGAGTCTCCTAGTCCACGACTGGATATCGCATCGACCACCAACCCGCACTCCCGATCCCACAAGAGAAGGCTCCCCACCACCTCAAGCCACACGCTCAAGTCTTGCCACCATGTTGCTCAACATCAACACCAGTGAGCTGAGCAGTATCAGTGCTACCATCAACGGCGAGGCAATACTTGTTCAGCCAGGTACCGAGGAGGAAAGATGGTGCAAAGAGAAACACCTCGAGAACAATAATTTCGGCGACCAAGCAAGGGAAGAACAGGGTCTGTTCGGCTCAACGCCACACGCTCCCAGTGACGGTGGAACAAGTTGCTTCATCGAAGGCGAAGAAGTACGCGTAGTTCTCGTAGGCGTCAGGGAAGGTCGAATAGCAGACTGGAAAGGCGGGGTCAAAGACTGGAGTCTCTCTTCCCCTCCCAGCCCCGCGAATTCCCGAGGCAGAGAACCTCTGACAAACGGCATTCGATAAGTCCAGTTTTCAAAATGGCACATCCATATCCTCCACCTTCTCGTCTTTGCCTTCTCCATCCTTCCCACTCTTCCCCTCCATACACTCTGCCACAAACCCCGCAACAGCATCCAGCCAAGCCTTCTGACTTGGGACGAAATGCCCCCCTGGATGCGTGACCACCCTTCCTTCCCCTCCCTCACAAGCCCCCACTAACCCTCTACTCCGTTCCTCCTCCACCACCACATCCACAGCTCCTAGCACATGCAACACCGGCGTCTTAATCTTCGGCTCGTAGAACGCCTGATACCGTTCCCCTGGAGCTTTGAATCCACAATAAGCCACCGCGAACTTCAACGGCCCTTGCACAAACCCCTCTCCTTTCCCCTCTCCCACCCTATCCCCTTCCAAGAAAGACGGCGGAAACCTCACCCCGCCCCTTCCAGCCCTCTCCCGCTCCTCAAACGCCTCCCTCCTCTCCCTTCCTTCAAGCAAACTCGCCACCATTCCCGCCGCACACGCGCCCTGTGAGAAGCCTATCACTCCATTAAATGGCCCTTCTGTTCTGATAGCCTCCGCGATCGCTGCCATACCCTCTTCTAGCCCCTCATACACTATCTCCACCTCTCCTTCCTTCCCACCTTTAACAGGATGGTCTTTCCGCCTCCACCACGCCCTCGCGTCTTCCTCGCCCGCAGCTTCTAGTTCATCGGCGCGGGAGCCGGGAATATCTGCCTATAGCCCCATCTTGAGTCAGCACTCCCAACCCAATCCCACTTAGACCCCTTTCGCCCCCTTTTTCCCCATTCTTCTCCCCTTTTCTCCGTCCCCGCTCACACCAAAAAAAATACACCAATGAAAGAAAGATCAGAGAAGTAAGAAGGGAAGGGGAAGGACCTACAGCATCCAACCTCCACGGCCCAGCGGGATAACAAAGCTGGAGCGCGTAATTCGGGAGATGCTTCGACAGGTGTTTTTCCAGCGCGCGTGTTTTGGCGCGGAAGAGCGTCGGCGTTTGGGTGTACCCGTGGAGAAAGAGGATGCGGAGGGGAGATTTCATATTTGAGGGGGTGGAGTTGGGGTTGGGTGTGGTGGGCATGTTTGTGGATATAAAGATAGGATGGGCTGGGTAATGAAGGAAACTGGAAATTCTAGTGGCGGAGGCTTAGGACGTCATTTGGGTGGAGACGGTGCGGCGGGGCGGAGCGGAGAGTGGAGAGCGGGCCGATCTAGCGTCTCATTCGCGACGGGATGCTATAGCCAGCAATCGGATACGATGTAAGTATCAAATGACTTTTTTTGAAATCTATATCGCTGGTACACCGGGTCCATGCTTTCCTTAGGCAAAATGGTTTATATTCCTAGCCTCATAATCCTAAAAATGTCTTGCCATATTTACTCATGCTGATCTATCACGCACTGCCATTTTCCGCCTCTTTCGACTTCCCTATCGTACCTCTGACACCGCCTTTCCCACCTACTTCTCTCGCTGTAACCTGTACCGTCATGTCCGCAGAAATGTTCACCGTCACTTCTACTTTCCCTTTTGGTTTTACTTCCTTGACCGACGCTTCGGCCAATGTGCTCTCCACTTTCCAAATCTTCTCTCTTACTTCTTCAGGCTCATCTTCTTCGTCACTGTCTAGATCAGAATCATCCTCGTCGCTTTTGTCTGCCTTGGATATGCCGTTCGTTTTAGGTTTTGAGTCGGTTTTCGTAATCTTGATGTCCCGTACAGCTTCACAGATTTTGATGAGTACGTCACCCCCGGCTTTCGGTGCATTGATGATGGTGGCTCTCCGGCAAGGTACAGCGGTATCCTTTGCTACTAATTGTGTGAAAACGCCCTTTTGGGGATCTTCACTGACAGCCATGATGCCGATGGCATTGAGGAGATGAGGTGTCACCGTCAGTGCGGGGTGAGTCGACTGCTCAATGTCTTCGGGGTCAAATTCGGCTATCAGCGAAGCTTGAATGGCGGCACCTCTTGCGTTGAGAGAGGATGGATCCATGGCAGTAGGGAGTGTTGATGGCGATATTATTCTTGTAGCTTGCGAAAATATCGATTGAAGGAGGGTTGATATTCGTGGAGTGTGAGAAGTTCCACCAGATAAGATGATCTGGAGCCTGTTAGGTTCTGCTGTCATAAAGAGAATAGGCAAATGATCAAACCTCATCGATATCCAACACGTCAAGCTCTGCAGCTCGTACAGTATCCTTGATCAGATTCCCTAGGCTTGTAAAGATCTTGCCCGCTAATAATTCATATCGTGTTCTATTTATGGTGGACGTATAATCTACACCATCGGCGAGACTTTCGATACTCAAGGTAGCATTGCCACTTAAACTAAGCGCCTTCTTGACTGCCTCAGCTTCTAGCTTCAATTTTGCCAAACTTCGGTCGTTTTCTCGTGGGTCCGTCTTGTTCTTTTTTATAAACTCCTTTGCAAAGTGGTCAATCAGAACTTGGTCAAGCTGAGCACCGGCTGTCTCATAGTCATGTCTCGTCGCTAATATACTGTAAATTCCTCCTCTAGAAGCAATGACAGCAATGTCGGATCTTGTGCCTCCGAAATCTGCAACAACAATATTCCTATCTTTAATCTCCGCCTCTGATCTGGCATCGTAAGCCAGCACCGCAGCTGTAGGCTCTTGTATTATCTGTAAAACCTTCAACCCTGCATCTTGCGATGCCTTCGTCAAGGCCTCTTTTTGATTGTCCTTCCAATCGGTAGGTATGGCGATTACAGCCGCATCGACCTTCTTCCCCAAGAAGTCAGAGGCAGATGAAGCGAGTCTTCGGATATGACGAGTTGTTATTTCGGATACAGCGACAGTACTGGTGTCTTCAGATTGGGTATCTCGAATGGAAAATGCGACAGCGGAATCCTGCTTCTGAGGCCGGGCAGAAGCATGACATGCGGTGGGATCTATGTCTGAAAAGTCTCGTCCGAGGTAATCTCTGAAGTAAGCGACCGTGTTTTTGCTGTTGCGAACAAGTTGATTCTTTGCTTGGGTGCCGTGGTATTCCTCCCCCTCCGTGTACGATAATACAGAGGGAATGTTCCGGTCTCCTTCCTCATTTGCTATGACTTCAGCTTTACCCTCCTATTACATTGTCAGATATGGGCATAAGTAGAGCACCGTCAAGTCCTTGTGATTGAAAAGTACTTACACCTGAGGTATACGCGATGGAGCTGTAAGAATTGCCGAAGGAAATGCCAATGGCTATGATTTCGGGCAGTTCTTCGACGGCTATATCGGCGGACGACATGATCTAGAGCTCTGCAACTGGACTTTCTAGGGTATATTGTTACTCATCATGTATGGATGAATAGATCGCACAACGGAGCCTGACCTCGAGATTCAAAATGCACAACTTTTCCCTTTAGCTCCGGGTAGATCCGAGAAAAGGGTCCCATTATCAATTTCAAGATCATTCCTTCCACATAGCATTCCATGCCTACTGATGGCTCTCCAACAAGTAGTGTTTCCTGGCGAGGACATACCCCGAGATATTCTCCCCATTCCCTCGAAGAAGAAGCATGCTCTAAAAATTGGCGCTGGTCTACAGCACATCCCGCCAGATAGAGTGACCTCCACAGTAGCTGGCAACCTTGGTATTGATACTCGAAAGAATGCCGTTTGGGTGAACAACGATGGCGGAAGGGTAGCGTGTTTCCCTCTCAAATTATCATGCGGTTTTACTAATTAGAAATAATAGTACATTCCACAATCTGGAGACTTGATTATTGCGACAGTCCACAGCTCTGCTGCCGAGATCTACCAGTGTGCAATCACGCCCCACACCACATTCGCCCAACTGCCTCAACTGGCGTTTGAAGGAGCTACTAAGAAGACTCGCCCTCATTTAGTTCATGGCAGTCTGATCTATGCGCGAGTTAACTCTGCGTCGAAATTCATTGATCCTGACCTCGTATGCTACAATCCTGCCACTGGCAAGAGTGAAGGCTTAGGGGAGCTCAAAGATGGCATGGTGTTCAGCGTAAGCTTAGGCTTAGCCAAGAGGCTTCTGGTAGCAAAGCAAGAACAACAAGGAGGAATAGTCTTGCTGGACGAGTTAGCTGAAAGAGTCGCCTTCGAAGTCGCCATTGGAAGGAACGGGAAAGTCTGGATAAAGAGCAGCACCGTCAAAGAGACTTTAATCGTGGGAAATGCTCTTCGGCAAATGGACGAGAAGGGTCTGGGAATTGATGATCAGAGGAAACTTGTGAAGAAGCTCCTGAAATCAGTATGAAATGACGACTGGTCGGACCGTCATTGATGATATCGCAACATCGTCAATACTCCTCCGAAACTTGCTCCCCAGGCCTCTTCTGAAGAAGCTATGATCATGGCCCAGTCTGTCGTTCCTGCGAAAAGAAAAGAGTGATAAAGCAGGTCACTGCTGGATCCAGAAGTACGTGCATGAGTGCATAGCTGTTGGTTCAGCAGTCTCGTGTGGATGCCCATGCTCGCGTATCACCATCCGGACGAGGTCGCTGACAATAGGGCCCGCATGAGGAAAGTCAAGGAAGTGCGAACTCTCAAGCTGTACTTGCTCCACCAAAGGCTAAGATTTTCGATTTCTAAACATCCGAAAAGCTGCAAGCCTTTCGCATGGTCGTTAGAGATCCGATGCGGTTTCATAACTTTAACCGCTGACCCCCAGAATATCGAACACCACTGTGTTCCGCAGCAGGCGTCTGGAACAGATCCGAGAGCCTCACCCCTACAGCTCGCCAACATGGTCTTTAACAATGTTGTGGTGTTCTGGTGGAAGAGATGGATCTCACGATACTCAACGTCACCTTTGTATGGGAATACCGATCGATATCCACTTTCCCCAGATCCACACCACGCAGTCACGCAGCATGCAGGTGCAATTTCGCTAAAATCAAATAGCCTTCGCAGCGCGCTGTTTGATTCGCTCGACAAAGAATCTTTTTACCCTTCCAGGTAAGGCGCACGAGAATCGAAGCGGCGAAGAAGAACTAAGGATTAGAGCATCTGCTAGTCAGGGACCGCGCACGAAATCCGTTGCAGCTTCGCTTCAGACTGAGTCGAGAGGCCAATCATATCCCTGTCCGGACCTCCCTCTTCTACCCTGAGTGGGCGGCACAGGAAATTGCAGATAATTTCACTGCGGCAACCAGGATCAATCCCACCAACTGGAAAGTCGGTGCGAGTCCGACGGGTCACCGCGAGAAATTGCTGTATGGCACCGTCGCCCGTTGGTGCGTGACAACGATAATTGCGCAGAAGTCACTCCAAGAGTCGTAGGGTAGGGCCATACTCTCGACCCCGGCCCCTGCAAGATTGCCTGCGCATTAGTTTCATTTATGTATGAGAAGTCGCTGCCCTTTGTCATCCTTGCGCCTCCTGCCTCCTCCTTCATCTCACATATACCCAACGTCTTGACTCGCATCTTGCGGTCGTCCATTCATTCATTGCGCTCACGATCATTACGAAGTCACTGTAACGCTCATTCATTCAACACTTAAAAACTTTGAAGTCCTCACTTGGCTTATCAGTCGAACAACACATTCATTCATCCAGCTTCCAAATTTAGCTCAAAGAAAAGATTGTCGCAGGAGCAAAGGGCAGAAATAGCGACGCCTGACATTCCATCATTCGGATGATCTACGGGAAAAGACTGTACATTCAATAGGGAACTGCTAGGAGTGTCATATTCGTGTCGAGGAAGCATTCCCTATCCGACACTGATCAAAATTGCTTTCGCACCCACAACAAGGCTTGCGCAAACCGCCACCTACCATAGTCAAAGATTCTATAGACCCACTCACCCTTCTCATCATCGATAACATTCACCACCCGCAAAATGCGCACGCCATTCTCCCTTCTCCTCCTCCTCGCCCTCTCCCCTTCCACCATCCTGGCCACACGCACAATCACTACAACAATAACCGACCAGGTCTCCACCACAACAATCTTCCACACAATATCCTCTTCGACCTCAATCGAGACCTCGGTGATCAAATCTGTTCACACTTCCGTTGAAGCCTCACCTTCCTCCTCGTCCCTTATCGCAACATCTCCATCCTCATCCAGCGCACCGTACCCTACCACGAAGTCGATTATCTACAGCTCTGGTGTCGCTTCGGCCTCGATCGCTACGCAAGTCGTCATTCCCAGTTCTTCGGCGCCATTCCCAACAGAGACAGGCACCGCCACGGAAACCGGCACGTTGGCAACCGGCGCACCAGTCAGCCCCCCTACAAGTTTCCCAGGGCCTACATCTAGCGCGGAAGGAAGAATCGTGAACCTGTCGATGGCTGGGGTGGTGGCAGTGGTCGCAGGAATTTGGGGTATGTGTTGATGACCCCTGTGGTCCGGGCTCTACGAAAGACACACAGAGAAAGAGCTAAACCGTTGGACGGTACATACCACTCCGTATTTTCAGCGAGGCGCAGACCGGCCGCCTTCATTTGCATTTTGTCAATTCGATTCGACTGTGATATCCCGAATTGTCTTGTCTTTTATTATCATCAGGGGAAAGGAAAGCTTGGAGGAATACTTCTTTTGATAATTCATTTAGCCGTTGAGCGTGCTAGGGGCACTTGCTGCTGTCTGTCACTCGCTTGAACTGAAGATTCGATTCTTGTTATTGAGATATGAATCCATGTGACGTGCAATGCAAAGCAGTCGTGAGCGATGGCGTGAGCGATAAGGAGTTGTAATTAGGACTTAATTGATCTATTGAGTGTAAAGTTGCTGTTGTCTCGCTTTGTGCAATTGCTACTTTGAATGGGGTTAGAGCATGGCCATACTTGCACGGCCCTGCTATAGTCCTGCTCTGTCTAGCCCTGCCCTCTGAGATGGATCTTGAGGGGTGCTTTGATTGGTCAATATCTTGCGGCTTATCGTTACGCCAATGTATTAGCTGCATGAATGGTGAGTAAGCAAGGCTGATGGCAAAAGACTGCAGCGATCAAGAGCTCGGTTCATTATTACATACGGTCAAACCTCTCCCTACAGAGAGTGGCGTTGAACAAGGAGCTTATTTACCTGCATTTTCATGCTTGTCATAATATTGGTTTCCCTGTAAACCTTAACTGCCTCAACCATAAATTCTTATTACGGGGCATTGATAATTTCTCGGCTCAATATATATGAAGTCATTGAATGAAGGGTTGAGTCTGGTAATCGGTCTTGAGGGGACTGGCCGGGAGAATGCCGTAAGTCACCAGCATCGGCCCCCATATTCTCACATTTCCTAAAGAGGTGGGTAGTACAACAACAAAGCTCAGTACTAATTAGTCAGATTTAATATTGTTATCGATAGTAATTCGGATGATTCGCAATCACCGACTGCTTCAAATATACGTATTGAGAAAGCGGAGAGCGAGGATGAAAATGTTTCGAATGAAGGGGCAACAAGCCTTCATAGTGCATCAATAAATGAGGATGTAGAGGAGAACGGCAACCTTCCGAATTATACACGAGTACACGTTGAGAGTGCATCAGAGGATGAAGGAGAAGTAGGGGAGGTTGAGGAACCTTCTGCGTCTTCACAAAATAGCCAAACTTCAGGAAATTCCTGGGAGATCCTTAGCGACGGCGAGATCCCTCCCACGACTGTGCATCCTGATGACTCTGCGAGCCGAGCACCAAGTCATCGTGGAGAGCCTGGAAATGAAAGTATAGATTCCTTCGAGGACTTGAGACCTTATGGAGGATATGGATCACCGCCCCAAGCTGGATATTCGCCACATTACGCGCCATATTACCCACCACTGCCACCGCCAAATCAGTATTATCCTAATAATTTGATGCATGACCCTTATTATGCCCCTCCTATCTATCCGCCACAACATCAATTCGTGTATTCTTTACCAAATTCAAACATACCATTCCCTAACCATTACCCTGATACCTATTCCCTAATTCATCCTCCTGGCCAGAGAAGGAATACCTTGGCCACAAATCCTTCCCCTCATTTTTCTGGTCATTCCCAACCACATCGGCTTCGTTCAAATTCGACCGCAATCGATAGTCGCTCTGGCAGAAACGTTCTAGATGATCAATTTGACGACGAAGAACTTCCCGAGCAGCTTGACGGAGATCAAGTTCACCCGCACAATAAGATACTACCTCGACAGGGTACGGGAGAGCTGGGCCGCTCTTACGGCAGTGGAAAGCGCGTTCGCTTCAAGGTATTATTGCGATTGCAAAGCTTACCTTTGATCGATGAGGAGAAGGGAATTGGCGATCTAGGCTATTCACCCTCAAGATCGACCAATTACAATTCAAGAGTGCATTTGCATCAAGATCTTTTTGAGATTGTCCAAACTCGCTGGACCCCGAATGATGACGGCCAAGAAGATGTTACGCTTACCCTCAAGGACGATGCTCCGAGAGAAGAAGAAGCAAACGTCTCTAATCATATGCGTTGGATGTAGGGCCCTTCACGAGCTTCCCTTATTTCCAGCAGGACTGACCATATCCTTCTAGACACATGAGATCTGCAGCCCCCACTTTCCGTCAATTTAAGGTAGTCATTGTAACAACTTACACGGAATTGAGTATCAGCGCTTACATGTTGACAGGATCAAGTGATCAAGATACCTGGTCTGAAGAGTACCGAAATCGCCCTTGCGAGTCGTCTCCTTAACCGAGTGAGGCGATATGAACAGCGTTACATACATGGTAGATTTCTTGAGCCAATGACACTGATCTATGACGGTGAAGATCCCTCCCATGCAGTCGAACCGTTAATCGGCACCGTCACTTTCATTTGCTTTCCTTTCTTCGACTCTGACGACTTGCTGAAGCCTGATGATGGGTTTCATGATCACCATGCTCATCGCGTTCGATCTCTGCTGCAGACACAATCGCGTCTGGAGTCTACCTCGCAGCGCGATGAAGATCAAGTACTGAAGAAGTTGAAGAGCAAAAGCAGCTTGAATGGCATTCACTTACCACAGATCTGGGCACTGATCATAAATCAAAGTATGCACCTGACCTCCCAAGTCTACAACGTTTCGTGTGATTGACCTCAAAACAGATCTGTTGGTGACTTGTGGACCATGTCAGGCTTCGACTCTTCGTGGAGAGTCTATTCGAACAGCTTTCCTATCAAAAGTGAAACTGGATGATGAGGCATTCTCGATTGAATACCAAAGCTTATCGGGCCATCAATATTTCATACCGGTTCGCAAGTGCCGAACCTGGTTTGTAAGACTTCCTTTATTGTCTTATGACTGAAGTCTAAGGCTAACATAATTCGACCAGAACCTTGTGGAACAAGTTACTGGACCACAATTCGTTCCTCCCCTTGGAGTGCCATCCTCATCAAGGAACAGCTGTTGAATAACGGGGCACTGTACAAGCTTGTAGACAGATCTGATGGCGAAATTGCGTATGAGGAATCTTGGCCAGATATGCTGCGCAGCAAGAAGAGTCAGTCTCTTTGTCTGGCTCTGCAAGAGAAGCCAAGGATGAGTGCCCCATTTGCGCCTTCGATTCGTTCAACAGGTTCGATGTCGGAAGATGAGGATTTGACAGAAGACAGCGAGTCGCTGATGACTATCTCTGTGGTACCTAGCGCGATGAAGTCGCCACATACAAACTATCCACCTGTCGTTTTCCGGGCGCATGAACCGTCACCATTCCGACCAGCTTCCTTACACCCATATTCGGTAGGCCCCTTGCTACAGCATCAACCCTTTGAGAATCGACTCCAAGAAGTGCCTCAGCAACTTCCTCCAAATGGAATTGTGGGTCAGGAGCCTCAAATTAGCACTCCGAGCTTATATGGACGCCCTTCAGTATCAGCTCTCAAAAAAAATGCCGAAAATGAAGAAATTCAAGCGCAACAACCGGTCGCTCCTCTGCAGAGCTCTAGTTCAAAAGGCAAACAAAAATTGCAGAGAGAGCCTAAGTCCGTATCATTTGCCTTAGCTGGACAAGGGGAATCGGAGAATGCGCGGCCAAATACTCAACGGCAGCTTAGTGATCATTCTTCTGATCCAGCACAGCGAATGCCACCCATCCTACGATCGCCCAATAAAAACCCCGATGTTCGAACACAAGAAATGCCTCCTATTCGACGGCCGCCGGATGCATATTCCCATGTTCAAACACAGCAGACCCAGCAACTAGCCATGCGAATGTATCAGCCATCAGCGCAGTACCAAATGCCTCAATACTCACCTCCTCCTCTGTATCCATGGCAATATGAGGCGCAAGCCTTTGCTCCAGGTTCTGCGTACTTAAGCCCTGGATTTGGTCAAAGTTTGTCGCCGCCATATTCTAGCATTGTCCCAGCAAGCGGTCATTATCCTTTCCGAAGATATCAGCTACCGACGCCAAAAATGACGGATTTAGCTTACATACCCTCGCGAAAGTCTGTATCCGCCTCTTTGCCTAATCGAAACGAGTCTCACAGAGAATCCGATGCAAAAGCTAATAATCGAAGTCAAATATCAAGTACATTTCTAGATCATCGCAACTCACAATCAAAGCATACTTCTTCAGAAAGCAACAAGGCAAGATGTCAAAAATGGAAAAGGATTTGTGATCAAGTCTTAGCCAGTCGCCGTGAGATGGTCGAGTTTCCGGAGCCGCCGGACTGGCCCTGCCGCTTACATGACAAGTACAAAAAAGGCCGGGCCCTTAAAGCTTGTGTATGCAACCTCAGAGAAGTGTATGAAATTCTAGGCTACCAACCAAACACGTTGAGACATGAACGTATCCGTTGGCATCCAGACCGATTTCCCATCGAGTTCCAGAGAAAAGCAGAGGAACTATACAAGGAGCTCGAAATAAGTCAGTAGACCCCAGTTTCAAGGCATTTTCGGGCAATGTTGACCAGATATCGACATAGTTATTCCGAATATTCAAGAGCCACAAGCGATTACAACTCCAGACCGAGTGAAAACCATCGCGCTACCTGAAACGTCTAATACAATATCAAAAGACACAAATGATGCCGTTATGAATCGTCCTGTCAAGGTTGACAGTCCCATGTCTTCGGTTTCTGGGACTATACTGAGCGAACAGCCGACGGGTGCTTTAGTACATCAACCTTCATTGTCTGTTGATCTCATTAAGGAAGACCAGTCAGCTTTGAGGAGCACATCTGAGTCTCTGCTTACTGTAAAAGACAATCAAAACACTGGGACAGATGAACAAAGTTTCGATGTGTTTCAGTACCTCGACGACAGCTGGAAAACAGATTCTGAGCCTGATACATGGGATATCAATTCTCACCTTGACACATGGGAAGTTAATTCTGAAGAATCTGATTTTCGCAAATGGAACGTTCTACGGTATCTTGACGACAGCTGGAAGACAGAGACTGACCCAAGCATAAAGGATACAGAGATTGTAGGCAATGGCGGCCTTCCAACGAGCGAACGAGAAGTTCAAAATGAGAGTGACGACCGGCTTCTGTCAGGTGACCCCTCCCTTGAAATCCTGACTAATAAAGTAGGCGCTGCCGGACAACCTCGGCAACTCAGTATGAATGAGTCGGATCGCATCATCGAGTCTGTCAATACTCTACCTGACGACGTTCAACGCAGCTCAGCAACAAGCAGCTTCCAAGAGTCTGTGTTAAATATCAAATCGGATTTGCAAGCCACTGTTGAAGATGCATCGGACGATGAGGAACTAGGCCCGAGGCACAAGAAATCCAAGGAAGCTCAGCCCACTCACTTGAGCAAGAAATCTCCCAAGTACAAGCGCAGACACAACTTTGACACCATTGGTCCCGGCGAATCTCGAGCAAAAGACTCAGTCCATAGTGAAACCCCTTCCCAGGAGGGGAACCTAGAATCTCACGAACGGCGGTCCGAGTATTCGCCTACTGGGAGCCCCTTTACCCGAATTGGGAGCGTATTATCAGACTTTGCCGAGACCTCTAATGCCCAGAAAGATCCGGGAAACGCGATTTTCTTATGGCCCACTGGTCAATCATCCCTTGACGCAGTGTCTCAAGATGATGCAGACTTGTCTGATGAAAATGAGTTCGATCCATACTCTCTGATTTATCGTGACTCCCAAGACCGTCCTTCAACCGGACGAAGGTCCGGCCAGTGGAGCAAGAACGAAAAGACCCTCAGAATCGTTCTTGATGAATGCCATGAGCGTCTTCAAAATTCCAAACTCGGGGAAGAGTCATCGGTCTATAAAGCCGTAGCTGAGAAAGATGAAGGCAATGTTACTGAACTTGCAGGCCTTGTAAAAGAAACGGCTGACGAGAGCGAGGGCAAGGAACAACCCAAGTCGTTTGACGACGCGGCAGAATTTAAGCTGCTACGTCAGAAAGAGGGCATTTTCGTACTTGCTACCAGGTTGTTGCGGGCTTTTGTCCCTCAAGGATATGAAGTTGAAATCCTGAAGAAGTATTGGGGAGCTGTATGGAAAGTCCTGATCATCGCAGTAAGGTTGCCCTTCAGTCCAATAAGATCTCTTTATGATATCTGACACTTTGCAGGAGGCAGCAAACGATCTCAATGACCTAGAAGCCCGTCTTTGGAGTTTCCTCAAGCTCATCCAGAGCATGCTGCTCGGGGTCCGGACTGTTGATCGTCAGCATAAAGTACATTACCAGATGCCAAGAGCCCTTCCAACTGCCTTCCGACATCTAGTCATGGTCTTTGTAACAGCCCAGGCTAGACTGAAGTCAAGAGGTAGACCGGAAAATATCATGCACTGCCAAATGTTCGAGAAGTCTTTGGCAGAGTGCGGACAATGCCTACTGGAAGGTAGGAATCAACTCATTCTTATGGTACATACAGACGACTATCGTGAGCGTGCTGGATACGAAGCGATCGACTCTACGGCATTGCTGAGCACCATGATGCGTAACTTGATGGAGAGATCCCTCACGAAAGATAAATTGCATATAACGGAGCTTTACAGCGAGTACACGACAAAAATTGTAAGTGCTCTGCTTCCTAGTGCCTTCTTCCGCGCGTATGCCTCCAAAGTATTCCTCGGAACTTTACTCCAACCTATCTAGCGAGGCTGCTGCCCGTCTTTCTTCATTGTATCTTTGTCTACTAAATCAATGTACTGAGAGCCAAAAATCCTTTCTTTACTCCCATCACAACTAAGGCAGACTAATTTCATTTTATAGCAATCACTCGTCCGTCACTCAGCAAGTGTCAGTGTATACACAGATATAGAGCTACTGACCGAAGAACTTGACGCAATCAAGAGTATTCTAAGCCAGCAGACTGCAACGCTAAGTGATTTCAAATACGCTCTCCAAAGCTATGAAGGCACTTCGGAGCTGGTAGATGTTGTTCTCGACCGCATGCTCACGCAGCTGAGGATGCAAGGTGAAGATTTCAAGGAACTATCTCGCCAAGCTGAGCTTGCGAGACACAGGGTACGTGAAAATGCTACACATGTTTCGAGACTCATCAGCCTCATTTGTACTCCAACCACGGCCTCAGATTATGTGACTGACCTGGCTTTCAGGCCGCTCAATCTATCTCGCTTAAGGCCGAATCCAATAACAAAGCCATTTTAGTCTTCACTACTGTCACCATCATTTTCCTGCCTCTCTCCTTCGTGACGAGCTTTTTCGGCATGAACACAGTCGACATGCGCAACATAAATTCTAGCCAAGGGTTGTTTTGGGCCACTGGCTTGCCCCTGACACTCTTTGTATTGGGCGCAGCTTGGGTCGTTGCATACCACGGAGAGCTTGCATCGCTTGGCCTGACTTTCAAAAGCAAGCCCTAGACAACAGAAAGTCTCTAATTCAGCCGTAATCCACCTTCGAGCCCTCGGCGATTGACCCGAAATAAACGACAGTCTCATCGCCGTGTCACTGCGGGTTCGTTTGAACCCCCAAATAACCTCTTGCGAGGGTAAATTCGCGAGGACTTTGGCACCTCCTCAGGCATTGCTGAGCTATCGGACTGACTCAAAAGAGTGAACAGATAAGTCAGCCGACTTAGGGCAAGAGAAATGCAAAGATTACCCTCGCCTTGGATGAAGTTACTTACGCCCGCCTTCATTATCGTTGGCGATAAATATGAAGAGCCTGATGCCCGATACCTTCAAGGAGTCTAGGGTGCGTATCGAGACGGAGGTAATTGCCTTTGCTCCCGACTGAGACAAGGTGCTTGCTAGATTTCGGGGTAAAACGAAAATTTGATAACCCCCTCGGCAAAAATGTCGACCGCAAGGGAAACCACACATCATCAGCCCCAAGTAACAGAGAAGAACGACTGCAACAATGGCGTCTGTATCATCGCTAACTTGTATCAGCATGCACTTGGCATCGAGGCCAGCGTCCCCCAGGCCGGTAGCATCGCCGGCATGATTGCTAGCATTACAGATGAAAAGACCAGCGGCGAGGAGTACGGCTGTCAAGGAGAGGAAGGTGATGGTGAGATTTGCGTCTTGCTGAATACCGCGTATACAATTTGTGATGTTGGGGCTGCGGATGGATGTCATGATAACTCGGTTGTGGAGGCGAAAGTTCCACATGCGAATAATAACGGGGTGAAGTATTGTGGTGTCAGTGAATCGGGGTATTGCCGCGGGTTGGATCAGGACTATTGGGAGGAGCTAAAGCCTGATTCGATGAGTACAGTCATGAGTCTAGGTGGCGTTCTTCATACCAATCAGTGAGGCTGAGTCGATAATGTATACATAACACATTGGATATTTGGAGAAAGAGCGAACATAGTCGGCTCATCCCAAATACAAGCTTCAAGACCCAGCACGTTCCCTATCCTCTCTTCCATGTTGCCATCTATCTCGCTAATCGTACCCGAATATCACCTATTGCTCAAACGTCTCATCCAAAAGCTTTCGCCTCCCCCCTACTCTACCCATCCCCCTTCCCCTCCACCCTATCTATCCCCCACCCATCGCCACCCCTCCCTCACCAAAAACAGCGTTCCCCTTTAAAGTATTCACCAAGAGCCAACTCGCCGGGTAAACCACTCTCCCAGCTGCCCAACTCATTCCAACACTATCTACAGTTGTCGCATTCCCACCTCCATCTACGCTTGTCCCATTTCCACTCCCATCTCCACTTGTCGCATTCCCACTCCCACCACTCCCCCCACCACTTCCCCCAGCCCCTCCCTCACTCCACCCATACCACCCCGCCAGCGCCTCAACCACATCCACGATTCCCCCCGTCGTGAACGGCTGTATCTCAGGATGCGTATTATACATCTTGACCTCGACGCAGCCGGGGCCAGGGACATTGAAGCAGCTTTCCAGTGATGGGGAGGTGTCGCAGCATGCGCCGCCCGCTACGTTTATCTGGCCTGAGGTGGGGAGGGTGTATGTTGCGTTGGCGCTCTGTGGAAGGAAGGTGTTAGCGTGGGAAGATGGTGGGTGGGTGTGAGACAGGGGAGGGGAGCCGAGGGGGTAAGGGGTAAGGGCAAGCTGGGCTGGGTTATGGTGGAATGGGGCGGGAGGAGAGGGAGGGAGATGGGGAATACATACTGCCCACCCCTTTACATTCCTTAGCCAATATTCCATCGAATTGTGGAATGCGGTGGTGTTGATAAGTGGCTTTGACTCGTCGGGGGTGATGGCCAGGAGGAGTGCTGAGTCCGGGAGGTGGACGGTTATGGAGGGGCTGAGGCTGGGTTGGGCACCGGAGGATATGGAGACAGCGTCGGAGAGGGTTGGTTTGGTGAATGAGAGCAATGTAAGTGAGAGGGGGAAGAGGAACCCGGAGAAAGTGTGATGTAGGGGAACAGTGTGCATGGCTTGAATGAGTCTGAAAAAGTAAAGTAGTGGATAGTTCTGAAATATGCTGAGGAATGGGAACGACGAGGAGGCGATCTTTTCATGTTGCTTGTTTGTACGCTTTCTCTGTCTTGTATTCGTGTTGAATCAGGATATTCAAGACAGTGTGAGGCTCTAGAGGCCATGATTCAGCCTTGCAATACCCACCAAACCGGCAATATCGCACATCGAGACGTGACTTCTTCTGGGTTAGCGCCAACGGGGTTTGGATTCGCCCTACGATGTCGCACGTTCTTATAGGAAAGATTATGATGCGTACGTGGAAACGCGGCTCAGAGCAAGCGAGGCGCGTCGGAACCCAGAATGCGATCAGAAAGCCTTGGGGAGTCGCTAAAGCCCAAACATACGTGAAACTGGCGCGACCTATCTTCTGTCAAGCACCAATAAATTAACACAAGCGATCTTCGCAGTGCTGGCTTAGTGTGGAACAATTATCCAGCAGTCCTGACCCCGTGCAAATTCGTCCAGTCATTCATTGCTCAGCACGAAATACATTCTTGCTGCCCAGGTTCGTCTTTTGCCAGGAACTTTCGAGACTTTGAATAAGCGGCTCCGATTTTAGAAAAGTTTGATTATTAAATATCTTTCGCATCTCTGGCACTGACCTTATTATATCTCACCCTCTCGTGCCCCTCCATTTCAGAGAAAAAACGCTCCGAAACAATCCTATACCCACCTATCTTCGGCTAAACTTTTGTCCAGAGGATCTAATAAACTCCTCTAAATAGCAGGACACCCACTCCCACAATAGGGAACACGTAGAACGGATAGCCATCTGGGTCGTTCTTTCCCGTTGGAGGTATGAAAGGCACTAGAGCCAAAAATGCGTTCGCTAGGAAGTAGAGCACCGTGATGGGTAAGAATGTATGCCGTGGACTAGTCCAGTCCTCGGACTTCCTGTACTGCAGCCAGACGAGTTCCGCAGCTACGAAGGTATTGATCCAAGCGCCGGGATACGTGTATAGATCAATGATGAAGTTGTATGCTGGACCGATTTTGAAGATGTGCAAGCTTAGATGGTCTGCGGTCTCAATTGGCATCGGTACAATTTCTGGAAGAGGAATAGATGCCAGCCCGCCGAGCAATTGGTAGCCATGGCGGTATGTCGTGCTTTGATGTTATTGCCGTCAGTGCCGGGCACCTTTTGTGGGAAGATGCAAAGAATGTTCGGCTGTAGACCTCCTTTCCAGACCTTTGAACGCACAAATCGCGTAGATGCTGCAGCATACGTTATGCGAGCCTACCATTTCCCTATGCTACAGAGCTCGTTTCGGCTTCAGGAAGCCGAAACATGCGTGAGAGTAAACTCAGTGGGGGCGCTTTGTAGATTTGCTGATGGATTCCGGTGACGCATGCCGGTGACATAGCTACGTAACATGGCTATGCCACAGTCGAAGTAGTGTCCAGCCTTTTAGGTGACTCATGCGCCCATGGTGTTCAGTAAAGACAAGAATCTTCACATCGTTAGCGAACAAAGTCTGAGCCAACGTCAGGTACATGAGTGGAGCTGCGTGCCCTAATTGTTGCAAACAAGAAAGGCGCATTCCCACTATATGTCCGAGCAAATGCAGTCAAAGCCTATGCTACTGATCTGCTTCGCATTTCTCGACTTGGTAAGAAAGCAAGGAGCAGGCTGAATCCTTCTAAATGTGGGGCGCGCTGTGCAACCATTTTATCTGGTGCTACCTTCAGTAATGCCGAGGCAAGTCCCTGGAAAGAAGGCTATGCTGTTTGGGCTGTGCTCAAGCATTTGCATGTTATAGAGCGAGAGCGTTCTTGAATCTTCATCCAACCTTCACAATTGTATAGAACTAGGGACACATCAGCTATCTTCACGAAAGTGCTTCTAAGAGACCAAGAGACGACTCCTTACTTTGGCAGCCTGTGAACATGGGTTCGTCTCTTAGACTGAAGGCACGCCGCCTCCGTACGACCTGGCAAAGCAGTATATACCTTTGGTTGACTGTCACCAGCTTGATCCTGATCATCAACCTCATTTTAACAATTTGGGGGAGCACTGCTTTTCCTGCTGCCAAGCAATCGGGCGTGAGCATTCTGTTGGAAGGTAAATGTTCACGAATATCGACCGCGGACACAGGTCTACACGCGGTCATCAATCTCTTTAGCATTGTCCTTTTGGGTGCTTCAAATTACACCATGCAGTGTCTAAGTTCGCCGACACGTTCAGAGCTAGACAAAGCACATGCGAAAGGCCGGTGGCTAGATATAGGCGTTCCAACGGCAAGAAATCTTGGGGGTATAGATCGACGACGAGCCCTGCTTTGGCTCCTTCTAGGGCTCAGTTCGGTACCACTGGCTCTGCTGTAGGCGTCGAGTTACTCTGTGCTTGAACGACCCAGCTGACAAGAGCCCAAGGTACAACGCGGCCATATTTCAGGCAATTGATAATAATGACTATGATGTCCTCGTTGTGAACGAAACTTTTCGAGATGGTGCAGGATGGGAGTCGAAGATGAAGCATTATGTCTTGGATGGTCAGGACGCCACTGCCTTTAAGTATGATAATAAAACTGAGGATTTGACGCACTCTTTGGAAGAGATTGCGCATCTACAAAGCCCCCAGACTTCGTTTCAAAATCTAACAAATGAGGAGTGTATCAAAAGATACTCGACTAAAACTGTCACGGGCTTCAGGAACTTGCTAGCCGTCGCGGCCTCATCAAACTCTGTTCCGAGACCTTTGAGGGAGGGAAGTAGCATATTCTTCATGGGAAAGGTGGGGATGAATCTGGTCGCATCGCATATATCCACTATGGAATCTCCATATTACTGGATATATGAAAAAGGCATTTATGGCCCAGATCAAGCTGATGCAAATCAGTGGGTGATCCAAGGATTCAGTATCGGATATTGTTTAAGCGAAATCGTCGAGCAACGGTGCAGGTTGCAATTCAGTTCGACGGTTGGGATTACGGTCATCCTCTGTAACACTGTAAAGCTCTGCTGTATGCTTTATGCGGCGCTGAAGCTGGGAGAAGACAGGCTGTGTACGCAAGGGTACGTAATATCACTCCCAGGATAGAGACATTCTTGTTAACTGACCAAGCGATCTGCTTCAATCTTATCTACTCCGCCCTGATCCACACACCTACCAATTCTGTTTGATGAACAAGGCAGACGTTCTCAGACACTATTGGATGCCACATGAAGTGAGAGACAGTCCAATTGACCCACTCGCGTATCAACTTCATGCAACTTATTGGTTCCGAGCGGCCAGCCACAGGAGATGGGTCGTCTTCTACGTCATGGCAGTGTGCAGCCTTTTATTGATTATGATATCACTGTCTTCTGGTCTCCATACCTTACGAAATCATTTCATTTCATTCTCAATGACTTCACTCTGGAACCTCGGTCTTGGACGTATCGACCCTCTTGCTCTGATTGCCTTTACCGGACAGATATCGAAAACACGACCGGATCCTCTTCTTTTCTCAATAATCGCCAACTTACCTCAATTACTAGTTAGCATCTTACATCTCAACTACAACAGTATATTCACTTGTATGCTCATGGAAAAAGAGTGGAATGATTTTGCTTACGAGCGCAAACCACTGCGAGTCTCCGCACCAACAAAAGGGCAAAGACCTACCTACTTTCTCTCACTTCCTTATTTATACAGCATATCGCTCATGATCTTCTCAGGTTTGATGCATTGGCTCATCTCACAATCCATATTTCTCGCCCAAATCATCGCTTATGACCAAAATGGCAAAGAACAGCAAAACCAAACGGCCATAGGCTGCGAATTCTCTTGCATGAGTATCTTCCTCGTCTTCATCCTTAGTTGTGTCATGCTCTGCTCAATAACTTTCACAGGATGCCGGCAATATCGTCCTGGAATGCCTTTAGCAGGCCATTGCAGTGCCGTTTTGAGCGCCGCATGCCATATTTTGGGTGAAGAGGACGACATTACGACACGGCCCGTCATGTGGGGTGTCGTTAGCGAAAACGGAGACGTTCAGCATTGCTCTTTCAGTTCAGCTCCTGTCAGACCAGCACAACCAGGTCACATGATGAAATGATACTTTCTCAGATCTCTGAAGCCAATGGGGGAACCGATCGATTGGTCATATTTCATTGAACAATCATCGACCACGTTGATCGGGCCATGTACAATTAGCCAAATTCAAAGGATCCTTCGCCCAGTTGTCTTGATGGTCATCTTTTCTTGTCCGTTTCCGACGCGCTGAAGACTACATCGTGATGCAATAGCCAGAAGAGGGCGCAACGCATCAGGCATCAGGCACTAAATTGTTTGTCAACTTCCTATGCGTCAAAAGCGTCGAGAAGGAAGTAACCTCGTCAGTCATTTTTACTGTGCGCCGTTCCCTGTAATGTCTTGCCTGCGTATAGTTGACCCTCAACTGGCGGCAACGCAGGGAGACTCGTAAAGCAGCAGTGCCCCACGCCTGTGTTCGTCATGCTACCGTTACTGGCCATGTCCTTCGCGGCATCCTCTGGAACGCCCCACAATAAGGTCTTCCCGGCAGCATCAGCGTCCGAGCTGGGTTGGTGACAAGCAGCACTGATGGCCGCGCTACAACTCCCAGCCAGAGGCATGCCTCCTCTGTATTTCCTGAACCCCATGAGAATTCCGGCAAGAATTGTGAATGATCCAAGGATGATGGTCGTGATGATGGCTATACAACTATATCCAATTGTGATAACACGATTATCTGCTTCAATTTCGTTGCCTCGATACATTTCAACATCAACCAGGAAGATGGTCTGCGAGACTAGCCAGTGCAGTATTCCTGACAGCACTACGAGGGGTATGCCGTACTTGTATGGTAATTGAAGCCTGTAAGTCGATCGCTGCTGCCCCGTGGGATCGGTCACTCGTAGTTGCTTGCCTTCATGCGCGTAGTCATACCATTCCTCAACCATTAACATGCAGGTGTAGAGACTGTTGTAGGTCAGGAAGAGGAAGGAGAGAAGAGGCTGTGGGGCGTTGGCAATGATGATGTTCACAAAGAGCGCAGTCTCACGTGACATCCTCCTAGAGTTTATAAATGAGGCCAAAGACTCCGAAGTGATAGCACCGAACCCTAGATGCGCAATATGTGATAAAGAACGATCGTTGAGATTTGACATGCCCATGGACAACAAGAAACCGGTTACTACCAACGTTATTATACAGCTAAGAAAAGTTAGCGAGGTGTGAGCAAAGCCTGCAACAATTGTGAGAGTGATTGGATGAAATGGGTCGAAATAATTATATTTGAGCTGTGTAGACATTTCTTGTGACTTACAGAATATTGCATGACAGCCATCGAGTTATACTCGCACCAGCGAACCAGAAGTGGCGTACGTTTTGAAAGGACCGGGGCTCGATCATGGCATGCCAATTCGAACTCCGAAAATCTTTCCTCTCTGCAAGGCATTTGTTGATAGTTTCAGGATCGTTGGTTCTGAGGAAAGATTGCACGGCGTCACCAATGGTCACTAGAGGAGCCTTCCGTTGTTGTTGTAGAATTAGAAACATGCAGAAAGCTTTCACAGCATTTGCGACGATGACGATAGACATTATCACCACGCTGAATTGTACCGAACAGTGCTCTTCGGCTGGTTTGCTTAGGCAGCTCTTGATAGACAAAGAAGAACCCCCATCATAAAGATAAGGAATCTCCAGCGACCCGCGTTTGGCAGCCTGTATTGGTTCGTTACTACTCGAACACCAGCCTCGACACATCCAGTCATATCCAGTCCCTCCCGTGGAGAAGGTCTCAGTACCCTCCCCAACAATTGGAGCGGCAGCCTCCGTGATATTCACATCTGGCGTTATCAGGACCAAGTCACCATGACTTGTGACAAACTGTTTTGCGTAAGTGCTTGTGCACACGACGATGTCCATTTTTCCCCATGATTTTGCTCCTTCTAGCGTACCATAAGCAACCTTTCCGAAAGGGTTCTTTGAATTCTGGAGAATTTCCTCAAGATTGGGTGCGTCTATCACCTCCTGGGAGGCAGCCCAGACTCGGTAATCCTGTGCAGTCAGCGATGAGAAGACTGCGCTGTTGTATAATAAATGAAGTGGGACACCAGAAATCGCTAGTAGCAACCACAATACCCTACGCCTTCGAGCGATGTAGAAGAGATTGCGCACGCTCGGGACGCCAATATCAAGCCACTTCCTTCTCCTATGAGCCGCATCTACCTCGTCGCGTGTTGGAGACGCAAGACACTGCATGCAATAATTGCTCGCTGCGAGAAGGGTTGTGCTTAACGCGTTGATCCCAAAATGAAGCCAAAGACTCAAATTTTTGGCCTCGTCACAGCTGCCCTGTTGCATTGTACCCAGACCTTTTTTGATTCCATATTTTGCAGATGCGGCAATGGTCCACACGGTATTGATGAGCAGGACTAATGTCGTGATGCTGGCACACCATGTGACTCCTACGCGCCACCCAGTGAAGCGAAACGCCTTGAGGCCGGGGAGCCTGGGCTTCCTGGCCCTCTGAACGTTGGAATTGAAGGGAACGTCGGCGTCATGTCTTGAGAGGAGAGATGCTTGCGAGCGGATACTAGCGGCGTCGTAGGTGTCCCAAGCAGAGTAGCTTGAGTGGGAAGGCGACTGAGATCGATCGAGGTAATTCAGCTCATGATCTGCAGAATGCGAACTGAGGGGTTGGTATGTTTGCTGTTGGAGGGCTGGTAGATGCGTGGAGTTCTGGAACATTGCACGTTCCTGTAGACTGGTTGAACGTGCAACGTGAGCATAGGACAGCCAAGGGGGAGACGAGGTCTAATCTCTGCTGGTCAGCTTCACAAGGCTGAATCCAGCCACGAAGGAGCTCGCGCCGATCCATCGCTCGAAACGATATTGGGGGCTGATTGCTTCGTAGCTAGTTGGTTGGCTCAAGTTCTTCTATACATAGTAAGTCGGTGAATAAAGTACTGTACACCAGTAAGGCTTGATCCTCATCTTACAATCTAAAGATGGAGGGGCAATGGCAGAACGGCAAACAATACGGCGATGGGATGAAATCTTGCCCTGAGTCAAACGGCACGGCAGATCGCGGCCCGAGACAGTCCCCTATTTCAGATGAGAGCTAACTGCCCTAGGGCACACGGGGTCTGAGATTTATGGCTACGTGATGAAAGCTGTGCTGCTCTCCTTCACTTTGCTCTCCGGGATATCACCCTCTCTCAAACAATCAATGTTATGTGCACGTTATGTGGTACTGGTGTCTACCCTCACAAAGTGCTTCGAGTCGATCCACCATTTGGATGGGCGTAGACGCCTTTGCCACGAATCTAAGTCTTCCAGGCGTGGTAAAGCTATCGTTGGATCGCCCGCGCAGCCACTTCAAACATTCCAACGAACTACTCTCATTGCCTTTGGAGGGAGTTTACTTAGCGCGTAGACAGTATAGGATAAAATGTCGAGAACCTCATGTGTACCCTTCGACGGAAAGATTTCCCTGGCCGAATTTGTTTGAAGTACCCTCCAATATTAGCATCAGTGGGAATCAGGGTGTAGTCAGCAAATGCCAGTTCCGAAGCTACCGAAGCCGTCATCCTTGAAAAGAAGTTTTTCTGACCCTTCGTATCAGAATGAAGGCGTCAGGCATGTGACCACACCACTGGATGAATTGTGGACGGTTTTCGGCTTTTACTCGAATATTTCGCCCAAAATCGTATACCCTGTGACGCGTCCAGCCGACTGGCCACCACACTTTTCAATTGCCCTATCAGAGTAGAGAAGTGCTCGCAAAATAATCTAGAAGGCAAGGCCTGTGGTGTAGATAATCTCGCGAGATTCACCTCATGAGCGTCTAGGGTCAAGGCTTCGTACAGAATCGCGAAGTCTGTGCAGGAGCATCATTACCAGTGTCTCCTCCAGAGGCGCGGACTTTGAGCTAGAATGTATGCTGACCAACAAAACCAAAGATATGCGATACTGGGACAGCAAAGGTATGTTCCCCTCGCATGTAGCACCTTTGAGGCTAACACATCACACCGAGTCTCAGAAAGACAGCACGATTATCCACGCCATATGTTTCACCAGCGCCAGCGGTTCTCGTGGAATGACAGCACCTAAACATCGAAGTGGGGAAAACCCAGTGTAAGCGCCTCTCGTAAGTTGATTTAGTCTTACCACCATCCCCCAAGCGTTGTCAGTCTCCCCGAACCGCAAGCATCTAGCACGAGCGAACGGGAGAGCCTTTCTGCAGAGAAGTAGATTCTGTCACCTGACGTCTGTCGTAGAATGCCCAATCTACACGAGCGAAGTGACCCACCCAAGCTACCATGACTGGTCAGGTATGGAGACAATGGATTATGAACATCTATTGCGAAAGAAAATACGATGAAGGAGTAAGAGCAGCATCTCGGATTGCTAAAATGAGGGCAGAGATATCGCCGAGAAAATGGACCCACATCTCGCAAAATTGTTGACGCGCGGATGGCAAGGTCCAAGGCCGTCCTGATGCTTGGGTCCGATGCTTGATACTGCAAATGACTGGCCACTTGAGCTGAAGAGGATTAGCTAAATTAGAGGAGAAATTCCAATGCAGGGCCCAATGCAAGTGCTGCTAAACCACGTGGGTAAATATTTGGGATGATTGGAAGCCACTTCCACCATACTGCATTGGTGATCCTAGAAACCGACGTATAGGCATTCAGCGAATCCTCTATGACCTAGGATGATATTCCAAGTGGGCCTCAATTCGCTCCGCAGTGGAAACACCCAACCAATCGGATCGAGCTCGCAAGATCATACATTCCGAAAGTCGCGCCTGTGGTCTTGCGAGGACCAAGGTTCGAAAAGCTTGACCATGATGGGAAGCTTAGCCATGACATGACAGCCGTTAAAACAAAGAAACAATGGCCGCCTTGCATTCGTTTTAGTGACCTCCACCGACCATCAGCGATCTTTCTCGGTCATGTTTACGCGTCAGCGTACGTCCTGTGGATATCGTCCTTTGTGCTGCCACTGCAACGTTTTCATCATTCTTGCGAGAGCGGAGAGTGCAATGTATTCGACCCACTGCAACAGTAATCTCGCAAAGTTCCAAATCAGCTCTCGCATCTGATATAAAAACGGGCAAAATGATTCTCAGCAGACATCAATCTTTTTCCATCTCACCAAGCCCTTAGATCCTGAATATCGCAGCTCTAGCATTCTATTTCACACCAAGACTCTCAAATTAAGCTATTATCCACAAAGCTCACCTCAGCCCAATCATGCAACTCCAACGCCTCTTCACCGCCATCGCCGGCCTTACAATGACAGTGAGCGCCATACCCAACGCGATCCCCGAACTCGAAAACCGCGCCCTCCACTGCATCGGCGGCATCCACAAGGTCGGATCCGGCTGTGCTCCTGAAAACAAAATGGCCACCAGCTGCTCTGCAGATTTGAGCAGGGTCGTAAGTACCTCCATAGATCCTTCAGCTATCAAGATGTCGTTCGTTTTGGATGCAATAGATAGGCTGACTCTTTTTGGGTTTGGGCTGGGGATAGATTGAATGCAAAGGCGACGGACCCACTTGGCATATCATCAATACTTGCACTAATGGCGCTTGCAACACGGATAAGTGCATTTGCGTCTAGTCTTCTGACTGAGATTGTTACGATGAGGAATAGGTGATGGATGGTTAGGCTGACGGCTTTGGATGTGCTGTACTCGGATGTTATTGGGCTTGTAGGTGGAGGAGGATGGGAAGTTGGCAAGAATTCGTGGGCAAGATTTTTCTATCGTTGTGCTTGCCTGCACGGCTTTTGTGATAGATGTTCCTTCATTCATACATCTATATTGCCACTTTAAATGCCTCTATCATTCCACGCGCATGATTGCCTCTCTCTTTTCTAACTCGATCTGCTATGTAAGATTTCAACTCCTTCATATGCCAGCCTGGCAAATGCGAGTAAGTATGAGAAAAGGATAGCTTTTCTGAATGTCATGACATCAGGAACATTTACGTCAAAAGAGACCAAAGTTCGTTTCGAAGCATAAGCACAAATCGAAAAGAGTAAAAAGCCTTGAGATAAGCAAGATGCAAGGCACTGTCAGGGAAAGTATCAGGATGTAGAGGTAGATGACCGTTTTGTGTTATTATAATATTCAAGGAAAATCAAGCATGCTTCCATAGCACAATCAGCAAAAGGAGGTCTGCTGCCTATGAACTCCAACTCCCCATCCTAGAAAAACGCCTGCCTGTACAACCGAATGCCAAACAAGCCTTTCCCTCTTTTCTTTTTTTGTTGACCAATTCTCTCATTTTCCACTCGTACGCCATCAATCAATCATGGCTACCTCACCACTGGCTATTTTTCTTGCAAGTCCTGCACATAGGTAGCCCACCAACCATCGTATCGGCAGACCAGCTACAAATGTGGCAATCGCCCAGCCTATTGTCGAAAGGGTCCATGCTAGCTGGGCCTTTGTACATTTGATCCAGGTAGCCATCCCCGGTGTCGATCTCCACTGACTTTGGAACACCCGGAGAATGGCCAAAGTCAACGTTGATATTCGTGTTCTTGACAATGTAATTGTTCACGATTACCGGACGCTTCGAGTCGCCGGCGCTCTCTACATTGCGTAGGCTGCTTCCACCGTACTTCGTCAGCGCTCCGGTCCGGCTGCTACCGGCGTCATACTTAGTCACGGCTCCGCTACGGCTGGTGCTGTTATCATACTTTGTCACAGCGCCGCTACGGCTGCTGCTAGTTCCGCTTCGATGACTGCTGCTACCACTATGGTGGCTGCTAGCACCACTTCGGTGGCTTGTACTGCCGTTACGCGAGAGGGACATGCCGCTCATTCTCGATGTGACTCCTGATTCTTGGCTCGCATAGCTGTCCACTGAACTCGCGCGGGATCGCGATGATCCGTGGTGAGAGGAGCCATGATGTGAAGAAGAATGCGACTTCTTCTCCCTCATCTCCTTCTCCGACGGGCTCTCATTGATGGCCACAAGCTCACGCGAGCGACCGGAAGAAGACGAAGTTCCTGATTTGTGCGAGCTCGTTAAATGATGGGAGTCGTGGTGCGACGTGGTGCCGACCGTGTGCGATCGAGGGCGAGATGTATGTGACGAACCATGGTGGGAGCTTGAACCGTGATGGGAGCTAGGCCCATGATGGGAGCTAGACCCATGATGGGAGCTAGACCCGTGGTGGGAGCTAGACCCGTGGTGTGAGCTCGAGCCATGGTGTGAGCTCAAGCCGTGATGTGAGCCATGATGGCTACTGCTTGAAGGCTTCGATTCATGTCGGCTCGAGCTTGTATGAGTTCCAGATGCCAGCTTCTTCGACACACCATTAAGCTTCATAAGACGATCCATTGTAATTTGTGATTGATGTCTTGGAAATTGGAGATCGAATCTGAAGCTTGCGATGTGAGTGTGGTAAGAGTTGATGATGAGTTGGTATGATGAGGACGAGATGAGAATTGATGCAGAACAGAAATGAGTCGGCGGCTTCGAGCTTTTTATGAACAGGGAGCAAAGGCGGTGACACAGGACCTCAAAGAACAAACGGCTTTTTTTGAACAATAACCCTGTCGTCAAGCAACAATGATGATGAAGGAGGAAATTCATTGATACTCGTGAAGACAATGGCTTGATCCCAGGAACAAAAGCGTATCTCACAGTAACAAGAACATAGACAAGGACCTTTGTCAAGCTGGTCGTGGCTTGTCATTGTCGTCATCCACAACACCTTCGGCCTTTGGTATGCGTCGGAAGAGATCAGAGGGAGATGCGACGTCTACTTAGCATGAAGAGATGAGGAATTATATATTTTTAGAGTAAAGCCATTAGCATTAGCCTTAAGTGATATATACAGAGAGATGGGCACTCTATCTGTGTAAAATAGGAATTCCTGCTCCTCAAAGACGTGGGGACGACAACGGAGTGAAGAGTCTTTGTACAGACGGCTGTCTCCATGGTATAGTTCAACGTCCTGAATGCGATCAGTTGGTCAAACCCTTTTCGCTAAAATGAGAAAGCCCTTCTGAATGATGGTTATCATCAACCCATCGGGCCCACCAGCAGGACATTGAGCTCGGAGAAATCCTGGTCGGTGAGAACGCTGGTCGGCTGTGCCATCTCGTTCGTGAGGAGTTGCTTGCTCTGTCCATGAACAGCTGCGCTCTGAAGGTCGGCGACGTACATGTGATGTGTACTAGTGAGACTCCGGTTGAATGACTTTCACCATTCAAGGTCATGGTGCCAGCTTCATTAATAATGGGCAAGATCTGTTCCTCCAAGCTCACTCCTCAACCACCAACTTCTTATGCTTCATTTTCGAAGGCTTCTTCGTCCTTATATTTGGTCGTGAGCGAGCCTTCGGTGGCGAATCTGCACTAGGCTTCCTACTCTTCTCGCCCTTCCTATCGCCTGATTCGGGAAACATTTCATCTGGTGTTCTTGTTTCGTCTCGTCCAACTCGAATGTTGGCCAGCACCCTAGATTTTGCGCCGAGTCCCCAGAGATCACCCCATTTCGACTTTCGAGCATCTCTGTATGCCTGCTTGCTGAATGATCTTGGAACCGTCCATCGCTCAATCTTACCCGCGGGAGTGCAGACATCAATGATGACATGCCCGTGTCGCTTTAGTGGAGGTCGAATACTTCTCGGAAATGTCAGAGGCTCAATGGCTTTGTCGGAAGATTCATCAACATCCTCTTGCTCATCATCTTCAAATCCATAGCCTTTGAAAGCCGCTTCCGCTGCCTTTCCGCCTTGCTCGAATTCAAGATCTTGACGCTGGTCTACCCCTCGTTGAAGAGCGATATAGCTGAAATTGACATCTTCATGATTTGCACTTCCGCCGCCAAACAGTGTTTGAAGGTATGGGGGTCTGATGAATCGCTGTGAGAAGTGACAAAAGTCTTTTCGACCTCTACGTCCCGCTGTGATAAACATTGGGCACTTGACGTGGTTAGTGCATGGAGCAATGATCATGCCTTTGTCTCTTGGGCCAAATTGATTTTCAGAGGTAGCTTGAACAGAATCATCGATTTCTGCAGATTCAGGAGATGATATGTGGTACCTTAGTAAGTTTTCTCGAGCACCTGCAATCAACTCAAATCCTCTGGCTACCCCCTTCTCCAGAAGAATCAAAACGCCTCCTTTGGGATCCAAGAGTGACCAGAAGTTTTGAATTTGGTATTTGCGCATGTAATCCTCACGTAAGGTCCATAGTGTGTATGGCGCTATGATGACATCATATTGCTTTCTGGGTTGCGGGTTATTCGATTCTAAAGATGGATGATGCTGTGATGGATCATAATCTGGTAGACGAGGTATGAATGTGGTGTTGTCAAGCAACCTACTCGCTTTATGCCGTAGAACGTCAGATCCAGTCACGACGGTCGATTTGCCATGTGGCGGGTGTTCTTCTTTTGAGGTACCCTCAGGATAGCCACTTTCCCATTCGGCTCTGAGAACCTCACGCCAGGCGAGCACGCCTGCGCCACCTGCACCAGCATCCAGCACACGCGGACCTTCTGGTCTACGCATGAGATTTTGGAGCCACTCACTGCCAAGTCGCTTCCTTACCTCAACCAAGATGCTCAAAATTGACGCATAAGCACCTGGCATGATGGCTGTCAGGAAGGCATTGCCCTCCATCTCACTCATGAAGTGCTGATTGGCTTCTAGTCCAATTGGCTCTTGTTTGAGGTTTGGTCTCTTCATTGTAACAGTGGAGTTCGGAAATCCAGCACCTCCAAAAACTTTGTGTGCAACTTCTGAAAGATGCTTGTTTGAGGCGCTTGCAAGTATATCTGACGTTGGGTTGACGAGAGTGTCTACAGGAAGTTGAATTGTGCTAGGCGATGTGCCAGACCGACCCGCAGCTGTTACAGGATGAGTCCGTGCAGAGTCGCCCCCCCAGGATAACCTTCTACCTCATCATATTGCTCTTCCTCGAAAGACTTCTGTTTCACCAATCTAAGCGGCTCGTCTGCTGAATCTTCCAGAGGAGCCTCATGATCTAGCACTTCTTCCTCTGACTCGGCCTCCTGCTCTTCTGCCACTACTTGGGCTTCCTGCTCTTCGAATTCTATTGCGGCATTCGCTCGTGCAGTTTCAACCCGAGCATTGAATTCCTCTTGTGCTTGAACAATTGAAGATTTTTGTTCCTCTTCCGGATGCGTACCATCAATTTCGTCATGATTTTCCTCTACAACTTCCGTAGCATCTTCGGTTTCGATCTTCAAATCATCCTCCTCAAGATCTTCTTCTTCTTCTTCTTCTTCTTCTCTCAGTCTGCTTTCTTCGCTAGAGACAATGTCCTCCCAATTACCGTCGGCCAGCTGTATCTGGGACACACTTTGGACCGACTCATCTAATGTCTCAGCGTCTTCATCCATATCCGGTGACAGAGCCTTTAACTCTGCATAGCTAGTTGCGGCCACAGGTGGACCATATAAACGTTCATATAAATTGTATTCTTGTGTTGACAAGAAATTTTTTGGAAGGGTCTCTCCAAACATCTGGCGAGCTTGACGCGCTATAGCCTCTATCTCTTCCGGTGTTTTCGCCTCTTTAACGGCGTTTTGCTGTACACTGGAATTGGCGACATCAGCAGCGTCGCGAATCTGCGTTCGCTGCGTGAATCGTCGCGATCCTTGGTATGGTAGTTGTGGCAGAGCCTGTTTTGCCCAGCGACGTGGTCCATGACGAGCAATAACGGGAGGTGCTGTGAGTCCGTAGGTGTACAGATGTAGCAGCTGATTTGAACAAGAGGCACAGAGTCTCCCAGCTGCCTTGGAGCGAATCATCACAATATCAACAAGAACAATGGCTTCTCTACAGATTTGCCATCTAGATGCAAGCCCATATTTAAGCTTTCAGATACCCGTAGCTAGCCTGGCGTGATCTTTCTTATCTAATCTTGCATCATTGGGTCATCATCAAAATTCCCGTTGGCTCAGAGTATTTCTTCTCTTATTGTTCATATCAGTCATATTTCGCTATATATACAGCCTCAGACATGGCGCCTAAAATCCCTAGACTACGATACTCGAACGCCTCCATCTCTTCATCTCCGACAATCCTTCCCTTCCACCGCACCCTCGCCACCGCCGTCTCAGAACCCACCGAGCCATCCCCTTCTTCGACCCCTCCACCCCGGCGCGAAACCAAATTCACCGACCGCCTCAACGCCGGCCCCTCGCTCTTCGACTTCGTCTCCGGCACACACCCCAACCTCCAAGGCGGCACGCAAATTCGCAAAGCCACAGTCGGCAAGCCCGGCGGGAAACAAAAAGAAATAACCCGACTGCCCTCCTGGCTGCAGACCTCCATCCCCAACAACTCGAACTACAAACAAATCAAGAAAGATCTGCGGGGGCTGAATCTTCACACTGTCTGTGAAGAAGCCCGGTGTCCGAATATTTCAGAATGCTGGGGCGGATCGGACAAGTCTGCCGCCACGGCCACTATCATGCTGATGGGCGACACGTGTACGCGGGGCTGCAGATTCTGCAGCGTGAAAACGGCCAAAGCGCCTCCGCCGCTGGATCCGCATGAGCCGGAACACACGGCGGAGGCTTTGAAGCGGTGGGGGCTGGGCTACGTGGTTCTCACGTCCGTAGACCGGGACGATCTCGCGGATGGCGGGGCAGCGCATTTCGCCGAGACGGTGCGGAAGATTAAGGCGAAAGCGCCGGGAATGCTGGTGGAGGCGCTGACGGGGGATTATGCGGGAGATCTGGCTATGGTGGAGATGGTGGCGAAGAGTGGATTGGATGTGTATGCGCACAATGTGGAGACTGTGGAGGCGTTGACGCCGATGGCGAGGGATCGGCGGGCGAAGTTTCGGCAGAGTCTGGAGGTGTTGAGGCATGCGAAGGTTAGTAAGCCGGGGGTTATCACAAAGACGAGTGTGATGCTCGGGTTGGGGGAGACGGAGGACCAGCTTTGGGAGATGTTGAGGGAGTTGAGGAAGGTGGATGTTGATGTGGTTACGTTTGGGCAGTACATGCAGCCTACGAAGAGGCATATGCCTGTGACGGAGTATGTGACGCCGGAGGTGTTTGAATTGTGGAGGATCAGGGCGCTGGAGATGGGATTCTTGTATTGTGCGAGTGGACCTTTGGTAAGGAGCTCGTACAAGGCGGGAGAGGCATTTATTGAGAATGTGCTGAAGAAGAGGGCTACTCAACAGCAGACCGTACTGGCTGGGCCTGACAGTAAAGCCACAGATCTGTTCACGTAGCAAAACAAAATCATTGGCATCGCATAGCCAGTCCGCTTGCCTCAATTACTTTGTTTGTCTGCAACGGTCGATAACATCATGTAGCCCCTATTCTATGGGGTTCGTTCGACTTGATATCTATATATATGAGTTTACTGACTGTTAGATATGTTACTGGCTGAAAACAAGACTGGCTAGAGTAGATTCCACCACAATCATTCTTTGAGCCTCACAATTACTCTTTGATAGGCTTGAACTTAGCCCCAAAACTGCAACAAGCCTAGTCTGCTCAAAATGGAGCCACTAAGATCTACTAAAGCTGCTAGAGCTGCAAGCGGTGAGACAGATCGCCGACGGGCCCCTTGCATAAGTCTTATCGATCATTAAACTGACGCCAATATCGATAGCCAAGGCTGAAGATCCCCAACAAAAAATGTGGAAATTTCTACCTCGCTTCGCTAGCGTGGTGTACCACATCACAACCATCTTTTTCTTTAAAGAATCATAAAATCTAAATTGACTTATTCTCTTTCTCTTCTCCGCAGTCAAATCACCATCATGAGCAACACAACCAGAATTGAGCCATCTGCTCCCCCTCATCAGACTACGGCCAGCTCCTCAACACCTACGGTACAGAATTCAAGATCCCAGATTTCACCATCAAACAAATCCGCGATGCAATCCCCTCCCACTGCTTCGAGCGCTCCCCTCTCCGCGGTTTCGCCTACATCTTGCGCGACATCGCCCTCCTAGCCACAACCTTCTACCTCTTCACAACCTACAACACCCCAGTCCACATTCCCTCCATCTCCATACGTTTCTTCCTCTGGGCACTCTACGGCTTCATCCAAGGTCTCTTCGGCACCGGCCTGTGGGTCCTCGCCCACGAATGCGGCCACCAATCCTTCTCCCCCTCCAAAACGCTGAACGACACCACGGGCTGGATCCTGCACTCCGCCCTGCTGGTCCCCTACTTCTCCTGGAAGATCTCGCACGGGAAACACCATAAATCCACGGGGCACATGGAGCGCGACATGGTCTTCCTGCCGAAAACACGCGAGATCTATGCGTCTCGGATCAGGAGGGGAGTCCACGAACTGCACGAGTTGACGGAGGAGGCGCCGATCGTTACTGCCTTGGTGCTATTCGCTCGCCAGCTGATCGGGTGGCCGCTGTATCTTCTGCAGAACAACACCGGCCATAATTTCCACTCGCGACAGACGGAGGGAAGAGGCAAGGGGAAACGGAATGGGCTTGGAGGCGGCGTGAATCATTTCAGTCCCTCGAGTCCGTTGTACGATGCCAAAGATGCGAAGTATATCGCGCTCAGCGATCTCGGGCTGGGCCTGACGGCAATTTTCCTGTACGAGATGGCGCAGTGTTATGGCTGGGGAAATGTTGCCCTGCACTACTTCCTGCCGTATCTGTGGGTGAACCACTGGCTTGGTCAGTCCACCACACCCCTTTGCCTTTGGACTCTGCAACTAATATGCGTTGAGTAGTCGCCATTACTTATCTCCAACACACCGATCCCACGCTGGCCCACTACGGCGCGCAAACTTGGAATTTCACTCGCGGTGCCGCCGCAACCATCGATCGCGAGTTTGGCTTCATCGGCCGCTCCCTTTTCCACGGCATCATCGAAACCCACGTTCTCCACCACTACGTCTCGACAATTCCGTTTTATCACGCTGACGAGGCGACGGAGGCCATCAAGCCTGTCATGGGGGAGCATTACCGGTCAAATACTCAGGAAGGATCGGTGGGATTTTTGAAGAGCTTGTGGCTTAGCGTGAGGTGGTGTCAGTGGGTCGAGCCGAGCGAGGGCGCCGAGAAGCTGGGGAAAGATATTTATTTCTATCGAAATCGGAATGGGCTGGGCGTCAAACCATTGAAGATAGAGAAGAAGGTAAATTAAGACAGAGAGCGATGATATGTCCACGTGAAATGTTAGACGGTCCAATACTTGATCCATTTGGCGATAGCCCTTAAGACCCTGCCCTTAACGAAGGACTTGATTTGTGATTTGCTAAACAAGGTCTGGATGACCTCCAATATCGTCAAGGCCAGCAAAACCTTCTTCGGTGATCCATCGCCCCTTCCCATTCAAGTCCATAAGTACCTGGCAGCTCCAACCAACGACTAGAAGACCCGGTGGCCGACTTCCCTCTTCCTCGATTGCAGCACACACATGTTGCAAGGTGCTCCTGATGACTCGTTGATCGGGGCAAGATGCTCTCTCAATCACCGCACATGGTACTTCTTGAGGCCAATGTTTCGGCTCTCTTGTCTTTTCGCTCGGATCAGAAGTCGACACAGCTCCCGTCAAGGCATCAATAAGCGAGGTCAGTCTGTGTAAGGCCATCAGGAATACCACAGTCTGCGTTGGGATGTAAGGTGGGGGTTCTGGCGCAGCGCCTTTTCTGCCTGTACCAGTACATATCAAGACTTGATCGGCAACACTTCGATGTGTTGGAGGTATCGCTGCGAACAATGGTGCTGAGAGAGAGCTCGTGATTCCAGGAAGCACGACAGGGGTAAAGCCGTGCGATCTGAAGAATGCAAATTCCTCTGCGCCCCGCCCATAGACATAGGGATCGCCTTGTTTGAGGCGGAGTACGGTATGGCCCTTCTTTAAGGCTTCTAGTCCTAATTGCAGGAACTCTTCTTGGGCGGCGTCCGCGTTGCCGGGGAATTTACGGGCGATATGGACAGGTGTTCGCCGAGGTATTAGGTCGAGCACGGGTGCCGGTACAAGCTTGTCGGCTAGGATCAATGAGGCATTTTGAATCGACCGATGGGTCGCCATGGTGAGTAGTGCAGGCGAGCCAGGTCCAGATCCCGCAAGTATGATTTGAGGTTTTGCGCGGATGCCATTGTTTAGGCTTGCGCCGTCGAAGGGCTGCTGCAATTGCTGAGTCGAGGAAGAGTAGGATTGTAGGACGGCCTCTATGTCATCATCTGTAATGGAGGCTAAGCGTCTAAGCGGCCAATATTCACAGATTTGTGAAAGCCACCGCAATCTTCTTGTCTTCGCCGCTCCCACATCGTCTTCTGAGACCAGACGATTGAACGCTGGCCTCTGAGATGGTGCGTCATCATCTTCCGCTTCTTGTGCGATGCCTCCATATTGATACGTCTTGTGATCTTCCTCCCATATCCTCCTCCTCATCACTCCGAGCCGTTCCACAGCCTCACCGAGCCTGGGCGGTAACAAAGCCGCTACTTCTCGGCGAATACGTGAAGCAAGCTTACATCCTTTTCCAGACGTTGTAATGCCAATTTGTAGCGGTCCATCTGAGTGTGTCGAGAGGAGGGTAAACGTGCAAAGATTGGGTGCATCAATCACATTGACCGGGATGCGCTTCCTCCTACACAGTTGGGATATATGCGTATTCCGTGCGGTGTTGCTGCTTGATGTCACCAAAACAGCATCAACCACATAGTCCACCTCTTCTCTGCCCTGGGATGTAAGATCTCCATCCTCAAAGCTCTTCTTGATCCATTGGACCTGACCATCCTCGATCAATTTTGCTAGGACGTAATGGACCTCTGAATTTGTGGGAGCAACAATCTTCGGCTTGGCGCCAGCTTCGATGCTTTTACCGCATCTGGCACTTGCCAAAGGGTTTGATCCAACAATGAGATGTACCGCTCCTTCGCAATCTTGTGCCGTGAGTAGAGGAGGCGCCATTATTGATATCAAGATCTGGCCCTGTCAAAGTCTAGGCGATCAGCACGATACGGTCAAGGGACCTTGAAGTCGTAGACCAGCGCTGGCGAGGTGTAAAGCGCTGAAGTGAATGAAATCCGGACTTGAAGGGAATACATTGTGGCGATATGAAGTATATCCAATACCTAGCAGACGTTGAGTTATGGATAAGGTTGTCGATGGCAAAGGAGAAATGCTGCGCGGAAGATCCCGTTTCTCCGGCCAACCTAGTCTTGGCGGCACAAGACATCGAAATTGTACCCCCAGACTAGCCATTCACCAAGAACTCGCCTAGGCCCCACCGAGCGCCAAAGGTGAGTGGGATAAGTATAATAATTGGGCAGCAGCAGAGCTCACTATGAGTACCTGAGATCCTGCAAGGCTCACACGTGTCGGACGACTTCTTGCTTTGATGTCTTGGCAAGGTCAATATTCAGTCAAAACGGTGCATCCTTGTCCTCTCCACGTTACGTGCATGAATGTCTGAGTAAAACCTTTAGTTGAGCCCAGACAAATAGATCTCGGAGTTTTGAAACGTGCCTCTATTTATTTACCGACCTAGTCCAGAAGAGTTGGGGGCTCAGTGCACGATAGCAATTCATACAAGTGACTTCATGAGGCTGTGGGCATGGCTAAGAAGCGAATGTATCAGGATTCATTACATCACACCCCCATTAAGTTGTTCAGGTCTAGGCTATCTAGATACAACACATGGATGTTTCCGAGTTCCCAGAGTACAGGGGTAAGTCTCAGGTAACCGCCGGGCTTTATATGCAGTCAGGAGTACAAGGCTGATATATGCCGAGAACCCTTCTCTTACCCACTTACTTCTCGCTTCATCAGACATCGTAGCCCCAATAAAGGCACTTTCAAGCACCATTTGTGGTTTGGCACAGACAACGGCGTTTATATATGCAATCCTACGTTTTAAATTCATTAATGCCTTCCATTTCGCGTAAAGACATTGTATATTGCACGATGTCGAAGCTTGGTTTGCAAAGATCTAACGTTACTCCGCCGATATGCAAAAACTATAACCATGAAGGATATAATGAGGCGACTCTGCTGCCATACATGCCACATCCTTGTTTCAAGTATCTGCGGATTATGGCGCAGTCAATGGTTACCGTATCTATAAAGATACGACGTGTCATTCATTTCTCGTTCGCTCTTCCCTCTTCCCTCTTCAAAGGAAAATTGCTTTATAACTCGAAGAGGGCATTCTATTCGCGGCATAGCAAATGTTTTACTCTTTGATGGTCTGCGGTCAGGGAAGGTCTAATTTTAGGGCTTCCGTCTCTCCATTGATGACTAAGGAAGTGCTGTCCGACAGCGGGGACAGAACTTCTGCTAGTCCGTCATTACCAATGTTACTTCTTCCTTAGTCATCATCTCTTAGCGATCGGTATAGCTTCAATTGATAATTTAATTAGGGTTATTAATGATAAACCGTGTACCGGAGGATTCAATATAGGTAGTTACAGAATAGGACAACGAACTAAGGAGGAAAGAAAGAAAAGGAGCAAGAAAAACTCCTCAAGTACACAAGCTAGTGTTCCATCATCCTATGATCCATATCACGACATCTCGAGTCAATGTTCCAATACGATTGCTTTGTTCCGGCAATTCCGTTCATCCTGCCTTATCACATGACCATATCACGTAATATCCAGATTGAATGTTGGTTCAATCATGACATTATCTAATATTTGGAAGATATCATCCTTTGTCGGTGTGTTTCCAAGTCTCATCTCACTTCTCGATCTCTGTATTGAATACTCCTCCGTTGGATTTGCAGATGGCCTCATTTTGAGCAACTATAGCATCCAGATCGCGAGGGGCCGAGAGTGTCTCGTTTATGGCTCTGTACTCTGTGGCCTTAGGACAGATAGGTACATTACTTTTTTTAATTGTTGTACCATGGGCAGCATATTCCGTCCTCAAGGCATCAATAGATACGATATTATCAACGCCACAGAGACTAAAGTATAGAGCCTCTGGTTTTTGGCCTTGGACTCCTAAGACACCTATGATTAGAATAGCAAAGGTTTCCATCTTCTCATTGGATGGACAACAGGTGGTCTCAGATTTGTCTTGACATTTGTTGGTGTACAGGCATTTTCCATACTTGGGAGCGAGGCTGCACACGTGATCCGATACAACACCGTCACAGTGTTGAACTGCTAAGGTGCAAGATATGGGTGTTCCCTCTCGACACGCGCTCGTATAGTCTTGACAATTGGCTTGGTTGCAGTCAGAATTTTCTTCAGCGGTGCAAAGTCGAGTGCAAAATGTGCCTGGTGGTTGTCCATTTACCTCCTGGGTGTCGCTTTGATATCCGCCCGGACAAAAGCCAAGTTCATCGGCGTGAATAGTTGCCCGACAATTCGTGGTATCTCCAATTCTTGTGAGGCAATCGATGTTGTCTGACTGAACCAGTAGACAAAGGCTGCTTAGGATGAGTATCGTGATCTTCATGGTGTCTAAAAAGTGAAGAGGAGGAAGGAGTGGTAATTTCCAAGATTTGGGAGACTGGAATGTAGAAGAGTTCTGCTGTCCGTTCTGTACTTTGAAGTATTCGTCCTGTGCCCATGGTCCCCTATTTATGTGTTTTCCCTGCGAGTCTCATAGCACTAATAATGTGCGTGGAAAAATCCCCATTAAGCCTCAACATAGATATCTACTTGTTCTCTTGCTATACTTTTAGTTCTAATTAGCGATCTTATGCGTATAGGTCACCGCCGAAGGGCCGGAATGCAAATTTAGCGTTGTCATTAGCCTTTTTATTATACTTCAGCATTCGGTTCAGGTCGGGCCATGCAGACAAAAGCATATTAGCTGATCGACATCGGAATATATTCCAAATCAGTACAATAGGTCACGCCCGAAGATCTAGAATGCAAAGTTGGCGTTCTTACTAGCTTTTCTATTATACTTCAGCATTCGGTTTAGGTCGGGCCTGTAAGGCCGAGAAGGGAGCCGTTTGATGTCGTATCTCCTTGGGTTTTAGCGTAGAAGGCACGTGACGTTGTCACTCCTTTGTTCACTCGCCTCCGAGTACACTGTGCCTCGACTCGTTAATGATCAGTTTCTAGAGACACCATGATAGCACAGTAACCCACGCATCTCTTCTCACATTACCTTATCAACCCTTAAGCGTCTCTGACCCTCATAGGGCCATGCAGACAGAAGCATATTAGCTAATCGACATCGTACAACATTCCAAATCATTATAGTAGTAGGGATTCTCAGACCAAAAATGAAGCACTATCATGGTGCACCATCATGGTCCACCACTACGTTAATTTTTGCTCCATCATAGTGTTTTTACTTTGAGCGCCCCTGTCTATTGCCTCTATCATGGTGGTCCCTCATGGTGTCTTAGTCATAGTAGTTTAGAAATCTCAACCAATCAAGCTCCTTCCACTAGCTGTTTCTTCAGCATCCTGAAGCTATTTGATGATTACTTCCTCCTCTTTAAAAAGACTACTATTTAAACGCATGAAGATATTAGAAGTAGGATGCGAGAGCTTATAAGCAAAGTAGGGGTATAAGAGGAGGCTGTTGAGTAGAGGGGGGAGGTTAGCAGGTAGGATAGGTTAAAGGTTAAAGAGTTCAAGAGGAGCAAATGGCTAAAACACCAGGATGGAGCAGGACAATGGAGGTCAGGAGGTTCACGATGGGTTTTTACGGCCGGACCACTGTGATGGTCGTTGCTAGGCTATAAACAGTAAAATCGTAGCTCCCACACCATCATGGCTGTCGATCGTGGACCACCATGATAGTGCTCCGTAAGCTGGTCTGAGAACCCCTAGTATGACGATATAAGAGTCAACTGATAGTGACGAGATAGTGTTCGCGCTAGCTTTTTACGGCTCGAGGAACAGGGTGGCTTCGTCGAAAGGGGATATGCGGTTGATCCAGTCTTCGCATTCTTGTACTCCCTTCACCACCGTGGTACACCGAGCTCAAAGTCCAGCCGCCGAATCCTCCCGTTCTAGAATTTTACGGAAGTTATGCATTTCTATCTGTAGACATCTGAGCAGTGTCTAAATAGGTTAGTTGGTCTAATTGCTTGACGAGAGAAGGGTCAGGGTCAGTTGGGCAGATGCTGGCCTAACCTCGCGGTACCGTGACGTGAATGGCGTATGACTATTACTACGTACACGCACGGAATACTTCTTCGGGTTGCCCCAATCTCTCACGGTTCTAATGCACCTTACTTACCGGGTTCTGTTTACCGGGTAGCCTACTGCAAGCCAATACATTTTGCAGTGCTCTTGTGGCGCTTTAAACAGACATCCAGGTGACCTCACACTGGACATCACCGAACAGTCCCAGAGACTTGCTCCTCGGCGACAGAGCAACATGATGTAGTCTCTGATTCCTAAAATCTTTGCACTAAGCAATGCCTGTAGCCGAAAGTTGAAGCGTTACGTATCTGGTGATGACGAGAAACGTTCGTGCTGTAAGCCTTTTATTTGATAAATCTGACAGAACAAGCGTAGCCCGGACATTGTCTAGTATCTTTAGTATGAGTGAAGCGACATGTATATCACCAGATTTACTCGGGCTAAGTCGGCACAACATCAAGCAAAGACACGGGAGCAGGCACCACTAATTCAAAATTAGTGTGGAAAAGATATCTATTACACCTTCATACTTTCCACATATCTTGTATCTAAGGCTTCCCTAATCCTCCGGGTCCCAGATACCTCTCACCCAGCTTGAAACCTGGCTTCTCGATTTTAGCAGATCGCTCAGGCCTCTTTCCCAACCTGAAGGGAGACTTCTTCGTGGGGCGAAAATGCAGTCGGCAAAGGACGAGATGTTGCCAGCGGTGTAACACGCGTCCAAGTGCTCTTGTGGTGAGGATGTGTAGAACTTGCCCCAACCTGCAGACACGATCGCAATCACAGACACAGACCACAGTACTCAAGATGACAGCGGAGGTTACATGCCAGCAACTTTCTCTGCCGAGCACCAGCAAGAATCGACTTCGTCGTGTCTGTCAGTCTGTCTCGCAGCGTGTTGCCGTTGAGCCCATCAAAGCATCGCCGTCGTCACTCGCTGCCGGGACTCATCAAGAATGACCTAACTCGTTGCATTTCATCAGTCTTGTCTCGCAGCAGGTTCGCCATAATGAACAAAACATACTCCGCATGTCGTCGTCGCATTACCAGGTCTGTACCGCAATAGCCTCTCGTTCTAGGAATCAAATGCCATCACCGTCTGTCTCGTGCGGGAGAAGTGCCTTTCGTCGAGGCCATCACGAGAACCACCGCCCCCGCCATACACCACCAGACCCACCATGTAGCACCCCAGTGCCTAGTCGATCCTAAACATGACGCCAGAACACCTCCAGCAAGACATGGCATAATCATCAAATGCTGTCGGAAGATCAGGCCCACTCCCCGTGTCATCCTGCCTCTCGACGCAATCAAACAGGACAGCCCCGTCATCTTCATCGTTACTGGCCATCATCACTCAACTGCCGTCGTGCCATCTACTCTACACTCATTTCCATTACACACCCTCCCTTCAGTAGTAACAAATAAATTACACTATCTGCCATCTCTACTACTGCTCCCACCTTGACACAGTAATAGACAAAATTTCCCACCATCCTATCCGTCCAGCCACCCTTAGTCGTAACTTGAACAAATCTCTTTTTTTCCCGTTGGCATGGTGATCAAGATGCATTGTGGAAGGAGCAGGTTGATAGAAGGAGCAGGTTGACAGAAGGAGCAGGTTGATAGAAGGAGCAGGTTGATAGAAGGAGCAAGTTGATAGAAGGAGCAGGTTAATAGAAGGAGCAGCTTGATAGAAGGAGCAGCTTGCGGAGACGCAATGGAAGATAGACTGAAGTGTAAGCGTTGAGGAGATGGACTGCGACTATGATAATGCACCTGTTGAAGGTAGAGTGGACGCGGACTAATATACTGAGTGGACCCGAGAAATAACCGCATTGATACAGAAGGTGTGCAATCCAAGTAATTCAGAGTGAGGAGAGATGGCGAGATAAAAGAATTTTTAGAAATAGTTGGTCTTTGAAACATTGGCACGGTGATTATGGGCGTTGTGGAAGGAGCAGATAAAGGAAGGAGCGAAGACAGACAGTGGAAGGTGAAGCGAAAGCCAGTGTCGAGCGTAAAGAAACTGCATGTGTTACTGTATCGAGCATGAAGGTAATTCGACAAATGGACAGGAATTCAAAGTTGCAGGTTCCTCGAGATGGACTATATGCGTCAGCGAAAATAGATACAGCGTACGGCTAGATAAGAAATAGAGACAGTCGTGTCGAGACAGTCCCGAGATAAGCATCAGATAATCGGAGTAAAATAGCAGGACGAGATGCTTGGAAATTCCACAGTTGGTAAGAGATGGGATAGACGAAGCTATTCAGCCGAAGACTGGTACTCCCAAGACGATTCCAGTCGAACCATGCACTGACTGAAACAGGCCCACGGAGAAAAATCACTTATTAAAGAGGTCCTTGAGAGAAGACAGAACCAAAAAGAGGGGACTCGCGCAAGTGGACGGCGATCAAAAAAAGGAATTCAAACAACAGGACAGATACCAAGAGTGGAATTCAAATGACAGGACAAATATAAAAGGAGGGATTTAAATGACAGAACAAATGCCTCATAGATGTCTATTGGAATAAGACAAGAACAATGTTTATGATCGAGTGCAACGAGTGAGACTTGAAAAGTTCTTTACCAGCCCTACCTCGATAAAATTCTATTGCATAGAAGTCGACCGGTCCAGGCTGAAACAGAGATTGGATCCAAAGTATCAAGTTTGACTGTGTGGCAGCTGGTTTGTGCCGCGAACGACATCGCCAATTATCGATTCGGGCCTCAAATTGACGCAACTTTTCGAAAAAGACTGGTTGCTAGCAGTCCACGAGGCCTAAACCAATGCTGCATGAGGTCACAAATCTATCATCTATCTACCTTCAAGCATACCTGGGAAACATGTTGTCTATATTCTTACTGGACGATTTCATGAGGTACTATTACTTTCTTTGCTGTGTTATGGGGAAGTGTCTCTTTAGTAAAAGAAGAAAAAAAATTAGAAATGCGGTGTGTGCAAGAGGAGTGATGTCGAGACTTTGTCGTATTTGTATCAGTATAACATCTTCATTTTTCGCAGTCTTTCAAAATCAATGATATTATTGTAACGCCTGCTCTCCATTGATCAAAATCTGATGTGAAAGTGATAACTGCAAGCTGTCGACTTTGTGGAGTACGGTAGCCAATAAAAAGAAAGGCTGAAGATCATCCAGTCAGCACTCAGTTGCCTATGCGTGGAAGGGGCCCGAGAAAATGGTGCTCTAGGAATTATGTAACATTGTTGGATGACACAAAGGGGTCCGGCATGAGCTGCGCCCTAAGTTTGGACCTCAAGCTTTCCTCGTTGCTGAGTATCTTTCACTACAATAGTTATGGAAATTCCAGAGTTAATTGGTCAAATGTTCATACGAGATGGGGGGTGGGCCGGGAAGGTTTAAAACAAGGGGGCTACATTCAGCCTGCCTCAGCAAAAGGCCCAGCAAAAAGCACGACTTTTCCATTGTTTGAGGACGACAGGCTGTGTGGGCTTAGAGCCTTCGATAGCTGACAGACCGCGTAAGGCTGAGCACCATCAGCCTGCCTTGTAAAAAGCCTCCAGAGCTCAAGAACTTGATTGGGTACGTAAGGCAAGGATTTTGGGTGTCATTGTGGCCCCAATGATACAAATTTGGAAACAAGTTTTCCGAGGTGTGGCAGGCTAGCGACATAGCGTTTTGGAAATCATGCAGGGGACTTGCAGTCTACATCGGTACCACTGCACATTTTTACATATAAGGTGTGTTGCCTCCGTCGAATCCGAGGGTCATTGGGGCCTTTGCAAACCTACGCAAAGGTGAAAAGCCAGACATGCGATCTGCACAATGGCCATCAACAATTATTGCGATGCTGATGCTGACGCTGCAAATCGCTGGCATGTCAGTCGTACTTGTTGACCGCGAGATTTCGTCCAACCCGACCGCTACACCATCAGCAACAACTTTGGAGACATCAGCAAGCAAGACTTCAACTTTAGCCTCTCCTTTCCCTACACCTTCTAAGAAGGACGCCGGTCTCCGAGGCTGCCAACCTGGAGAAGGCACCGGCCCCGGTTCAAAGCTTTGTGATACCCAGCACAGCCTTCAGTGCTATGCGTTGCCGTATGGACTCTTAGGCTTCTGCTCCGATTTGACTTCGCTCTACACCGTCGTGATGCTGCAGTTAGGCCGCAAGCCGCTGATGCCATGGTCGAGGCTGAAAGGAGGACGGTGGGACATGACAATGGGAGTTCTATCGATCCTTTCGGCTGTCATATCAGCAGTGATCAATGCTGCACGTTGTGGTCGTCACTGGGAACTCGTTGCTATGTCATTCTGGAAAATCACAATCGCGATTTCTATGGGATCGCAAATGATACATGCGGCATTGATCGCGCAGAGTCAAAGCTACAGCAAATATGCTTTCGGAAAAACCAATCGAGCATTCGTCCCGTATAGCATCGGTCTCCTTATAGGAACAGTGGGCTTGACGAGCCTTGCCTTTACTAACAGAGTCGTTTCTCCTGTCTTAGATGATACGGGTGTCATGTATGGAAATTATCCACTTGGGGCCTTCCTAATTACTAGCCCGTTGTTTTTCATGCTTGTCCTAAATGCAATACATTATGTGGCCGAGTGCCGAGGAGCTCTGGATGTATGGAATGCCTCTTTCTATGGCTATATCGGTGAGCACTATCCGTCGAGGAATAATCCGCTGTATTGGCCGATTATTATGATCATCTATATCACCCTGGGTTGGCAACTTGGTACTATTTTCTTTGGAAATTGGATCTTGGCCCTGCTGGCTCAGAACAGAATTGGCGTACCAAGTGATTCAAGTGAGTGCCTTCATGGACCATCGGCTGCATTACCGCTGACCCGCAAGACAGACCGTCCCATTTTTATCAAAAAGATTCCATTGCTCTCAATTTGAGATATAGCCATCACCAGCCATAGCCGAGAAGGCCTTGCAAAGACGTAGCCAATCTTCAGGATAGCGCAGCGTCGCGACACCCTAACTAGGCCATGAATTGGTAAATGTCTTATTTCAGGGATATAATCAAGCATCACAATATTTTCATTCTACTTAGCCTATATGGTTATTCTAACACTCCTTATGATTACAAACAGAACCTGTATATACACATAAGGAAACTACATTAGTGGCTACCGTGTGCTAGTCAAAGGAAAGTGAAAAATGTTGCCTTCGGCACTCAACTACGACATATGCAAAGGGTCTCCCAAAATGTGTAAGCCATACAGCCTCCGGATGTCCCCCTGCTCCTTGGAGACTTCAGTCCGACCATTGGCTTCGTGCACTATAAGATTTCCTCAGATACAATGATGATCAGCCGCTTCAATACCCCGTATTCGAAAGGTGAAAGCATGGTTCGGGATCCAATACCAAGCCATGCCTTCAATGGATGTTTCTTCTGCCAAAGAAAATGTCATGTGTGCTTAGATTAGTAAGAACCCGATACTGGAGAGTCACCAATTCGGAGGTAGAACTACTGTGAACAAGCATGATATCGTGCACAAATGGTCCAGTGTTGCCAAATCGGTTTCCATGCGGGGATATAATTGCGATCTTCACCAGACTTGGCTACAATAAAGTAGCTCATCGAGGTAGCCAATACAATTCGTAAAGTTCTTGGGTCGGCTGGTCATGATTATTCTATCACTATTTCAGAAAGGCGCAAAGACTAGCCTTAGTACAAGCCATAGGTCTTCATTGGCCAGAGCGGAGAAGCTTGTATGAAGGCAGTAACGCCTTGCACAAGAGGCCGCCAAAGGCGCTCCTAGCGCAGATTGTCAACAATCGTCGATTCTCCTCACTTTCCCGGGTCTGTCCACCTGATCAGTTTTCAAAGTTTTTTACATGCCATAACCTCCATCATGGATCCGTTCTCGATCACAGCGGGTGTCGTAGCATTCTTACATTTCTCCACCTCTTGCTCCAAGAATCTACGACAACTGATACACACCGCGCGGTATGCTCCGGATGAGATTCTAAGTATCTCAAATGAGGTCAGCGATATCAACCTTATCCTCAACGATATCGAAGCGACCAGTAGAGCTTTCGAAGACTCGGGATCGCAAAACAGCCATGGATACAGCGGAGGCCTTTCTGCTCTGTTACCCTCCGCAAGGGCAAAACTTGGCCAGCTTGAAGGTCTTGTGGCTGAGCTGTTCGCAGCCCAGCATGATGGCAGAGTCATGTTTCAGAGGTATATCTGGCTTCGGAAGAAGCCTGTTGCTTTAGCTTTGCAGAAAGATATTGTCCTGATTAAGAGAAAATTGGGTCTGTTTCTCAACTCCGCGACAGCGTAAGTCACTCGAGTTCCTGCTACCTTTTTGACTTAAGTACGGTTTAACGATGTTGTCAACGTCGATCCTCGATAGCACTCTCGTCACCGCTTTGTAGTTGTGACTGACGTGTATCCGGCTTCCCAACATCCGTTCCACGTTCTCTTTAACAAACGGTGACTGAGCTTCTTAGTTCTCGCGCTGTCAGAATTGAGGCATCGCTACAGGGTTTAACCACAGAGATCCGTCAACTCCCCTCGCAATTGAATCCACAGCCTGTAGAAACCGCTTCCATAAAGTCAGCCTCTGAGTGTAGGTGCTAAGACAAATTAGCATAGGTGGCTTGATTCGGACATGATCAATATTAATTGTTGCTCAGCTGTGTCTCCTCTATTACCAGCGGCCCAGACCTCTGCGACTTCATTTCATCCATTGCAATCTAATCCACTTCTCGATGTTGCAACTAGGACTCCATTACCAACATCAGAAGAAATCCTGTCAACTTTCTTGCAGACCGTACGTCAGTCAGGACAGTTTGCTGCTTTGACATTCCATGTCCACAGGCTCGCTCGCTGTGAAGGCAGCTGCAATTGCATTTGTCATTCCCGAGGCCTCTACCAGACACCAAAGCTCTTGAATCAGATCTTCGGGGCTCTATTCATTGGCTATGCGGGCCTTCCTCTATGGAAGAGAACTTGTGATAGAATCGATTGTTTTAACCAATACTCTCGCACCCTGCAAGTATCCTACACGTTCCCGATGTGGCTACTTTCTAGAACAGTAGACTTTGTGGCTGCTATGACGTCGACGAGTGAGCCTCAATTTGGTCTCAAGGTTCGTAATAGAGTTGGGAATACGGAGAACAGCATCTTCACATTCGCTCGGAACGGTAATACGGACGCCATTGTCGAACTTTTCAAGAAGCGCATGGCTTCACCCAACGACTTGTCAACCAGGTATGGACAGTCAATCATGCATGTAAGTCTTACAGAGAATACACCAGTAATTGTGTCAATCCGATTCACGAGGTTGTTTTGGCCACGCTATTCTTCTGCTAACTCCTACCAGTTCGCTCTCGAACTCGGGCAGATGGAAACTTGCAAGTTTCTACTCAAAATTGGTGTTGATCCCTACATAATTGACGATAACGGATAGTAAGTCAAGTTTACTCAATCCTCAATTGCTGCAAAACGTTCTAAGGGATACAAAGTTCCGCTGCTCATGAAATATCAACCCTGATCGTGTCGAAGCGTGGTACAGCGCAGAGTCGGGACTATGAAGGTGTCTTTCGTGAGATTGCTGCCGCCCACTCTGAACTATGGGATTTCACCTACCTACACAAAGCTGTCACGGGAATCACACATGGGAATCTACATGAGGCCCTTCAAGACCCAGTTCACTTAGCTGTGCTGGACGTGCCAGATTCGCAAGGCCGGACCCCTCTCATTTGGGCCGCCCTGCGAGGAGACGAACCCTCAGTCAAGGCACTGCTTCGCGCGGGTGCAAAGACATCCCCTGTAGACTGGGAGAAAAGATCAGCACTTCACAGTGCCATCGTATCCGGCAGCGTGAGATGCGTTGAGCTTCTACTAATGGCGGGATCTAGCGTCCACTCTCGAGACATTCACGGCGATACACCTCTTCAAATGGCATCATGGGCAAACGACCATCCGCCTATGCTAGAAACGATCTTTTTGGCCGGCGCGTCCATAAATGATCAGAACGTCCAGGGTGTGACCCCATTACAGTGTGCAGTAGACTTGAATCACCATCATAACGTACAGTATCTTCTAGATATTGGTGCAATTTTGGAAAGCAGAGACAAAGATGATGACTCGCCACTGTTCGATGCGATCCGTTACAGCAACATCGAAGCACTTGAGGTGCTGCTTCGTTATGGTCCTCAGTTCGATCACGTAAACAAGACTGGACAAACTGCCCTTCACATTGCTGCTACTGAGGCCGATCGTAGAGTCCTTCAGACACTTCTACATGCTAGGATGGTAGGGATTGATCCATTAGCTAAGGACTGGAAAGGTCGGATGGTTTTTGAAGCTTTCGAGGACAGAGTACACCATCCGTGCGGTTTCAGAGAAGACCTTGAGCGCCTAGTGGAGTATGTTGTGCGCAGAGGCTGGGATGATGACGGAAGCGATAGCGGATCGTTTGTTGATGCATTAGAGAATCTTGAGATTAGTGGGACAGCTTGATTGACTGATGTGTTCTGCTAACCTAAAAACCTATGGCTTTCCTTAGAAATGGAAGGATAAATAATCTGCACGAACTCTTTTTGAAAAGAACAACTTCCCTGAAATTATCTTTATCGCATTTCTGAGCCAATGTGGACCATAAGGACATTCAGGGCTGGAAAGATCTATCTCGTGCATCGTTCAATGTGCCAGTCTCGACAACGACCAATCTTGCAATCTGCATCCAATGCTCAGCTCGTGTCCATCGGGTTCAACAACCGATTTGCCTTCAGCTTTCATACTTCAGAGACATGTACTGCATCAGGGCTTTAAGTAATCAGTGCAATGGATCTGGATTATAAGGTATGGCAATATCTGAACTTGTAGAGCTGCGACGTTGAAAATCTTTGAACTTTGCGTCTCAGGCTACGTTTGTGACTAAGGTTTGAGTGGCCGTGACAATACTGGATTCCTCGGCGGTACAAGTATTTCAAAAAGGTGAGATAAACCTTCCTCCTCCTCATCATATCATGCCATCGTTAGATCCTGTCCTCTACCATGTTCGATGCCTTCGATTACTCAGACTGTGCGCATTGCCAAATTATTATCGAATGGAACGAGTTTGTCCAGATCAATCGGTCCTTTCGCGCATTCCAAGTTCGAATTTGGATCCACGTTGGACAAGTCACTCTGCGCACTGACGGACACGAGGAGCGTATGCTTTGCGAACTTTTGATCTGGAGTCCACTTGAAAGGGCCGACGTTGAGACTACCACCGGCAGCGAGGGCGGGTATGTTGTCAGGTGTGGTCAAAGTGAGCTCAGCGAAATCTGTATGTTGGGCATCCCATTTTTGGGCTTTCTCGACTGTTGATACGTACGCTTTCACCTGAATCCCTTGCGCTGCTTGCGCACCTCGATTTTGAATAGTAACATAGACGAAATTGGTAGTGGAGATCACAGGTGTCTGATGGACCTGCACGCCGTCACCTTTCTGTCGGTTCCAAATCCCCGGGGCGTTGTTGAAGTCCGCAACGTAGTTATATTCTCCTTTGCGTCCGTCGTCGATGTACACATCCACTTGGGGAGGGGCTCCTTCCTTTTGCACCGGCGAAGGAGCTGATACAGGTTGGAATAATCCTTGCTTCTCAAAGGCCCACCTAATAATTTTTCGAACCGCTCCTGCAGGGTAGCCGAGGATTTTCCCTTTATCTGCATTTATCATGAATGACACGTATGTATCAGGTACCGGCGACTTTTGAGTGAGTTGAGCAATTCCACCCAAAATAAGGTACAATGTGTATTTAGACGCCCAAGTTTGCTTTGTGATGTTACCTAATGCGTCCCCTCCGATGGCTTGATAGAGGCGAAATAAGCTGGTGGAAAGAATTTGCTCGCGTTCATACCCAAAAAAGGTGTCCTGTATGAACTTCGCTCCGCCCCAAGCCCAACCGTCCGCAATTTTTCGACCATGGCTCCGGCGGATCGGGCTCCATGGAAAGGTGTCGAATCGATCAGGTGCTTGGCTTCCAGGATCACAAGATATGACAGCTATAGAGTCCCCAGGGCTGTGCGCGAAACCAAAGTTAGGGCTTCTCACCGCATTCCACAATAAAGCATGACCAAATTCGTGTGCCGTAACACGAAAATCTGCTGCAATGCCAATTTTTGAGTTCTGGGCAGCACGGCCAAAAAGGAATCCTCCCGAGCCGTTTCCCAGTGTATTTCCGGGAGCTTGGGCATTGACGTCGTCGTTCAGGCCTCGGTGGTCCACAGGTACTGGAAGAGTTGTATTTTGAAACAATGTACTGACGCCGATGCCCAATTCGTCCACAAGTTCGAATAATCTTGTAATGTGATAATAGCCATTTACTGCAGCAAATGTATCTGACTCGACATCCCCGTCAAACTCATTATTGGAACTGGTTGGAACAAGGATATCGGGTGGATTAGAATGTTTGATTTCGGCATAGTCACCTCGAAGAGCCTGAGGGCTTGTTACTTTGATACGAGAAAGTAGGATTTTTTGACGGAGAAGATTCAACTTGTCAATTTGGCCTGTTGGCAAAGGCGCGGAGCTTCCTGTCCGTGTGATTGGATCAACAGTGAAGAGTGAGCCATTGACTGGGTTACTGATGCCCGTAGTGAGGGCTCGCAAATAGAGCACTACCCCTGTCTCCACTTCCACGAAGGTTCGCCAATGGAGGGTACCGAATCCAGGCGGTGGGTAACTGAAAAGCACTTCCCTCACAACATAGTATCTTTCATCTTGGATGCTATCCGGCACTTGGTTCAAGATTAATGTTGGAACCTGATGGTGTGCTTCATCAGACGGTCCTTGGTCTCTAGCCAGTATTTGTCTATTATCCTTGCGGTACTGATAGACCAGGAGGCTTTGCTGGTTAATGGTGATCTGGCCTTCGCCTGGTCGGAGAGCTAGTACCTCGCGGAGACTCTCAACTTCAATACTCTTCAGATATTTGGCGTTGTCTCCAGGCATCCTTGGCTGTGTGGCGTGTGGCTGGACACTGCTGACAGAATTTATAACCTTCTGGTCCTCATTCAAGGTGACACTAATTTCAGCGCCCCAGACAGGGAGTCCGAGCAAGGTTTGTTGATAAGAGATTGCCGTGCTGTTGAATCGAAATCGTTCCTCCCTTGCCTCCAGGGCAGGAGGACTATCACGCAACCCATCCCCTGCAGCAAGTTGTGCACTGTCTTTCCTTAGAAAGCTCTTTGGAATCTCGTATGCTTCCGCAACCTCAAGCAGATATTCACGCGCAACATCAACAGCACTGAGTTGTGATTCTCCGACGACAGCAGAATTTTGGCTTGGTGTCCAAGGCTCCGGCACATGGTCGAGTGCGCACACAACGTCTTGATGACGTGCAACTCCAACGTTTGGATTGTCGTCAAGCGCTTGTATGATTGGGGGTTGTGGAGGCGTCTCCGCCATGGCTATATGGAACTCGAAGTGATGCTGCTGAGCAAAAGGTATTTCAACAAGTCAAGTGGATAGAAAGATGGAAGATGTAGGCTTCAGTATTACCAAGGATATTTTCTCTTACCTATCATCCCTGATAACTCCAGGAACATCCTCATTTTTATATCTGATGCTGTCTTTGTCAGGTTGGTCTTGCATTCTAAGCTAGCAACTACTTTTGTTTTGGGTGCAAGCTTCTGCAGTCATCCCCAATTGAAGATGGAGGGGCTGGCTGAACAACACATCTCGACTGTCTGGTGGCTGGCTGAACAGTTAATCTTGCTATAGATAACCGTTTTGTGGCTGGCTGAACAACACATCTCGACTGTCTTGTGGCTGGCTGAATACAGCGTATTGGGAACGCTTGTGTGATACCTCTGTGACTAACTAGTATAATTGACTAGATGCCCAATTTGATAACTAAATATGTAGTTTGGTAGATTATTTAGCTCATTAGTCGTTTAGCTAAATTTTCTATCAGTCATAAGCTGCTTTTAGTAGAGCAGGGTAGTTCCAGGCAAACTTTACTTTGTTCGGCTTCAATTGGTCTCTACTTCTAGCGTTTAGCAAAAGGCATCATTACCTTGCTTTTTTGGGAATTATTGCTGCCTTTAAGTTTTATATTTTATACCTCTTAGTGCCCTCAATAAAGGAGAAAAGGTGACTGAAAGATACATACATTGTACCGACAGGGGCATGAGAAGGCAGCATTGCTCCATTATAAATTAGATACTAGTTTATCAACAGGATACTGATTGATCAATAAGACTTTCTAGAACAGTGCAGTTAGTTGCGGTCTCGACCTATGAGGACGGTCTCGACCCATGAGGAATCATACGCACCTTGCTCGACATAGTGATCTCGCAATAGTAGATAATCATTAGTAGCTGTAACTTCTTGCGTAGAAGATAATTGATGTGACACCGGTCAAGTCTGGAAGAGCAGCCGCTACATAAGTACAGTACTCGTAGATCACCGCCGCTAAGCAGTACGAGGGCATACAGCCAGTGTACCAGCCATTTGAGCAGGTCCATTGGCACTACGTGCGGGCGACCTAGGCCTTTGGATACGGTTGCATTAACGAGACGTGGCACCACTGAGCCCTGTCCCAAGGGTGCAGTAATCTCGATGAAACGGGAATCCCACTTGTCAGACTATGAAGTAACCTCAAATCATTAGGCTTCCAGAGCGAAGAGGCTGGTTAGACTGGGCCTGCATATTCTGCAACCAAGTCTCACTATCCCATCGGCTGCTAGGTGCCTTATTTCAGGGGTAGCGCCATTTTTATGGTGTTTCTTTAATAATCATGGCTATATGCTCGTTCCAGCACTCCTTATAGTCGCAAATACTGACTCTATATATACTATAGCCTTTAATAGTTCTTAGATATCAACTTCGCTGTCGCTAGCTTAATATAGCACCTAAAATATTCGGTATAAGCTTTTTTAATAGTTTTCTACTTGCTTATTTAAGCTTTATATATCGATTTCTACTATATCTACAAACCTAGCACGTTTTTAAATAGCCGAATTTTATTATTTTATATCTATACAGCAATACTAAACTAAATTAATCTATAAATAGGCTAATATCTAATAGCTAGCGTTTAAACTATCTAATTAAAGTATTTGCAAGCTTAATACAATATTGCTTATATAAGCTTATTAACTATAGATTATAAAAAGGATAATAAATTATAGTTATATTAATAAAAAAGTAATTAATAATAGTAATATTAAGTAAAAAGTAAAATAATAATAACTAGTTTTTTTATTTAATCTTTTAAATTAAATAATATATTTAAAGTTAATTAGTATAGTCAACACTACTTATATAATAATTATATAAGTTAATAAATATAGAAATAAGTAGCTACTTAATAGTTTTATTACTAAAAATAATTTAAAAGGTCTTTATATTAATAAAAATTAATATAGGTTATTATTAATTATATATTACTATTTATTTATTATTATCTATTATAGTTATAAAAAGAATAATATTTTAGTTTTTCTAGGCTAGCTATAGAATTTACTTATTATTATTAGTTACTATATATAACTTCTCCTATTTAATTTATCTACTATATTTTATTTTTAATTTAGTTATATATAGTAAAAGCTTTCTATTCCACTTTTAAGTAAGCTATTTTTTTTATTATTTAATATTAGCCTTTTTTTCTTACTATTTATAAGTAATATTTTAAGTCTTTATAGTATTAGCTACTTTAAAGCTATTATATCTAAGCTATATTAATAAAGCTCCTAATATAAATAAGTTATTAAGCTAGATAATATATTAATTTAGCGTCTATATAAAATGTTACTACTCTAGGAGCTTAAATATAATAGTTTATATATTAAAGAAACCCTAATTTTTAGTAAATAAAAGGCTTATTCCCTATAGCCTATTACTTTTTAAATAATATAATTAATTTAAAATTTATTTATTATTTATTAAGACCTAAATTTTATAGCCTTTTAGTATAAGTTTACTTAAAATATTAATAATATTTATAGATTATCCTATAAACTTAGCAATTAATTTATTAATATTAAAATATATTTTATTATATTAATAATAATTAAAACTTTACTATAAGTATTTATTTAAAGGTTTTAGCTTTTTAAAAAGTAACTTTAAGTTATTTAATAAAATATTTAAAATATATAGAAACTTTAATATTTATTTAAAGCAATTTAGGCTTATATAATCTATTATATTTAAATAAATAAGACTTTGCTTCTTATTTTAATTCTAAAAGTTTTTTATACTAGTCTCTTAATATATATCTATCTATATATATGTTCTTATAAATATATAAAGCTTTTCTTTAATTAATAGTTTCTAAGTTCTTATATATAGGATAGTTTCCTTTTCTTATATTAATAATAACTTATAAATAGTATATATATTTATATTGTTACGGATTATAATGAGAGCAGGATAGGGATGTCCCAATTAGGCTTAGCTCAGCCCTACCCGGCTTGGCATGAGGCCCTACTTCTACTACAGCTTGTTAGATAGCTTACGATCAATCTATTATTAACCAACTACATTGCATATATTGCTTATTAAGGTCTCTACACACTGCGTTTCCTTATATATATATTTAATAATAATTTTAAATATTTTATTAGTAAAAAATAAGCTAAATACCTTATAAAGTTAATCGCTATATATAGAATAAGGTAATTGTCCTTTATTATTAGAGAATAGTTTTTTAATTTTTAATAACTTAAAACAAGGTAATAGCTAGGGAGGAGGGACTTATTATTTTAAATTAGGCAGCAGTAAAGGCTTTAAGTCTAATAGTATATAGTCTATATTGTTAAATACTCTATTACGCGGTATAGTAGTTATAATAGTAATAATAATTAAAAAAAAGGTGGCTGAAAAACGCGTAAAATTAGTGTCGGATTTAAAGCACCTAGTAGCCGATGGGATAGACCATGTGTAAATCTAGTCAAGCCACTGTAACCATTAGTTGAGAAAACCAAGCGCCGTGCCAAATGTAGGCACAACGCCATCCTGATTTAGGTGTTCATATTGCTTGGTCTCGGACCTGACTGCGGCTAGTGAGTTGCTTCCGCCTGCTGCATACTGAAAAGTTGGCGGTCCAAGCTCCTAGAGTGCGCCAGCCAGAGGTCTAGACTGCGCCATCCGAAGTGGGTCTCCTCTGCGCTAAAATAAGGTCTCCACTGGGAGTCATGGAACGTTCTAGCTCACGCCTCATGTTTGTGGCTGGCTGAACACGCAGCTTCTTTGGGACTTCCACCTGAACATCTTATGGCCAAGTTCCTGCTGGGCACTGAAAAATTGCAGGCCCAAGCTCTAGATTACAACAGCCGTAGGTCTAGACTACGATGTGGCTTGCTAAAACCGAAGTTCGTTTGTTGTGAAGTTCGACAATTGGGATGTGACTAGCCGAAAAAGCCGGTGGGGGGAATGTGTGGACTATCTGCACACCACTAAAACTCAGGGGCGTTGACTGCACAACGCATGGTCTGGCGACTAATACAGCAACGGCGAAATGACCTAACTATTTGTAGTGAGAAGCAAACTGTCAGCATATCAACAAGGAACGTGAGAAAGATAGGTCGTTGAAGACTTGCCAAAGGAAGGCACAACCATAACACGATGCTGGCTTCCAGTGCAGACCATCGGCTCCTATGCAACTCTTTTATGGAACAAATTAATGAACACCTTACCCCAAGTGTAGTCTGAATAGACTCGCTCTTCTGTATAGCTTTAGGGTTGAGACCTTAAATGAGTAGTAGTATGGGTGGCGTGGGGAAGGCTAGAGCGGCGAGCAACCTTTTCACGTCGAACCTTGCTACTTACCGAATATCTCTTTAGCTGCTGATTGGAATTGCCTTAGGAAACTGTCAGACTTCACGACCCAAGTCGGCAATTGAATTAACACAAGTCCAGATTTGTGGTCGGTACGTAGTCTGGGCTCTCGAAGACATTGGCGAACGACACAGTTTCCTCCATGGCTATCAAGCGGAGTTTTTACTGCCACAATTGCATGGACCGCCTTTGAGCCCTGGCCTATGCAATTTACGGAAGAGAAAGTCACGGATCTTTCATACCACTACAAATAGAATTATGGACACGGTAGGTTCCCTTTAGTCGAGCGACTTAAGGAACCTCAGGACGGCATTCTAGTTTCTGTGAAATATGCCGACTTTTTCTGGAAAACTTTGCCCGAAGCCCATCAGTTTGCTTGCAATTACCAAATTTGCTCCTTAGGAACGATACTAGGCTGTGAAGCCTGGTAGCAGCATCTCATCCTATCCAGATCATCTACCGTCTCTCCACCCAAATCATGTAGCCCCCTGTCAATAGCATCAACGGCGCAGTCAGGACAATGAACAGCCAAAATTGCTGTGCCAAGACGAAATGTGTATTGTTTTCAGGTAAGTTTGCAGGCTGCGACTGAACGAGGCTTGAGCTGAACATTGTCTAGAACATCATCAGATAAACTGTGTCTGGGCCGGATAGAATCTATATTTACCGCAACAAATGTAGCAGGTAAATAAAGTGTGCCGAGGACAGAAAGAGCTTTCAGTGCCCTGCTATCCCTCCTACTTTGTTCGGCCAACTTGACGAGAGCCTCGCTCTCTCGCTTAGAGTGATAGGCTATGTCTCTCAGTGTCTCGATGTTTTTGTGCAGTGCAATACCATTCTGTGTCAGGCCGTCATCATTGCGGTGTTCCATGATTTTGAAGAGCTCAGCCGCAAGGTCAGCCATGAGTCCGAGCTTTGTATTGGATTGGTATGAGGGCCACTCACAATATCCAGAGTGCGTTGAGATCGATCAAGCATTGCAGCTACGGCTCGACGATGTGATCTCAGCTGTACACAATGCGCATCCATCTCTAACGAGAGTGTTTCGCCGCTGATATCATCTACCTCACCGCTAAGGCTCCGGAAAAAGGCCGTACACCCTTCAGCTACTTCAAGCTGAGCTTCCAGAACATTCAAAGTCCGTAAGAGCCGTTCACGAAGTTTCTGCACTGATTGGCTGTCCTCGAAGGTCACTTTATAATCATGTTTCACCAATCGACCGACTCGTGAAAAGCAAGCTTTTTCATCCTAGTACCGTTGTTAACCTAAGTCAGGCAAAAGGCATGATGCTTCAATTGGTGGCATACGTATGAGTCTAAGCTTTGTCGAAGATACGTCAAATAATCACCCCACGCAGTCGCTACGGCAAACAGAAACACAACGTGAAGCATTGCCGGATGATATGACGATAATTTCGAGTGCTGAAATTCGATATATCGCCGACTGATTTCCGCAGAAGGCTGCAGAAAAACCCAAATCGTGGTTTTGGTCTGAGTGTTGTACTGCTGATAGACGGCGGTCTGCCTCAAAGACCATGGCGAGCCTGTCGATCGCCCATTAAGAGCAATATATCGTACGGCATAGCAGAATTCTAAATATAGACCAGTCAATTATCAAGGCATGATATTCGGCGGTAATCCTAGGCGTGAAGAAAGCAATACTTGCCGTGACATACTTGCTCTGGGCCTTGCCTTAATCTTGGCGATACTGAACGACGATAACCGCTCCAGACATGGTCGTCCTCAGAGATTTTAGAGCCAAAGGAATGCAAACAATCTAGAAACGGCGCAAAGATCTGATGGTAGCTTAAGACTGCCTGAAGCGCCTCTAAGGTGATATTGAAGCGGTCCCATGAATATGCTTGCCGAAATACACTTTCGAAGTCAGAAGTCCAACTTTGTTTGTTTCTCAGGTTCGTCGCCTACTTACTACGCTATATCGCTCGATATCGTCGGCACGCCCTAGACGAATTCATTGAATCTGTAACCTTCCAATAAGGGTAATAGTACGGTGACCTCACCTCTAAGAAGCAAGCGAGTGCTGTGAAATGCGCAAGCTGGAGGCAATGTGCACCTTTGAGAGTCAAATCGGTCCATGTTCGCCAGAATCGTTTGTGCAAATGACTACTCACAGTCTTCATTGGTCCTGAGTAAGACTTCAATGTCGATATTCTCTTTGAATAGCCTCGGAGAGTCCTTCAACAACCGCTTATGGAGGAACACTCTGTCCTCACCGAGTAAAGGAACTGTTTCAAGCTCAAGTGGGTAGTTCGTGTGGTGTTTTGCGTCCATGTTTAGTATTGCGACCTAGACACAGTGAATGGATGTGCTGATGAGTCGGAATGTCTCACAGCTCATTCGAAGAAGCCACTGCGTTGCAAGCCATCTCTGTCTTTTTATCAGACATGCAACCATTGTCGCATAGTATGACTTATGTCAGCCCGGTAGGTGCATGCACCCCGCCATATTCACATGGACTAAAGGTATTAGAATGAAGAAGTTCCTGCGCCTAAGCTCTGTGTGTGGGTCTAGCATGCTATTGCTATACTATCATCGTGGCTACTGCCACTAGTGACGGAACCGTCGGGAGACAATCCGAATATCGGACTACAAAGCCCCTTCACCTTCACGCCAAATGCAGTGAGTGATCTAGCCATTGAACTAGACTTATTGTGTCAGTGGAGGCGAAACAGCGACCATAGAGGCTTCTGATTAGTGAAGACTAAGCCCCGAGTGCATACTGGCATTGGCATGTGTGGTTCCAGCAGCCGAATCCTCATGAGCGGAGGTTCGCTTCACCTGATCTACTGCAGTGCGGCTCTATAATGGGGCCGCCTTTCGGCGGGAGATCTAAGGGGACCGACACCACTGATATGCGAATGAGGCTCTGGTGATCTCATCATGCATGATGTGCTGGCACACAGAAAAGTTGCCCCACCTCAAGCCTTCGGGCGTCATGAGGTGGTATATGGGGTCCCTGACGCCCAGCATCTTTATCTTTCGTAGTCGCTCAGTCGCTATCTTTCATTACAAAATGGAGAACCAGGTCCTTGATACTCGGTACGTTAATAAGAACAAACTTCACAGTCTCCTCCGTCGACTGTTTCCAGCAAGAGACTACACCGTCGAGGTTGGTACTGCATGTCAACGTGATGATCTGTAGCTAAGGATTGCCTAAGCAACAGGGTCAAAACTTTGTTTTGACGGTTTCCCGCAAATTGACTAAAGTACGTACACGATGTCACCTTTGCGCCCAATGATCTGTTCAAGCCTTGCACTAGGACGAGATCACATCTCTTGCATAATCCCGTCAAAGTCTGTCATAGCCCACCGAGATATTCAACTGTCAGGCGTTAAGGCGCAGCCGTCAGCGGCAGCATCATCTACATCCATGGATCCAAAGCACCTTCTAGATCTGGCATAGCTCCTCGGCAGTCTGAGCCTTACGCCCGCTCGATAATCTTGTTGCCTTGTGAGATGTCTCCAAAGAATTTATGTAAGACTACAGTAAACCTGAAAGTACAGCTATGGCTGAGTTGAAAACACAGATACAAGCGAAGCGCTACCCTAGCTCAGACCGTCGATTCTCCTTTGTGCCCGAAGGAGTCCTTGAAAGTTTATTTACCGTCGACAAGATCCGGTCAGCCTTGAGACACTCCAAGACACAGCGTGACAGAGAGTACGAATGCATAAAATCAATTCAGCAAGGTGGTAAAAAGACGTTCGCTATCTTGGTTCTCATACAAAGGGCCCATCAAATTATAAACTTCATTGAAAATGAGCAGCTCCAAGGTAGCGAGCTTGACGCAAAGCTGCCTTACAGTAGCAAAGCCGCTCTCGAAAGTATACTACCAAAGCCTGATGCCGAAGATTTCTACGAAAAGCAGTGGGAATTCACAGCGCCCATTTTCAGGCGCAAGACTGGTCATCGTTGCCTTGATGAACGAACTATCTTTCCTTTTATCGAAACGACGAGCCGCGAGGGAGGTGGCTTTGGGGCAATCTACCAGGAGAAGCTACACCACAGCCACAGTACAGCCGATCTATGGACACAAAAGCGTCCGGTAAGACCCGCCTTAGTCCTAGTGCAAAATGCATGGCTTCATCAAACCCTTGATATCAGGCACTTCAACACTCTTGCTAACGTTGCGAAACCTATCTAAGACCTTCTAACTGAAACAGGACCATACTATCGTAAGGAAAGAGCTAAAAGCTTCTCATCAAGATACTACTTTTGAGTTCCAACGTGAATGCCGAGTCCTTTCCTTCCTCAATTGCTTAGAACACCCCAACATTGTGGAACTTCTTGGCTCCTATACTCTGAACGGAATACATAACCTCATCTTCCCTGTTGCTGATCATGACCTCAACGCTCTATTGCAAGGGCAGCAACCGTCAGACTTTTCATCAGAACAAGATTTTCTTTTCGCACTTTGTGGGCTGGCATCTGCACTTGAAAAGCTTCACACATACTCTTGTGAAGACCTTGATGTCACGCTTATCGGCTGTCACCACGACCTGAAGCCTGACAACATATTGCTTCTCGGCACGAAACTCATCCTTGCTGACTTTGGGTTGTCCAGTTTCAAACCAGCCTCTGAGGGTTCAAAGACTACTTGCACGCCAGGTGATACCCGTTATCTTGCCCCTGAGTGCGAAGATTGGGATAATTCCTTCCAGCCAGGCGAGGTAGGACGCAAAAGTGATATTTGGTCTTTCGGCTGCGTACTGTCAGAGGTTATCACGTACATGATGCTTGGGCCCTTCGAGGTAAACCAATTCGAACAGTCCCAGAAGGTAACTCTGGAGAAGTCAGATGGAAGGTGGACCCTCTGTTCCTTCCACGCGGGCACGAAGCTCAACAAGAATGTGGAAGTATGGCTTACAACATTGGACCACACTGCGACGACAGCGTGCAAAGGTATGCTCAATTTGGTGCGTCAAATGCTAAGCATCGACCCGGATGACCGCCCGTATGCCGACGAAGTTGCCCGCTGCTTGCGTTTCTGGACGATCGAGAGCATATTTACCCATGTGAACGTCGCTCTGAGCAGTAGATATCGACCGTACAGACGCGAACTCGACATGCTAATTGAAATGGAGCGTCTGCACCTCTGGGGACAAATCGTAGGCCTCAAAGGCCCTTATGACAAAACTGTTTGGCATAAAAACACTTTTACTGTTAACAATAGCTTCCATCAAACATTTCAAAATCTGAAAGACATCGAAGAGAAAGTGGTACTACGGTCGGAAACAGGAGATGATCTTCATACCAAAGCCATCCAGCTCCGCATGATCAACGACAAATTGGTGCATACATTGCCAGAAGCCTCGCAAGCCGCGCTTAATAGTCTGCTAGAGCAGAAGCTATTGAACACAGATGATCTGGGCTTCCTGGAGCTCATAAAGCAAACTTTCGATCAAGGTTCGCAACATCGGAGCATAGGGACACTTGCTGCTGTAAGATATATGAACCAACTATGCGAAGCACCTACCAAAGGTCACGGTAGACGCATGCAGCTTGGAGAGGTATTCTCCAAGCTACAAAAGTCTTTTCACCTCTTCTCTATCGAGGAAATCAGTGCAGAAGGTAAACATCCAACGCAGGCGCTGGTTGAAAAAATCAAATACGAGGAATTCTGGCTTAACAAATTGGGCGAAGAACTCTTTGATCGGATAGGATCAGTACTGGAGCTTCTTCGAACAGCCTCTCGTTCAGACAAGGAGTTGCGACTTCCCTCCCCTATCGGCTGGTCACATGACTTACCCAATCATACTTTCAAGCTGATTTTCAGCATCCCAAACTCAGGAAATGCCAGCACGAATGATCCACCACGTATCCAGACGTTAAGACAGTATATCGAAGCGAGCGAGAAGCACCGGCCAGCTCTCGATGATCGTTTCTTGTTGGCTCGCCGACTTACGGGCACTCTGTCGAAACTCCACAAGATCAAATGGGTGCACAAGAACATTTCAGCGTTCAGTATTATCTTCTCCCTACAGCTAGATGATCGACCACACCAGAAGATACCGTTGCCATACCTGATCGGCTTCAACTATAGCCGTCCAAGTGATCCAGAGTGGTGGAGTAGCCTGCCGCAATATGACATCGCAGTCACAGACTACTGTCATCCAGAATATTCCACACAAATGACCAGGGTACGCTATCAGCCCAGATTCGACTGGTACAGTCTTGGCTTGGTAATGCTTGAAATCGGACTGTGGAGAACACTGGGAAGTATGACGAAGAAAAAGGAGACGGAGGGGATGTCGCCTCACGAGCTGCTGCAGCATGTACAACGGAAATATGTGCCACTTCTTGACTTCTACATGGGCAGAGGTTACAGAGAGGTTGTTGAGCGATGTTTAGTAGGCGACATTGGGCCAGAAACCTCGGATAGGGAAGGCCATGACACTGATACAGAGAAGTTTGAACTTGTACAGACGGTGGAGGAACAACTAGCGAATTGTTCATTTTAGACCAGCTCAGCGAAGACCTTGTCATTCTTGCACTGCTGACAGACTGCGAACGAGACTGTACTAGGGCATTAAACAGACACAACAACGAATTTGGTATGTATTGCCATTCGTCACTTCCTCCTAGCGTTTCGAGCCATCCTCAAAATCATGCCACTGTCAATAGTGGCCGGATGCCTCTCGCCGAGTACTTCGCGTCGCCCGTCCCGGGCCCACAACGCCATCTCCTCCGCAGCTGCCCATTCCTCACGCGCAAGCAGAAGATTCGCAAGATTGCTGACGGTCGTCAGAACCGAACTGTGGTTGCGGCCATAGCGCTGGATTTTTGCGTCCAATACTTTTCGATTTATGGATTCGGCTTCCTCAAATTTACCTTGCTCCCTCATCAAGGCTGCTAGGTTGCCCATCCTTGCAATCGTCTCGGGATGCGCTGGGCCCAAGACTTCCATTCCCTGGGATAGGAGATGCTGGTAGGTACTTTCGGCTTCAGCCATCTTACCCTGTTTGGACTTAGCGCCGGCGATATTCGAAAGAATTTTGAGTGTTGTGGGATGGCTCCCACCGACGCGGTTCTTGTTGACATCGTACGCCCATTGATATAATTTCTCAGCTTGCTCATATTTGTGCTGCTCTTGGTAAATTAAAGCAAGATTGTTGGCTATGATAACTCTGTGAGGATGCTCTTTTCCAAGCGCTTCCTGACTGCTCTCAAATACTTCCTGATACAGTTCTTCTGCTGACACAAGGTCGTGTTGCCGTCTCATTACGCATGCTAGACTGTTAATGCTGAGCTGAGTGCTAGGGTGCTTTCGACCCAGCGAAGTTTCTCGCTCTGAAATGACTTGTTTGAGCAGGTTCTCCGCGGCATCAAAGTGATCAAAGTCTAAATGTAAAAGGGCTAGGTTGCTCATTATGTTTAGCGTCGAGGGGTGCGAAGCCCCATTATGCCGCTCACTTAGGCCTAGAACTTTTTCGTACAGCGCTCGCGCTTCTTCGTACTTGCCCATTGAGCGTAGACAGGCTGCCAGATTACCGGCACTAATTAATGTGCTGATATTCGAAGCTCCCAATATCTTTTCAAACCCGTGATACACCTTGGAGGCTAGGTCTTCAGCATCATTCAAGGCGCCTTGCGAAAGAAGTAATTGTGCCAAATTTCCGGCACTACCCAACGTTTCGGGGTGTTCTGAGCCGTACGCGTGGGTTTTGATGTCCAGACAATCCTTGAATAACTCTCCAGCTAGGCTGTAGTCACCTTCCTTAAGATATATTGTCGCGAGAGTGTCTTTGATGTTCAATGTGTGAGGATGCGCAGGTCCGAACGACTTGTTTCTCACTTCTATTACAGACATTGCTATTTGCTTTGCTGACTTGTAATCACCCTGATTCTGTGTCATACCCACTAGTGTCAGCTTCTTTTGGTTTGACCGCTTCAGAGAAAAGATCCCGTCACTTGCAGCGATTGGTGTAGGTATGCTAACAATTTGCAGGGAGAAGTATAGTAAAAAGGCGCTGAAGCGGCCGATCGAGCAGAGTCACGTACCTGGGCTACAAGAGCTAGATCTGCACGGGCATTGTCAAGTACCACTCCAGAGACCGGAAAATTAGTCTCAGCCTCCATTTTTCCAATGAGCTGGATCAGTAGAGTACGTGCGTCCGTCAGTCTGCCTGCGATGCGAAAGACAGAGGCTAATTGCATGCTAAGTGAAGTGACAATCGGATGGGTACGCCGAAATACTCGACCCATGTCCTCAAGCTCTCTTTGATACGTTCTCTCAATTGACTCCTGCGGCATAATCTTGCGATATTCATACGGGTACCTCATTTCTTCAAGAAACCCTTTGTTGGCCATGGACAGGATTGAGGGGCTCTTCCAGGCGAATATTGTTCTCTGATGTATGGGAGCCAAATGTGCCTCCACAGATTCAGAGCTGAATCCAAAATTTGATAACAGCGAAGCGCTTTTCTTTGAATCCTGTGGTACACCAAATCCAATCTCTAGGCAAATCGCAAATTGAAGACTGGCCCTTTCTTTCAACTCATTCAGACCTGGAGCCACAGTCCACACCTCAAGGTATCGAGCAATTGAGCTCCGCACACTTATGTGTGAGCCTATTAATTGTTCAATATTGTTGTTGATCTTGTAGAAATAAGCAGTTGGATCTTTGAGCAAAGAACACGACTTACCTGAAAGAACGTCTTCACGAAAAATCGTTCAAAATCCCCAAACTCTGGAGCGCACAAAGTTCTATTTGGTGAAAGGCATGGATTAGAATTCTCTTGATTCGAGGCTCCTCATTATACTCACGACTGCGACTGGTCTCGGTGCGGTAATTCCTCAATCACCAAAGCGCGCTCACTCGGCTCGTTGTCCAAAGCGGTCAAGAGAAATGTCCTTAGACTATCTATTTGACACTCGCCAAGATCGTCGACTTTCTTTAGACATTCATCCAAGATTTCATGGGTCTGGTCGACAACTCTCGTAGTTTCTACCCACTGGTAGCCTGGCTTATCGGCAGGAGGGACTCTACTCATGTCAAGCTCTTGGTTGAGTATAGAAGCTGACTTGTCATGTTTCATGTCGTCATGCAAGCGGAGCAGCCACAAGCATATTAGTCCTAGCGAATACGTATCTGTCTTTTTGGCGGACGATAGACGAAAACCTCGATTGTGCCACTCAGGCGCTGTCCAAGGCCATGAGCTCGGTAGCCGGAACAGACTTTCACTGGCGCCAAAACAAGAGTATCCAAAATCGCATACTTCTGCACGGAAGCCCATAGCTTTGTCGGACCTGACTAGTATGTTTTCAGGTTTCAGGTCACCATGAACAATATCTATGATATGATTAGCTTTCGTCTGTAGGCCGGACACTTCTCGCAGAATAACCACAGGAGTGCATGGTAACAACAGCGTTTGCAACGTCCGCGATCAATTTCAAGCACTGTTCGGATGTCAAAGCTCGCGCCTCGGCAGAGACCATGAACTGGAGAAGATTCCCATGCTCTGCCTTTTCAAATACCAAGACAGGAAAGACTTGGTTCTCGGAAACAACATCCCAGCATACGCCTTGAAGCTTTACGATGTTAGGATGTTCTCTGATGGATGGATGCCCAAGAATACAAAGCTCAGACGTGGTGTGGGAGAAGCAGTCAGTGACCTCCTTTGGGTCTGTTGAGGTGAAGTAACGCTTGAAGACGAAGCTCGAGGCTATGTTGATAATTGACTGCTGGATCTCTGCAGTAGCACCTCTACCAGCAGTCTCAAGTGCAGGCTGCCATGTGATAGGCAGGATATCGATATGACGCCATTGTGTGGCAGTCAAGAAAGCAATCAAGTCGTATGAGAAAGCTATGCAAGGTTTATCTATAGGCGCTGCACTGTGAGATAACCAAGACGAAGTATAAAAACTGACGAGATGTGCGCAAGACTCATCGGTCTCTTCAGAAAGACGAAGTCTCTTTACTCCAGAATCCATGGTGGCGACTTTGTTCGCTGGAGGCTGATAGGTTTACAACCAGCCCAACCCATTTACATATCGTTCTGTGGAGGGAGAGGGTATGATACATCCCTCAGCCTCGAGCCAAGGCAGAATTGCAGCTTACCAGCGAGCGTCTGGAGAGAAGCTGACACGGAACTGGCTATCTCGAGTAATCTATATGCGAAGATTCAGGTCAGAGCCATTTGTTGAGCGGTTTCTCGGAGAAGACTCATTGATGAGGGCAGCACTATGGGAGACATTGAATGAAGTGAAAATAGTCACGAGGTGTGTGAAGAGGCTGTCGCGCATTCAACCGCCTTAGACCTACTTTCGCGTCAATAGCAGATGGTCAAGTACCATTTGACATCTGAGACATCTAGGCTCTTCGCTCCCAATAATTTTCTCTCCGACAAGTACAGCATCTCGAGCATCAACATCTAGAGAAGAGAGGGCGGAATGGAATCCGCGGCCGGAAGAATTGGCAACTTCAATCAGAACTCTAGGGGGCATTGTTAGGGTTACGGTACCCCGGAACCCTCCCTAACCTAAATGCCTTAGACTTTCCCTGCCGGCAGCTCTAGTCCGGTCGTCAGGTACTGAAGCCTAAATCGATTTCCCATAAAGTGACTGCATTCAGATGGCATAAGTGATGCCAAAGTTCGCAATTTCGAAGCATCTTAATTATGTGTTCTCTCACAACGATGTCTTAAACACACTCATGAGGACTCAGCGAGCGACGCCCCTTGGATAAGCCCTCGGGCCGCTGGGTAGCAATCTTCAGAAGCCACTGCGTTATGCTGCCGCACACATTGAATCGGTTCAAGAGAAGGTCATATGATGAGGGGAACTCGAGAAGATGCAACATAAGATACGGTCGACATCAAGCGTTGTCAAAAGACGATGATGGTGTCACAACGCCATTATATTGCGAAACCACTGCTTTACCATAAGGCTATATCGAGATGGCACCATCTACGACGACCTCTTACCCCTCGAACTGGTCTCGCTCTATTTGTTCGAGCTCAGATCAATCACCTGAAGTAGCTTTGGGCCCGGAGCAATTGTCGCTCTATTTTCTCGCCGTCGTCCAGGGCTTGCAAATCGATCTTCTGCCTCTCGTTTCTCAAAGAGCCCTAGACCTTGTGGGAGTTGGGGCAACTGCGAGCATACGTCAACTTCTCGTCAACATCGACGCCAGCGTGGCGTTCAAAACGATGACGTGGAACCTTGAAAATGAGGTCGAGAATTTTCATCGTCTAATTTCCGAGGTCTTGGTCCTAGGCCATCGTTCCTTTCACAGCCATCCAAACATTATACATCTAGAAGGCATATGTTGGGAGCCAGGACAAGATGGGGATGTGTACCCTGCGTTGGTATTTGAGAAGACTCGCTACGGAGATCTCTGGGACTTCATGTTGTCAGAACATGGAGTGGCAATGACCAGTAGAGCCCGGCTTAACATATGTGCAAGTATTGGTCAGACTCTTCAGGAACTACACGATGGACGTTCGTGAGCCCCACCCTTTCCTACCAATTGCTGCTTACAATGCCAAGGGGTCATTCATGGTGATCTAAAACCGCAGAACGTGTTGATTTTTCAGACTGAAAGTGGCGACTTTGTGCCAAAGATTACCGACTTTGGCTTTGCAAAACCGTGTACAACTGAATCGGATCTCTTCTTCCAGTTGCCCCACTCAGGGCCGTGGACGGCTCCTGAGCATCATCGCCGCCGATTCAGCTCCTCGCAAGCGCTTAGTATGGAAGTATACTCGTTTGGAGTGCTCTGTCTCTGGATGCTACTGTATAATACAAAGTGCAACAAGGACGTAAAGTTCTATAATGATATGGAAAGTCTCGAGGACCGGTCTGTGAATGAACACGCTTATCATCTCCTCAATTCATCACCTGAAATTGACCAAGAGTCTCTGCATCTGCTGCAAATAATCTTCGATTCCTGTCTCCCAAAAGATCCAAGCAACAGGGCAAAGAGCTTGGCACCCGCTGTCACCTCATTAAGCCCCGAACGGTATGTCATATCCGAGGCTCTGTAGCATTCAGAACCCTACCTGATGTCCAGTCAGCGTCTCGAGGACAGATCGTGTTGAATTGGAAGCTGCAAAACCCCCTTTTTCCAGGTAAGTTCCTCAAACCTGATTTCATCACCTGATATTCGTCTCATCTGACCTGTGATAAAAGATCAGACTCTCCTTAAGTCAGCTGACACAGCTTGATTATCGGGTTCGAGTCCGCATTTTCCAACTCCTTGGGGCGCAAGTGAGTTCTGTTGTCGAAGAAGATTACTCTGCTGTCGAACTAGAGGCTTGCTACCAGCTTGCCTGGTGCTATAAACTAGGCTTTGGAACAGAGAGAAATGACAATGCCTTCGGGTCTTGGCTCCGAAAAAGTAGGAGAAGTGAGGAATCGTTCGACCAAGAGCTCAAAGATTTGAAAGAAATTGGTGCAACGCCGCTCGCGAATGTGTCAATATACAGCTCGCATACCAAATTCTCCACCTGGCTAGAAGAGGGGTGTGCCTTGGCTATCAATAGCGCGCAATACTATCGCGAAGTAGGCCGCATCGAAGAAGCTGAAACTATACTGACTAGAGAACATACTGACTGGCAAGAGACACTTGGTCTACATCATCCAATGGTTTTCGATCGTGCCAGTATGTTAGCCACGCTCATGATGGAGCTTGGTCGAGACAAAGAGAGTGTCACTTTGGCGGAGCAGACATTTGATGAGGCTTCTGAAAATACTCACGCGGAGTTCACGCGTCCAACCTTGGCTCTGATTACTCTTGCTCGAGCATACGTTCGCTATGGACAGCTTGAACAAGCTAAGCCCCTTCAAAAACGTATCGTCCAGGCAAATGAGATTTTCTACGGAGAGACGCACCTTAACACCTTACAAAGCAAGCAGATTCTAGCTGTCATTCATTTGATGCAAAACAAATTGAGTAAGTCAGCAGCTATGAATGAGAGTCTCTTGCCACACTACTCGCACACTCTTGGTGAAGACCACGGTGTCACGATCAACACATTGTTGTACTTATCACGGACATATGTCTTCCAGAACCGATTTTTAAAGGCTGAAGAGATCACCAAGCTCTTGATAGAGCGAGCCAAGAGGGCTTTGGGTGATAGGCATGAGATAACACTTATGGCTCGTATTCAGCTCTCTCTCATCCTTTGGTCAAAGCGAGAATGGTTCAAATTACTTGGCCCGCGCGCGGATGGTACACTCCAGTATGACATCATTGACATGGCCCAGGAGCTCTTGGGTGAGAATCACCCCTTCACGCTGGAGGTCATGTGGAACACAGCCCGAAATCTCTTCTTCAAGAGACAAGTGGAGGATGCAATAGTCATGACATCGACTATTGTCAAGCGCGCGAAGGAAAGGACTGGTAGCGACGCTTGGGAGACCAAGTTCTATCAAAGCAAGATGGATTACATACTTTATTGGCATAAATGGGAGTCGATTGGAGTCCGACTGATGACTTTCAATTTTGGTCGTTTCGTCATCACCAGCCAACATCGCCCTCCTCCTGAGTTGCGACGACTCTTTGGCATCCTCTATACACGAGTGCCACTACCTGAATCAGAACAAGCTGGCATGATGTATGATCGCGAGCGCAATATCGATAAATCGCAGCAATCAGTACCGTCAGGTAGCAAAGGTTGGAGATACTGGCTACCAGTAACGAGACTGCCCTGACACAATGGGCACCTGGTATCAAGATTTGGTGCGTAGACTCATCATCCAACGGCTGTCTTAGACAGCGGAGCACAAAGCGCCTCATGACAACACATTAAATTGAGGAATCTGTTCAAGGACTACGTACCTATTGCATTCAACAAACCAGTTTTAACGGGTTTGGTCGGATATCTTGGGGACCTCGATGAGGTCAGGGGTTCGCGCAAAGTTTTAGGATGTACTCGAGTGAGGAAGCGGAAGCGGCCTCCGAATTACCAATCATTTTTCGTTCCTTTCATCAAGGGCGATGAGGTAAGCCTTCCGTTGCCAGCCATATGAATTGCGCGTCTTGATTGCCAGGAAATCAGACATTGTCTTCGATAAACCAAGCAATCTCGATCTGATCTGCTTCATCAAGACAAGGCCGCGATGGGCAAATTGGACCAAGTCACCGTTAAAGCGTTACAGCTCACCGCGCCATAGGCACCAACAATAGAGGCCAAAATTCTACGTGGTAGACTCCTAGGCGTTGAACCTTTTTGCCATCATAGCCAACATGAACGCAAGGTGACCTGGACTAGGCCACGATATCTCAAGGGTCTGCTTCCTTCTCTGTTCGAGGTCTTGAGAACGTCAAATGCCTCAAGGCATGGGCCGACTATTCAAAATGGCTCGTATGCCGAGTTCCGCAGGACACACTCTCCACGGCAATGAATAAGACATATACCGGTATAAATCAGGCTGAGATCCTTGGACTTATAATTCAATCTTCCGAGTCTGAATCTCCTCTTACCAATCAATAAAACTGGTCCACATCACCCTTCATCCCCGGATGAAGCACCTTGATCGGATCATCCAAATCCACATACCCCATGAAAGGCTTACTCATCTCATACCCACAGAACCTCTGCAACCAAATCGGCAACTTCTTGATCTTCTCAACATCATTACAAATATACTGATTTTCCTCCTGCCTCAACCACCCTCTGGTCGTGACGGCCGACCACACCGCCCTTGATTCGTCTGTCTGGTTCCGGGAACCACCATGGTACGTCCCACTTAACATCATCACTCCGTCGCCTGGTTGCAGCTCAGGCTGGACAGCGGCTTCTTCCGATGGGAGAATGTCGTAGTCCCATAAATGACTGCCGGGGATGAAGCGTGTGGCGCCGTTCTGGCGGGTCGTTGGCGTATCTGCTAGAAAGAAAGCGATGCTAGTGTCTCGACCGAGAGTATGCGATTCAGCGTAGGGCTGGCGATTGTGGTGGACGAAATCATCGCGGTGGAGCCCCTGGGCGCGGGCACCGGGGCCAATAATGAAGCCTTGTGTGTTGTTGAGTTGAGGCTTGGAGACACTCGTTGTGATTTCTTCGGAGTTCTAGAGAATGGGGATTGGTATCATTGGGACGGGCTCTGAGAGTGAGGAGGTTCAAAATCTTACCCAGTAGTCTTTCAATGTGCTAGTCATGAAATGATTCCCCACTGTCTGCCAAACAGGATGCCCCACAAGTTCTAACGCGTACGTCTCGGATTTGCTCACCATGCTGGTGAGCTTTCGAGTTTCCTTAGGCCAGAAATCTCCAGGGGTTGGTGCAAGGTCAATCGTGTATGGCCTCAGCTCCGAGCTGATCTTTGCACGGACTTCGGGCTTGATGATCTGGCGGACGACACAGAGTCCCGCATTTTTCAGACCTTCGATGATATCCTGCGTAAGAACATCCTCAGAGTCGTATGATTCACAATCAAGGTCTGGCACTGCTGGGATCGATCTTGGATCTTTTTGAGGTCTGGCGTCTACAGTGGGCAAGGTTGCTGCTGGCGCCATGATTTTTGGGATGAAGAGAAGTCAGATGAAAGGATGAAGAAGACGGCATCTTGAAGATTACAGTTGAAGGTGCCAACACACGCCAAGGATGCACGGAGAGTTTCATCCTCAGCCCTCGGCTGTAAGGTAATGTCTTTGTGTTTAAGTGCTTACACGGTCATCTCTGACAGCAGCATGCTAGCGTCTTTGTGGAAGGAATGTCCATCGTCATCTGACTCTCCACACCCGAGCGATCATGCAGCACTAATTATTCTCCACATCGAGGGGAACGGGTTCAGATTTCTTCAGACCAAGACTGCGCCGTAATAAAGCATTAGGGGGTTCAAAGTGGTGCGATGGCGATGGGCTGACCGACTAGACAGATGGCCTACAGATTTGGCCTAATTCACTGAAACCACAGAGCTGTACATTGTCACCGTGCGAGAAGTCAGAGAAGGTTGAGACTTTTCCAACTCGCTCCATCGATGCCAGGATAAACACGATGATTTGTACCCGAGAGGGCGGGTCGCAGATACCCCCTTGAATGCAGACTAGAGTAGCCTAGGCAATCCTGACGTTCGCTTGTTGAAGCAAGTGAGAACCCTGATACGTAAGCTGATGTACATTAAATTAGCTGAGCATCGCCAAGCCCCCATTCTCCCTGGAAAGTCATCCTGCACCGAGAAGGATCCGATGAGGATCCGAGGGCAGCGCTCATGATCAAAGGATCGCCAGAAGATCCCGTTCGATTGAACTCTGTGGACGACCTACTTTCTCGTCCCGATTGGCTTAGTCAAGAGATTCGTGGCGCTTACAGTGACCCGTTGCTTTCTTGAGAGGATGCCTTTAGCTCTCGATACTAGAGATGTGGCAAGATCGTGGCGTGGCGTGGAAGGGGAAATCGTTTCAATGCTCTACGAAACTAGACGTGCTTGAAGGTATCAATCTAAATCTACTACTTAGGGCTTTCGTAGGTAAATTTTAGAGCGTTCTATGACCTTGTTGTCCTTCCTAGTTTCTTCACTTGCCTAGTTTTTCTGCATTTAGTAGCTGGCATTTGTCGATGTCCACTATCGACGTCCGTCGTAGTATATTGCGTAGGTAGTACTGGGTCAGGCTCCTGGTCTAGTGTCTTTGATACGGGACCAATAGCTCTGTAGAACCTGCTCATCGATCTCCGGTGCAGGATAAATGTCACCACCAAAAACATGTTGCCCAGGAGGGCAACCCCTTAGCAGATCAGGGGCACTCTGCTCCGTAAGTCCGTCAATGACTGCGGCAATGTGAGCCAAAGGACTCTTTGGGTGCGCAGCAGCGTAGATGAGTGCTCTCTGCTGCCATTTGGTGAAGGTTTGTATGTCGTACCTGCCGCTACCACCACCTTCTGCAGCAACTGCAGCGCCCATCAGCTCAAAGAATCGATCACTGGTTGGAGCTGGCGCCCTAACAAAGTCATAGTCATGACCAATCCGGGATAGATCATCCACCATAACGCTGACGATGGTTTTGCTTAGATAGTCAACAGGCAGCACAACAGAGAGGTCAGCATCCAAGGCAGGAAAGCTACCCAATTCGATACTACCAGCAATTAGATTATGTAGAAAGTCGCCGCGGTCGTGACGGAAATGACCTGATGAAGCGGATGCTGTAACGAAGGGCACGCGGTATACTGAGGCTTTCGCGCCTCGCCAACGTGCTGCTGATACCATTCGCTCTGCCATGTATTTCGAGGTAGAATAGCCGTACTCACGATCATGCTCGGACACCTCGTAACCCAGGTGTTTGGGTAAAGTGGCAAGCGTTGAGATTATGTGAATGGCCTTGCACCGGCCGCGAGCGGCGAGTCGTAGAATTTCGTGAGTGCTGACGACATTGGGGCCAATGTATTCTTCTAACGGTCGCATCCAGTCGACGAGAGCCCCGGCATGACAAACAGTGTCCACTTGATCTGCCAGACGATCAAAGACTTCTTCGTCTAGCCCGAAGAAAGGCTTTGCAAGGTCACCGATCACAGGCTGAAGTAGTGACGCGTAGTCTGGCTTCCAGAGGTCGTAGCTTGCCAGAACAGTGATCAATCGCTGCATGCCAATCTCATCCCCTTTAGCACGCACCAGACAGTGGGCTGAGATACCTGAGTCGAGTAGCTCGTGCAGAATGAAGGAACCAACAAAGCCTGTGGCACCTGTGATGAACACGGAATTAGGACGCTGAAGACTTCCGATGCTATCAAATGTAAGGCTCGCATCGAGATAGCCTTTCTTGACCATTGAAATATCTGGACCAGATGACGCTCTGTTGGCGGGGTTTGTACCGTTGGGTGCTTTCTCCACGACAGCATCCGAAGTCGTGCTCCTTTCCTCTGCATCTCTTTGTAGCTGTGACAGCAGATGTTGGCTGAGTGACTTCAAGTTTGGATGATTCCAAGTGATGCTACTTGTGGACAGTGTTTTGAGGCCCGTCAATTTGGCTAATTGATTTCGTATGAGGACTGCCGTTAGTGAGTCGAATCCAATATTTTGTAGTGGGACATCTGTATCTACTTCCTCCGCTGACGTAAATCCAAGTGTTTTACCAACAGTTTCGCGCACCAAAGCCAACAAGATGCTAGCGTGTTGCTTTAAAGGAGCTTCGCTCAAAATTTCACGTAGTTGCCGGGTTTCATTGTCTATTCGCATCTCGCTATTGGTTTTCTCGTCATCTGCCTTTTGGTCCAATAGCAAGCGGAACAATGATGGGATATTACCTCTTTCCTCGATCAATTGACCCCGCAATCGCTTCAGATCTAGTGCTGCGGCCACTGTTATCGCACGGCCACTACTCACCGCCTTTGCAAACAGCTCTAGTCCGTCTTCCGGCTTAAGCGGATCAAGACCCATCCGGGCGAGATGAGAACGAGTCGTTCTATCATTCAGATTAGCCGCCATACCCTCTCCATCCCATACGCCGTATGCTATCGAAGTGGCTGGTAGACCTTGAGCCTGACGTATATGAGCGAGCGCATCAACAAAAGCATTTGCTGAAGCGTAATTGGCTAGACCTGGCAAACCTAGTACGCCAGAGACGGACGAGAACATCATGAAAAAGTCCAAGTTCATATCTTGAGTGAATTTGTGCAAATACCACGCGCCATCAACTTTAGGCCTGAATGTGCTGGCAAATTGCTGCGGCGTTAACGTTGAAAGTATTCCATTGTCAACCAGGCCGGCAGCGTGGATAACGCCACGTAGAGGCCTCTCCTCATTGAAAGTCTCTGTGAGTGACTTGATACTCTCGAAGTCACCAACATCACAAGCTATTATAGTAGCTTTCGCGTTGAGTTGCGCTAACTCGCCAATCAATGCCTCCGCATTAGGCGTTTTCATACCACGGCGGGAAGTCAGCACAAGATCAGAGGTACAATAGGTGCTTGCAAGCCACTTGGCCATTTGCTGGCCGATCCCTCCAAGACCGCCTGTAATCAGAATGGCACCTTTCTTTCGAGGGGAGAATGGCTGTTGTTTGGCTATCCCTTTCGAAGTGAGGACTTTTTGTATCCGCGGCCTGAAAACCTGCCCCTTTCTGATTGCACAATCAGGTTCATCAGAGCTAACCGTTATTACTGAAGCAAGCGTGTCAAATGTATCCTTGTCTAAGTCCAAATCGACAAGACGCAGCTTTAGTTCTGGATGCTCGTAGCGGGCAGTCCTCACCAGGCCCCAAAGAGGCGCGGCAGCTAGGCTCTGCTCTTCTCTGTGGCTCCAGTCGCCACTATCATTGTGGAAACTTTGAGAGAGTATGTTATTGTCGCCATTGCGAATCTGAACGCCTACCGCTTTACGAGTGATCCAGACCAATGGCGGCACAAACCCCATCGTAGCTGCCGTCTGCAACTGATTGACCGCCCTTATTGTAAGATCAAGCGCCCCGGGCGGGATTTCGACGTCAGAAGGACTATCCCAGAAGCATAGGAGACCATCTAGGTTTGCCGCGTCCTCGAGTTGCTGGGCCTGTTTGAGCTGAATGCCTGCACGCGACAAGGCTTTCTTGGCCTCTTGTATCCATATCGTGTCTCGGTCTGGGCATAAGTAACCCCACGACTTGCTTATTCCACTTGATATATCTTTGGTCCCGTGATCAGCAGACCATTTGACTTCGAATTCGAACCGGTCAATGCCAAGGCAGTCTCTCCCGTCCTCCTCATCATCAGGATTAGTTTTGGAGGCGCGCTTTTGGAGGCTAGAATCCAACATCCCGAAGGGCCTGATCTGTTTATAACGCTGCCGCTGAAAAGCGTACGTTGGTAATTGAACACGTTGATAATTAAAAGGCTTGAAGTATGCATGCCAGTCAATGGGTATATGTCTCACATGTAATTCAGCGAGAGTGTTCATTACCACTCGTTGATCTTCTTTCTTCCCAGTCATGAGCGACGGTAGAAAGGCAGGCATATCATTTCTGAATTCATGATCGGAAGTGAGAGATGAGGCTGCCATCCCGCACAGGACCGACTGCGGCCCCAGCTCAAGGCATATATTGACACCCTGCCGGTGAAGTGTCTGAACGCTATCACTGAAACGAACAGCTCTACGTACCTGTTGGACCCAGTAGTCTGGCTGTTCGAGCTGGCCTGCCTCTGCCAGCCTGCCTGTGAGACTGCTGATCATTAGCAGCTTGGGCGGGCTGAATTGTATTGTCTCAGCAACGGTCTGGAAAGCCAACAGCATTCTGTCCATATGATGTGAGTGGAAAGCGTGAGACACGTTGAGCTCGGTCACCTTGCAAGCCAGCTTCCTTGTAGTATGGGCCATCATGAGTTTGACGGCGTCATCATCGCCAGATATGACCGTCTGTGTCGGGGAGTTGTAGACAGCGATTTCAACCCGTCCGTCCAGATCTAATGCAGAAATGGCCTCTGTTACTTCAGCGGCGTCAGTGTTCAAGGAGGCCATGCTACCTGATCGGCCTGATGCTAGATCTTGCATCAGACGACCACGTGCTGCCACCAACCTACATGCACTCGAGAGATCGAGGACGCCAGCCACGTGAGCCGCTGCAATTTCGCCCACACTATGGCCCAGTACAGTCTCTGGTTTGACGCCCCAGCTTTCCCATAAACGCCACAAAGCTACTTCTAAGCTAAAGATTGCTGGCTGAGCGAAGTCAGTGCGATCCAGCAGTAGCGCGGTCTCGCTCTGCAAATCCGCCCACATGACATCCAAGAGCGGCATTTCCAGATCCGTGAAGCGGGCTGTAATGTCCTCTAACGCTTCACAAAAGAGAGGATACCTTTCGCTAAGACCTTTTCCCATACCCAGTCGCTGGCTGCCTTGACCAGTAAATAATATAGCTAAGTGGGTGTCCTCGTTGCAACTGTTATTGTGATTGCATATCACACCAGCAAGAGGAGGCAACTCATTTGGCCGAGCCTCCGAGCAGGCGACTAGCTTCTGGAGGAGGTCTTTCTTGCTGTCGGCAAACAATGCGACACGCCGACGGAAATGGGTGCGCGTCGTTGCTAGCGAGCACGCCAAGTTACCGAGAGAGTCACCCTCCTTATGGGATGTGTGAACCTTGATGTGTCGGTGGAGCTTTCTAATCTGATGACGCAGAGCTATGTGGGACTGCGCTGATACGAGGAATGGTAGCATAGGCGGCGACTGAACATGGTTCATGGCCGATTGTTCAGCGACTGACACGACAGTGGGTGCTTCCTCAATGATGAGATGTGCATAAGTGCCGCCGATACCGAAAGAGCTGACGCCCGCCCGGCGCTGTGTGTTGTTGACGGAAGTCCAGGGCTGATGCTTCAGGACCAGTGCCATGTTGGCTTTCTCCCAGTCTATTAGCGGAGTGGGCTCTGTAATGTTCAAGGTCTTGGGAAGCATGTTGTGTTGTAAAGCGAGTGCGACTTTTATGACGCCAGCGAGTCCAGCAGCAGCCTGAGTATGGCCAAGATTTGACTTTGACGAGCCAATCCATAGCGGTCTATCGGTACAAAAACGGCTGCTGAAAACCTCAGTTATTGCTGTACCCTCGATAGGATCGCCAAGTTTAGTGGCGGTACCGTGGGCTTCGACGTAATCAATATCACTTGGACTCAAGCCGGATGTGTGAAGCGCTGTTCGGATGAGGCGCTCCTGAGCAGAGCTGCTAGGAATTGTTAGGCCGGCGGCACGGCTTCCTCCATGATTGACAGCAGTGCCGCGCAGTATGGCATGGATTATGTCACCATCGCGCTGAGCGTCGGACAATCGCTTTAGCACCACAGCGGTTGACCCTTCACTCAAACCAGTGCCTTGTGTATCGGCTGAGAAAGCCCGACAGTGACCGTCAGGAGATAGGCCTCGAAGTTTGCTAAATTCTACAAAGAGTCCCGGCGAAAGAATGGTAATGCCGCCCGCCACAGCCATATCGCACTCTCCTTGCCGTAAAGCTGTGCAGGCCAAGTGTGTGCTGACTAGCGATGATGAGCATGCTGTATCCACAGTCATCGACGGGCCTTCGAGACCCAAGGTGTACGATACACGGCCGGAGAGGGTGGCACTACTGGAGCCAGTCATAGCGTATCCGTCTAAATCTGCAAAGTCTGGGATCGAATTGTGGGCAGCGATATTGCTTTGGCCAATAAATACACCGGTTTGACTGCCACGCAACTGTTGCATAGTATATCCGGCGCTTTCGAAGCCTTCCCAACACACTTCCAACATAATGTGCTGGGTGGGGTCTAGTGCTCTTGCTTCTCTTGGTGAGATGCCGAAGAAGGCAGCATCGAAAGAGTCAATACCGCCAGCGATGAAGCCACCACGCCGACAATACGATTTGCCAGGAGCATCTGGATCGGCATCAAATAATGCATCCGAGTTCCAGCGATCTATAGGGACATCTGTGATTCCGTGATGGCCCTTGGCAAGCATTTCCCAGTATTCCTCGGGAGTTTTGATGCTACCAGGAAGGCGACATGCCATGGAAACGATTGCTATGTCTTCATGAATACTCGTTATGGGAGTATACTTCACCTGCCGCGGGCTTTCAAAAAAAGGCTGAGTATTATTTACATCTTTCTGGCTATCATTTCCAACTCGTTCGAGGTATTGCGCCAACGTTCTAACAGTGTAATGCTCGAATAATTTAGCTGCCTGCACCGGCTGGCCCATCAGCTTCTCGAGTTCCGTTTTCACTCGGGGTACACGGAGAGAGTTGCCACCGATCTGGAAAAAATTGTCATTGGTCCCGATACAGTCATGGCCTAGTACAATCGTCCAAATGCTCAGTATGCTGCGCTCGAGCTCCGTTTGGGGTTTTCCTTTTACGGTTCCAACTTCGGCTGCCACCATCAGATCTGGAAGTGCCTTCTGGTCTATTTTACCATTCACAGTCATCGGCAAAGCCTCCACTTTGACGAAGAATGTTGGCATCATGTAAGCAGGAAGGCGATCAACGAGCCATGGCCGTAGGATCTCGTCCAGCGACCAGTTGACATTTGTCTTATCGATACTCTCGATGGTATTGCATAGGCAATACGCAATAAGCCGATCATCACGATTGAGCACAACAGCTGCCGAAACATCTTTGTGGGCCGTGAGGGCAGTCTCGACATCCCCTAGTTCGATACGATATCCCCGGACTTTGACCTGGCTATCAGTGCGGCCCTTTAGCCTCAACCTGCCGGGAGCTGTGAATCGAGCGAGATCGCCAGTGCGATATAGACGTCCATGGTGGAAAGGATTCTCAAGGAAGCGGAGTTTTGTGAGCTCGGGACTATTGTGGTAGCCGCACTTTACACCGATACCGGTAATACATAGCTCACCTGTCGATCCGAGCGGCACGTTGGAGAGGTTCTCTGCGTCCAACACATACAGTTGAAAATTAGGGACAGGAGTGCCAATATCAATATCTTGGTCATCTTGCCTCACCCTACCCATGCTCGCATAAATTGTGGCCTCAGATGGGCCATACGCATTCCAAACTTCATCAGCGCGGGCAAGCAAGCGATCAGCAAGTCGACGTGAAAGCGGCTCTCCTGCGGTGACGATTCTAGCAAGTCGATGATCCATCCGCCAATTACTATCTAGAAGCATTTGCCAGAAAGAAGGTGTTGCTTGCATAATGGTGATAGAATGGCGTTGCATTGACTTGATCAAAGCGTCTGGATCCCTGAGCTGATGCGATTGAGCGATGACCAGAGTGCCACCACTGATGAGTGGCAGGAGCAAGTCTGCAATGGATATGTCGAAAGAGACGCTCGCCACCGCTAACAGACGATCCGTCCAGTTGCATCCTGGTGTACGTCTCATGGCAAGCAGAAGGTTGCAAAGGGCTTCATGATTCGCCCTAGCGCCCTTGGGCCTGCCCGTCGAGCCTGACGTGTAAATCATATAAGCAAGGTCCTGCGGCCGAAGGTCTACTGTGGCCACTTTATTGGCATCCAAGCTGCTTGACTCGCTCCTCACCGCATCAATGTTCAGGTTCATGTCTTTCCACAAAGACAAGTGCGCTTGAGTGACACCATCAGTGACTACAAGCCTGGGACTGGCATCATCCATCATTTGCTTGACTCGCTCAATGGGTATTGAAGGGTCGATAGGCATATAAACGGCACCCGCCTTCAGAACCGCTAAAAGTGAAATGATGAGATTGATAGATCGATCTAGCACTATGCCGACCACATGCCCGCGTCTAATACCGCGCTCTTCTACTAGGATGCGGGTCAGGTGATTTGAAAGCGAATCAAGTGCTTTATAGGTCAATTCCGTCTTGCCACAGATGACTGCAATGTTATCCGAGTGTCTTTCTGCAGCGCGCTCAAAGATCTGTGGTAGGCAGAATCTTAGGGTTGTGCCATCGTCAGTAGCATTGAATTGCTCTATCAAAGTCCGGCGGTCTCCTTCTGGACTTCTCTTTCCAGTCGAAGTCCTGCCATTCACAGTATTCATGAGATGAGAGTGTGTCATGATTGTTCGGTAAATATTGTTCTGAAGCTTCTTGAAATCCCGGCACGAAATTTCAAGGCTTTGACAGACGATATAGGACCAAAGGTCTGCCGAATGACATGAAGCAAACCAGCTCGACAGGTTGGGGGAATGTACATCAATGACTGCATCTCCTCACCGCACGAGGTCAGGTTTTCCAGCCGCTATGGGATGAGAGGTCATGAGCCTCGACGTGCCCAGACTTACGCTTTTCCGCTCGCTGACTTTGTCGCCTCTACCAAGAGACAATGTAGATGTATTGGCAATGACTTCATTCTTCAGCTTGTCAGACGGTCGGGCTACATGCCGACTTAAGTTAGAGCTAATTTCTTTAAAGTTCAAGGTATGTCGTCTCAACTTTTCAATACCGAGAGAGGGAAAGCCCTTCTCAACGAACACTTTCCTCCACAGAATGAACGGTAGCTGTAACATCATCAGTAGTGTATATCACCCTCAGGAATAGTCCCACTTTGCTTTATGGAGGACGGTAACTTCTCGGAAACATTCAAATCCTGTTCCGCTTGTAGGGGCGGCATCATCCGGGCCTGGTGAGCTGCCAGTGCCAATGTCAGCAAGGATTCAACATGCGAGCTAGGTAATTAAGCTGAAACGAGGATTGCCGTAATCTTCACGATCCTTTCGCTTGTTGAATCAGCTAGCGTCTCGGGCTTGCGATGATCAATTTGTGAAGATCATTGCTATCCAGAAGGAGTCGCCTGCCTCACTCTTCTTTCTCCATCCGCCATTTTTCATGCCTTATCCTGAAAGTTTTAGCGGCTTTCAGGCCCCCAGCGCCGACAAGTGGCTTGATTTCGAGCAGACTTCATGGGCGCCGCGTCCCTTTGGCGACAATGACGTCGATATCAAAATCGAATGCTGTACTGTGAGCGCCGACGACGTGCATACGCTCCGTGGAGAGTGGGGAAATGTGCCGTACCCGTTAGCAGTAGGCCATGAATTCGTTGGAAGGGTCATCCAGGTGGGATCCAAGGTGACACTCACAAAAGTCGACCAGCGTGTTGGTGTTGGGGCGCAGGTGTTTTCCTGTCTCAAATGCCGTCAATGCAAGAATGACAACGAAACATACTGCAAGGACCATGTTATGGCCTATGCTGAGCAGTATCCCGGCACCAACCACATCACTCAAGGTGGCTGGTCCTCTCATGCTCGGATCCACGAGTATTGGTAAGCTAAAGCCTTCAATTACCTTGATGACCCTTCTGAGTGAATTATCATGTGCTCAAGACAAGATATGCTGACTCTTGAATAATCAGGGTTTACCCCATTCCAGACAGCCTGATCAGTAGCGATGCAGCACCTATGATGTGCGCTGGTGTCACAGTTTACAGCCCACTCAAAAGGTTTGGCGCTGGTGAAGGCAAGAAAGTCGGCATCGTCGGTATTGGAGGCCTAGGCCATTATGCAATCATGTTTGCAAAGGCTCTTGGCGCTGAAGTTTGGGCAATCTCAAGGTCTCGTGCTAAAGAGAACGATGCGCGACAGATGGGGGCCGATGGATTCCTCGCCACGAGCGAACAAGGCTGGAATGAGTCGCATAAAATGACTTTTCACCTCATCATCAACACTTCGAATTCATTTGACGGCTTCCAGCTGAGGGAATACCTGAGCCTTCTGGATGTACACGGGCACTTCAACTCAGTCGGAGCGCCTGGTGGGGATGGCGTCCTAGTACGGCCCTGGGACTTCATTTGGAATGGCTGCTTCATGGGGACCACGAACATGGGTAGCCGCCGTGAGATGCTTGAGATGCTCGACCTGGCAGCCACTACGGGTATCAGGTCGTGGGTCGAGACGATACCGATCTCAAAAGAAGGTATTCAAAAGGCGATAGAGAAGTTGCAGAGTAGCAGCGTGCGTTACAGGTCGTGCCTGGTAGAATATGACAAGGCATTCGCTGCTTGATGAGATTGTATGGGCGAGTTAAAGAGATCAATCATTCTCCATTGCCGTTAATGCTGAGATCAATGATGAGAAGGCATGATGACGCTGGCATGTTCACGCGTCGTGGAGATAGACCCCATTCTCGGAGATAGAAAAAAAGGGGTCGCCTCGGGCGGGGCCATTCTCACGAATGCCGGCTAAGGATAGCAATTGCGCTGATCTTGCCCGCACTGATCTGTTGCGATCGTGCAATCTAGGCCTCGGCAATAAGCAGCTAGCGTATTTTGCCACTAGTTTGCCACTAAGGCAAATCGTTATTACATGGATATAATATTTAGTAATAATTACTAAAGATTAGTTAGATATATACTTTTAAAATATATTAAGCTATATATATATAAATTAGTTATTATTAATTAATAATTATTTTTTTAATATATAAAGATTTATAAGCTACTTTAAATATTAGTTATTTTGCCTTATATTATATAATTATAATAAGTTTTAAGCTTAAATAAGCTAGCTTTACTTTTTTTATTTTATTAATTATATTTAATAACTATAAAAATATTACTATAAACAATAGTATTTATATTATATAATAATAAAAATAGATAAGCTTTAGTATAGCTATTTATATAAACTTATTAAAAAATCTCTTATTTACTATTAATTTAGTTTTTAAATAGTAAGCTTAAAAGTAGTTTATAAATACTTTTAATTTTAAAGTTTTTAATAAAAATATAATAAATAAAGTACTTTATAAAATAATAAAACTAAATATTATTAATTAGTTAAAATAGTTAATAAAAATAAAAAACTTATTTATATTTAAATAACTATAAAGCTATATACTTAAATATATATAAAAGCTAGTATCTAATATTAAATATACTAATTAAAAGAAATATAATACTTTTATAAAACTATTCTTAAAAAATACTATAGAATTTATATAAAAATTATATTTCTTTATTAGTACTTTATTAAAAGTAATTTAATATATATAATATAATATTTATAACTTATTAACAACAACTAAACTCGTCCTATTAATATAATAAATATTAGTAATAAAAACTAAATCTAAAGAATCTATAAATATAATAATATCTAGAGTTAAATAATTAAATAATTAAATTAAAAAGATTAGCTTAAAGGATAAGTAGAATATTATTATTATTAAAATCGCTATTATTAAAATATTTAAATATAATAAAAATTATAAAATAATAATTTACTATTTTTATATTTTTTATAAGTTTAATATAGAAATAGTTATTTAATAATTTAAAACTATAGAAATAGATACTATAACTTATAAATATAATATTACCTAAATTAGGTAAAAAAAAAGTTAGATTATAAACTTAGGAAAAATATTAAATACTAGTAATATAATAAACTATATATAATATATAATTATAATTATAATTATAATAGTAATTTAAATAATACTTTAAATACTTAGTAAGAACGCAATAAACCTATTAACAAGCGAAAAAATACTTAAATTAGTAACTAGAAAAAGCTAAATAAAAAAAGTAATAAAAAAAACTTAAAGAATTAATACTAGAAGAAGTTATATATAGCTATAGCTAATAATATTAATAATAATAAGTTTTTTATAAAAAATATTAAAGTTACTAAAAAGCAAGCTTTAAATTAAAATTAAATATTTTTATTACTAAAATATATAAATATTAATTACTTTAATTATAAAAAAAAATTATAAATTAATACTAAGTTATATAAAACTTAATATAAAATTATAATAAATTAATTATACTTTATTTATAAAATAAATAATTAATTTAAAAGTATTTAAATATATAATAATTTTAAAAACTAATTTTATTATATATAATAAAGTCCTAGCTACTATTTAAATTAATGGCAAATAAATATTAATATTACTTAGTTAAAAAAATATTAAAATAATAATAAATAATAAAAATATAATATTAAAAATTTTTTATATATATTGTAATTAAATTATAATTTATTATTAATTTTAACTTTAAAATATTCTAGATTTTTAATATAATTCTAATAAAAAGTAGTAAAAATTATATAAAAGAGTATATTAATTATAATAAAGTATAAGGTAAATAACTTATACTTATTAGCTAATATATTAATATAAGCTATTTTAATTTTAAAAAAATTTCTAAAAATATAAAAAATATTAAAAATCTAGAAGTAGTTAATAATATAAAATTAATTAAAAAGAATACTATTATAGTTAAAAAAATAAATTTAAAAAACTATATAACTAACTTAAATATTTTAATATTATATATATAAAAAAATTATATAATATAATATATAGCCTATAAAAGCTTAAATTTTTAAAAACTTTTTTATAATATATATAAAAATAATAAATATAAATATAAAAAGTAAATAGAAGTAGGAATATATCTATTTTATAATATTTAAAAGTTATATAAAATATAAATAGTAATTCTTAGTATTAAAATAAAACTATATTTTATATTTATTATTAATAAGGTATATAACTATATATAACTATTTTTAATAATAAATAAAAAATATATATAAAAGCTTATTATAAAAGTAGTAAATTATTATAATTGCTAGGAATATAATAATTAAAAAATTGTAATATAATTTATATATTTTAATAATATAAAAAAATTCTTTATTATTATTAAAAGTTTTAAATAGTAAAGTATTTAAATAAAATATATTATAAACTATATACTTAAGTAAAATAGTACTATTAAATAGTTTAATAAAATAATTATAATAATAGTAAAATATATAATATAATATATTAGCTTATTAGATAGATTTTAATTTTATATAATAAAATATATAAACTACTTTAAAAATTATATTCTATTAATAGAAAAACTTTATTTTATATATAAATAAATAGATTAAAAACTATTAATTAAGTTTAAATATATATTTAGAATATTATATAAATATAATATATTAAAAAAAAGGTAATTTAAGCTTAATAGCCTAGCTAAAAATAATATATATTTTAAAATAATTTCTATTATTTAAGCTAAAATTTACTTATTATATAAATAATAAATAATTATATTTATTAAAATAAAAGTTTTTAATACTAAGTTAGCAATATATTTACTAATAAAGATTAGTAAAGCGCTAATAAGTATTATAAAACTATTAGTTTTTATTAATAATAAAAATTATTATTATATAAAAGAAAAAGTATTTATAATATATTTTTTAACTTTTATTATATTATCTACTTTTTAATTAATAGGTAGAATTAACTTAAATATTAAAAATAGTATATAATAATATTATTTCTATTATTATTATAAATAAATTAATAATATTAAAATATATATAAACTATTATTAATAATAATATTATATTTAAATAAATTTTTTTAAAAAAAAATAACTTTATAAATATATTTAAATCTAATTTATATAAATATATTAAATTAAATTAAATTAATCCTCCGCTACTAATATTTATTTTTATATTAAAAAGTTAAACTAAAAATAATATTAATATTAATCTTAATATTGATAGTAATTATAGTAAATAGTAACTTTATTATTCTATATATAATAAAAAAACTTATAATCCTTATATTTTTAATAATATATTCGGAAAATAGTAATTTAATATAGCGTTTTTAATTTATATAAAAAAAACCTAATTATTTATAAGTAAATAATTAATTTTATAAACTTATTTTATTAAAATAAAGCTATTTAAAATAAGCTTAACTTTTTTATATTAAATGATATTTAAAAAATTGTTAATAAACTAGCTAGTTAAAAACTTATAAATTATAAATAAATTTTTAAAATTTTTTTTTTATTATTTAATATAATAAATAAATATAAAGCTAAACTAGTAGTAATAGAGAGAGTAGTTTTAGTTGTCTAGAACTAATTTCGCTCTTAGCTATATCTTAGATCAATCTTAAATCTTAGTAGTTTTAGATAATAATAAGATTATAATTCTAGATAATATATTTATTACTATATTTATTTTAAGTCTATACTTTGCTATATTATATTAATAGTAGCAATATTTAGTTTATCTAAATAAAAAGTACTAACTAATGCTTTTTTACTTTTTAAACTAAATAATAGCTAAACGCTAGCCTACTAAGCTAACTAACTAGCTAAAGTAATTAATATAAATATTGCCCTTAAAAAGACTAGAGCAGAAATATTATATAATAGAAAGAGACAATTATATCTATTATACTATAATCTAGCTTTCTTATCCTCTAGCCTTTTCGCCCTTCTATAGTAAGTAAGTAAGGCAGCTAATATTATTTCTTCTATTCTAACAATAATTATTCTAGTAATAATTATACTAGCAATAATTGTTGCTATAATAATAATTGCCTTTAATTAAATACTAACTACTTTTAATTTATTAATTATTTATTGCTTAAGTCGCTTACTAATACGCTTGTTTACTAAAAGTACTTTTAATTAACTGCTATCCTTATAAGCTAGCTTCTAGTACACTACTAATAAAGGCTCTATTATATATTAATTATAATATTATTACCTTTGTTTTCTAATTCTATAATTTCTGCTAGACTAGTAGTTTCCTATTAGAATTTAATAATATTATAAACGCTATTTTTAAGTATATTAATAGTAATACTTTACGCTTTCTAAGGGAATAATAGTAGATAATATTATCTTCCTGTATATAAAAAGCGCGTTCTAGATCAATTAAGCCTAAGCCTACTTAGCCCTTAGACTAGATAGTCAATAAACTAGTATTTCGAAAAGTGCTTTAGATTTTTATATGCTAGACTTAGAATCTTTATAATCTTTTAACTTAATTATTTTTAATATTAATAGTTTTATTTTTAATAAATTTAAATAAGAATAAACTTATTTTTAATATTTTTTATTAATTATTAATATATAGTTAGACTTTAGCTAAAAAAAATTTATTTTAGACTAATTAGTTTATATTAGGAATATTTATTATCTATTCTAGAAAATATTTTTAAAATAGATAAAGCTATTTAA